CCCTGTGGGATCCCACAGTAAGTATCTATGCATAAGTGCTTCATGCATCCATCGAACCTAGAAATGAGTGACCTAGAAATATAGGATCAAGGATCATCAGCATAACTGCCAACATTATCATATCATCATCATATCGTCGTCGTCATAGTCAACCCACCAAGAATCAAACACTGAATCAAAAACGGTAAAAAGTTGATATCAAGAAAGTCACAGAAGGCTCCCCTGAACGCCCAAAATAATAAGACAATCTAAAAAACAATTAACAGCCAAGCAAAACATCATGAATTGAAGGTTGAAAGGGACGGGACGGAGAATATACCCGCTTCACAGGCTTAGCTGAACCCGAACCTTGAACCTGAACCTGAACCTGAACCTGAACCTGAACCTGACCCTGAACCTGAAGCCGACCCCGAAGCCGAATCTGAAGTGGTGCCTGAGCACAATCAACCCAACAAGCAAGATTCAATCCGAAGGACTATTTGAGCCTCTTCGAGTTGCATATTTTCGCGCCTCGTTTCCCTCTAAGTCAATATATGCTGGTCCGTACTTGGCGGCTGTTATCTCGTACGGTTTTTTCTTTTCTTTTTCATTCTGCTGTGGATACCTGGGGAGATCCAGACCGTGCTTTTCGAACAGAAGGTGGGGGGGTTCCAGACCAGGCCAGCGCCGGTCCTTTCAGGTCCGCCTCCTCCGCGTCGCGCATCCCCACCATGTATTTTGCCCCTCACAGGCGTCAAACGCCGATGCGATGGGATGCAGTATATAGCATCTATCAAATAACGCATAGCTAGTGCAGGGGCCTGTGCTGTCTTGCCTATGCGGTGCGGTGGGGGGGGAATGAAGACTAATGCCTCTTTGATGTGCACTACATCTGTAGTCACTGGGGAAAAATCAGCCACATATGGCGGAATTTTCCTCCCCCCCCCGGATTTACGGTTCTGTGGAACGTTAAATCTTCAAAGATACTATAGTTAAAAGAAATAAACAAATTAATTTTAAATGGAAGAATATATTTTATAGATGTATTCTTATTCAATATCCACAGACAGGCTTGAGCTTCTCCTCATGTGTTCCTTTTTGTCAATATTTTTCTTTTCCCTCCAATGTTTGTATGCCATTAGTTGTATACAGGCTGTTCAGACCCTCTCCCTCCTGCCAATTGTGTGGGAGGAGTGACCTCCCTCGTTCGCCCCTGGCGGCTGTCCAGCTTTTCAGAAGAACAACTACCCCTAGGAGAATCAGGTTTAATTAATTGATTAATTAATGTTGGTAATCAACTTGACACTGTTATTGTTATGGTTGTTATCTACCTACTTTGGGTGTTCAGTAAACAAAAAGGAGCGAATGTGACAGTGGAGGTCAAGTGCTGAGCAGATAACAGCCTAATAGAGGTGCCAAAGGAGGTGCCAACAATCAATCAATTTTTTTTCTTAAGAAAAAGAGACAGTGATAATATTATATTATAATAAAAGAATGTTCAAAACAACGAATCGAAAAAAAAATAAAAATACATGAACGCCATCATAGTGTGCAGGAGTAGTACAGTAACTACAATACCGTAAACCATCCCCGGCTTTTCAATGCAAAATTATATATATGCAAAATGAGGACCATAAAAGTAAAAATAACGGACACCAATAATAAATCATTCATGGATTCCTTATCCCGCTGTTCACAGTTTACTAAGTCAACATACCGTGCATACATACATACATCATACATGAACTACGGAACTATGAAGAGGCCTGAGGTCTGGGTTGGGGCCGGTTTGTTGGGGATTGCGGAGGAGGAAGGGGGGGGAAAATAGAAAAAGTAAAAAGAAAACCAAAACTTCTCCTGTTCTTGTTGATCTATGTATGTACAGTACCCTACTTAATTTGCCTCTCCCATCCTCTTCGCACAAGGTACGGACTGCGATGAGGCGTTGAAATAACTTCCAATCTTATTTCGCTGCTCTTATTAGGCAAGGAGTCACATATGAACCGGCCCTGACCTAACCTGATAATATATGTCTCAGCATCATAGGAGAGGCGCCGTTCACCCTCCTCCTGGATCCGAATTGACACCCAAAGTACTAGTAGTTAAGCAGCTAGGGTTCTCCCTTTACTAGCCGGGTGAAATACATCAAACGACTAAATTCCGGGGAAAGAGATTACATGCACGTAACCCAGAGAGGCGGGTGGGGCGGCATGATCAAGGGGAACGGCACGGATGGGGAGGGTCGCATATCGTCTATACCCTCTCCACTTTCCCTGCTTGCTGGTTTTTGGGGAGTTTTATTCCGGCTTAAATTGAATGTCTTGAGTGGCTAGAAAGCTATCTGCTAGCGTTTGTGAGAGGTATGGTCGATATGAAAATGCGGCGGGTATCATACGGTAACATGGGGAGATGGAAAATTCCTCGGTCACCATCATCCAAACGAAGTGGATCTTCATGTTGTAATGAGACAGAGATAGCGCAATCTGTATGTACCTGCATCCTGAAAGGTGGATACAAGAGAGCAGGCCGCCTGTTGGTGTAAATGCCTGTACATGCACATTTACATGTACTACATTGCAATTGCACCTAATAAATCGATAACGGAATGGTCCTGGAAGTAAAGAATGGTATTAATCTGTACATGCAATTGCAGGATTATTTTTCAAGGCTATGCGCTGCATTGGTGTAATGGAAGCCGAGAGCGAGTGTATGTCCCTGAGGAGCGCTTATGATGCGTCATTCACATTTTATATCATGGCGCTTGGGGACGCTTGGGGACGCTTTGCATCGAAATACACGTACTCAGATTCTTCCGAAATTTTTCAGCACGAGCATAACAGCTGCAGAACGTCTGTACAACTCATGTACGAACCACCGCATGCACAATGATGTCATTAATAGTTCATGCATGTACAGGATATCATGTAACGTAGACATCTAGGTAAGCAGTTTCGAGGAAACAGACCATCTAGCACGAGCAGAGTGGTCGACTCAATGTTCATTCTCTCTTGACCCTCCATTATTCTCTCGAAAGGAAATAACGATCGTTTTGAATCTCTGCACAGAGCCCCATGCACCCTGCACTGTGCTGCAGTATCATGTGCCGAGATAAGGAAATTTTTGAACGATCGAAGATGGTGTGGGTGGAAAAGTGGCTGGTGATCAGATCAAGTGGTTTTGCATGGGTGGTAGGTCCGTGTGGCCACTAAACAACGCGAAAAAGCAAGAAAATGGTCCAAACCCACTCATTTACTTCCTGTCATGAGTGAATATTTTCTATATCGATTTATAAAATATTGTTTGTTCCTTCCCCTCCAGGACTGAGCGGAAAATCTCTTCGATTAATTCCCCATTGCTCTTGTTTTCGTTTATTCGATTCGTTCCAAAAGTTTGAGAAGGAGATAGGGAAAAAATTACGTATGAGCTGGATGATGGATGATGGAGGCTGAAAACAGGGGGCAAAAGAGAGAAGAAAATGTGGGCGCGTATCGTTTACTTGATCTCCGCGATTGCATTAGCGGCCCTTCCAACTTGACATTGATTTCCAAATCGATTAAACCTTCTTGGAGATGGCAGAAAGGCGCAAGGAACACGGGACGGCCAATCTGTGAGGTCTACTTGTCTTATCGTTCAGCCACTGGCGTTGCCGTTTAAACATAGGAGCCCTGATGCCTTGTTTATCTGGAAAGGTCCCTAAGATTGGCTGCATAAGATAGGATCTCCAACCTGATACCGCACGGCCATAGTCATGTTGGTGTAACGGTCGTTGCTGCAACAATCCTCTCGATACAGCCCATGATCCTAAACACGACGTGCGCAACAAATAGTTTTTTTTTAGCACTCGGTAGAAACGAGGATACAAAACTCCGCACCACGTTTTGCTCGGGAGATTGCATGGGCCCTGAAAGGGAGAGAAGGGGGTTTGTGTTGGTTCAATCCGAAATCCAAGGATTTAGTGTGTTGTAAAATTGGAAAGAGAATGGTACTATTCCAACCTAGTAGAGCTTTTCTAATTTCGCTGATATCTATGCTGCTGGTTTCCTTCGCAGAATTGGCGCCCTTCCGCGAGATCATATAGGTTAAGACATGGCATGATCGCCTCGATGAGGAGAAAATTAAGACTGTGTCCAGACAGAAGCAGTTGCCGCAATAGCTCGGACCAATCCACGACCAGGGTCTGCCAATCGATCATAGAGGACCATATAGAGTTTGATAGACCCTGATATCTGGATTGGCATTTTTCAACCAGGCTATGGCTGAGGCGGTATCTTGCGTTTGGGTATCTTTAGGGTGTTCTTTGACGTTCTCGGCTTCACTGATACTGGACATGTACAGCATATTGTACAGAGTCACCAAGCGAAGTGGCACAGGACATGAGGAATGAGACCGTCCAACTCTACCCGTATCGATGCATCGACAATCACAACCCTCATGTCATGCAGGATAGCCACTCTCCCAATGCGCAAGGCTGGCTGGCACAAGAGAGGGTGTGAAGGAGTCGGTCAATTAGACAGGTCACCCGCGGGTTCCAAATTGATAAATCACAAAGTCAAAAAAGGGAGCTCTCCTCATGAAGGTGGGAAGGGAGCATTTTGTATATGTTTTAGTAACATGGAGTCTGTTCAAGATATGAGGACATCAACTTTCTGCAACTGTACAAAGTGTCGTTGCTGTGAATTGCGGCGTGTGTTCGTATTTTGAAATAGGATGAGGTTGCACAGATGACGTTATGCAAATAAATAAAGGGAGTTTGAAGCTAGTCCCGACACAAACCCATGGTTGTGATCAACAAACCTCTAATCTAGCCCCCAACATTTCACGATTACCATTGTCAATATCTAACAGTAGTCAGAAGCTAATTTACCTATCATCCACCCCGCTATTCACCATGTTAGCAACCAGGCGTTCCGCTGCCACTGCAATTATCCGCGCTAGTCGCCGTGCGGCGCTATTCCACAGCACAAGGCCTTCCTTCGTCAAGGTTGGAGATGGATTGCCGGACCTTGAGGTGCTAACCGAGAACTCACCTGGCAACAAGGTCAATTTGGCAAAGGAGTTAAAGGAAGGGAAAGGTTTGATCATCGGAAGTCCAGGTGCATTTAGTAAGCATATATTCGCCGGTTGCTTTTTTGATTTGTTTCGGGTGTCATCTCCCCAGCGGATTATACGGATCCATTGCAGCCGACCTGGATGGAAACCGATGTTTAGTCTTTCTATTGATTGAATACGGAATCAGTGATAATCCCTTTGTTACTGGTCTTTTATATTTCACTCTCAACTGGCTTTTGTCTAATAAATATATCGGAAAGGCCCCGCATGTTCCGCCGCATATGTTCCCGGCTTCGCCAACCATCCGAAGCTGACGGGTGCCGGCAAAGTATTCGTGGTGTCTGTCAATGATGCATTTGTGTAAGCAAGCAATTTCATTCCCGTGCACCTCAACATGAAAAGGAGAAGAGACGATCTCTCCCCAGTTTACTACCCTCTCAAACTTTCTGTTGGTAAGCATCTCCATGGATAATTGACAGCTTCGCGGCTACATTGAATAGGACTGGCGCGTGGTCTAAGGTGATTGACCCAGAGCAGAAGAGCGGGGTATGTAGTATATTCCACATCTCTTATATGTTATGCAACGCGCTAGCTGCATAATGTTCTTTGCTATAGACAAACTTTACTAAAACATTGTAGATCCGATTCCTGGGAGATGCAAATGGAGAGTTTACCAAAGCTCTGGATCTAGACTTTGATGCGAGCTCAATTTTCGGCAACCACAGGAGCAAGCGCTATGTTTTAGTGATTGAAGACGGGAAGGTTCAGAAGACATTTATCGAACCCGATAACACTGGCCTTAATGGTAAGAACATGCGCGACAAAGCTCCCCGAATCTTCGCAAAAGGTAGTTAAAAGAACTTGTTTACTAAGATCAAACCCTCGCCAGTTTCGAAAGCGGAGAATGTGTTGGGATAGGAAGAATGAGAGACAAACAAACTTTGACTTTGGTTTTCGGATTCCCAATTTATTATTTGAAAAGATACGTTTGTCCGCATTGCGAAAGTAGTATAGTGAGCATATTTTATGTTTGAGACCGCGGCAAATGCTTGTCCTTTTCTCTCGATTCATATGCACAGTTTCCCATCTAATCTTCTCGTTCAGGATATGTCTGTGGATAAAAAAAGCCATCTTTTAAAAACGCCGGAAGCCCAAGTGTATCATAATAAAACAAAAAATTAAATAAAATCCAAAAGTGGCGGAAGGGTAAATGCTATCTAGATGTAGTTCCAGCACTCCCGTGGTCGAAATGCGTGCAGCTGTTCTGGCTCAGCATAGATTTATATCCCCCTCAATCGAGCATCTCTGTTCAAACTAAGATTGTCCCTTCTGTGCATTCTCCCACTGTTCTGGTGTGTAGCATTTGGGTGTCCAGGCATGGATAGCCGCAATTTCCGCTTTGAGCACGGAATTGACAAGCCGGTGTCTCGCCAGCATGTTTTTCTTATCGAATTGCGGAGAAACTATAATTGCCTGGAAGGCTTGGCCGCAGCCTCCTATGTGAAGTGAAAGATCACGGTCAGCTTCTCAATGAGTAATATACATGTATGGCAAACCAGCCGGATTGTTACAGAGGCGAGGAGGGGAGGGAAAATAGAGGGGTTGTATTTTGAAAGGAAGATAGAAACATACCAGACATATCTTCAATTTCCACATGTTGAGCGTCTAGCTTGGCAATCAGCGTGTCTTTGAGAGATGCAGAAGTGATGCCCGACGTATTTGCCGTATCTACCATGGCGGCGCTGACGGCACTGCGAGCGCTTGCTGTGAAATGGAACGATCTTTGGTGACGGAGGAGATGGAGACAGCTTCTGCTGAATATGCTCTGGCGGCGGAACATATAGGATTATTTTGACAACGAATAATTTGTTATGAGGTGAGAGCAGAGAGCAAAGGTACGACGTGACCGTGGATAATTAACATATAACTAATGCATGGAAACAGATGCCGAAAGGTTGGTTGGATCATGGATTAGTCAGAGAAGCCACTATGGCTATGGCGATGTGGCTGAAGCCCTGGTGGCTTGCAGAGATAACATAACCATTTCATCAATTGACTTTCATCCCTCCAAATATCTTTGACGATGACAATTTCGAGTTTCCCCACACACAAGACTAATGATCCGGTCTGCTCTGAGAAACTTTTCAACCATGGCTAGTTCCAATCCGACTTCATGTTCCCCTTTTACCAGAGCAGTCGTGAACTCGATGAAGAAGCTGTAAGCTAGCTCGGCTCGCAACAATGGCAGTAATGAGCTGCGTCGAGATTCTATTTTGCTCTGTTGGCTAAAATTTTCGTTGTGGAAGGTACCCAGAATGCTTAGCAGATAAATCTTTTGATAATACTGGCTGTGAGTTGGCAACCTTCCTATGGAAACTTATTATCAATTAATTGACTTATTGATAGTGCTCCTCGAGGCCCCATTCAGCTTCACAAGGCAAAAGAAGAATTCAGTTCTATTGACTGTTGACCTGACGAGGGCTGTGGCTGATGAAGCAATTGAGCGTGGGGATTCGGTTATCATTGCATACCGTACGTGAGCCAGCCTGACAGATATCGCAGTATCCAGCCCACCCATCAACCTCGGATACAATGTTAATGATAGCAAATATCTGGGCCCTTTAAAGTGAATAGACCCAATAATTTTTCGCGGCCTCAAGTCCCTCACTCTAAGTGATCCACAACAAGCCTCGCTCCTCCGTCTTGCCCATCACGGCATCAGCGTCTACTCTCCGCACACAGCCGTCGACGCGGTCCCCGACGGAATGGCAGACTGGCTGTTAGATGTTGTCATGGAAACAAAGACCCCTCCACGAGGCCCAATTTTCTCTCAGACCCGCAGCGCCATCTACCCGGAACCAACCCCACCACCTGGATTCGAAAAAGCCGGTAAGGGCCGGATAGCCAGTACGGACCGGCCCGTATGCCTGACATCACTTGTAGACAATCTCATGCTCAACCTAAATAGGCCCTACGGCATTCCAATTGCGCTGCCACAGGGTAAAAAAGTATTTGACATGTCCAACATCCGCACCATTGCCACATGCCCCGGCTCGGGCTCGTCGATCCTTATGAAAAACGGGAAACCAGTTGCAGACGTTCTGGTTACGGGCGAAATGGGCCATCACGACGCGCTGGCTGCGATCGAGCATGGTGCTGCTGTAATTTCTCTTTTCCATTCAGATTCTGAGCGCGGGTATTTAAGGGAAGTCATGCGGGGATATTTGGCTGAGGCGCTGAGGGATGAATGGGATGCGTTACGAGCGCAGGAGGCGGCGGCGTTGGAGGGAGGTGATGGTGATGGTGACATGAAGGATTGGCTGAGTGATCCAAATTTTACTATCAGTGTTAGCGAAAGAGATCGGGATCCCTATGAGGTGTGGCCTGCGGCACGGTAATTGGGGCAGTTCTCATTTTGCGCCAATTGTTCGGTTCTTTCTCGCCTCATTTCCTTTGTATCTTTTTACCTTCTCCTCTATGGAACATCGGACGCTACGGTATGCTAGCAAACCATGACCGGTTACCGAATTGAATGAGAGATTTGTTCGTAACCCTATCGAGATGTGATTAAATTAAATGGCTTTTGAATACTCCAGCCTTTACGCAAGCCATTGAGACACATGAAGTTTTGAAGGATCTTGTTAACTTTCTGTCTCAATTACCCAGGCATACAACCCACGGGCCCAGTGCAGAAATTATCAAGTTGATAAAATCGAACTCTGGATAGTGCTAACTAACTCTAGCTAGAAATATATAGCCTTAGCACCGAATTTAACAGCCAAGTTTGGCTCCAAGCCGCTAAACCCACACCAATCATTGAGACGGCTTGTCGACTGATATAACAAACTTACCATAACTAGAAATTTCTGTCCTGTGCAGTAACTTATGTTCCAACGCTTCCGTACACAAATCATAATAATAAATGGGGTCAATCCAAACAAGCGCTTGAGAATTTGTCAAAGCTTAACTTAATAGCACTCTGATCTCTCCAGTCGTCCTCGGGAACAAGCTGCGTAGTCTCCAATTATCCCCCTGCAGCTCTTCTCCTTCTCCTTCTCCTGCTCCTGCTTCCTCCACTCCCGCATCCTCACCATCTCCGTGTACAACTGACTTCCCACGCGCCTCATCCGCCCCTAGAATCATGCCTTCTACAAACTCAAAATCAATACAGAAAGCTTCGACGGCTTCTTCCGTCACGCTTTTTACAAGCACAGGGCTACGGATGGCTTTCAGGTTCTCTGTTGCGTCGACTAGTGCCGAGGGTAGGAAATCATCAAGTTGTTGACTAATTGACGAGAGGGTTTGGGGTTGAAACTCAGGTAATGAGGAGATGGTTGCGAGATCAGGAGGGTAACTGGAGGGCGTGGGTTCTAGAGTAGCTGTCGCTGGAGGTGTGAAAGGTTTTAGCGCGGTAAGGAGCATGTGTAGTCCGGATGCATTGAGGAGGAACTCATGTTGGATCTCGAGAAGGGTTGTTCTTAGGGTTTTCAAGGTATTGGTGAGTTGAGGCAGATGCGTGACGCAGACGAATGGATAGGGGGATATGGCATCTCTGGTAGAAAGAAGACAGTTCACGTGGAAAACGGCCCGTGAGGTTGGGTCAGATATGTCGTTCGATGAAGTCCTGGCTAGTTCCAGAAATGGGTCCAAAGCCTCTCGGATAATTGGTGAAAATTTATTTTCGCCAGACGAATCGTTCGCATGTTCGTGCGCGAAGGAGGAGTCGTATGCTTTCATTAAGGAGGCAAGGTTGTCAAGTGCGTCATGTAGGAATTGGGGGGTGCCCAGGTCTGCGGGAGGCGTGAGGTTTGCAGGTTCGGCTGAAACCACAGCTAATTGATCCTGCATCAAGATTTGGAAGTGTTTGAATGCAAACTCCTGTAAGGAAGCAACCGAGGTTACTAAGCCAGATTCTCGCCCGAGAAGCTTCGAAAAAGTATTTTCGTAGAATGCCAGAAGGCCAATGATTTTGTATATCACAATAGGGTCCTCGTTGCCCTGAAGAACCAGCTCAACCCTCTGGCGTAAAGAACGTGCAACTCCGTTCAAGTCTCGGGTAACGAGGTCATTCAATGCCTTTGGACCGTCAAACACTATTTCCTCTCCATCAACACGCGACCACGGCTCGCTGTTTACTCCAGCTTGAATTCCTTTCGCAATTTCTCCTTCATCTCCTATGAAAAGAGCTTCTAGAGCTTCTCGTTCGGATACCGCAGCTGAATGCACCCATGCGAGCATGTCTCCTACATAGCGTAGCGGGTCATGTGCGGAGAACTCAATTGGCCTGGCTGCCATATCTCTTTCCTGACCAGAGGGAACATCTGTAAGGGCGGTATGGAAAGAATCGGAAAGAGTATACTCTCTTGCATCAGCGAAAGAGTCGAGGCAGTTATGGAAGAGACTGGGTCTTTCAGCCAGTACTCGTAGCGCACGGCGAATAGAGCTACTGATCTGAGGATCTTCAAGATTCAAAGATTTGAACTCCTTCTGTATCCACTTATAGAGTTTCTGAAATGCACCGTTCAGATTTTTGGAGCTTTGCTCCATTATATCTAGCCCTAGCCGTTGGTTCTCGCTTCCAAGCAGGACTTCGCAATCCTTGTGAATTTGTTTCATGCGCGCAAGAGCGTCGAAAAACAGGTCATCAACTGGTTTTGCGGACGACGTAAGGTATGCAAGCTCATCTTCAGACAATATAAAATGGTTATTGAACGCATCTAAAATTTTCTCCTTGGTCTCGACCTCCTGTTGCTGGCTCATTAAAATTGCTGCCTCTTCGAAAAGAGGTGCTGTTTCCTGCGTTGCTAAGACTATGTGCCTGCGCATCTCCTCGCATACGTTGGTAAGATTCGATATAGCTGTCCCGACTCTTTTGAGTTGCTACATTATTAAAATAGTTAGCACAGATCCATTTTGAATAAGGGATGAATTCTTGCTTTGACTCACCTCGGCAACTTTGCCAAAATCTTGCACGATCTTGCCATTGCTGTCAATAACCTCCCTTTGGACGTCAAGCTTCAGCTGCCTCCTCGTCTCTGGGGTATTCTGAATTCCCCTATCATCTAGGATCTCGAGGGCCCCTCGGATGTCGGAGTCGGCATACGACGCAGAAAGGACACTATTTAGCTTGTTGGATAGTGCAGTGGATCGAGGAACTGCAGCCCCGGGTAGTGAGAGGAGGGATTGCCCTGCACCATTAGTTCCAGAGCTTGCTGAACCCGGGGAATTCGAAAAATAATTCGACATATCTTGGTAATTGTAGATTGACAATTGCCCGCCCCAATCTCCCGAATCGCCCGCCCGCCCTGTTCGAGTCTCGATATCACCGCGATTACTCGGACTAAACTTGTTCCGTCTCTCGTCCGGGAACGGAGAAATCTAACTTGAAGCTTGCCATTGAAACCCCGAAACTGGCGACACCCTGTCTCCCAAATAATAATCCGTGAATTAGTACTTATATTTTAAGCATTGGAACGCTTTTCACTTGTTGACAAGATCGAAATGGACCCCACGCCTCTGATCTCTCCGTCCAAAGCACGGCAAGCTGCCTCCCGTGCAAAAGACTGGGCATACATCAACAGCTGGCTCAACCGAAAATATTCACCGAATCCCGTGCCTCATTTTGAACGAAATGAGGACACCTTGAAAACGCTCCTCACTCTCGCTGCCGCCAATGATGCGGCAGACGATGAAGAAGTCCTCCTTCATACTGCGCGAGAAGAAACGATTCGCAATCTCCTAGCACAGGAAGAAACGACCCCGGATTCCCCAACAGAGCTTCTCGACACTCTAGAATCGAGCCTTGATGATAAGGGAGCTAAGTTTTTGGATGAACTCGCTGAAGCCGCAGTTCTGCTAGGAACCTTCACCACCAGCATCAACGATCTCGGCCATCGGATCGTGGATCTTACAAGGGAGGAGTTTGATGCTGCTGAGCAATTGCGCAAAATTGAACTTTTACAATCCTACCTAGATAATGAACTCGAATCGTTACGCACACAGATGAAGGAGCTTAAGAATGAAGAGAAATACGAAACCCCAGCGGACTTGCCCGTCCAAACCGCTGATTGGGTGAGGGGTGCAAAGATACTTGGCGCAAAGGTTGATGAATACCATAATAGAATTTCGACGTTTGAAAAGATTGGAAGAAACAATGGGTTACGGATTGAGGAGCTAATGGTCGAGGAAGAAAGTGTGGTTAGGCTGAGGGAAACAGTGAAGGCCGTGGAAGGCAACGTGAAAATGTTTCACGGATTACCCCCTAATGTCCAAGAAGCGAAGAAGGAACTTGAATGTATTGAGAAAGACTACCGAAACCTTGTACGCCAACGAGATACGATGTTCGAAAATTTGGTCGACCATGTTAAGTGATACTTTATACCACTTCCCCGCAAGCAAAAGAACGGGAGAGAGGGGAGCATAACAAAAGCCTTTTTCAGGATTTATTGGTTGTCAACTCATTACGAATTCCTTTGCATATATAACATCATCGCACCTATACAGGCCACTAAAAGCAAACAGCTCAAAAACAATTTCCTCGCCTTTACAACCGTCTGGTATGTCAACCAAAATCGAATGCTCATTTGTCCATTCCTAGAGCGCCCTTCACCTTATCACCCCTATAAAACGACCGAGTCAGCGGGGCTCTTGAAACAGAGCACATGGAACGGGTTTCGGTGAAGCTTACATGGTCTGAGCAGCACCTCCTTGTTGGTTATCGGAGGTACGTTGAGCCTTGTCGAAGGCTTCCTGGCCAGTGCCCTTTTGGTCATCAGTTTGAAGTCCTCTGCAATGATTGTTAGCATGAGGTTAGTATTGAGGAAACAAAGCTTTAGAAACTGACCGAGTAAGGCGATCTTTTGCGTCGGTTACGGTCTCTTTGATTTGCTCCTGGGTTGACTTGGAAGAGTCGGGAGTCATCTCCTCCTTGGCCTCTGTTGTGTACAACGCAGTCGTCAGTCGAACACTATTACCAGCTAAAAGCATGTTACAATTGCATAAAATTTGGCCACGTACTAGTTGTGAAATCCTTGCGTCCGGGGTCAGACATGATCACTGGAAATTTGAAGATCTTGGCTTTAACTTCAAGAGGAGTATAAAATATTGGGATAAGATTATTGAATGAAGCGCGTGTGCATTTGGCTGAAAAGATGAGACCATCCCTAGGGATGTTCCCCCATTTTATAACATCTCGTGAAGGTTAGAATTACTTGCTTGGTCCTATGACGTCCCTGCCAGGAGGCAAATAAGGGCCTACCAGGATCGAAGATCCAACATAGAAATCCCACAGCTCTCCTTTTCCCTGTTTTGTTGCCCTGATGTAAGTATGATGCTGGTTTAAACCTCGCTTTTATTCGCACGTGACGGAGCTTTTTTTCATCGGAATATACATACTCCGACAACAGCTTTGGCTGGCAGAATAGAGGCGGTGTAACATGGCATCTTCATACTCAATTAGCATCGACTCATCTCTGTTGTTATCCCATCCAACTGGCTCCCCTCGAGTTAGCCTCGAGTCACCACCGTCTCTCTCTTTCCTTTGCTCATCCTTCTTCTGTCCCTTCTTACGCTATAACCATGACTGACTCTGATAATTTTGCTTTAAAACGCTTTATCAGCGCCATCTGTTTCTGAACAACTCCATGGGCTTAACTTCCCTTCATCATCTTAGAGTTCGCGCCTGTTGCTATAATACCGGGCTTGTCCATGTCGACTTCTGGGACTTCATCCACGTGGGATTTTACCCCTGTTATTAATCTTCTCCACTCGTTTTCAACCAGCAACCAAACCGCAACAACTGTTGAACATGTTGCAAGCGTAACGACTCCACTAGAAACCGATGTCAACACCGTACGAGATGGATATCAAAAGCTCGGCGATTTTGGGCCCCTTTGGGATTTGCTTTCCGGAGGGGACCTGCCCAGTGGATACCAAGCAACAGATGATGCCCCGTCGAACTCGAGCCGCCTTCTCGGCCAGGAACAATACCTTACCAATTCACAAAACTCCAAAGAATTAGAGGTCCTATCTGGATTGAGAGAAAAGACAACTGAGAAACAACAAAAAATCAGAGTGCTACTTGAAAAGAAAATGGGAGAAAGCATCAAACATAACAACCGCATCCGGCCCCGTGGTTTTCCCCTTTCGGAGGCCTCCGATGAAGAGGATAAACCTCGCCCTCCCATAGCTTTATCAATCTTACAGAATCCCCACAGACCTGTCGTGAATCAGCCAACTTCAGCCCTTGCTCCCCGGATCCATTCCCAGGATCACAGGCTACCTACTACCAAATCTAATCTGCGTATTGAACCTCTTCTCCAGTGTTCCCCTGTTGAAAGGAGGCTGGATTTGATTGCAATACTTAGTGCTCGTTTTCCAAGAGAACGCGAATGCCTACTTAAACTTCAAGGCTCCCCTACAGCTCATTACAAACCGAATTATCATCCAACGGGTGTTCATGTTTTTGTTGACATCTCAAATGTATGGTTCAGGTTCTCTTTTCAATTAGAGATTGCTATAGCTTGACTTAAATTTCTTCTTACTGATGTTGCTTTTAGATTTCGGTGGGATTTCACGACTGCATTAAAATGGCTCGCGATGTACCCATCACCGTTCGGGTTCCTCGGGTTCCTCTATCCTTCCGCAACTTCGCACTTATTTTAGAACGAGGCCGATCTACCAGTAAAAGGGTTTTGGTCGGCTCTGACCGATTTCCGGCGATTGACGAGGCCGAAGAAATCGGCTACGAAATAAATATCCTGGAAAGAGTCCAGAAGGCGAAAGATGCCACACCGCGTAAGAAGAAATTCTTACGTGGAAATGGGAATAACCGTTTGAGTGGCGCCATGGGGAATAATACGCAAGCCCAGTCCAGTGGCTCTGAAACGACATCTGGACCCGGGCCGGAGCGATGGGTGGAACAGGGGGTAGATGAAATTTTACATCTGAAGATCCTGGAGAGTCTCGTCGATTCTGACGCGCCCTCCACCATAGTACTCGCGACAGGTGATGCAGCTGAAGCAGAATACTCAGACGGGTTTTTGAAGATGGTGGGGCGTGCGCTGCAGAAAGGGTGGGCGGTCGAACTCGTGAGCTTCAGCACTACCACGAGTCGCGAGTATAAGCGGAAGGGATTCCGTTCTCAGTGGGGTTCGCAGTTCAGGGTCATCAAGCTCGATGAATATGTTGAACACCTTCTAGATGCGTGACGGATTATACTGGGATTTAGGGCGGATAATTGAATCAATTCCTGGTTGATATGTTGTCGCGCATGTCCTTATGGGATTGAGATTGTCCCCGTTTTCGATCAGAGGATTGCAGGGATTGTGTCGTTTCGGAACAACAGCAATCTCTAACATAGGTGGCGACTCGATATTTTGACAATTTATTACTTATCATTGTCATTTATATTGTTAAAGATAAAATCATGGATCGAAGGGTTCAGGAAAGTCGTCAAGATCACCTTCAGGCTGTTATTATTGGGCACTCAATCCCAAGATGAATGGGGCGATATGCAGCGAGCGGTACCTTTGGTTGCTGGCATAACTTCATGGCTAGCTCCGGTCGGGTGTTGCGACCGTGGGGTTCATTTCTGGCTAGAGCTTCCTTTCATCCTTTTACATGATGTTTATACATGTACAAACATCTATGGACACAATAGATACTCGTGAAATATGTGGGAAAGTTGTGCGGGTATGCCATTTCCCCAAGACTACTTCTACAGTATCTATTAAAACACTAATCGTTCTATGATCGTATGGGAAATATCACTAAATCGGCGGGTGTAGCATGAACGTAGATTCTAATTAAAAGATATATGTACTACAAGATCGATGGGATGAGGTGTACGGAATACTCCAAAGTTAGTAACACGATTGGGTTGGCTGACGTAGTGTTTTGATTTAATTTTGTTAAAATCGTCGCAGATGTCTAATTCAATCTCCCCACTTCATCTATTTGTAGCCCAATAAAGCAAGGGGAAAAAACAGGGGACACCGACAGTGAAAAGGAGGCAATTTCAAAATATAACAATTTGCCCTTCAAGGCCTTCTTTTATTTCGTTTCTGAACACATTACCCCGACTTTCTATCCAAGCTCAAAGAACCGACTCACGCCATCATCTTATGGAGCTTGGGACAGACAGCCCACCATCAACAAAACGATCTGCTACGTATAATTTTCCAGTGGATTTCAATCCGCTCTCAACTATATCTCGACATCATTGAAGAACGGAAGCATTGAATGTATCCAGGGCTTCACAATACCTCAATATAAAATCCGTTGATAATCCACCTTTGAACCAGCCCGCAGCTGCTCTGTCAGTGCCATATTAATTCTCACCCTCCCCCGCCAAAACAACAAAAGAAACGCTCGCAGCTTATACTGCATCCAAAAGCACGACCTAAAAGGGAAATCGAAATAAGAGAAGGAGAATCAAATCGTATCGAAATAAATATCTTAGGGAAAGCAATGGCAACATTCTCACCGAAGGACCTCTTTGGGGGTGCAATCGTTGCGGATTTGCCCGTCAGCTTTTTAAATGTAAGGTAAGAAATTGAAAAAGCACAAAATAAACAACAGACGTGGAATCCTGTATGGATTCTCTTCTTCATTTGATATATTTCTATATTGATATGTGGCCTTGTTGGCGGTTGGCCTATATATTAACTGCGAAGATGTTGCTGTATGAGTGTTTTTATATTTCAATCTCCCTTAGCATGATACTTGATACTTGTTTTAAAGGAGAAACAAAAGAAAGGGCCAAATGGATGACTATTTCCTGTGGGTTATAGTTCTGATCCACCTCTCGTCCTATGAATGCAATGCCGTGTTATGCTATATTGTACATGCATCTATCTGTTTTCCTATCTAAGACAATCTGCCAGCTTTATATCAGGTGCATAGATGAGGATGGATACTTTTCCAGCGTTTTTCAATTTGGGAACCCATCAATAACCAATAAAAATATCGTTATAGCGACATGCGTGAAGTTCCCGATAACCAGGAAGCTTTCGTATCCGACTCCACACGAACGAGCATCCTCATCGAGATAAACGAGAGGCTGAACCTCTCCCAACTCCAACAAGGAGATCCTCAACAAGCTGCCGCAACCAGCAGCACCACCGGCGCCGGCCCCGCAACAACTCCATTCAGCTTCTCCCTGCCAAACACGACCAAGGACGACGCCATAGCACAGGATCTACATGCTGCAGCCTTCCATCTCCACGAGATCTGTGAAATCAGCGGAGACAGCTATAAAATCATCGATAACCCCCAACTCATCCAGCTACCGAAGCTACCACAAGTGCCGGCCTATCTAGCAAAGGCATTAATTACGTCGAGTGCTAGGGATGTAGATGCGGCCGTGGCGACGTCCACTTGCCGTTTACTCCTAATCCGTTTAATGGAGAAGAGTACGGATATCATAGCGTATATCGTAGTGCCACATTCCGAGTTTGATGATGCAGGGGACCCACGCGCGGCGGCGCGCGAGGAGGCATTTGCGGAAGAGGTAATGGCGAATGTGGTGGAGTCGTTTGAGATTAGGGATTATGGACTCTTTTGCTAGGTTTTTCTTTCTATCCTTCACGTTGGGGGTGTAGTTGTCTGGAATGGGTTCACTTTTTCCCTTCACCTTCTTCTTGTCTCTGTTAGATGGGTATGGCTGTGTCAAAAAAAAAAAAGGAAAAAGGAAAAATGGGCAACCATGTGTTTAATTCTTATTTCCTGGGTCTTGAGAAATCAATATGATGTCAGAGAATGGCTGACTTGGATTTGTAGTTGGGATTGATTTCATGTCACAAAACAAGCCTTCCCTGAGGTCTAGTTTGTGCAGAACAAGAGAAAACGTTACCTGGCCACCTTTCTGATTCCCGCCTGAATGGAATAGAAAAAGGAGTCCCTTAGAACTAAATTAAATCAGAATGATGGCTGGCTGCCGACATCGTAGGATGAATACCTTGCAGGGCGCGGAGGAATTGTGAGGCTCCCTCCGCTAAACAGGCTGGGCGGTGTTTGTCATCCATGATCCCAGGCGGCAAGATTCCCTCGATAAGCCCAACCAAGCTCCTGTCGAGCAACAACGACACAAAACAAAGGTATGTCTTTTGTCTTTCAGGCTCCAGTCGATATGACAGTCAACAATTCCAGGTAATCCACGCGAATATATATCTTGCTCGCCACTTATCCCTTTGTCCTTTTCTTCTCACAGCCTCATCCAGCTTTCTCCACACCAGTCATTAGCCTCCCAACCCAAACACCCCACATCCTATCGCCCAGCTCCTTCGAACTTCCACCACCGCTAGCCTCCGTTCTCTCAAGCTTGTTTCGGAAACGCCCCTACAAGTTAGAATAAATAGACTCGCTTTCATTCTGCGTATAACACTCCCTCCATTTTCATCCCCAAGTGACCTTCAACGCTCTTCACCACGCCTCCCCAAGTAAGGAAAAGAAAAGCGCTGCAGGCAGGGGTCGAATACACAATCAAGGACTCGAGATCAACAGGCACGGGACTTGATAGGGTTCCTGTTCAGAAGAGGGTCCGGCAGGCCCTCGAGGATTCGGGTGGCCCGTCTCCCGCCACTCAGCAGAAGGTCGTTGATCTTGCAACGCCAGCTACAACAGCAACGACTGCCAGTATGGACTCCGAAGATGACTTCATAAGTGACGGCTCGAGTCAAGGCGATATACTTGATATGCAGGGGAGTGATGACGAGAGCCTTGGGGACGGTAAGCTGATCGGTCTAACTTCCTGTCTTATTTCATTCTTTGTTTCTTTTTTCCCCCTTAAATGCCAGCCAATATGGTGTATATTCAATATATTATTAGGGTCATCTTCTAACACTGTTGTGTCCTTCTGCATGACAGATTTTGGTGATGACGATGGCCTTGGCGGCTCCTTTTACGATAAGGAAATTGTCAAGCAAACCCGAAAACCCTTTGAGGTTGAGTTTAAGGTCTTGAGTCCAGATGATATCAAACGGGAACAAAACGCTCAAATAAACGAGGTTTCTTCAATACTTGGCCTACCTCCAGAATCAGCAGCTATCCTGCTGCGATTTGGCCGTTGGAACAGGGAGAAGTTAATCGAGTCATACATGGAGGACCACGATAGAATACAGGAAGAAGCCGGTATTGGCTCGGCCTTTTCAGGTACTCCAAAGACAGAGGTCACCCCTGGATTCATGTGCGATATTTGTTGTGAGGACGGGCCAGACATGGAGACGTATTCCATGCGTTGTGGTCATCGGTTTTGTGTTGAATGTTATCGCCATTACCTTGGCCAGAAAATTGGAGAGGAAGGAGAGGCTGCGAGAATACAGTGTCCCCAGAGCAACTGCCATCGCATTGTCGACTCGAAAACGTTGGACTTGCTGGTGACAGACGATCTACGGGACAGGTATAGTTCCTCTTACTTACATCTTACCAACCTTTTTTTTTTTGTTGACGTAGAAAAGCTAACGTGAATTCCTTCGTACTGTAGATATCATCTTCTTCTAATGCGGACCTATGTGGACGACAAAGAAAACCTGAAATGGTGTCCTGCCCCAAACTGCGAATTTGCAATAGACTGTCCGGTGAAGAGACGCGAGCTTAATCGCATCGTCCCAACCGTTCAATGTAGTTGCAACCATAGTTTTTGCTTCGGCTGCACCCTTAATGACCACCAACCTCCACCCTGTTCACTTGTCAAAAAATGGCTAAAAAAATGTAAAGACGACTCTGAGACGGCGAACTGGATATCTGCCAACACCAAGGAATGTCCAAAATGTGCATCCACAATCGAGAAAAATGGTGGCTGTAATCATATGACCTGTCGAAAATGCAAGCATGAGTTCTGCTGGATGTGTATGGGACCTTGGTCTGAACATGGGACTAGTTGGTACAACTGCAACCGCTTCGAGGAAAAGTCAGGAGCGTCAGCTCGCGATGCACAGGCGCGTTCAAGACAATCACTTGAACGCTACCTCCACTACTACAACCGATACGCAAACCACGAGCAATCTGCGAAACTGGACAAAGACCTTTACCTCAAAACCGAGAAGAAGATGACTAGCTTGCAGTCACAATCAGGGATGTCGTGGATCGAGGTTCAATTCCTCGATACCGCATCACAGGCCCTTCAGCAATGTCGACAAACCTTGAAATGGACGTATGCCTTTGCTTTCTACCTTGCACGCAATAATCTGACGGAGATCTTCGAGGATAATCAGAAAGATCTGGAAATGGCGGTTGAAAGTCTTAGCGAGATGTTCGAGAGACCCATCGATCAGCTGTCCGCGCTGAAAGTCGATATCCTGGACAAAACTGCTTATTGCAACAAGAGGCGCATGATTCTGTTGAGTGATACTGCGGAGAACCTGAAGAACCGTAAGTTACATGCACCTTCCTCTCTTCTGCACCATCTTTCCATTATTTATTTTCGATCATTCCAACAGCCAGATATAGACTGGTAACTCATCAGCTGACTCGATTTATTTTCACGACAGAGGAATGGACCTTCACCGTTGATTTGAACGATTAAATTTGTACAACTCGTTCAAATCAATATCGCCAAGCCAAATCTCGAGATCCCGGTCGGTTTTCATGCGTTCTATGAATTAGTTTAATATTTCGTTTTTAATATTTCAACTATTCCCTTCCTCTCTTCTATTTTCCTAAGTTCCTTCCCTTGTTTCCATTTTTCTCCATTTTTGTTTCTTTCCGCATGTTTTATTCCTAGCTTAGCTTTGATATTCGCAGGTAGAAAGTTAGAAAGTATCATTGAGGTGTGGTTCGATGGACGGACCCTTTTTTCCTTCTTTTCTTCTTTACTCTTGACTTCATACTTTGATGATGCTTCGATGTACGCATACGTATGCATAGCGCAATTACAGATCTTAGAAAACACGCAGAGTTAGGGTTTACTGTGGGTTGGGGATGGGCAAATTCTCCTTTCATTTCGTCTTCATGCATGGCATTTCAACCTGGTTTCATTATTTATTTATGCGATAACAGCTTAAACGCACAACCATGGCATTCTTTATCATAGCGCTATCGTCACATCTTATTTACCTTGCCAACCTTATTATTCTGCCTTGGTGGATATTATATCGCCTTGTGCATATGTAGGTGTAACGTGGCGTTATATCCACATATCTTGATCTACGGCAATATCGCCAGATGAAGATTAGAGTGATTCTTACGAATTGATTTCTTTTTTTTCTTTCTGTTTTGTTAATACAGTAACTAAATAGGGAAATAATATCAGTTGAAGAACCTCAGGCAGTGTAAATACATGTAAATGTGTGCTTTCGTCCAAATGAGGTATGACCCCCTTCATACAAGCCTTAGATGAAGCGCCCTTCACTCCTCTAGACGATCCTGAGATAGTGCACAATACAAGCTCCATAAGTTTCCAAAAAAAAAAAAGGGGTTAAGTTCGCCATGTCCAGATTCAGCTCCAAAGTTAACCTGTGTAGAATATGTCACAGGTATGTGATTGAGAGTTTGGTTTGCTGGGTTGATATGGGAGAATGGGTAAGAAGTAATATCAGTAAGCCCTCCAGCATGTAAGCCTCAGCCGAAAAAGCGTTCGTTCACTTCTTCTTCGAATTTTCCGAGCTCGCCAAGAAGGCAGCCACGGATCGATCGATTGCGTCTTTCATATTGACCTCCGGCCGGTAGCCCAACCGCTTTTTCGCCTTGGAGATGTCAAATGTGCGGGTCATGGTGAAGAATCTCACCATTTTCCGATTGAGTTTCGACTGCCGTCTCCCGAAGCTGGTGAGCCACACGGACCACTCAACCAACACGGCAATCGCGTAGAAGACAAAAGGCGGAACAACCCACACTTTCGTGACAGGATATCCGGCCGCAGCGGACACCGCATGAGCGAAGTCCCAGAACGGCCAGGGTTCATCATTGGTAATGGTGAATGCTTCACCATCAACTCGCCCATCTCGCGGCGTGGACGGGCTGAGCAGCGCTTTCGCAGCGAGAATATGGGCGTCCGCGGCATTGCCGAGATAGGTGTAGTCGCAGAGGTTCTGGTTATATCCGACTTGCAGCTTGCCGCGCCCTTGTTGCGCGTTCTCGATAATCTTAGGTATTGATGTGATATCACCCTCTCCAAACAAGATACAGCCACGTAGTGCTGCGGTTTTATACCCGTGTTTCCTGTTAGCAGCCAGAACCATATCCTCCGCCACTGCCTTGGTATGAGTGTAGAATTCCTTCTGTTCCGGCCAGTAGACCTTAGGCGCATCCTCCGTTCCGTTCACGATATCTGTATAGCTGTTGTGAACAACGGACGAGCTGGACGTATATACAACTGCTTTGACGTGGTCCGTATCACGGATGGCATCAAGCAGGATACGAGTACCGTCGATATTGACTTTTTCAAAAATTTCATTGCTGTTTTTCTGGTCCATCATAACGGGGGATGCGGTATGAAAGATGACCCGCGGTTTGGCATCCTGTAATACTCTTTGGACATCTTCCCGAGAAGTGATGCTGCCTCGAATGTAATTGACCCCCGGATAGTTGTTTCGGTCGATATTCAGGTCGAAGGACGTGATATCTGAGGCGGCCTTCTTCTCAAGCAGTCGCTTCACGATGTGATGGCCGAGGCCACCGCAGCCACCAATGACAAGCACGGGGTCCATATTGGAGATTCAAGTAAATATGGAAAATGCGACACGCAAAGTCGTTGCAATATAGACCAGGAACCTAGGAAAGTGAAGAGGACAGACAGAGAGAAGCTGCATAAGTACACTTTGCAGCCCTGGGCGAATGGCCTGTTATTATAACAATATATTAAAATTGCATATGTGCTAAAGGCGCCAGGATCGTGTCAGCGTCAGCCTGGTTGGCAACAGGGAGGTTACACGCCGGCTGACCCTTCGGGTCACTGAGCTGTCGGGTCACTGAGCTGACCAACGCTAGTTGTAGGGGAGGATAACGTTCTTGTTATCCTCCTACAGGTTATGGCCCTTAGAGAGCTACGAAGAACCGCTGCAATAACGTGCTAATAATGTCTCCACGTATCGTTAACGCGTGCCTAGACATTCTTTTGTGATAATTAGATCTGAGATCTGGTAGAACGCCTGCCTGATTTGATGAATGAATACGCACCGACGCGTAGAAGAAACCCGGTTGAAGGCAGGATGTCAGGCAATGCGGGTGACCAAAATGGTCAGAATGGTCGAGGGATACTGGTTCTGCAAGTGCAGAGACTTGTATGAGATTAGAGATTGCAAGACTAGAGCTTGAGATTGAGCAAATGAGAGCTAGAAGGATAAAGTCCTCAACTAGCAGCACTGAAGGGCTCAGTGCAGATCTGACAGAGTATCTGCAACAAAAGAGAAGAACTTCTGCATTGATGAGAATCCTTGGGGAATTCAGAGATCAGGTAACCCGGGTATGGCAGATTAACTAGTTATGGAAATTTGCTTACTATGTATATTATCCTGTTTTTTAGAGTTATTGCCATATGGGCACCTATTCCCAAAGGGGAAATCAGGGTCCGAATTCTGGATTTGAGCAAGGGGGGTCCCCGGACGGCAGAGCATGAGTGGATACTACGGCTACCCTATCACGTGCCCCCCAACCATATTGTGTTGCTCTCGCTCAGATAGCTAGTAATGACAACAACGTTATCTATTAGGCCACTAGGGCAAAAGAGCTCAATCACCACCAACGCCGTGGTGGTATAGAGGGTACGAATCACCCAATCCAATCCCTCCAACAAGTTGAGCTCCTTTTCAACTTGATCTCTTACAAGCTCTTACCAAGTTATCAACTGTTATCTTGCAGCCTCCCAGCCTATCAATATAGTTAATCATCAGTTATTAGATGAAGTGAAGCAATCTTTAGAAGTTATAACAATAAATATTTTGAAAAAAAGTATGGACTAGTCTGTGACTGGTTTTTGATTAGTTAGTAATTTAGTATATTAAATAATTTAAATAACTATACTCTGTATATTGAATTTGTATTGATATAAATATATATATTCAGATAAATATTCTCGAACGGTAGGTTGTTGGAATTCAAAATATGTGCCATTTGACCAGCGAACTTGACAGTGACAATGAACCAACCTTCCACCTTCGTCGGTTAGCATTATTGTTGATATCATATGTTGCAATCAGCGAGAGAGAGCTTTTCTTTTACCTTACAGGTCTTGATAATTATTGCATGCAAGGCTTTAACCTCCGATCCAACGAGATTAGAATCCAGCGATGTTTCTGCAAAAGCCCGTCTTGTGTGAATGAGACTTGATAGGTGGTTGGAAAGACTACTAGTATTTTTCTGTCTAAGGACGGCCTTCAGTAAAGGGATGGGAATAGGAAAGGAAGCACCGTGGTGTGTCTGCCTTGAAACAGCCAATGAAGGCAGCCACTATGTGAGTCAATACCTCTATCTCTATCTATGTCAGCCACTAACTCATCAGAAAACTAGTAACTAGTCCTACGAGAAATATTATAAATATCACAGGTTTTTGTACTACTATCGCTAGAAACAAGACCCAGATTACTGTCAGCAAGTCTGTTATTGTTCCCTTTCTTATTCAATCGATTTTTGGGGCAACTATAGAAGAGGCTTGAAATGAGAGTGAATCCGTTGTCAACTCACTCCTAAAGCCTCAGCCGGTGTGTAGTCATGGGCTTCCACCAAGTTCTACTTATCATGCTTTAATACAAGCTGTGATTAAGAGGAATCTGCGAATGATGTGAGGCTTGTTTTATTACGAATTTCAATCTTGAGATGTGAAATGTTTATTTATTTCATAGTTCGCATTTTCAAACTTGTCAAAGTCTGACAAATCAGAGTGACTGCGCGTGAGATGTGCTGGCGCTGGGCACGTCTACCCGGAGTACATGTAGTATATATGGACATTCGGTATTGATATTAGACAAGTCTGTTGGATCCACGGTTGCAGAGCGGACGGATTAAGGTTATCTTATCAGATAAAGATTAGATTGATATGGGAACTTTAATTCCTCCATAGATGGGTACATGGACATACACTATACATTATATATCACCGTATGTAGCGCAACGGAGGGACGACGTCAGGGAGGATACGTCACGTATAAATCAATCACTAGGTACGTGGATTGGTGGGGTGGGCAATAACTGCAATTTAACTACGCAGAAACGCTCAGTCTTAACTTTCACCGACTCTGAAATCGGAGACAGCTACAATGCTATAGAACTCCCCGAGTGTGAATACATTTATATGAAAACACAGTTTAAACTGGATTTTATACGCTATGCTCCCATCCTTGGCAAATTCCACGGAACCCACTCAAGGTCGGCGATAGAGGTCTGGTAATTGGTGATTGTCGCCTGAATCTCACCTCTTTTTTCGGTATGGTTATGCATGTTTTGAATTTTTGTTAGGCGAACCATGTCTTTGGGAGAAGTTCTTCCACAGTATACTGTACTGGAGGAATGATGTCCGCGAACCTCATAAAAAAATTGTCAACGGAGCCGTAAGGATGTCACCTTTGCTTGGAAGTTCAACTAATTATGTGGGGGGGTTGACAAATAAACTAGTTAGTGGCTTGGTGGGGACCCTTGAGGATAACCAACTAGCTCAGCCCGAAGACATACGCTGTAAATATCAATAATTCTTCCGGGAGTCTAGGCAAGGATTTGGCCGACTCAACCGGGATTGGCGAATACATGAATTTTTCCATGAATCCATCTTACAATGATCTCTTTTGTATTTTTCCTGCAAGAGGCTGTTTATATAGGTAACTCAGGAAGTTCAGGGAAAAAAAACGAAGGTAATGATAGCCATAATATAAGATTCTGCTGTCGAAGTCGTTCGCAGCTCAACTTGAATGATTTCCAGTGCAGTATCCGATGCCGGGGTGTGCCGAACAGCGAAGTTAACCGAATGTGGAAGGTATGGGCGCGTGCGGGTGGATCTGATAAGACGGATTTTCCCTTGCCAAGTTGTCTCTCTCCGCCGCCGTCTAGGATTCTTTATCAAAATATCAACAATAATGGCGCAGGTTCGTAACAAGTGCCCGCAATCAGCCCCCAACGAAAATTACTATCGTACAAAACGAGAGGTTCATTATTATTTTACTTTTAGTCAATCGAGCATATAGAGATCGAGCAGCGAACGGGGTTCTGGTTCTAGCATTGGAGGAAAATTTGTTGTATGGAATCAAGTTGTATTTGCATTTACGAACTGCAACTTCATATATACGAACCAAAGCCCATGGGCGTCATCGTTGACCTGTCTTCTATGTCTGCATATCATCTCTTTCAATCCCCCCGTTGTCTTTTTCCCATTTTGAACGCACGATTCAAGGGAGGTTGCCTTTCAAGGGCGTGCGGTGTCAACTGTTCTGGTTTAATGACAGAGATGAGCCAACGGAGCGGGTTGCCGTCCACTTAAGTAAATTCCCGAGAATCGGAGCCGGGCTTCGGGTGTCCATTCATTTCCCTTCCAGGTGTGGAGGTAACAAACAATCATTGGTGATGGTTAGGGTGGTGGATGCTAGTCAAAACCGGGTAGCTGATATCACGATGATGGGAATTTCTGGGGGCGCTTCGAGCTGAAAAATGGGGTGAATCTAGAGTCTAGATAGCATGTAAATGGTGGTTAATGACGAAGAACTATTAATGCTGGCCCAAGATGATGTTTGTGGAGAGCGTTTATGTGTGACGCAGAGTGAGCTGAGAGAGATGAACACCGCAAAGGCGCTGTTATCCAAAAAGGTAAAAAGCAACCCAGAATTATTTTCTACTTTTTCGAACGCACGAAGAATACAAAGGGTAAACCCGCGTCAACTAAAGATGGGCCTCGTATCAATGGCGTCGGGGGGTTAGATAGGCCTGGAGCAGCAAACCCCGGGCATGAGCTTTAGCTGAAGGAAAATGAAATATAACCTAGCAACTTACCCCAAACCGTAAACTCCACTCCGCCACAAGATCCAAATTTCAACTTTTTCTTCGTTTTCTCAACATCCGCTGCTCGTACATAATATGCCCCGACTCTCCACTCTCAAGAAACACACTTTCCCTTGATGTTATCCGTATACAGTAGCTGATCGCACTTGTCACCTCCTCTGTATTTGGCTTAATAACAACCGCTGCATTTCCTTCGCCACCGTGTTACCCTCTGAAGCGACTCCGTTCACATCCAAACCTCCGCCGTCCGCTCCTCTCTCCTCGCCCACGTCTCTCCTCCCTTCAGACACCGTGAGGGTCCAAGTAGAGCCAGGCAGCTCCGGCTGCTCAAACCCGCCTTTCATGGCATCTCCAGACAGTGTTCCGGCTGAAGAATATGAGTATGCTGTTTTTCTTCGTTGTCCCATTCCCGCATCAATAAACGAGGAATCCGCTTTTGTTTTCGGCCCAAAAAATTTCTTTTTTTCTTCTTCGAAGGCCCATCTTTCAAATGTTTTACCTCTTCAAAGCTAACGTCGCCGATTTAACTTGTTTTCTCTGGATGTATCTAGCTATGAAGCCCTCCCGCCAGAATACTCCCTTGGACGTAATATGTTGGCTGGTGCTTCGCAGGCATTGCGGTATGTGCTTGGTGACCAGGTGTTTCCTGAACGGAAAACAACGTTTTGTGCACTCTTTGCTCCACGATATCAACCAATTGCATCGGAGCTGACAATTGCATTGTAAAGGAACACTCTGTCATGTATCCGGTTGACTTGCTCAAGGTAGGCATCTATTCTAGCTCTTTTCTTTTTCTTTTTTCCCCCACTCCTGTTCCCATCTCGATTTTCTTTTCTCCGCGGGGGGCTGTAACATACCTGTTAGCTGTCGGCTGAAAAATCATTACATTTCCTGCTGTCCCCGAGTGGTATGTGCAGAACCGTATAATTGCACCAAATTTACTGACTGCATTCTGCTTTATGTAACGTTCTAGACTCGAATGCAAGTGTTAAATCCATCTGCTGGCGGGCTGTATACGGGCCTCAGCAACGCTGTCACAACGATCTCCCGGATTGAGGGCTGGAGGACTTTATGGAGGGGTGTGTCGAGTGTGATTGTGGGTGCTGGTAGGGAAAATCCCGAATTGCACTATCCATATGAAAAGCACGTGCGACGAGGATCGTCTTCGTGGATTTCAATTTCCTATGAAAAATGGGTACTGATTTGGAAATTTCTTCGAGTTAGGTCCTGCTCATGCTGTTTACTTTGGAACATATGAAGTGGTTAAGGAGCTCGCGGGAGGCAATGTTGGAAATGGCCATCATCCATTCGCGGCCGGTACGCATCCGCCCCCCAAGCAGCTCTTCTAATTCGCTGGGGGAACCAGAATATATCGCCATTGGGAATCTGCAATGGTGGTCGACTATGCATTGTGACTGACATGCGTTCTAGGATTGAGCGGAGCCTGTGCCACAATTACGAGCGATGCCTTGATGAATCCATTTGACGGTATGCCAAAACCCCAAGCCACGAACAGATCCGCCTATCTTGAAATTTTGCAATGCTGATGCATTAAACTCTTATAGTGATCAAGCAACGCATGCAGGTCCACGGCTCCGCGCATAAGACCATGATCCAATGCGCGCGTACCGTCTACCGCAGCGAAGGAATTCGAGCATTTTACGTCTCCTACCCCACCACGCTATGCATGACGATTCCATTCACGGCCACCCAGTTCATAGCCTACGAATCCATCTCGAAAGTCATGAACCCTTCAAAGGCTCACGATCCCTTCACCCACTGTATCGCTGGTGGATTGGCTGGTGCTGTCGCTGCTGCCATTACCACCCCGCTTGATGTGATCAAGACAGTGCTACAGACCCGGGGTACTGCAGAAGATATTGAGGCCCGTTCTGCTCGCGGCCTGTTTAACGCGGCGGGAATTATCAAACGCCAGTATGGCTGGTCTGGATTCATCCGCGGAATACGCCCAAGAGTCATTGCCACCATGCCCAGCACCGCTATCTGTTGGTATGTTGCGCTCGATTTGTTTTATACATATATATATATATATTTTTCAATTCTGCCTCCGTTTCCTCATGCCTTATCTACCGAATTTATCTTTTAACAGTTTAAAAATGACCAGGACTTCATACGAAATGGCCAAGGCATACTTCAAGCGACAAACCGTGTCCGAATCGCTCACGTGAATACCGACATCCTCGACCGTTTGGTTTTGTTGTTTAACTTGCGACTCCCTACAATCGATTGACCCATCATCATCATCATTATTATCTGCGCACGCGAGAAACAACACAACACTTGCGTAGAGCAGCACACACTGGCAAGCACAGCTTTCTGAAAGAAGAAAAGTCCATTCCGCGGTCCTCCCCTTTTTGTTATCTTTTACTCTTCGCTGTATGTGTCTTTTTCTCCTACTCGTTTATCATATTTGCAGTTACCCCAAAAGAAAGGATGCGTGATTCACGCTTGCCCCTGGTTAGATCTTTGCCTTCGGATTGGTTTTATTTTTTAATTCCCCCCCCAGTTTCTCATTGCGCGAGCACATTCCATATTTTCTTGCTTTATTTTCTTCTTCTTTATCTGTACTTTTTTTCGCTTTTCTTTTTCCTTTTTTTTTCCCTTAACCTAACCGATCGCAATACGTATTAGTGGGGCGTTTTTGGGCACGGGAAAAGAACGGTTTTTTTTCTTCTGGTAAACGCCGGGACAGCGAGTGGCATATCTCGTTCTTTCAACAGAACATCTACTCTGTCTCTCTTCGGCCGTTCCCAAATACCTTGTCATGTGTTTTGTCATGATTTTTGTTCTTTTTCTCTTCATTAATGGGGGGTTTCATTATCATCTCATTTTGATCCAGTGCATCTTCTTTTTTTTTCGCTTCCCAAGTTGGTACTATTTATTTTCGTATTTCGTCTTATTTCATTTTTTCTCTTTACCATGATATCTCATTTCTTCCTTTCTTTTCAACACACTCTCTCCTCATCCTTCTACTTTCCGTCTGGCGAATTATGTCTGTCCATTTACCGTGTCGATTTGGAGAAATAAGCAGATGGCATTGCATTTCGTTGTTTTATTTTTTCCCAAAATAACACTCATAGAGTTGAATATGGGCGAGCGGCTTCTTAGAGACATTCTTAATGCCCACGATGCTGTCTCCGAGGCTATTTTTTCTAAACATCTACGTTTATATATATTCCTGCTTGAACGCTCGTTGTCCGGTTGTCTTTGCCTGTTTCTTTCCATCTAGGAAGAGATCGTATTGGGTGGGCATTTGCAGTTTTTGCGGTTTCTTGCGGTTTATTTATTTATTTTTTTATGCAACCAATTGAATAGGGCTTCTTTCTGGGCGGTTGCAGGTGTACCCGTTTAAGTATATCCGCTGTTATTTTCCCCTTTATTAGTCTTTTTCATGATAATTGGACCATTCGAGATTTTTTTCCTGAAATGCACGGAAAGGGTATGTGTATAGATATTGAGCAGGTTGCCTCGTGGTTTTTTTGAATTAAATAAAGGCTTTCGTTAGGATTATTAAATCAGAACTACAGTCAGATGTCAGACAGCCAGTATATAAGATAAATGTAAGTGTTGATGTAGATAGCTTTCCGCTGATCCCGCCCACATCACCAGCTGTCAGAATCCATGACGGATGCCAACTTGTCCGGCAGCTTCATGGCCTGCAGAATTCCAATCTCAAACAAGTATCTACATGCACCAATTCCTCCCCGCTCCCAGGGCATCTCACCAACCTCACCCGAATAATTGGTTACTAGTCTCCCCGCTGCAGGCGGAGGAAGCTCCGACGTCCACGGCGGAACAGGTCACGGGTCTAGAACCACCAAAGTTGAATCTCCCCTCCTCCATTGACCAACAACCAGGACCCCCCGCCGTGATCGCCAAATACCAAAAGAAATTAAAGCGAAGCTGCAAGGACAGTCAGCTGTGGAAGATCACCCGGAACAAATCAGTTTCTTACTTTCTTTACACCCCGAAGGGCAAATAGGCGCAAATTTTTCGCATATTGCGATAGCCTCAGGCTGTTAAGCTTCACATGGCGAGATTGGCCCTACCCCCTCTGTCGGGCTAAATGATGCGTTCCAAACCCTCGTCTGCGATGCAGAAAACTTACGATGAATGCTACCTGATGTGCTCAACGGCGGTGTTTTTTGAAGGCCAGGTGCGTGTTGAGTCTGGCTTGGTTGCATTGGCGGCCTCTTGTCACAATGCTTTTCCCAGAGCCCCCACCCTTAACCTGTGGTTTATAATATACCTCCCTCTTCTCTCCTGTAAATTGCTTCAAGCTGACTTTTCCGGTCTCCTGTGCTATCTAGAATAATGAGGCGGAAGCTCTTAGATCATGGCGCTCCGCCCTCCAAACGTTAGAGCACCACAACGCTTATAGAATGTCCAAACATTATGTCCCCAAGACTGAAACTGAGAAGGCCCTCCACGATTCGCTGCGCGACTTGGAGCTGCAATGCAAGGAGCGCATAGATTTGTTAAATGCACTGAGTGAAAGCCGTAAGGAAGCTGGCTTCCTGCAGGTGGCGCCGAGCGCATCCCTTGGGGAACAGGAAACTGGGAAGGTACAGCTGAACGGAACCGGTGCGGTGTCTAGCTCGCCCACGACACCCGGCTGGCTTGCAGATGGCACAGTACCGTCATTTACTTATGCGCAACTCTCACGGCCACCTTCACGAGCCTCTGCTCCTGTGTCCAACAGGAGAGCGTCATTGCCACAGAGACCGAGCGGAGATTCGCTGCTCAGACAACGATCAAGTGAGAAGCCCGCTCATGGATGCAACTCGACTTCCCTATCTCCGTCGTCTCCTCAATCATCTTCACCATCGGTAAATACACTGTCGAGAATCTCAAGCCCGGAAAAGAGAACCATGTTAACGACCTTACGGACCAAGGACCCTAAGATGAGCTCCAGTTCGAGGGATAAAGATACCGGTGAGCGGACCGAACGAGCTGAGTCCCGGCCTGCACTATCGGCATCTAGAGCTGCGGGTTTAGCATGGAGTTCTATTTCCCGCTTGTCCAGGTCCGGTGCTGCAACAACTACACCTAAGAAGAATCCAGCAGTCGATCCCAGCTCGCGGAAGGGTCTTTTTTCCAGTAGCGACATGTCTAGACAGACCAAAACATCCTATCTCTCAGACTATCTCCGGTCGTCTAGTCCAACGGGATCGCCACAGCAGTCCCGAACTCAACAGCCTGGCTCATCAAGCACTCTTGCCGCTGATGCGGCTGCTACGGCCCTCCACACATCCAATTCCGACCTTTTGATAGACCTGTCCGAACCCCCACCTCCCATAAGCCGTACAACTTCGAATACGAAAGGCATATTACCCAGCACCCCAACACCGTTCCCACCCCCAAAACCCAAATTTCAATCCGATTATTTAAATCTAGGCGGGCATCCGGAGGAAGGGCCACCTTCAGGATGCGGCGCCACGTTCGCTCAAGGAAATAATCCCATCTCCACTTTGCCGCCCCAGCTACTTGGAAATAATACTGGTGAGGGATACATGACTCCGATGAAACCTGCGACAAGCACGACGACACCTGTTCCTCAATATAAGGGTCGCGGTTCGAGTTATTCGAATTCCCAATCATCGGTCGGTAATGACGATGCCTTGTGCAGCACGCTTAGCAGTATGCCCATCAACACTGTCCGTACATCTTTAATAGCGCGGGGGACCAAGCCCGAGGTGTCGGGGGCAGAATTCCATACTCAACCAAACAACTCATTGTTACCGAAGCAACACGTTTCATCAGATACGGCAGAATGCAGTAGAAGCATTGAAAATGTCATGAAGAACCTCCCCAAGGGCATTGATGAGAACGCAGCACGGCAAATCCTAAATGATATAGTGGTTAGAGGAGACGAAGTCCACTGGGACGATGTTGCTGGGTTGGAAGTTGCTAAGAACGCACTCAAAGAAGCCGTCGTATACCCTTTCCTACGTCCGGATCTATTCAGTGGGCTCCGTGAACCTGCTCGAGGAATGCTCCTCTTTGGGCCTCCGGGAACGGGGAAAACGATGCTTGCCCGATCCGTGGCTACGGAATCTCACTCCACCTTTTTCTCCGTGTCCGCATCAAGCTTAACATCAAAATGGCATGGTGAGAGCGAGAAACTCGTGCGTGCTCTTTTCGGACTGGCAAAACACATGGCTCCATCTATCATCTTCGTTGACGAGATCGACTCCTTGCTTTCCGCGAGGTCCGCGTCTGGCGAAGCAGAAGTGTCCCGACGAACCAAGACGGAGTTCCTCATACAGTGGTCGGACTTGCAACGAGCAGCGGCTGGGCGGGAGCAAACGGAGAAAGAGAAGAAGGATGGCGATCCGAGTCGGGTGTTAGTTCTTGCTGCGACGAATATGCCGTGGGATATTGATGAGGCTGCTAGGCGGCGGTTTGTGAGGAGACAGTATATCCCGTTACCAGAACCAGGGGTGCGGAAGATGCAAATTGAACGCTTGTTGAGCCATCAGAAACATGATCTATCGAGTGAGGATATCGAGACTCTTGTTCAGGCTACTGATGGTGAGTCTTTTGCCTGACACATCTGTCATGTTTCCTCCCATCTATATATAACCCAACCCATTTTTAAAACAATCATCTTTGCCTAACCAAGTGACAAAACAATAGGCTTCTCCGGCTCCGATATCACCGCCTTGGCCAAAGATGCCGCCATGGGCCCGTTGCGCAACCTAGGTGAAGCCCTCCTATATACTCCCATGGACCAGATCCGGCCCATCCACCTCGCAGACTTTGAGGCGTCGCTATGTTCTATACGACCTAGTGTTAGTCGCGAGGGCCTCAAGGAGCATGAGGACTGGGCAAAGGAGTTTGGTGAGAGAGGCGGTTAGGGGCCCAGGTAGGGCCTTGCTTTTGCCTGGTTCATTGGGCTTTTTGGGTATTTTGTATCATAATCTCATTATGGCCGGAGACTGCACTAGCTTAGCTTTGGTTTTCCTTCTCTCTTTATGTATTCCCGCATTGTGGGTGTTCGTTTACCATTTATTTGTTATATTTTATTCTGGCAGCTTTGTCATCCCGTCAGATATCTGTATATATGGATGCGCCCTTTTGCGTTGAGATGTCCTCGTTTTCTTCATTTTTGTATTACCACCCTTTCCTGCCCGTTGTCTGTACAACCTTTCTACATCTGAGAAGTGCATCGATGTGCCTCGATGTTACATGTACGGGAAAGATGGGTGACACACAGTTTTCGTTTTACATGATTTTAAAGTTGTGGTATGTCTTCCTGGGCTTAGAGAAAAGGTTTATCGTTCTAATATCGGCATTGGCTTTTCTGGGGAAAGTTCCGGGTGGTCTTTTTATCCACTTCCGGACCCTAAATAAGTGGACAAAATACATGTATAGTGAAGAAAAGGAGGCAAATCGCCAAGGTGTATATACCAAGTAACAAAGGAACGAAGTGTATGAATTCTTGAAAAAGGGGAAGAAGTGGTGTCGTCCAAACACTATATAACCGGATGTATTGTACTGTACATTGTTGCAAAATAAAATCGAGAGATAGCAAGAGAAAACGATAACCGTCTTGTACAATTTTTATAAGTATGCTTACTTGATCCTCACCAACCGTGCCTCTTTCCCAATAGCATCCATACATCCGTTCATTCAATCTCTCAGCCCAAACAAAAATAACTCTCCAGAACTCCCACAACCCAACCCCGGCTTACACCGCCCCCCATTTTTAAGTCCCACGCTTCTCCTTCTCGATCTCCAATCTCTTCCGAACCAGCCTCTTAATCCTACCAATTCCAATAATCTTCTCCGCCTTCTCGTCTCTTTCCGCCTTCAACGCCTCCCGCTCAGGCCGACTAAGGACCCGGGGTCTCTGATCCACCGGCACGCCGAACGGCGCCACAATCCTCTCCACGACGTGGCGCACATTCTTGCTCGTCCGCCACCCGCTCGAAAACTCAATCACGTCGCCCTGTCGCAGCGAATTGCAAGGGTCGCTGACTAGATAGACCGTGCTGGCTGGGTAGGATTTGTGAAGCTTCTTGTGGAAGGTTGTGTGCTTGTGCAGGACGCGGACGGTTTTATCCATCCGGCCGGCGGTGAGGACGGTGCCGAATTTTAGGGAGTAGCGGGTTAGGGAGTTGCGGGGTGGGGTTGTGTTGGCTGGTGGTGTTGATGCCAGTGGTGGTGGTGACACGGGCGATGAGGATTGGACTGCCTGTTCCCGGGATTGCTTGGAGGTGGTGAAGGTTCGGAGAGCTATTTGGCGGTTGCCGGGCCTCAATTGCACGGTTGATATTATAGAGGAAAGCGAGGCGAAGGGATGGAGTGTTGCGCGATTGCTCGGGATAAAATGAGATGAGTACGCGGAGGCACGGAAAAGGACGGTGTTTGGAGTCATCGTTGCGTTGTTCGGGCCTTAGGAGGCCACAAAATTTCCCTCTTATGGCGATACACTCTCAGTCAGAGGATGTAAGGGGCATATTAGTCGGATCCTCAGAGTCTCTGTCTTTTCTGGCCGTAATTGAGGTTTATGATATGGGTTGTTCACTAAAAGGACACCACGGTATGAATATGGCTTTGGGTTGGTCCTGCGGAGTCCAATTGGGCGGATTACCCCTTGCGCGGAAACCACTCGAGATTGTGGACAATCTGAAAATGGGGCTTTAATTTGAGAATGTGCTCTTCATGTTTCCACCCCAATAAGTTCTCTGGTTGTCGCTGTCGCTGTCGCTCTCGCTCTCAGACTTTGGGAGAAATTTGGGATAAGTTCAAGATCACGTGTATTTGTTCTGTTTGCATTGAACGTTTATGTACAGATAAGGATGTGCCAGATATGCATATGTACAGTAGAAGAAAGAAAGCACGCCTGAATGGCAAACCACTGCTTCATAACTCAAGGAGGTTAAGTTTCAAGATAAAGATAGATTGGGAACAGAGGAATAGCTTTTTAATAGAAGCAAAAGAAAACAAAGACAACGAAAGAGAGAGAGAAACAAACAGGCCTCAACCCCAACGAATAAACCCACCAGCTGAGCAGAAACAAAAAGGGAAGAGAAACAAATAGGCTGCGATTAATTGCTATATATAAACTCGACAAAGCCCTTGTTCCCTTTCCACTTCGAAATACAGGTTGCGCTCCGGGTAATGCTGTTTCGGTAAAAGTATTTTAAACTCGTAGCTATTCATATTCCGTTCTCAATTGAACGTAACTTTATCTTTCGGTGTCCTAACAGATCTTCACTTTTTATTTTCATTTTTTGTAGTATCATACACGGGAATGGAAGGCACAACCGCGTCTTTAGCCATCTCCTCGGGCACCTTTGAGGATCTCCTTAGCCTGAGCTTTTTCTCTCCGTGTTCTGAAATTCTCGTAAGCTCAGAGACGAAAGATTGGCCCCAGAAAGCACTATAAATGGTTAAAGGTGCAAGTTAGCCACGGTGGCCAATCCATGAAGCACATTCCTTGTCGTGGCCAAGTAGTTAGTGGCAATGGGAGGACGAACCTTGTGTATTTCGAAACATATTTATCAAGTTTGGAAAAATTTAAGGTTCTCTGTTCATCACTCATCGTTACGGCCTCCTGGAAGGCGTTGGCGAGCTCCTCCGTATTCCATGGGTTGACAATGATGCTGCCATTGAGACTCTGCGCCGCACCGGCAAATTCTGATAAAACTAGGCATCCATGACGTTTCTTCTGGGTTGCTATGTATTCGTAAGAAACAAGATTCATACCATCCCTGGTCGAGGAGACCACACAGACGTCCGAAACGGCGTAGAGCGCAATTAGTTCGTCGAAGTTAACTGATTTGTGCATGAAATGTATTGGCATGAATTCAACGGTGCCTTGGCCAAATCGTTAGAATTTATGTCTCCCGGGTTAAGTTCACCCTAGGTTGGTGGGATGAACGTACCAAATTTACCATTGATTCTCCCAACAAGCTCATTGACAACAGCTCTCAAGTTCTGGTATTCCTCCACGTCTTGTCTGCTGGGAACAGCAACCTGTACCAGCACCACTTTGCCAATCCACTCAGGGTGATCTGTTAGGAAGACTTCAAGAGCATGTAATTTTTGCGGAACACCCTTTATGTAGTCTAGCCTATCCACCCCGACCATTAACTTGACCCCTTGGAACTTTTGCTCGAGAGCAGTTATCCGTTTCTGCACCTTCTCCTTTTTAAGACCTTCTGTAAATTTCTCCGGATCAATACCGATAGGGAACGCGCCCACTGCGATGATTTTGCCTTGAAATTCCACACCGTTTGGAGTGGTCGATAAGCCACTGTTCACTGGTATTAGCGAAAAGGGATGGATATGCACTAAAGTCGTTGGGGAGTCCCCTACAGTATTCTCGAACAACTACTTAAGAAGTGTCGTGCATAGTCATAGGTATGGAATCCAATCAAATCACAGTGCAACACTCCTAGTAGCAGTTCGTTCCGGACAGGCAAGATTCGATATATCTCACTGCTGGGGAAAGGTGTGTGCAGGAAGAATCCGATCTTCACATTCTTTTTTGACGTTCCGATTTCTTCGCGTAGCATTGCTGGCAGCAACATTAAATGGTAGTCGTGGACCCATACAAGGTCACCATCCTTCACATCATTCGCGATAGCCTTAGCGAAAAGACGGTTTGCATCTCGATACGCGTACCACGCGGACTCGTCAAAAGTTATTTCCCCCGGATGGTAGTGGAAAAGTGGCCAGAGTATAGAATCTGGGGGCGCAGGTCGTAGGAATGAAATCAGTTATGAAATCATGCAAGATCGGGACAGCATTGAACCTAGCGAAACTCGGGGAATAATCCCTTACTTGAAAATCCGTTATAATGTCTATCCGCCAATTCATCATCGATAAGCACAGGAACTGCATCGTACTCATCGGACAATCTTTTTTTCACCAAATGGATTTCATCCTCTGGCACTTCTAAACCAGGCCATCCGTACCATTGGAACGTCGTTGATTTCGATAACCCACTCAGTCCACTGACAAGACCGCCCGACGACATCGAAAACTCATACTTGCCATCGTCGGATCGTTTGATTGTGATGGGTAAGCGATTGGAGACCAGGAGCAGCCTTGCACCCTCCTTGAGGGGGCTCTCCAGAGACGGCATGGTGTAAAATTCCGAAATTAGGATAAGAATAATATCAGTTCATGAACGCCTGCGCTTTGGTTTGGTTAGGGAGGTGGGACGGCTGCGCCGGGGCATATATTGGAATCAACACAGCCGGTTGGCTATTGATTTTTTTTTTTTTCAACGAATTAGTATATATAACGACAATACAATACAAATCGCAGAAAGAATCTGCATTCGTTTTGAAGCTACAAGACGATAGGTGATAAAGCGGAAGGGGGATGCGGGGAATAGTTTTTGCTATGGCACAACATCCAGCAATAATAAAAAAAAGGTCCCACGTTTACGTACCAGTTTGCCATGGAGCGAAAACGGTTTATACAGGAATTATCGACCAAGGTACGACGCGCTGCTTTAGCACCACTTACTTGGCAGCAGAAGCGACCCAGGAATGAGAGATAAGACGTAGTTATTGGGTTGGAGCTCAATAATGAAGCATTGCAAGAACAAGGAACAACGCGAGAAGTTCACAAGCGGGCAGGACCACACGTCACAGAGCCAGGCGAAGTAGGCGAAGGAAGCGGGCGCGAGGACAAGACAGCGGGATCCGGGGACATGGCAGGGAGACGGGTTCCATCGACGGAATGTTGGATGTTGTGTCGGCGCTCGACTGCAGGGAAACTGGCCAGCATCCGACGCGGTCCTGACGTCGTTTCCGAGTTCAGACATCCGCGGCCAGCCCTAACTCACTACTTCGAAGCTTAATAATAGCGGTAACCTCGTAGTTAAATTAGATCCAAATGCACTGCACGAAACTGCTCATATCTCTTCCCACGGAAGCTTGTTGTGACATACTCCTATATTGGTAGACTAAGTTGTGATCAAAGTATCTACTTCTCTGGTCGAAACGTAATGACGCAATTCAAAGCTGAAAAGCGCATACAATCTGATATCTGCATGTGCTGCACATAATGGCAAACGGATTTAAATTCATTACAATGAGAAATAAATCATAATGCCGCCTTCCCGCCCCTAACCATCCATTTCTCCGACTCTCCATCGCGGATTACCTTGCCTTCACCCTCGAGCTTTAGCAGCACCTGGAGTACCCCATGCGAAGCCGACAAGCGTAGTTCCTCCGCGAGATCAGGATAAATAACTGCTACCAAGTCGGCAGGCGACAACGCCCGAGGTTTACCTTGCGCTGCTGTCGCGGCCCTGACATTGCCATTACCCAAACCTCCAAAGTTCAACACTCGAAATACTTCTTCCTCCCTCTGGCGGCGATGGTCAATGTATTCCGTAATCTTGGCTTCACAGTCTTCGATCACGGCGCCATGCCCCGGATATCCTCTGCCAGCACCAAGGTTACGCATCTTTTCCAGTGTGGACAGGTACAGGACAAGGTTTTCGAAAACTGCCGTTCCATGGCCAAGCACGTCTACAGCAGAGAAATATCAGACATGCCACAAAAACGAAGAAGAAGAAGAAAATAAAGGGGGGAGGGGGGAAGGAAGAGGTTTCACAATTTCCAGAAAGAAGGAGAAAACAGAGCTAACTTACTATCACCGGTAAACAACGCATTCTCGTCCTCCAACAAAAAGGAAACATGGTCAGTCGTATGGCCAGGCGTATGTATAGCTCTCAGCGTGGCGCCTTGCACCTGGAAAATCTGTCCATCTTCAATAGTCAACTGACCCTCTCGGCCATCATGCTTATACACTTGCGCCTCCGGGCACATCTTCAATAAATCCGCGACGCCGCCGACATGGTCGCGATGCCAGTGTGTCAAAAGCGCATGCTTGACCGTAGCCTTCTCGGCAGCTAGGAGCTCTCTGAGCACAGCGGACCAGCTGGGTCGGCCTTCGCCTGTGTCTATTAGAAGACGTTGAGCTCCCCGACCAACGAGGTAAGTGTTTGTGCCTGATATTTTCATTCATTTTTCGCATAGTTCGACGATATGGCATTTGTCAGCGTTTCAGTAGCCGAAGACAGCGAGTTTTCCGGCCCTGCGTGGGTTGTAGAATTCGGGATATTGAGGTCCGTTCTCACCTTGCAATGTGTACTGGAGCAGGAACAATGAGATTTGGTTAGCGTAATTGCAATCGCTAGTTATACAGTGCCATATCGTGGTTTCTGAGCCATTGTTGGATTGCGCCCGTACTCGCTCAATGGGGTGAGATGTAGATTAGATAGGCAGAGTACACAGTTAACTCACCTTCCCGGGATTCCCTGCAAGCAACCTAATAACCGATCCGCTCAACCTTTCCACCTCCGGCAGTGGAAATCGCTGCGCCGCCATTTTTTTTTTTTTTTTCAATAGTTATTTTGATTTTAATTGTTGAGAATAAAGCATATGTGGGAAGTAATAAATGTATTTTTCACCCCGGTCTCTTTAAACAATATTGGGAGATGGTTTGTATTTATTGTTCCCTTGGAACCTTTTTCTTGAGAAGCACCAGCTAACAATCCACAAGGGAAAATTCCTGAAAATAGGCAGGCTCCGGACAGGGGGGCGTTTATTCTGTATGTATGCAAAAGTCTACGTAAAAGGAGACAAAGTTAAGCAAAAAATCGAAATATCAACCCTTGATAAATAAAAAGGCTTTGACGAGAGATTTATATGAATGAAGCTCGGTTATTGTCTCTTCAGCCTGACGGCTCCATTTGCTAAGAGAGATCGAAAAAGAAGAAAAAGAAAAAAGTTGGGAAGAATATTGCAAAAGTATCGCGGGAAAGCACAGCAATATAAGTCAGTAACTGAATGGTTTAGAGAGACGACGCAGAAGAGGGGGACATGGGAGAAAACGAGAGACAAACTCATAGCCGGGTAACAATGGAGTATAATATAACGAATGATTACCGGGTTTCAAAGTACTTCCCATCCACGGTTCTTCATCCGAGAGCAAATAGTAAATCCCAATCGCATTTTTAAATAATACTAGTATGGGTTGTCCCTTTGGATTTCTTTTCATTATCAGCTTTTTTATTCATCATGATCCGTATCAGTATCAATGTGAAAAACAAACAAGGGCCCCCCGGGGGCGGTAGCATCTTGTCTGAACCTCGGCATTTCTGCTCTAGAAATCCATATACAAGGAGCCACTTCGTTTTTTCTTTTGAGTGGCCTTATATATATATATATATATATATATTTGCGAGCCATTTGTCTGTCCACTTTGCTCTTGAATCGTCGCCTGTCTTGTTTAAAGTTCCGAGGAAAGTCGGTCTGAGTTAGAAGATTGTCTTCTGAGCACGTAAGGAATGATATCTCAGGTGCTATTTTTTTTAATTTGGAATAATAAAAGCGGGTATTTTGAAATACAGCGAGTGTGTGAAGCCTGATACCCCTTTTCTTTCTCTTCTTTTGAACCTTGTTACTCGATGACCCTAGATATAAGGCTTGATTATATTGTTTTCCCAAATTCTGGGACACTGCTATTATTTTCCCAATAAATCTACAGAATGCAAAAAAAGAAAAAAGGGAAGCGAATCGATATATAAAAGGACACGTAGAAATCGAATATGAGAGAATATCATGTTAAAATAACGGATAATATTTATGTATAGTTAACATATGTACTGTTGTATATATATGTGAAGAAATCATAAGCAAAGTGGTAGACCAAGACAAAAGGAAAAAGGAAAGAAAGTCACATCAAAAAATTTGTGTTGATTTCATTACATTTCCTGAGACGATAATGAAAATAATACGAAACAGGTAGAGGAATAGCACGTAAAAAGGAACTGGACCGACTGGGTAAACATAAAACTTAATCGAAGGCGCGAAGGTTCGGGAAAATTTGGGTTGGTAGGGTATAGGATGGAGTTTTGGCGAAGTGAAGGGAATGGATAGAAAAAAATTGGGGTGGGGAGGGGGGCTGATGAGAGAGGAAAAAGTGAAGAATGTGACGTAGTTGTAACAGGTCCCTATTTTGGATATCCAACTGCGAACTAAACCGTTTCAACTCCCAGTCGATGCGATGTGTTAATATCCACCCTCTTGGCATTGCCGCTCGCGTCTGATCGATGAAAGCAGGACGGACGGGCGTTTCCTCTTCGAGAAATGTTTTCGCTTCGTATTTGCCAATGCGTATTGCGGGAGAGAAGATCATCAAAGAGTAAACCCGCTAAATCGTACCTAGGATGCTGCTGTTTGCGGCGACGAGGACGGGTAATGACCCTACTGCGCTCTTCACCGCAATGCACTAGCATTTTGGCCTAGGTTCCCTGCTTTTCTCCTCTAGGCTCGTAACATTTCGTTGTCCAACACCCGACAACAATGCCTCCCACCCAAACCTTTCGCTGTCCAAGATTTTATCCGTTCTCTTCATGCCTTATATAGAGAGAAAAGCAAAATATGGGGACATATTCATACATAAACAAGGGATGACGACACTGCAAATACCAACGCTACCAACTTTTCTTCACAGGCCTTAAGAGTTTTTCTTTGATGAATAGTCGGAAATGAAACCAAAATATTTTCTAAGCACGCTGCTTGGCCATGGTGTTCAGGGCGCTTCCGTCCTTGAACCATTGGATCTGAGACTCGTTGAAGGTGTGGGAGAGAGAGATGTCGAACGACTTGCCATCCTTGGGATGGACACGAAGAGTCATGGGTTTTCCAACAGCAAGCTCGGTGCACATCAGGTCGACGATGTCATTGGGCTGGATCTTGTCATAGTCGGCTGGGTCAGTGAAGGTGAGAGGAAGCATACCCTGTTTCTTTAAATTGGTTTCGTGCTGGATATTGTGTTAGTTATCACGGCTAGTACATGGCACTTCTGTCCATCATTAGGGTTCTAAGTTTTTGAACTTACAATACGGGCGAAGCTTCGAGTGATGATAGCAAGACCTCCAAGGTGTCTGGGCTCTAGGGCAGCGTGTTCTCGGGAGCTTCCCTCGCCGTAGTTCCAGTCACCGATGACGACCCATGGGATTCCTCTAGCTTTGTAGTCACGGGCAGTGGCGGGGACAGGGCCATATTCACCAGTCTTGAAGTTCTTGACCTTGTTGGCTTCTCCGTTCTCAGCGTTAATGGCGCCAATCAACATGTTGTTGGAGATATTGTCAAGATGGCCACGGTATTTCAACCAGGGGCCGGCCACTAATGGTAGAATCAGTTAGTTTTGTGGAATTTGGAAAACGCCAAGAAGCAGAGCTGCAAGGAAAAGCTTGGAATATCTTACTGGAAATGTGGTCAGTGGTGGTTTTGCCTTGCGCCTTGATCAGAATAGGAACTCCAAGCGCGTCCTTTCCATCCCATGGTTTAAATGCTTCCAGGATCTGGAGACGATCACTAGTTGGTGAAACAGCGACGGAAATGGAAGATCGCTCCTTTGGTGGCGCCTGGTATGTGTCGCGACCGGGATCATATCCGCGGGACGGGAGGCCGACACCAGTTGGTGCCTTAAGCTTGAACTCCTTCCCGTCTTTACCCTTGAGAGTATCGGTCAAGGGGTTGAAGTTAAGAGTTCCGGCAATAGTCATGGCCACAACGAGGTCGGGAGATGTGACGAAAGCATGAGTGGCAGGGTTGGCATCGTTGCGGCCAGTGAAGTTGCGATTGTAGGACGAGATAATGGAGTTGGCCTCGCCCTTCTTGACATCCCTACGGTCCCACTGCCCAATGCAAGGGCCGCAGGCGTTGGCAAGGATAACACCGCCGAATTCCTCGAGGGTTTGCAACTGCCCATCACGTTCGATGGTTGCACGGATCTGTTCCGAGCCGGGAGTGACGGTGAAAAGAGATTTGGCCTTGATACCATGGTCCAAGGCATCTTGAGCGATGGAAGCAGCTCGAGACATATCCTCATAAGAGGAGTTAGTGCAGGAACCGATCAGACCGACTTTGAGCTCTTCGGGCCAGCCGTGCTCCTTGACAGCATCCTTAAATTTGGAAATGGGGGTTGCCAAGTCAGGAGTGAAAGGACCGTTAATGTGAGGCTCGAGTTCAGACAAGTTGATCTCGATTAGTTGGTCGTACTCAGCGCCTTCATCTTCACGGAGCCCGTGGGCATAGGATCTCGCGAAGTCACCAATATGTTGACGTCTGGTGGCCTTTAGATAGTCGTACATACGGTCGTTGAAGGGGAAAACAGAAGTAGTAGCACCAATTTCAGCACCCATGTTACAGATGGTGCCCATACCCGTGCAAGACAGGGACTCAACGCCTGGTCCGTGGTACTCGATAATAGCCCCAGTACCGCCTTTGACAGTGAGAATACCAGCAACTTTCAAGATAATATCTATTTACATTCGTTAGCTGCATATTCCGCAAGAGTTGGTATAGAAGTCGAGATATGCTACCTTTTGGAGCCGTCCAGCCGGACAATTGACCGGTTAGTTTCACACCGATGACATTGGGAGCCTTCAGTTCCCAGGGAAGACCAGCCATCACATCGACAGCGTCAGCACCCCCAACACCAATGGCAGCCATACCAAGACCACCACCGTTGGGAGTATGCGAGTCGGTTCCGATCATCAGGCCTCCAGGGAAAGCATAGTTTTCCAGGAGGATTTGATGGATAATGCCGGATCCCGGTTTCCAGAATCCAATGTTGTACTTCGCGCAGGATGAAGCAAGGAAATCGTAGACCTCCTTGTTGATCTCGTTAGCTCGGGCAAGATCTTTTTCTCCACCAAGTTGAGCTTCAATTAAGTGGTCGCAGTGAACGGTGGTTGGAGTAGCAACAGAAGGCATGCCAGCGGACATGAACTGCAAGATGGCCATCTGCGCAGTTGCATCTTGACAGGCCACACGGTCCGGCCGCAGCTTGAGGTAAGATTTTCCCCGCTGAATGTCTTGTCCATGGGGATCGTCAAGGTGGGAGTACATAATCTTTTCAGCATATGTTAAAGGGCGGTTCAAGCGGCTTCGAACAATGTCGAGGTTCTCTGCCATTTTTCTGTAGGGAGCAGAAAGCTTTGTCAGTAAACCGTTTGGTTCCACAGGAGCTGAGCGGGAAAATCCATAAAAGTTACTTCGGCCAATGAGGCCGGAATAGAATTGGACTTTCGCGAATTGTCCCAACAGGACAGCAGGAGCTCCCTGAAACATGGACTGAAGAAGTTCCATACTTGTAGTTTATGTAGTTACCCTGCAGAGGTATTGTTAGCAATTGTATTCGTTCTTTGTTCATGGTCTAAGAGGCCAGCTCCCGCTATCCGGAGCCTACCCGAGGCGAAATCCTCAGGGAAAATCTCACCTTCTCATGATTGCACATCTCGACCTTTTTGTCGAGAGGAGAATCGCTGACAGTCGCCAGACCCCGCACACCCAAAAGCTGTTCCAAATAATCTAGTCAGTAATTGGACATCGTGTATAGATTCTAGACCGTGGGGCACGCTATAAGTTTTTCTCTCCTAGGGCTACTTACGGTGCGGGATTTGGATGCCTATGGACAGGACATGTTAGTTAAATACGACTGTGCGCAATGGACATCGAGATAATGTAGATGAATCGCTTTCAAGAAGCTCTTCAAGATCGACTGATAGAATAAAGACAGAGAGCGTGGACAACTTACCAGCGCACCCAGGCGGCCAATCCGGGTTGAGATCATGGTGGCAGCTTGCTGTGTAAGCACACTGAGCTATGGAGCTAAACGTCGAGGCTCATCCAATGTCGAGGCAAAGCAGATTAGCTCGACAGCGGCCGTGAGAGGGAAGAGAGGAGAGGAAATTGAGGGTTGAGAAAGAAAATGGAATTGCGAGGGGAGGAGGAGGAGAAAGAGGAAGAGGAGGAAGATGAGACAAACGGGAATCAGAAGCAAGATGAAGGAACCCCAGGGTGTTGTTCGGTGCCAAAATAGAACTAGTTTCATTATAGGTCCGAAAAGATTACGTTGTTTTACAATTACCGTGACCCTGTATTATTACACACTGCCAACCAAAATATGCCCAATCAACACAGAATCCTCGGCAAGCTCGGGTGTGTCCCGCCGCTGTCTGGCCGAAATTAAAACGCAGCAATACAGCAACCACGGCCGCCGCCCGCATGTGGTTGTTCGCGGCAGCAACCTTGGAATTGCTGATTTGTGGAGCCGCCAGCAAGCGAAAAATTTTGTTGGCCTGCAGACCAGCAATGCAAATCCCAGCTCTGTGAGTGGCTGGATGCCCAGTTCCTCCCGTCCGACAACCTCCAATACCAACCGTTGTTTTGCCGTGTCCCACCTCCCTGTGATCGGGGCTTTTTATTTCTTCACTGAACAGGACTAATTACCCCTTCATAATAAGACGAGAATGGCGGAAACAGTGTCACCGTAACCATGAGCAAAGCGAGAGCAGTTACCCAGCAGCTCTACTACTGACTAATAATTTACCTAAATGACAGGGAAGCGTCCTGGTCGGTAATTTTGGGTTGGAGGGGGGATGGCAGTGCCGAGGCCAGCCAAAACGTCATTGATCGTCACATTCCGCATGAAATGACAGCAGGCTTCCACAGTGCTGATAGCTGGATTTCGTTCGCTCTGCAACCATCAAGAACAGCTGAAAAGGCATATTTTTGTATATCCTTGATTCATATAGACAGCAGCAAAGTTTATTCTTTGCAGTTATTTTGATTTTTCCAGCATCGAACGGATTGAATCACTCGTATATCACGTGATTTACTTTCGGATTCTGGAATAATATTTTAGCGTTCCGTCCCAAATTGGAAGTATTTCTGATCATGGCAGAAAATGGAGAGCAGGTCAAACAGCGTATATTTCACATCAAACTCCAAAAAAAACCTCGACCTTCACGACAATGGGTGCCACCAAAAGAATAAAAACAAAACGACGGACGAGGTAAGTTCTTGTTATCCCCGCCATGGGGAAAAGAGATAATAAATGAATCAAAAATAAATATATCAAAAGAAACAAAAATTCACCTCCCGCTCTTTGTACAGAGACTATGACCAAGTTCGCGCGGACATAAACTCCTCCAAACATCTTTCCCAGTACCAAAAGACCAAGGCTTCGGAGGACCTACCTGGCCTAGGCAGACATTATTGTGTCGAGTGTGCGAAATGGTTCGAGAGTGATTATAATCTTGTGGCTCATCGACGGGGGAAGAATCATAAGCGGAGGTGCGCGCCTTTTCAACATTTTCCCTCTCTATTCTTTCCTCTCTTTTTCTCTTTCGGGGTAGGCAAAACATCGCTGACTGAAGCGATGAATATATAAAACAGGCTCCGCATCCTAAAGGAAGAACCACATTCGCAAAAGATGGCGGAAGCTGCTATTGGATTGGGCACAGATAACGGAACTCGAGCTGTGCAGGCGATGGACGTTGCGGAATCGGAGATGATTGAGTGAAATTGCATATTTTCTATTATGATGATTGATGATGCGATGACGAGCTTGAACACGTGAGATTTTTTTTTACCGAATTCACCTCCCGAACGCCATAGCCAGCGTTCTATTGGCGTGGCCCTAGAGGAAGAGCTCGTATCTTCTCTTGCTTTGGCCATGGCGGAGGAGCGTAATTAACCGGCTGCTTCGATATGATGGCTGTGGCGAGGAGGTTATACACGGCGGCAAGGACGGTGAAGATGGTGTTTCTTGGGTTCACGGACTTATCAAAAATACCCATCTTGAACAGATGGTCTAATAATACAAGCTATAGGTTAAGCGCAAAATATCTGGGCTATTGTTCTTTTTTGCGGAGCAACGAACTGTGTGAATAGCGCTTTCTTATCTCGAATAAATTCTCCTTTCTACAGGCCTACGAAGAATGCAATTCGTCAAACGTATAGACACATATGCAACTTTTATATATATGTATATATATACATGGCATCAATTCCTTATGGAAAGGTCCATTTTTCCTAATTTATTCCATCAACGTTGCATTGCCAGTTTACTTGAGGAATTTCATCGTCCATTCGTACATCGCCCACTTTTGAGAAATTGTCAGTCCATCATATCATATGTCTACGCGAACCTACCAAGTTACATACCTGCACAGCATTTACAATAAATGCTCTCAAGCTACACACGCCTAAGCCACGGTAGAATACCTGGAAACCCTCGGTCCGATATGCCTCCTTCGCGACTGCCAGAGTACCTAGTGTACGTCCATCGATCCCGAAAGGTCGAAGAAGCGTTTGCCTCTCGACCAAAGAGCCGGAAGCAAGAGAGCCTGGCGAGCCCTGCACCTGCAGCCGTGTCTTGATAACGTCTAGCGGGAAAATAGAAACCCAGGTGATAATGCCAGCGATTCCACCGCATATAAGGATTTTGGCGGCTGCTTGTTCAGAGCTTTCGTCGGCGGTTGTCATGAGACGCTTGCATAATTCGTAAGACCAGAAACTGTTATTTTTGAACGGAATACACAACGTTAGACACCGAGTGCGTATATACAGGGGCAGACATGAAAGGGGTGAGAAGAGGCAAAATAGGGTAGCCAAATTAGTATTGTTCGTACTAGAACCCATATCCCACCGAATCTCGGATACTCGTAACCCCCCCTCCATAGTATAGTCCTCTAAACCCCCGACTTTTCCAAATATCTTTCGTCACCGTCCATGAGGATATTGATTGGTGAGTAGCAAGCTGCGCTCGGCACTTTACCAACTCAGTTGGCGATGATATGACCCAGCTGGCAAGCCCACCAACAGCACCCGCAACCCATATCTGATATAGCGGGACGCCTACAGGGTTAGTCGTGTCAGATACGGGTTGCGAGGCTATACCCGTCAAGGTCCGGTTATAGGCAACGAATAGAATCGCATTGAGGGCGCCATATCCAACTATCGGTGCTGTTGCGCCTGTTCAATAGCAATTGAGGTTAGCCGACCCATATCCTTCTCGTTACTTTTCAATCAATTGCAATAACACGACCTCATGGTATGCCATAACTGACCTCGGACAAGAGAGCCCACAGTGTCAAAATGACTCCTGAACCCCTGGGAAGATCGCAATGATCCGGTGGCCGCTTGCCCCGCCTGAAGACGGGTTTTCAATAGGTCTAGGGGATTTCCGATTACAATGCCAATGGCTCCGCTGAGGTAGCCAGCCCAGAAGTCATTGGACATGGGATTAGAGCCGTGAACCTCGAGACCCTCGAGATAGCTGCTTCCATGATATTCTTATCGAGCAGCTGAGACAAGAAGCAATGGATGGTGGGGTTGCGAACATCATGTGATCCCGCGGTCATTTGGTGACGGAGGCTTGGCAAGCTAACGCGTTGAATCACACCTTGACGCGTTCGATTGAGACCATTCGACGAACTGTTGAGGATTCGTTTTTGGCTCAGAGATTCGTCGTCGACAACGTCTTTCTACCTTATTCACTTCAACATATAAGTGATTTAGTCTAATGTATCTTCCCGCCTAGCTGAATGTTTAAATGACCTGCCAGCTAATATCTCACCAGGCATCGTCCCCGTCCAAAGAGTCCGGGAGCCGTTGCACCAAAACCATCAGTTGACGGGCTCAGCAAACCGTTCAAATGTCCTGGATCAGCGCTACATACGCGGGCGTCCGATAAGCCCGCCAGAAAAAGACGGAAAGTTAACTATGCCGGAGCAGACGGCGACAAAGAGGATGGGGAGAAGCCATGGACCAACGAGGATCGGCTTGCCCTCGCAAATCGCGATGCAAATAGGTTCCCTGCATTCAAAGTAAGGGATAAAGAGCAGGTTTTCAAGCAGCGATTTTCCGTCCCTCTAATCAACAAAAATTCTGGCGCTTATAATCCAAATCGACCGGCTCCCATCCTTGGGATGCGGAGTGGCACTACATTTGTCGTCAAACCACTACATGATCCCAGCGGAGAATTTGCGATTGTCCTTTATGACCCTACGATTGATGATAAGCCAGTAAATCCTAATGATGCCAATGATGGGAATGGGAAAGGAGAGGAAAGGGAGAAAACTGACCCCCCCAAGTTGGATGCACCGCTTGTGCATAAGAGTTTGGCAGATATTCTTGGAATTAAGAAAAAGGTTGACGGTCGTCCGAAAATTCCGGTGGTTATAGATCCGAAACTCGCCAAGGTGTTGCGTCCCCATCAAGTGGAGGGAGTGAAGGTATGGTGGTCAAGAGTTCTTGTCTCATGTTGATTAAGATTTTACGCTGATATCTGGTAATTTTAGTTTCTATATCGTTGCACGACCGGTATGATCGATCCCAAGGCTAATGGTTGCATTATGGCAGATGAGATGGGTTTGGGCAAAACGGTAGGGTCAAATGAATTTAGCCGCTGGTCGCATGGTGCTAAATACCTTTACTTTCAGCTCCAATGTATTACTCTGCTCTGGACGCTGCTTAAACAGTCTCCAGAGGCGGGCAAAACAACCATCCAGAAGTGCATAATTGCTTGTCCGTCGACTCTGGTAAAGAACTGGGCAAACGAATTTGGTATGTTGAGATAGATTCTGCAAACAAGGTTTCTAATGCTGATGGCATTTGTAGTCAAATGGTTGGGTGAGGGCGCAGTAACGCCCTTTGTTGTTGACGGCAAAGCTTCCAAAGTGGAGCTCACATCTCAACTCCGACAATGGGCAGTATCTTCAGGGCGGTCCATTGTCAGGCCGGTTCTGATCGTGTCATATGAAACGTTGAGGCTTTATGTTGATGAACTTAAGGACACGCCGATCGGATTACTACTATGCGATGAAGGCCACCGACTTAAAAACGGAGACAGTCAAACCTTTACCGCATTGAATAGTTTAAACGTCGACCGTCGTGTCATCCTTTCTGGAACTCCAATCCAGAATGATTTATCCGAATATTTCTCGCTTTTGAATTTCGCCAATCCGAACATTCTAGGGACTCGGAACGAATTTCATAAAAAATACGAGATGCCAATCCTCCGTGGTCGAGACGCTGATGGCTCGGATGAGGATAGGAAGAAGGGTGACGAGTGTGTAACCGAACTTTTGAACGTTGTCAACAAGTTCATTATTCGCCGAACCAACGATATCCTTTCTAAGTACCTTCCTGTGAAATACGAGCATGTGGTGTTTTGTCAGTTGGCTCCGTTTCAAACTGATTTGTATAATCATTTCATTCAAAGCCCTGATATCAAAAGTTTGCTCCGGGGTAAGGGAAGCCAGCCCTTGAAAGCGATTGGAATTTTGAAAAAGCTTTGCAACCATCCAGACCTGCTCAATCTGGGTGCAGATCTTCCTGGGAGCGAGCAGATTCTCCCGGATGATTATGTTCCCCTGGAGTCTCGGGGGCGGGATCGCGATGTGAGATCTTGGTATTCAGGTAAAATGATGGTCTTGGATCGCATGCTTGCTCGTATTCGACAGGACACCAATGACAAGATTGTTTTGATTAGCAATTACACCCAAACTCTTGATCTTTTTGAACGGCTTTGCCGAACTCGTCAATACGGTTGTTTACGATTGGATGGTACGATGAATGTCACCAAACGACAGAAATTGGTGGACAAATTCAATGATCCTAACGGGGAAGAGTTTGTCTTTTTGCTTAGCAGTAAAGCAGGCGGCTGTGGTATCAACTTAATCGGTGCCAATCGCCTAGTTTTATTTGATCCGGACTGGAACCCAGCAGCAGACCAGCAAGCCCTCGCTCGAGTGTGGCGTGACGGTCAAAAGAAAGACTGCTTCGTCTACCGCTTCATTGCAACTGGTACCATAGAGGAGAAGATATTCCAGAGGCAGTCACACAAGCAATCGCTGTCTTCATGTGTCGTCGACTCTGCCGAGGATGTCGAACGTCATTTCAGTCTGGATTCACTGCGAGAGCTATTTCAGTTCAAGCCGGAGACCCGCAGCGACACTCATGACACCTTCAAGTGCAAAAGGTGCCGGCCCGACGGCACGCAGCACATCAAAGCGCCGGCCATGCTGTACGGAGACACAAGCTCATGGAATCATTTTGTCAATGACGGGGAGAATGGCCTTTTGGGTAAAATCCAGGACCTGCTCTTGAGACAAGAAGCATTTGAGCGGGATGTGACAGCAGTATTCCAGTATATAAGTCATTGAATAGAGGTGGTGTTTTTTTTTTTTTGTGCTCATTTTTCTTTTTCAGCGAGTTCAAACTTGAAATTATCATCGCTGTTGCACATTGTATTTCAAATGATATACTACAACAGCCTTAGATTATATATATATGCGTACATTCAATCATACCACGTCGAAATTGGCAGCATAATAGAATGACTGGTCATGTGAGCACAGTCCGAACGGATCGAATGTGTTGGAGGGATTGGATTGGGTGATTCGTCCCCTCGTTACCACCACGGCGCTGGTGGTGATTGAGCTCTTTTGCCCCAGTGGTCTCATATTGGCTTCCACCGGCGCCAAGACTGCCAACTGGTTAGGGTTTGGTGTTGGAGCTCCAATGTACTGTACGTCACCAAATAGATCAGTCGTCTCGACCATCTGGACAGAATTTGTATCCTCTCAGAAGAACGTTTCATTGTTTATTTGGTAATATTGTAATCATGACACGAGAGGAGCTGGTGGCTCTTTGACCTATTCCGGCAGTCATAACTCACATATCTAGCTTAGCCCTTGTCTAGGCGCTCACCGAACGACATGATTGTCGCCCAAGCCTGAAAGCTTCCTCCCGCTGAACCTGTCTTGCTGACTGTGATAGCGATATGGACCCGTCAGTTCAGAGACTTCTAAGCGACAAGCTATACGATAAGCGGAAACAAGGTGCTTTGGAGTGAGTGCTCAATGAATCCCATCCCCAAGTTAAATCTACATAGCTACATTTGAGTGGAAAGCAACCGCTAACCCACGATTTTTTATGGCAATAATAGGCTCGAAAGAATTATCCGCGATGCCCTTGTGAAAGCCGAACATACCAAGATAAAAACCATCGTCGACCAGCTTTGTCATGAATATGCATATGCTGTCCATCAACCTCACACAAGAAATGGGGGATTGATTGGCCTTGCAGCCGCCTCGATTGCGCTTGGAACAGTGAGTTGTGCGGATACCCGTCCAGCTGAGTTGTGTAAAATCTCATGGAAAACTCAATGTTATACATGCAGGATGAAGTTGCGCCGTACCTCTACGAGATTGTCCCTCCAGTCCTCGCTTGCTTCACAGACCAGGATGCTCGAGTTAGATATTACGCCTGCGAGAGCATGTATAACATCGCGAAAGTGGCTAAGGGGGAACTGCTACTCTTTTTCAATGATATTTTCGATGCCTTGTGCAAAGTAAGCCTGAGATGGGGAATTGATGTTTAAAAACGTACTATGCTAATTTTCGCCTTGCCTTCTAGCTCGCTTCCGATTCAGAGCTGTCAGTGAAAAACGGCGCAGACCTCCTCGATCGACTAGTGAAGGATATAGTTTCTGAATCAGCAGCTTCATACGTTTCCGTTTTGCAAGCACCCAAGAAAGTTGAAGGTGATTCTGAGGTTGATGGTGTTAATGAATCAGAAGCAGTTTCCGAGGTGCCAACAGCATTCTCTCTTGCGAATTTTATTCCCCTCCTCAAACAACGTATACATGTCATCAACCCTTTCACTCGTACCTTCCTAGTCTCATGGCTGAGTCTATTGGATACCATACCCGATTTGGAGCTGGTGTATTACTTACCCGCATTCCTGGAAGGGTTGTTCAGGTTCCTCAGCGACCCCAATAGAGATGTTCATACAATAACCCAGGGTGCTCTGGAGACATTCCTTAGTGAGATCAAGAAGATTGCCCGGATAAAAAAAGGGATCGCATACGCCCGCCGTGATCCTGAAAGCGGGGATCCCAAGCCGTCTGCTACTAGCGATAGTATGAGTGTTTGCTCCGGCTCGAGCGATGTCAAAGATATTAGCGACAATGCTATTGCGGATTCTGATTCTGGCCCTGCTAACGACGGAGATGTTCATGTATATGGGGATTATGTTCCCGGACAGGATGTCCATGTAGATCATCCAAAAATCTTGGAAATTCTACTTGGCTTTGTGGACACTGCGTTTGGTAGGATTCCTTTAACCTGATGTGAGATATTCGTTTTGCCTACTATTTGCTAACAAGATTACAGAGGAAGAAATCCAGCTGACGGCCCTCCGATGGATTGATAGCTTTTTTGAAATAAGCCCAGAAGACATCCTTCAGTTTGTTCCTCGCCTACTTTCGCAAGTACTACCTGCCCTTTCGAGCGGTTCGAACCAGGTTCGTGAGGCTGCGAATCGGGTCAATACGTCACTCATGCAGTATATTGTTTCCCTCACCGATGATATTGCTCCTGATGATCCCCGGCCAACTCAACCGTCAAGGGTACCTACCGGGCCGGTTAAGGAGACAGATGGTCGAAGATCATCAACTCCTACAGGTACACAGTCTGACTTGTCTGCGCCTAACGAAGTCAATGCCAAAAAACTACACCCATCTCGTCCTGCATCAACGACTGATTTAACCTCACGAAGCAGCTCAGATGCAACACCGATACCTTCACCCGATCTAGATTATGCGGCTGCGGTTAGCGCCTTAACCCTCCAGTTCCTCAATGAAAACGAGGAAACGAGGGTTGCCTCTTTAGCTTGGCTAATTATGCTTCACAGAAAAGCGCCTCGGAAGGTTCTGGCCTTCCACGACGGGACGTTTCCAGCTTTGTTAAAGACGCTATCTGACCCTTCGGAAGCCGTTGTTACGCGAGATCTGCAACTACTCTCTCAAATTTCAAGAAATACTGATGATGGCTATTTCACTTCATTCATGGTGAATCTGCTTCAACTGTTTTCTACCGATCGAAAGCTTCTTGAAATCCGCGGCAACCTTATAATCAGACAACTTTGCGTTAACCTAAGCCCAGAACGCATCTACCGGACGCTGGCAGATTGTCTTGAAAAGGAAGAAGTAGGTTATATCATCAAACTTAAATTTTGGGCTCTAGTGAATATGAACAAATATGAACTAACTGCTTGTGTATAGGACATTGAATTTGCTAGCATCATGGTGCAGAATCTTAACAACAATCTTATTACCGCTCCAGAACTGGCTGATATGAGGAAGAGATTAAGGAACCCTGAATCAAGGGCATGTAATGTTTCCCAAGGGATTTCCATGTTTTTCGTTAACGTGTTCTTAGGATGGTCAAATGTTCTTTGTGGCATTATTTAGATCATGGTGTCACAATGCCGTTGCTACCTTCTCCCTATGTTTGCTCGCTCAAGCGTACGAACAGGCGTATAATCTTTTGCAAATCTTGTAAGTCTCACCTAGCCCTTATACTATTGTCATGGAAGCTGATCAGTTTCACGTAGCGCGGAGTTGGAAATGACCGTCAATATGCTGATTCAAATCGACAAACTTGTTCAATTACTTGAATCTCCAGTTTTCACCTGTTAGTACTTCGGTATAAGTTCATCCATGAAGAAGTCCACACTCTAACTGATTTGTTTTCTGTAGATCTCCGTCTCCAGCTTTTAGAACCAGAGAAGTATCCTTATTTATACAAATGTCTTTATGGCGTTCTTATGCTACTTCCCCAAAGCTCTGCATTTGCTGCACTCAAGAACCGCCTTAACAGCGTGAGCAACATTGGCTTACTACAACCAGCTGCCCGAGGGTATGTCTATAGTAGGATCCGTACTATTCCACCCCGTTCCACCTAGTTTTGGTACTTACTTCCATCTTCATATTGTCTAGCATCACTTCAAATACTCCAAGCATTGCTTCATCCTACGAAAGGCCAGGAGGGAGACTAAAATCGCGCGAAGATATCCGGTGGGGTGATTTGCTCGAGAAATTCAAACGTGTGCAGGAGAAATCCAGACGATCCGGGCGATCAGCGTCACGACAAATCGACCCAGATGCAAATGGTATGCCCCATTCATCAATTGCAGCCGCCGTCGCGGCAGCAACTGCGGCTGATCAAAATGGAAATAAAGAGAAAGGGAATGTAGATTCCCATCGCATAGGTATCGGAACAGGGACTGGAAGTGGACTTGGAAGCGGGCATGTAACACGAACAGGGTTTGCGGCGAATGAAGGTGCCCCTGCTGCAGGGCAAAAGACGCCTAAGTCGAGATCGGCGTTGGGAAATTTAGGACGATTAAGTGGAATCGGGCAGAGGAAGTCGAAGCGTTGAAATACGGAAGTATACCGTTCTGTTGATTTATACTAGAGGATTATGGGGTACAATCCATGCGTTTCTCTCCTGTTTTCGACTGCCCCATTTCTAGAAATTTATGACATGGTTTCACCACACTCTCCCTCCCTTCCTTCAATTCTTCTGTCTTCCACCTTTCCTTTGGCCAGCTACAATTTCCCAGCTTCCATTGTTATATTAGCTTAATCGATGATCATAAGTAGTGTGTCTTAATGAATTAAACTAAACAGTTAACATACATCATAACAATTTGCAGGCAAAAAAAAAAAAAAAAAAAAAAAAAAAAAGAGTACTTGCTAGAATTTAGAGATCGAATACACTGCGCTGCGGTGTTTTAATTGGCCCCATTTATACCAGCTTATGGATATTCCCCATTTTCAACAGACCTGGTTATAAAAAAAACTCTTCCCTGGCGATTTAGATGGTGCGTTTTATCGATGGGCAAAATGGTGGCGCACGCGCAATGCGACATTGTGAGTTGAGCAGTAAACAGGAAGGACCGATTTAAATCTATGGTCGAGATATACAGTAGACACGCTATCTTTAGTGTGAATTCATTAATATTTCACACGCAAGGACGTCTCTTATCCGTCTATCCATTCCCTTTCTGACTGCGGACGGTTATCTAGCTAGTTACTTCCAAGGGGCTTAAATTCCCCGCAAATGATACAGTAATAAAAACGCAACTATCACACTATGGGATCTAGTAAACTAAAGAGGTAAGGGACGAGTTGTTGGGATAAATCAATGGATAGATACATATGTACAGGTACGCAGTTCAACGAGATACCTAAATATTCACAAGTGAAAGGTCGAGTTACAAATCGTATAGTTGCATATTAAAAAAACGGAAATAGGGGCGGGGGAAATAAAAAGAAGAGACGAGGATGGTTAAAATCAAGAAGACATGGTATCGGGATGTGTAGGGAAATATGAGATCGGAGAGTTGGGTGGGCTGTCTGGCATTTCTCATTTGAAAAGCATTACGATGTCACAACAAAGTAATTCTACCGCAGTGTGAGATGCATCAGATAGGCATCCCATCCCGTCTTTAATGTAGACTTTGAACCGCGAAAAATGTTCTGCGGAACAACTACCCGTATCGGATAAGGAAATCGTTCTTTATTTTTTCCCCCAGGGTTATACAGAACCATAGCCAGATAGCTCCTCTCCGCTTACATTCTCAACAGAAACACGTCTAACCATTTTATGTCGTTTTTATCTCTATTGTCATTGGCATGAGCAGTCGATGCGCGAAATGTAAAGTAGGTGGCTTGAGGCAAGAATTCCAAGTCATCCGTATATATTATCGGGTTGTGAGGTTGGAGTTTTTCCGGGTTCAGAAACGAAGATAAGAGTGATAGAAACGCCAGCTGTACATATCACATATTGAGGCGGAGGACGTGGGATTCATGGTTTTTTTTCTTTTTTCTTTGTCGTTTTTCGTGAAATATTGTTCAGTTTAATAAGATTTGTCTTGCATCATCGATTCCGACGATCCTGTGAACCGAATCCGCCCCAGTTCCCTGACGGCCTCCACGACGTGCCGGTTGAGTGTTTAGCTACTGTTGAGCTCGAGGTTGCGGCTGATGAATAACCACTTCCGGTATTGTTTGTGTAGACATATTCACCATCGACGTATTGGGCGCCCATGGTGAGGGTGCTGCGGTGTTTTCGTCTGGCGTATCTTTGTTCGAGCCGGTAGAGCTCTAGTTCTAAGGAGATGTTAAAAGAGATGATGCCAGAAGGGTGGAACAAGCAAAAAGGGCGCACAGTAATACATCCCCACGGAGTGCATAGGGAAAGATAAAATAATATTACAAAAAAAGATACACGTACTTGCATGTAATTTCTCAAAAAGACCCATTTTTGGTGAAGATTCGGTGTATGTGATTTCCTCTCTTCGTTCAGATCCTACTGCGTGTATTTGTCAAAGCCGGCTTGTCTCGAAGACGTTTAAGCCCAGCTTGACTTTCAATCAGCAGAGAGAGCTATTGATTTCCTCCTGTATGTTGCAAAGACGCCCTCCCGTTTGGTATTCCGATGTTCAGGCTGGCAGCAGACGACAGAGGAACCGCTAATGATGCGTCGACTGACGATGTATATAGAACGACCAATGCGTCGGGGGCAGAATATCCTGTCCTGCGTTCGGACAAATATACCCAAGATCTTTCCCAGTCTCAGACTTTTTCTGCCGTGAGTGGAGGGTATCGTTTGAATAGCACTCCTCAGTTGTTTAGCCGCCCTATCAAGAAAACTTTCCCGCTTCCAGAAATACCAGAAACGAAGCAGGGAAAAAAATCGACGAAGCGGAGAATCGAAGGATCAAAGGACGGTTTCAATTGATTTATTAATGAGTGGCAGTGGATCAGTGATTGCATGAATATAAGGACCCTGCCCTAGCAACCCACCAGTCAGTTGGGGAATACTACATGTATTATATGGATATGGGTTTGTGTCTCAGAGCCGACGTATCGCAAACGCAAAACCAATGCTATTCAATATCCGAAAGGATTGGACGTGGGACGAACCTGTTTGGAGGAGAAAGGGATGAAGAGACACACAGCTGAGGTCTGGTTGCAGCTAGAATCACGAACAGTCTAAAAGGAATGAATGAACTTAAGGGAATAAAACGCAGGCAGGCAAACAATAACTATAGAGAGTGACAAACTACTACAAATGCAGTATGCTGGAGGGAAGAGACTCCACGCAAAGCATCGGCGCAGGAGCAGAAGGGAAAGCCTACGGAGCACTGGGTTGAAGGATCAAGGTGGAGAGAGGAGAACCCAAGGACACGAACGAAATGAACGATAATTTTTGAAACTAGCGATCCCCCGGCCCGCCATTCTCTGGACAGTGGGCCACAGAGCAAACCAGAAATGCCAGACCGTCCCACTCTGAAGTCGCTAGTCGCAGCTAAACATCACTATTTTGTTTCTAGAAGCACCAAGGGCTTGGTGATCTGGGGTTCTTGTGGCCACGAGCCATGCTCCTCGCACAGGAGGCAACCCAGGCTATCTACGGATGTTGCACCTGCGGTGAGCTTTGACAGTTGCTGGCGAGACAGTCACAAAGCGGGCGGTTGGCATGAGATATTCGGATTCCTTTTTCTTTTTCTTCTTTTTTTTTTTTTTTGTTGTTGGAGGTTCGTCCGTCTGGTGCGAGCCAAGGACAAGACCCAATTCAGGGGTAAAGACGCCAGATACCAGGAAGCGCCAATGTTTCTGTTAGCGAAACGAAAGCATAAACCCCCAAGGTTTGTGGCGTCCCCCAGCCAGAAAGACAGTTTGGGCATCGATAGTATGCTCATAGCACTGTTTATCAAAACACATCAATGAAGCCCTTTTTACATTGGGTTCTGTACTGTGCATTTCAACTCCCCAAGTCCTCACCCCGCTCCAGGCTTACGTTTTGTGCGCGGCTAGGTGCTTAAGCGGACCACTCCCACGAGGATGATGATGTTACCGTGGGATCATTTGACCCGATAACCCATGCTCAATCGATGTTGGTTCACTGTTGAGGCATTCTTGCCGAACAACATTGGGTCACTACTGAGTGTATTTTCAATGCGTACCTGTACAAAGTCCCAAGTATTCTTGCTACATTTCTATATAGTTGACCAGCTAAAGAATCAAAATTATATACTTATTTGGACATATGTAATCTGAACAAGCATCCTGTCTTGTCATTTTGGGCGTATGGTGGGGAGAGTGGTGAGGGGTGCCTCAAGCCAGCGACGACGGTGGCTGTTGGTTCGGCCGGTTACTTGGGTCTTCGTCGGTTGGCTCCTCAACCGCCGCCTCCATCTCCTCAACTTCAAGGTCGATGTCCTGAGCGAGAGATCTTTCCTGGGCTGTAATTGTTTTGTTTTAGGGTCAAAAGTGGTCAGCATAGGGTTCTACTTCAGTAGGGCAAAAATAGAATGAAACGAGAAGAAAAGAAAGAAGAAAAAATCTCGATGAGAAAATTTTGAAATGCAGCCAAGCCAAAAGATCTTCATACGACATACCTTTCCATAATTCTGCATAAACGCCCCCTTCCATACCCAGAAGTTCAGTATGCGCTCCGCTCTCCGCAACCTTCCCGTCCTTCAACACGAGAATTTGGTCACTGTCATAGATAGTACGCAGTCGATGAGCAATGAAGACGCTCGTTCGTGCTTTTTCCTTCAGGATACTGTTGATGTTTTGAAGCAACGCTTGCTCCGTGTATGTGTCTAGAGCGGATGTCTGTTTTGCCGAAGAGGTTAGCCGAGATAAGTCCATTGTAGCAAAAACCTAGAGGAGAACAGAAACGAGAAATACTGACAGCTTCGTCGAAAAATAAAAGAGGGGGGTCCTTGAGGATGAGTCGGGCAACCGCCAGCCGCTGCTTTTCTCCTCCTGATATCATCATTCCACGCTCTCCCACTGGTGTCTCGTACCCCTCAGGTAGTCGCTCGATGAGCTCATGGACGTGGGCCCGGCGTGCGGCGTTCCGAACCTCCTCGGCAGTCGCATCTACCCTACCATAACGGAGATTGTGTTCGATGGTGTTGTTGAAAAGCGGAGTGTCTTGCGGAACTACACCGATAGCCCTTCTCAAACTATCCAAGGACAGATCGCGAATGTCTTGGCCATCAACTAGAATCCGACCTCCTTGCACGTCATAGAACCGGAATAAGAGACGTAATATGGTTGATTTCCCGCAGCCGCTGGGACCAACGATTGCAAACTTCTGGCCTGGGGGTATTGTGAAGCTGACGCCTTTTAAAACCGCTCGATCGGGATGGTAACCAAATGTGACATTCTCAAATCTAATTTCACCACCGCGAGTGAGCTGCAGTGGCTTAGCATCTGGCTTTTCTTTGACTGTGATGTTAACTTTCTGAAGGTTGAATAGCGTTTCCATGTCAAGCAAGGACTGCCTCAACTCCCGGTACACGGATCCAAGGAAATTTAATGGCACTGAGAGCTGGAACACGAGTTGGTTGACCATGACTAAATCCCCTACAGTCAATTGACCGCCAGCAACACCGGTTGCCGCTAGGTACATCATTCCAGCGAGTGCACCGGAAAAGATAACATTCTGGCCCGAGTTGAGCAGAGCCAAGGATGTGGTGACCTTTATTGACGCATCCTCATACCCTTTCAAAGCCTTGTCATATCTAGAAACCTCGAACCTCTCATTGTTGAAGTACTTGACGGCTTCGTAGTTGATTAAAGAGTCGACAGCTATAGTGGCTCCTCTATTATCAGCTGCATTAGCTTGTTTCCGAAATTTCGTTCGCCAAGCAGTCGTCGTGATTGTAAAAGCGGTATATGCTACCATGGTCGCTGCGGTAATGGCCGCGAATTTTGGCCCATATTGGTAGGACTTAAAAATAACGAACTTCTTAGAATATTTGTGTCTAAATATTGTTTGAAAGACTGCACACATACCAAGATACCACAAACTAAGGATATTTCCAACGCTGTCGGGAATATATGGAACACCATTGAAGTGAGAAGGAAACTTATTCCTTTTGTACCTCTATCAATGGCTCGAGTGAGACCACCGGTTTGGCGGGTTAAATGGAAATTCAAATCCAGCCGAAGCAGATGGTCGAATACATTTTGGGCAACTCTTCTGATGGTCTTCTGCGCAACGCTTGCAAAAACAGCATTCCGGAGCTCTTGGAACAACGTTGCTCCAATTCTAGATGCGCCATCTAAAATGATTGAATTTGTTAATTTACTGTTTGCATTTCTTCAAGGCATTCGCTTCCCACGTACAAGCAATAATCATCGACCCCGCAACTGTGAATGCAGTGCCACCGAGAGTCGCAAAATCGATATTCATCGAGTCGACAATATTTTTAAAATAAAAGGGAACTTGAACATTGAGGATCTAAGAGAGGAGTAAGCCTGCTGGAGGATATCCCAGAGGAAATATGATAGTTCACCTTTCCTCCAACTAAGAGGGCGAGTGCTGCGCCAACTCGAGCTTTGGTACCTAGATCGTCCTGTGGGACCTCTTATAAGTGTGAACTCCGCGAGTACCTGGGGATTTTTCTTCTCCTACCTTAGGCCAAAGATACTTGGCCATTTCTTTCATAATAGCCCAGTCCGCTTTCCGTTGCTCTTTTATATTAACTGTAGAGTCATTGAGAAACTCCGCCTTCTGTTTCGGTATCGCATTGCCTCCATCTTGCGGGTTCTGACGAATATCGTTCCTCTGGCTGGCAGCCTTGGGAGCCTGAGCTTCGAGAGATTGGGAAGCTGGGAGAGACTTCCTTTCTGAAAAATGGTCCTGCGTAGTTTCTTTTCCCAAGGCATTCCCTCTGGAACTAAATACACGAAATGGCGCTCTGGAATGCGTACGTGAAAGACGCAACGGGTGCGGGAGGCTGAAAATGGCGTCGCCACATTTCGTTGGCAGGGCTGTGCAGCGGCGGACAGGCAGCGCTCGGAAAAGCATGTCGGGAGGAGGTGTGTAGAAAAATACTGCCGAAGTAGCCGCTACAGCTGGAATATCATCTCGCCCATGCGACTTGGTCGGAGGATTTTATATCGCCGGCAAGGCCTTATTATGCTGGGCTAGGCATAGATCGGTCAACCATGGTCCTCAGGTTCACAAAATAAGGGGTTACATACCTGATTACTGCGCCCGCTTTGCTAAGAGGAAAACATACCCAAAAGGCAGCCAGCGTCAAGAACCTTGCAGGAGGTGCTAAATAATGGCGTGCGATGTTGTTGAGTGAGTCGAACTCATCCCACCAAAAGGCCGAAGCTTGTTTGCCTTGTTTGCTTCAACCTATTCTTGTCCAGAGTCGACCACAAATTCCCGGCGCAAAACCAACGGCAATTGACATCGTTATCCACATGTTGGTAGGTTGTCTCTTCCTGCGATTGGCGAATGTGCTCATATCGAGGTCATGAGCTATTCCATCAGGAATTCCTTCCGGCCTTTGATCCGGAGCAAAGGCGTATGGCGAAAGCCCGCCCGCCGTGTTGACCAGAGCTGGATACATATCCAGCAGCTCCAGTCCGCTGAGCCAGGTCTCGTCAATGGTAGTTATCTTCCCGCTTCGACTACAGCTAATTCGGCTTCATCTCCCGGTATGGAAATATGTTTCTCTCCGATACGTTGCAAAAGCGCTAATGCTGTTTAAAAGATGCCAAGTTCCAAGTCCTCGGTGCCCCGTATTCTCTCCTCTCCGTCACACTCTCCGCATCGCAGAACCTATATACACGGCGCGGAACTCTAGTTGGACTAAGTGGAAAAGCAGACAATGTACGCATTGATCACGGAAATCACCCACGGGCTATACTGACACTTCCGTACCGCAGGTCGTTTCGACTTTACGTCTCTTAGAACCAGGTCGCCGGGCTTTACTCAGGATCCCGTTCCTATATCAAAAGGTGGGACTTTCGCAGAACATCAAGCATTTCGCACTCCCGTCTTCTCATGTCTCCGCTTAATTGCAGATTTCCTCCACGAGCCCAATCACTGCTTTGGTATCAACACGCTCCGCCTGTACCACGTTCTCAGTGGTTGAATTGAATGGTTCTGTCGATTGGATGATCACACAGGAGAAAGCCTTGCTGGCTTGGACAGGCCACACTTTGAGAATTATACCGAAACTCGCTAAGCAACTAGTACGTACTATACCCTCATCATTCCCTGGTATGGAAGCTGGCGCTGATTATTACAGAGTTTGTCACACTGGGGTAATTCGGAGGTAACAGGTCGCGGATTGCTAGCTCTCGTTGGCACCGGCCAGTTCTATTCGGTCGAATTGAAGGCAGGGGAACAATACATCTCTCATCCAAGGTACATATGTATATACGTTGAACTATTTTGTGGTTTTCTACCGTCTAACACACGTGCTTTTCAGTAATGTTGTCGCATATACTATCACCGCTGCCTCGCCACGTCCCTACCGGTTTAAATCCACCATTCTACCGTTCCAGATCCCCAGCATTGGGTTAGGACAGCGTTTGTCAGATTCAAATTTCATAAAGAATATGTCTGATACGGACACATGGAAGGCCTCATTGAAGCTATGGCACACAATTCGGACATGGACCTGGAGAACCATTTTGGGCGACCGAGTGAGTCCAGATGCACGCCTGCATTTCCTACCATCGGGATCAAGGAAAGCAATTTTTCTGACTTCACATTTTAGTTATTCTTACAATTTGACGGACCGGCTACGATTCTGGTACAATCTCGCGCTTCAAGAATTGCCGACGCCTTGACTACTCAGCAAGTTAACGAGATCGCCGATGCTCCGCCAGGTGTTACTCAAGAGGCTGTGCGCAAAGCAGCAGCGAAATCGGGTGAAGCGGAGGCCGCTCCGAAGGCCAAGGATGATTTGATATCCAAGACTGCGGTATCTGGTCAGAGCTTTGCAAGCGTCATGCGTGACGGAAAAGTCGAATTCCACCAAACTGGAGATAGCCAGCGAAAATAAAATGCTCGCTACTATATTCTGTTATTGTTATTCATCTGGGCCGTGTACATATATATATGTTTTTTATCTTCGGACGCCGAGTTCCTTACATATCACTTGCTTTTTACTTATGTCAATGTATTTCACACGCCACTCTCTGTGATCATGGCGCTCATAACAAGAAACATTTATGGATAACATTGCTAAGTATGCAACTTCTGGGAGTCCTTAAGCAACCTTTGACCACGCAGTAATTATTAACAACATACCCAGGAACAAGTCATTGATTAGCCACGAAGGAATAGGACGCAAGGAAAGCGTCATTGATAATATGTTTTACTCATCCACACGCGTCAATAATAGTAATAGATTAAAATAGGTTACATAGTGTTTTAGTTACGACATAAAGGAACAAAATCGAACCCAGCCCTTAGGCAGAGCTCACTTACTCGATGAATCGGGGCTGGCCGTCTCGCCAGGGAACTCGCGGAAAAGGTCCGCCAGATGGTCAATGGGGGTCGGCAGGAGTCCAGCTACAGTTTCGCACAGTGGCTTGTCCGGTGCGCTTGGGTGAGAACAACTCTGCACAAATGCCTTCATTCTGCCAAGCGAGGTAGCAAGCTTCTCAATTTCCTCGGCCTGCAGTACATCTTCAAGTCACACAGGATCCCCATCCTCCTCCTCCTCCTCTTGAATGTGTCTGGAAAGCTCCGCCACAAGGTTCTTGATTGAAGGAATGAAGTCTGGATCTGTCGTCTTCATGCCTTGGAATTTTCTTTGAGCTGTGGTTCTTACCTGTTTGGGTTATAAATAGTCAACAAACACCCTCATATCGGGAATAGGCTGGGTAATTGACCTATGAGATATAGAGAACATACGGCGTGACGCTCTTTACAACCCCCATCAGCACGTTCCTTTCCACTCTTAACATGTTTCTCGAGCGCAGGGTAAACCACCAGCTCCTTGCCAACGGAATGTCGGGCTAAAACTCCCTGGTAAACTGGCTTTGGTGTCGAACCTGTTCATCTTGACCCTTGTGGGGTTCATGATTTTGTCATTATACCTCTCGAACGCCCTGTTTCTAGATGCTATTGGAAATTTTCGTCCTGATTGATCAAGTTACGAAATGCGGAGCGTGATTGAAAGTACTATAAAAATTCTGTCACCATCAGCTCTGATGACAATCAAAAATTAAGGGGGTTGGGTCGGCATCAGACCATTCAAGCCACGGAAAAATGATGTAGTTGCCCAAGGAAAATTGATACAGACCTTAGAGTAGGTCGAGCACAAGCGATCAAGCCAGTAGAGAAGGTAGGTTGGAAGGTGAATTGGGAAAAGCATTCTATTTCATCTTTAACAATGTATGTGTATGTAGAAACAACTGTTTGAGGGGTAGGCGTATGTATAAAGCGAAGGCGCTGACATTTGAAAGCTCCACGAGTGCTCCCGATATTCAATCAAATTTGCAAGAAACGCATTGCAAGGCATGGTGGCCTGACACCGAGGGGTAGATATAAAAGGATCAATCTCAGAGGGACATGTCATAATGAATAGGTCGGGCGTCATCCGCACGTCATATCCATCCCAAATCTAGCTCTAGGGTGTGCTAAGAGCTCTTCACCTATTTACTATGTAGTTGTTGCCCAGCCATAATAGAGCCCGGAAGGCCTCCTTCTGTTGAAGATGAACTAGATAAGTCATCCAACGGTCTGTGTGAGTTAAGACAGCTGATAAAGTTCCTCAGATGGAGACGAAGATTTGACTGCTGCCACTGTTGAGGTCCTCAACACGTAGGTTTCTACTATTGTAGTTCAGTTCGCTAGAAATGGTGAAGTGGACTGGGAGGGAAGAAAAAAAATGGGGGGGGGGGGAGGGGAGAGCGGCCATCAAAGCAGAAAATCGCTGTGTCGCGCTGCAGTTCGTTGCCTGAAGCCCAGCATCTGCCAAAGCGTCCACCCAAGTTTATCGTATAACACGGGCTGGCAGGTAACTATCCAGTCATCAAGCGTGCTGGGAGCACTGGAATGCGGAATGATGCAAATGCCATTGAAATTGAAAAGGGCTTAATTTTTGGCAACGCACGAAGCCATTGTGCCGAACATGAAAGACATCCTCAGTTTCTCATTTGCATGTTGACCGTCATTTTGTCAAATCGGATTTTCCACAGGGGTCCGTTGTCATCGTCCCAGTTTGTCCAGGTGCGGGCGAACCCCTGGAAGTGAGATTCGAGGTCGGAGAGATTTCAGTAGATATCCGGATGGGTGGATTAGAAATACAGTGCCTCTGTTCGAATCCATATGAGAGAACTTGACATATGCTGACAAAACAGTGAAGATTAACTGATTAACTAGTTCATGGATTTCGTGGAAACACATCTTCGTAGTTGTTTTTTTGCCGTCGATCGACAACGAGGACGGCCATTGTTCCGTCATTGATGCTATAGCTCAATCAGGTTCCATCTGCAATGGTTCATCCACAGAGACGAACTCCCGGCATCGAGAGGCCCGCTGCAGTTCAGAAGATAAGCAAGCGGCACCCTGCTAGACATAAGATCGTAAGCATACTCATCTTCAACTGCTGCTCCATTGATTGATAGGCCAGTTTCGCGGGTTGAAGTATTAGTATAGTGTATTTGCCCTGCATATGCGCATTCCCCAACCTGATATGTTTTTGAATCCCCGCAGTACTAAACTAGTATTGTTGGAGCTTCTTCTTGTTAATGCATGGAGCATAGATGCAGCGCGGGAAACAGAACAATGAACGATCTGTTGTTTTTGCTTTCCCTCTTTCTTTTTTTCTATTTTTCCTTTTTCATTTCGGTGGGGGGGATCTTCTGCAGATGAGTGTGTAGGACGTAGGACTCGAAAAGACAGAATGTGCTGGTTTCCGGAAAATATGAATAGACCGCCAGCTCCCGGTGGCCCATCCCGTTAATGACGACATACACTGAACTGCACAGACCCCAAGTCGGCTGGTGGTTGACAAGCTCAGGCTAGACCTCTTGGGCGTCGACCCAGGATACGAGCACGGGGCGAACCAGCACCGACCATCCGTGCTGTTATCTCTTGGCTTTGTGGCTTGAAGGGTTGACAGATTGGAGAAGTCATATTTAGCTAGTTAACCCTACTATGTGAGTAACTAAATGCTAGTGCGCGGCACAGTGTTCGAGCCTTGTGGCCTCATTACAATCTTGATTGAGACTGGGCGGTAACGTGGGTTCATCTGTCCGGTACTCGAATGTCCAGTACTACTGCTTTGTCATTTGGAGAAGTCTCAGATGCCACATTCCGTCGCCCCGTTGCAGGTTTGTTTCCCTGTGAGTTGGCCCCTTTCACTCACCCTGGTTTGTTTTGTGAGGGTCAAGTGGGTGCTAACTCCAAACCCAGGTTTCAACCAGTTAACTGGCTGGGGCGTTTTGCTTGCTTGGCCATTCGCTCACGGACCTGACCTCGCAGCTCTGGACATGTGTGGCATATATGTGGCTATCTAGCTCCCTCCTCAAGACACCCGTGTGCAGGTTTGGTTCTGTCGCAACCCAGTTTGGTAACTATGTGAATGATTGTGAGCACAATAGCTAAAGACCCTGCTTAACCGGCTGGGTGTGGCGGCGGTAATTCCGCTCGTTTGAATGAAGCATGAAGCTACTTGACTCCCCGGTTTGAAAATTCGAATATGGGGAACGGCTTATCACTTTTTTTCCCCTCCCCGAAGCCATAAGACGGACGATGCCGATTTCCTGTCATGGTATCCTTGTCTTAGCTGTTCGCTTGAAGCTATCACAGGCTCACTCGATGCCGGGGTTATGACTTAAGTCCGCAGGACCCGCTCTCGGCTTCGGACATTATAAATGAGCGTACGGAACATTAACGCGAACGAAGAAGTCAACGAACAAACAATTATTAATCGGATCCGTGCTGATGGGGGTCCAGACGAGACTTCCAGTCTGTTTGATGCCGTTTCGCTTCATTCGATGCTTGCTCTCGCTTCCTCCGAGCTCCCACAGGCATAACTTTAAATACGGTCCCATAGAGCTAGCTTCGATGATTTCATTGATATCTGTTCATATTTTTCTATTATATCTGTTTTTACGAGATTTGCCCGCCAGCATTGGCAATCTTCATGCTCTCTCCGCACCTTCCATATCGCGTTTCAGTTTCCCAAGTTTACTGTATTCGAGGAGCTAGGAGCTCATAGGAAACATCTCGGCCCGCGCCTGATTAATTTTCCCGTTATAATAACCTGTGAAAACTCACAGCTTCCTATTTCGTTATCCGTTGGTGCAATACATACGGCACTGGGGCATAGAGCTGTTTCCGCCCTGAGGACATACTTCTCACGCTTCTCGGGATGTCGTCCACCGACGAGAAGAATGACGTCGAGAATCGACAAGCAGATAGTCGTGTCGGGAGCGAAAAAACCAAGATAGATGGGGAACAAAAGCCATACGGACGTTCTTCATCATCGAAATCCAGCCTGACTGAAGTCCTGGGCTCGCCACCTCCAGAACGAAGATTGAGCAAAGGATCCGATAATCTCGGCCACGATGCTTTGGATTCCTTAACAACACAGCACCCCGCGAACGAGGACCCAGAAAAACAAGAGGCAGAGGCTCGCCCTCCCGTAAACCCCATGATGGACCCAAGCTCGTTTCCTGACGGCGGAATTGAGGCATGGACGGTGGTTTTCGGGGGGTTCTGTGCTTTGTTTGTGAGCTTCGGATGGATCACTTGTAAGCCAAATGCTTTACTTTTGTCTACATTCTCTGAAATATTTTTTGGGCCCAAGAGACAAGTCCGCACGACCACCATCTGACGTATATATTAGGCATCGGCGTGTTCCAGGATCACTACCAGAATAACCAGCTGAAGGCCTATTCACCTAGCACTATCGCCTGGATTCCGTCCCTTGAGACATGCATGATGTTTTTGGTTGTATGTCGAAAAGAAGCACCATCCTGAACCATGTCAAATATTAGCCTGAAAGAAACCGTACTGACCATTTACTCCATGGGTAGGCGCCCTTTTGCGGCAAAATATTCGACAACTACGGGCCTCGATATTTGCTCATAGGTGGATCATTTTTCCATGTGTTTGGTCTGATGATGGCATCTATATCAACCGAATACTATCAAATCCTCCTGGCCCAGGGCATTTGCAGTGCACTTGGCGCTGGATCGCTTTTCTATCCTTGTGTCAATAGCATCACAACTTGGTTTTTCAAGAGACGGGCATTGGCGTTTGGAATTGCTGCCAGTGGCTCAAGCATCGGTGGAGTGATATATCCTATCATGGTGGCGAAGCTAGTTCCGCAGGTGGGATTTGGCTGGACTATGAGGATTTGCGCCTTTCTCATCCTGGGCTTATGCATCATTGTAAATCTGACGGTAAAGTCGAGGATACCACCTCAGCCAAAGCCGTTCAAATTCAAGGACTTCATGACCCCCTTCACAGAGCTGCCATTCCTCTTGACCACGTCAGGCGCATGGCTATCCTTCTTCGGGCTCTTCTTACCGTTCACATTTATCGTCTCGACTGCTCGATACTATGGGATGTCGCCACGTCTAGCAGGTTATCTTGTTTCAATCATGAACGGAGCCAGGTAGGCCCATTCCCCCACACCTTAGAGCAAAATCCTCTTGAGCCTCCCTTCACAAACTCCCTTAAAACAGCCCATCCAGGTTAGATATTAACTAAGCGACCATATATAGCACGGTCGGACGTATCCTGCCGGGCCATGCCGCCGACGTCTTCGGCCGTTTCAATGTCATGGTAATAACCAGTGTACTGAACGTCATTATGGTCCTGGCTCTCTGGCTGCCCGCCCGGGGCAACATCCCCATTCTCCTGTTTTCCGCTTTTTTCGGCTTTACCTCCGGCGCCTTTGTTTCCCTTAACCCAGCCTTGGTAGCGCAAATCTCCGACGTGCGCCAGATCGGTATACGCACAGGTGTGATGTTTGCTGTCTCATCCTTAGCCAGCCTTACGGGAAACCCTATCGGCGGTGCCCTTGTGGGGAACATTGAACAACCGACGTTCTGGCGGATGCAGTTGTTCTCGGGAATTGTTATGGCTGGAGGGGCTGTGTTTTATGCTCTTGCTAGGTTGAGGTTGACTGGTTCGAAGTTAAAGACGAAGTTTTGAAAAAAAGTAAGAAAAGAAAAGAAAAAGAAGAAAAGTTGATGGTTTGGTGAGCGCAAGGGGCCCGCTTTATTTAGTACATGAGCCCTTTTTGCTCCCTGTTCCGTTCCTTTCAGTCCATTGTTCCTTTCTCCCTCGGATTATCATATGATTATCGTTCTTCATTATTGCATTCCCTCTTCTCCCACTTTCTCGACGTTCTCCTGCGTTCTTGGCGTTGTGCACAAATTATACTGCTCACCCGCTTCTATTTTGCAATATTTCGATCCGAACAGTTGGTCTTCTTGTAGATGTATATAGACTTATATAGAGACATTGATTAACGATAAATGATAGACTGCGGCTTTTCGGGTAACAAAGGATTCTATCCCAAGGGTTGCTTAGGGATTTACAAGAGTCACATTCCAAGAGTCACATGGAGACGTTCAACGAATCTCAGAAACCCGTAGGATCGATCGATTCCTCAGCGGTAATGGCGCTGTTCGAGTCCAAGGCCGGCTGGATTGCGGGATCGAGGGGAGTTTGATGGGGAGCGTCCCTTGGGGATGTTAGACAAAGCCCCCTATTTGTTCTCCTGATCTCGTTGCCCCGACAACACACCCAATGAACGCTCTTCACAACGTTCCTCTCTCTCCTCTCACCCGCGAATGTATTTTTGGCCTTGGAAGGTTTTCCCAGCAGATAGACAGGATCTCCCAGCAGCAAAGGTAAGTATACGCAATTGCTTTTCTTTTCTTCTTTTTCATTTCATTTTCTTGTTTTTGTTTGGGTTTTCTTTCTTTTCCTTTTCAGTCGACGAGCCCAGAGTTTTCCGTTGGTTAGTTGTTTATTGTCTGCCATTCGAACGTGAAATAAACACAACCACGGCGTGAATGGCACACGTAAGTTGAGATTCAAGAGATATATATATTTTTTAAAGAAAAGAACTCGGCTTCAATATCTGTGGCTTCCGTTTTGGTTTCTGTCTCCCCCTGCATTTGTTTACTATATTACTGTACACCTTTCCCTTTCGCCGTCGAAATTGGCCATTTTGAAGCCAAACCGGACGGACAGAACTCCCGAACGCTCTCGTGGAGTCCCAGCAAACACATCCATTGCGTTCCTCCACACCCCACCACCTCGATAAGTTCCCTATCGAGTAGGCATGAGCGTTCGCGTCATCGCACGAATCCGGCCCCTTCTCAAATCGGAGAAGGAAAGCGATATCATCGTCCGCTCCGGAACGACGGCCATCCCTGCTATAGCGAATACGCGGCCCCCAGCGGCTTCATTGCCGCAGCAGCAGTTGTGCTCTTCCAAAAGTGATGGGAAATCGACGACAACAACGGCATTGAAGGGCAAAAGGCAGAAAGATGGGGCGAATGCGGCTCTAGCGCTGGATCGAGATAATCTGGTGCGCATTCCAAATCCAAAGAATGAAGGGGAGGAATATAGTTTTCAGTTCAATGGGGTGTACGGGCCGGACGTATCGCAGCAGGAGATTTTTGATGGCGAGGGTGAGTTTTTGTCCCCTCTAGTTTCTCCGCTTCAAGGGACTTGTCTTGCCTTTTTTTTTTTTTTTTTTTTTTTTTTTTTTTTTTTTTTTTTTTTGGTTACGGAAAGCAACCTAGTGTTTCTCAGTGGCAACCTGGAGGAGGAGGACGAGGAGTGCTCAAGTTGGGAAGCTAACGGCAGTAAATATTCAGTTGCTCCAACGATAAAGCATCTTTTCAACGGTTTTGATGTGACGATATTCGCTTACGGGGTTACGGGAACTGGCAAAACACATACAATGCGTGGCGGGAAAAGTCTCCAGGATAGAGGTGTCATTCCACGACTCTTGAGTGGCATTTATAGACGCAGTCGTAAGGTTGAAAGGGATAGCCAGGGCGCCACTAAGGTGGATGTGGTCATGAGCTACTATGAGATATATAATGACAAGGTGTTCGATCTTTTTGAGCCACCAGAGAAGAGAACGCCTGCGGGTCTGCCCTTGCGGGATGCAGGTGGAAAGACTGTAGTAGTTGGACTGACTGAACGGCCATGCACGAGCTTGAAAGAGTTTGAGATGTTGTATGATCATGCCAATGTGAATAGGTCAACGTCAGCAACGAAGGTGGGAGAAATCAGCCAGACAAATATCGCCAAAGTAGTCATACTAACAGGGGATAATATAATAGCTCAACGCCCATTCATCGAGGTCTCATGCAATCCTCTGCGTCAAGCTGGTTGTTACAACTGCTGAGCAGACCCGCGTGAGCCTTGCGTCATGCATTGATCTTGCTGGATCCGAAGATAATCGTCGAACTGACAATGATAAGGAGCGCATGGTAGAATCTGCTAGTATAAACAAAAGCCTATTTGTGCTTGCTCAATGCGTCGAAGCAATCAGCAAAAAGCAATCCCGAATCCCCTACCGTGAATCGAAAATGACGAGAATACTGTCTTTGGGCCAAAATAATGGACTAACCATCATGATTTTGAATCTGGCTCCGATACGCTCATATCATCTTGATACGCTCAGTTCGCTTAACTTTGCGAACCGTACGAAGAAGATAGAAGTACGAGAAATCGAAAACGAGCCCATGTTCAAGGGGCCGCCACGGCCAACCATTCGGGGATCCGGGACAACTGGGCCCGTAATACACCGCCAACCTTTACGGCCTCTCACGGCTTCGATCAACGCAAATATAGTACTACCGACTGCGACGGATTCCTCAAAACCAGCAGAATCCAAACCTGTTAAGGCGTTCTCTGTGTACTCTGACAAGCTACAGTCGAAGCCACCTTCCAACGTCAAACGGTTTGTCCCTTCGAGGCGATCATCGCCGTTGAAACTTAGAGCTGATGCAAGTGGTGTCGACACATTACGACCATCGAAAGTGTTTCGGCCTGTAGATGCCGGCTTACATGCTCTGGAGGGCATATCTGCGGCAAAGATAGAAGAAATGGTGGAACGAAAGGTTGAGGCAGTTCTCGCCGCCCGAGCTTTGAATGAGGCTGGAAAGCAACGTGACAGCGACCATTCTTCTAACAATGAACTCAATGAGCAAGTGCAACGCCGACTTGAGTTACTTGAGCAAAGGATTGAAGGGAAATCGGACGCGAGAGCGGAAGGGTTATCCTACCTCTTGATGGGAAAGCAGCACCAGTCAAGAGGGGAGGATTCATCAGCTCTAAGAATGTATCAGTTGGCTCAACCATTTTTCCCCTGCAATGAAAAACTGGACACTAAAATAAAAGCATTGAAAGAGAAGTTGGTGATATGCAAGGGACAGGTGCCGCTGTCGTTCCCAATGGCAGCAGAGAACTGTGATGCAGGGGCGGAAACGAAGCGTCCAAAAAAGCGAAAGAGATATGCGAAAGATGAAAGTTTCAATTCTGCAGATCATGTTGGCGATGTCAGTGACTCCCAACCATCCGATCCGAATGAGCAATTCAGTGATGAAGAAACAGCCTATCCGTATACCCAGCCGTCAAAAAGACCTGTGGCGCCTAATAATGGCAAATCTCGAAAGCCGTCATCTGTCCCCTTTCCATATCAAACACCAACTAAAAAAGATACAAGCTTTACTGCTGACGAGCCAACCGATGTGAAACATACCCCACGCACCCATCACATTATTTCAACAATAAATACCAGGAACGTCGATCAGATAAAGCTGTTGCGGGGCGTTGGGATAAAGAAAGCCGAGGCCATCGTTGACTGTCTATGTGAAATGGATACACGGTATGCCCAGGATAGTCATGAAAACAACGCCAGCGACATCGTGCAGATACGAAGTTTAGCAGAGCTTGGGAAGTTGAAAGGAGTTGGTGCGAAAACAGTGGAGAATATGAGGAACGCGATTTAAGCGATATTCCGGTCTCTCTGATTGATTGCCGTAGAGCGCCGATGACTGAGCTGTTATGTTAGAAATGGTCAGCTTTGTGCGGGGATGCTGGAAGGGATGTTTGGAGGGTGGCAGATGTCTTCAACTTAGTTGATTTCTTTGCTTCCTATTATTTCGACTCCACAACTTGTCACCGTTTTTTTTCCCTTTATTGTCCTTGCGTTGCATCTCATCGCTTCACATGCATATTTCCAACTATTTTTGTTATCATTGTCGACTATCGAGCAAGGCGTATTTGGAGTTTATGCCATTATTTGATATATGATTTTACTTTTCTTTTGAAATGATACCAGTTTTGTTCTTGTTATTTACTTGGATTTTCTGCATCTATCAACGCTTCTATTGGGTGATTGTTCTTGATCCTGGGAGGAAATATTGAGCATCCAAAACGTTACTACCGCACCAAGCCGGCGACGCACCAATTTCCAATCATAAATCATTCAGCTCAAGAACGGAAATTGGATGATGGAAAGCCGGCAAACAAAATAGAATGAGAGAAAGGCTAACTAACAAGCGGTGTATCCCCATCAATTACCAACGAGGGCCCCGTCATGAGTCTACTGGCATCGCTCAACAAAAAATGACTACACCGGTTTACCAACCGTTCCAGCAGATTCTCCGACTCCCAAGTCCTCCTCAGACCCTTCTCTCAAACGTTTATTCCACCATTGATGTCAGAATGTGCCCTGGGCACAATGAATTAACTCTAGTCCTCTTGTCAGGCTCCCTTCTAGTTGGATAGCCGCTGCCTTGGATGAGGTATACACTGGTGCGTTAAGCCCCTTGATGGTTACAAGCCTGCTCATACTTGCCGCCAGCATGATTAAGTCGACACATTCATATTCCATCATCTGCCTTGCTACCACCTGCGCTGTCATGAAGAGGCCCGAGTAATTTGATATCCATGGTTTTGTCATATTTTCGGGCGAGTAGTCGACAGCATTGGTGGGTCGGAAGATTCTGGCCGTTCCCACTAGGCAGTCAAGGCGCCGGTTGCGGGACGCGACTCCACTTATGGTGAACGTCGCACGTCGAGGTGATGGAGTGCAAGGAACCGACGTGCTCACGGCCGGCTAGATCTTGGGTGGCTAGGAACTCCGCGTCAGGACTTCGGAGACGGCCGATGTAACGGACCTAGGTTGGCAAAGTAGAATTAGATTCTAGAGCCAAAGGGTTTTCGTTTGTCTATAGAGATTGGGAATATATGTGATATTCCAGATAATCGCTTTACTAAAGCTGTACGCCTCACTGTCTGCTCCAGCTTCGGCCATCGCTTCTTCCATAAAGAGTCCCAACACTCTGCCGCCCACGGTGACAATATCCAGTTTACCCTTGACGCTGAATTGGCGCCCTGGGAGAACGGCGGACTCCATATTTTGATTTTTGTGAAAGAACTTGAAAACTTCTGGATATATATATTTGCCAGCAGTAGATAGGGAGAATGGATTTTGTGATTCCGATTGTAAGCTATTGTTCTATGCAGATTGGGGACAAAAATCTTGACATTGCCTGGTTCATCCTGGCTGAGAGGAGCTAACCATGTCTTCATATAGTTCTGGAAACGTTCAAACATATGGAGAGAAAAATCTGCCACGGAATATGGAATGCCAGCACATATGTATATGCGACATGTAACTTATTAATGGAAAGTACATAACACTGCATCACCGCTGGATATTGGTTGGTTGGGATGTATGACGTCACATATATACAGCTCATAGTTGCCGGAGCTCATCCGCGGCACCCAGGAAGCTGCAATAGCCGCTGATTTGCAATTTTGGTAGTGATGATTTTTCAAAACAATTCGCATAAAAACTAGTCCGAAATTGTTAGGTTCCCTGTGCTTCTCCTTCATCTGTTTTTTTTCGTCCTCCGACATGCACAGAAGATCAAGAAATAATGGGCCCAAAGTAACAATTTTCCAACTTCCATTCTCGAGTGGCTACTATATACGACCAAAATGCTAATCCACTCAGCTGCGCAATCGATCTCGGGAAACAAGACATTCTTTTTAAGGGATCCTGCGGAAGGTATCCGCAAGTTTATCAATTGGGGCCATCATGAATCCAATGACGCTCTCAAAGGCAGGCTGGTTGGGTGCTGCAGGGTGCAAGCGTGTTGGAACGAACATCTTTGTTCTTTTGAAAGATTTGGAGAGTTCTTCACTATCCTCATTGCTGATAGCATTCTCAAGAGCGGGGAGATTGTCTCCTTCCTCATCTCTCATATGCGTGGACAGATTGTCCATGAGAGAGTTGACTGTCGGCTCGAAGTTTGCATCTGTCGGCTTCATGGATTGGAACTCCATAAGCTGCTCCTTGGTCTAATTTTTTTTATCTTGGTATTAGCATTCTTTGGTGTCCTTACTTTGTGACATAGCTAGGGATTCTGAAGCATTATCCCTCCTTTCACTTACCTTCTGATGCCGCTCGCGATCCTTCTCTACCCGCTCCTTACCATCTGCTAAATGTTTTTCCAACGCTGGGTAAAGCAGAAGCTCCTCAGCTGCAGAATGGCGAGCCAACTCCCATACAAACTGGTTTTGAAACCTAGTTTTGATAATATCATTATCAGCATTGACTATCTGGTTATGGAATGCCTCCAGCTCTTTGTGGTCCTTTTTGACCGAATCAGATATAGAAACCATGGCGACGGGGGTGGTATGCGATAGATGGATAAATTGCAAGGTCAAAACGATACAGGAGATAACCAGCTCTAGTCGAAGGTTAGCTTTTAAGGGTTCGATGTCATTATTATAGATAGGATTTAAATAGCATTCGGCTTGCTGGGAGGGATGATGTAACTAGGGTATGACATAGTTGACCACGTTATTCGATGGTGAATCTTTCTTGATGATGCAATGTCGAAGTTAGGAATTTTGCCAGCTTGTACTGTACAACAGCATCTGAACACAAAATATTATCACTACCAGTACGGTCTAATGCTTGCAGGTATGTTTCCTCTTCAGTTCTTGTACCATATACCACTCGCCAATGCGCAAAATCCTTTTGAGGCAATACGCCAAAGCGGTTATTTCGCAGGCAGTAGAAACTAGAGTCGACAAGCCCATCCGTATTAGTGGTGTCCTAGGCCATAGAATTGGGAATGGCATTGAAGGAGAAACCATCTCTTAATTGAATAAGCAGTATTTTCCCTTCCATACCTCAGGCATTGTGCGCAGTACTGGTGTGAAACAGTGAATGGCACGCCATTTTGAGATTCTTCACCACTGCTCTATGGTCATTTCAGTTCAATATCCATAATTTGTGTCTCAATTTATGCCTCTTTGTGTCCATTGCCCGAGTTTCCGTCAAGACCCTTCAAATGCTGAATTTGCATCACAGTGGACTGAATTCAAGCTAGTAGTTCATCCTGATTCCAGGGCCTCCATGAACATAGACCTGTCCTCAAGGGTGGAAAATATCAAACATTGCAGTATCATCTGCATGTCATGCATTGCCCTTGAGTACTCCATCCCCTCATAGCTGCTTTCATTCCCAATCCAATTACCTTCATATCTGACCGCAATTCGTGCACTGCTTTGTTTTCAAGTTCTTCTGAGATGCTTATGGCACAAATATGGGATCATGTGATTTTTTTTCTGCAAGTAAATCCAGGCCCTGGCACCCACTTCAATGCTCCTTCGAAACAAAATTCGAAAAAAATAACTATAAAGAAACAAATAAAAAGTATAAAAAAATCACTACAATTGGGATGTCCAATTTCAAAATACCAGTAAGACGATGCTTCTTGTGCACCTACTAGTTATAGAAAATGGGGTTGTCAAACCCTCCAAACAGCACAAATTAAGGCCACCGTACATCACACCACCACTAACTCTCCCTTGCTTTGATTCAAGCACCTTTTGAAACCACATCCAACCCATCAGTTCGTTCAACTCCACACCTTCTACCTTGTGCCTGCTGGGCCAATGTGTTCTGTACACATTTCTATTTGATTTTAAAATCCGTAAGAACTCCAGATCCTCCCATAACCCCTGTCGTTTCTGGACAATATTGCTTGGGGAATTGACACGACAGAGATAACCAACTAGCCTCATCTCCGCGTCCTGCATCCCCAATTTTACTCATAAAAGGATTTGGGCATATTCGCGGACTTTTTGTAACCTCCGGAACCGGTTTCTACGTTCGCGATGGCGGCACCACAGGGAGGCTTTCCTCCTGGAGGCCACCCCCAAGATGAGTATAGTCAACCACAACAATACGCTGAGGAACAACGCGGAAGCGCAGACTCTCCAGCTCAGGCCGATGCGCTGACCCATGGGCAAATTCCTCATGGTGGTAAAAAGAAACGAGCATACGCCGGCCAGGCTTATGAGTTTGGAGCTGGTCCAAACGCTGCCTTGGGGGGTCAGTTACAAGGCGGTGGGGCGTACGGCGGGTATCCTGCCCCTCAACAACCGCAGGGTTATCCGCAAACTGTTTATGGGACGGAGCCAGTCCAAACTGCTCCTCAAATGGCTGGCCAGCCGGAACCAGTAGCCGTTGGGGGATATCAAGCTCCAGTCGATCCCTATCCGTCTCAGCCTGTCAATATGGGTCAAGTAACCCAACAAATGGGTCAGATGAGTATGGGTGGTCAGCCAGCAGGACAGCAGATGCCAGTTCAAAGAAGTGTCCCGCTCAATACGCTATATCCTACGGATCTTCTAACACAGCCGTTCAATGTTGCTGAACTAGACTATCCCCCTCCACCAATTGTTTTGCCTCCCAACGTGAGTTGACATCCTTTAGATGTGATCGAGGTTTTGGGCTGACCAGTTCCAGACCAGTGTCACCCCTTCTCCAACAGCGAATTGCCCTCCAAAATATGTGCGCTCTACTCTAAATGCTGTGCCCACCACGCATTCTCTTTTGAAGAAGTCTCGTCTACCATTTGCCTTGGTTATCCAGCCTTATGCATCGCTGCATGACGCTGAAGATCCGATCCCTATCGTGTCTGATCAAGTAATTTCTCGATGCCGGCGATGCCGTTCCTATATCAATCCCTTCGTCACGTTTCTTGATCACGGTCATCGCTGGCGTTGCAACATGTGCAACCTTGTCAACGACGTTCCTCAAGCATTCGACTGGGACGCAGCCTCGCAAAAAGCCCTTGACAGATGGCAGAGACCGGAGCTTAACCATGCTATTGTGGAGTTTGTGGCGCCTCAAGAATATATGGTCCGGCCGCCACAGCCTCTCGTTTATTTGTTCCTGATTGATGTCAGTTTCGCATCCGTCACCAGCGGGCTCCTGGCCACCAGCGCGCGTTGCATCCGCGAAAGCCTTGATAGAATACCAAACGCAGATCGTCGAACCAGGCTTGGTTTTGTTGCTGTGGATTCTAGTCTCCATTACTTCACTATACCAAGAGATGGCTCGGAAAATTCAGACCCAGGCATGTTGGTTGTCAGCGATTTGGACGAGCCTTTCCTGCCTATTCCTGGAGATTTGTTAGTCACTCTCACAGAATGCCGCGAAAACATCGAGCTGTTCCTGGATAAACTGCAGGAAATGTTCCAAAATACGCAAAACAATGGTTCATGCATGGGTTCTGCCCTTCGAGCTGGTCATAAACTAATAGGGCCTGTTGGTGGAAAGATAACGGTATTGACAGCATCACTTCCTAATATTGGTTTCGGAAGTCTTGAACTGAGAGAGGATAAGAAAGCACTTGGAACCAGTAAAGAGAGCTCTTTGCTTCAGACCGGTAACAGCTTCTACAAGAGCTTTGCTGTCGAGTGTTCGAAGCAGCAGATTTCTGTAGATATGTTCCTGTTTTCTTCTCAATACCAGGATGTGGCATCGCTTAGCAATCTTCCCAGGTATACCGGCGGCCAAACTTACTTCTACCCTGGTTGGAATGCGGCCCGAAGCGAAGATGCAATCAAATTCGCCAAAGAGTTCTCGGATTATCTTTCGGCAGAAATCGGCCTGGAAGCTGTCTTGCGTGTGCGTGCCACGACTGGTTTGAGAATGAGCACGTTTTACGGCAATTTCTTCAATAGGAGCTCGGATCTCTGTGCTTTCCCGGCATTTCCCCGTGACCAAGCATACGTTGTGGAGGTCGCCATCGATGAAACCGTCACGAAGCCAGTGATTTGCTTGCAGACGGCTGTGCTTCATACCACTTGCAATGGAGAACGAAGAATTAGAGTCATAACATTGGCCCTGCCTACGACACAGTCTCTCGCAGATGTCTATGCTTCGGCAGATCAGTCAGCAATTGTCACCTACTTCAGTCATAAAGCAGTTGAACGTACTCTCGGCAACGGCCTTGAACAAGCCCGGGATGCACTTCAATCCAAAATTGTAGAGCTATTGTCAACATATAGAAAGGAACTTGCAGGCGGAAGTGTTGGTGGTGGAGGGTTGCAGTTCCCCGCTAATTTACGAGGATTGCCTGTACTATTCCTGGCACTGATGAAAAACGTAAGAACACGTTACACGGCCATCTTATCATGAATCATGAACTAACCAAGCCCAAATAGATCGGCCTCCGAAAATCTTCTCAGATTCCCACGGATATGCGATCCGCTGCCCTTTGCCTTCTGTCAACACTGCCACTCCCTCTTCTGACCCAGTACATCTACCCGAAACTATACTCGCTTCACGATATGCCCGACAATGCTGGTGTGCCCGACGAGAATACCGGAGAAATCACGCTGCCACCACCTTGTAACCTATCATCCGAGCGCCTCGTGCCGTATGGCCTCTACCTCATCGACGACGGGCAGACGCAATTCCTCTGGGTCGGCCGTGATGCTGTTCCACAGCTGCTTGTGGATGTTTTTGGCGTTGCCGATAAAGCACAGGTGAAGGTTGGGAAGCAATTCTTACCGGAACTTGAGAACGATTTCAGCGAGAGGGTGCGTGCTGTCGTGCAGAAAAGTCGCGATAAACAGTCTCGTGGTGTTGGTAGCATTATCGTTCCCCACCTTTACGTTGTGAAGGAGGAAGGGGAGCCTGGATTGCGACTATGGGCACAAACTATGTTGGTTGAGGATCGGGCTGACCAGGGAGTCAGTTTGCCGCAATGGATGGGATCGTTGCGGGAAAAGGTATGACCTTGATTTTCTTGGTCCTATCCTATCATGCATAGGGTTGATCTAGTACACATTTGTTTTTGCTTTCATTGTGCTTGTTCTTGGCCTTTGTGGCTTTTCTTCATCCCGTAGCTTCATGTTTTGCTAACGTGTGACGTTTTCGGAATTTACAGGTTATACAGTAAAAGGGCACAGGAGAGTGGTAGTGATGTATCACGTTCTAGAGAAAAGATCCTTCCCTCGCCCCGCCGTCATATTCTCCAGGTTAATCAATCAATTCATATTCCGCATCTTCGAGAGAGAAAAAATTCCATTTATTTTCGTTGCTAAATCTCATTCAACCTTTCCTTCTTCTCACCAAGCTGTAAACAAAATGAAGAAGAATAAGTTTTCTCCAGCACGTATATAACCTGCCCAGAAGAGTATACAGGAAAGAAAGCATGGATAACCATTAGCTCTGAACCTATTTCTTTCCATAGACAAAAACATTTATGTCATGGCACTCCATATATGTATATGCCCCCGAGTAACCCAGACACCCGCAATGAAACGTGACTAGAATCACTTTTTTTCATATTTATATGAAATGGTAAAAATTAGCAGGGGCGCTTTGAATGAATACTGAGTACGGCTGCGCTGGTTCAAAATAAAAAATCCAAAAGAAAATCATATAAACAGGGTCTTGCCGCGACTCGAACGCGGGGCCTCTCGCATATCAGATTAAGTGCACTTAATCGGGCAAACCCGAAGCGAGAATCATACCACTAGACCACAAGACCATTAACTAGTGCAAGCATTGGGGGCTTTTTGACATTTCAACAGGGACTCTAATTAGCTCATAGCCAGCCCTCTCTAGGCTTCAGCAGGACCTCAACTTCTAGCAAGATGAAGCCAGGCATTGAAACCGGATGACAAAGGACTATTTCAAGCTTCATGAGGTCTCATAGCCCTCTAGCTACCTCGATCATATATATATATCACAACCTCCTTAGAAATTCCACGCTTATAGTCTGGATACTTGAGCACAACGTCTCCGAAGCAAGAAATGCTGATTCAATCTATCACTCTCTTGAAATAAACAACACGGATGAGCTGCTGGAGGAATCCTGACATGGCTTCAGAAATGTCTCCTCTCTCATTTGCGCGTTGACAAGCGGGAGATTCCATGTAGGTAGATTGAAATACTACCTCTAAAAAATCCAGGGCCATGGAAGAGCATTTGAGGGTAGAGCATCGATTTTGATCCGTCTCTCTCTCCTCTTTCACTTCAATAAGATATTTCACTTGTGAAATGAGCCGTGCGTAGAATCTTTATACATGCCTGATTAAGGAAGGGGGAGATGGGGGATTTATACATGCATGGATGAAACGTTGTCAGTGGATTTATTGAATTATAGAGAAGTGAACTTTTAACATTTGACAAGTTGATGCATTTTCTAATATTCCTGAATGACTACCACCAGTGAAGCTCAACATTGTCTTGGTCATTGGGGGATCCGATGAATATCAACTAGCATCAGGTGAAGGAAGCCTTTTCTGTCACATATGTAGCCTAATTCATTCTCTTTGTTTTTACTTCATTTTGATTTTATTTATTTGCTTATAACACGATAAATAGATAAATCCCTAGAACACAAGGAAGGCTAGCCAAATACGTTTATAATCAGTGGGCAAAATCAATTTGGAGGCACTTATTATTTGTTCACATATATCTTTGAGTGGCGTATACAAGATCAATGTTTCAACATATAGTTATCACATTGAAGTGAGATAATGGGGTAATGAAAGAAAAAAAGAGATGATTCGACGATGGGGCTGATCAGGAGCTGCAATACACACAGTGGTACGGTGAAATCCTTTGAAACTATACCAGCTCTCTTCTCAGAAATAAGAAAATAAGAATCCAGATGGTCCAGGGTCGCTGCGAAATCTCGGTGGACTACATTCTGAAGGGCTTAGCAGTAAGCTGAAACACACGACAATTAGTATCCATGGCGTTCACTAAAAGAAGCTTGAGCAAAGAAAAAGGGAAAGTCCGTTGGAATACTTCTCCTTCCTTGAGCACTCGGCAGCGTTGCATGGTTAGAGGTATGAGAAGTATCGAAGTATCTTCGCCAGCCTCTTCTTTCTCTTCACTCCACTGCAGCAGCTCCGGCCTTTAGAGATTGAGAAATAGAAATAAGTAGATTGAATAACTGGGCGGCTAAAACCAGCAGCTTGGTTCAGAATTCCTCTCTCGCTCCCGTCCTTGTTGCATATGGGAAGTCTGCTCGATTTTTTAGATCGCCGGGGAGATAAGACCCTGTTGATCTAAATGTTATAATAATTGTCTGACAAGGTGATATTTGGTGGGGAACTTCACCAGAATAGTACGCCGATTTATCCTGTTTAATGAGTCGATTGACTTATGCCCCTCTCCCTCCACTGGCCTTGGGAATCTGCCATTGGGCCAATCGCCAGCTAGACCGTCGGGTGATCCACGAATCGAATGGAATGACAGCAGTTTGATTTGGGCAGGATGGAGATTTTTTTTTTCTTTTTTTCTTTTTTGTGGGTGGGGGGAGAGCAAGAAAGAGCAAGGTAACGAACGGGTGTGATCAGGCATGGTTTGATTGTGCTTGCTGTTCGGTACGATTATTCGCGTGCCGCAGCCTGCAGGTGCTCTGTTCCTCCCGATCCAACGGCGCAGTCTATTGAGGACTGGATTGGGGCTGGTGCGGTTTGGGATAGTGCTGTGTGTTGTGGTAGGTGGTGTGCACAGATGGTGTCTGGCTGTGATGCTGCCCCACCACCGCTAACCGCCCGCCAGCCCGCCGCCGGGGAGCATATCATCATCTCCCATGGTGGTTGACGATTTTCCCTCTGCCTCTTCTTATTGTTCTCGGACTTGGACTTGGAATCTAGATCCGGATTGGTTTCCCGGAGGAAGAGGGGCTGCGTTTCATAATTCAGACGGTTAGCTAATTCCTTTTTCTCCTGCGGCTGCCATCTTCTGCTTCTGTAAAGAACGTGCGGCATCTAACTCCCCTTGTTTAACTGCATATTTATGCGACCTCTTCCAGACCGCATCGTCATCATCAGCCTCCGTACAATAGCTCAGACTGGGGAGAAATACTTGTGACAAGGCCAAAATATCACTCCCAACGACAGAGTACGCTTGTCTGGTTATTCAATCTATTTTCCTTTCCAAGACTGGCCCAGTCAGGTATTCCTCTTGCAATATTACGGGGAATATCTATTCCAGGCGGAGCAACACAAACCAGGTATGACATGAACCATATCTTCTCTGTCCTGTCCGCCCACATTCCCTCATCGTGATCACCAGCCTCCCCACCTTGCCATGGTGAATCGCTGATATCCATTCACGGTCGCGCTCTCTAACACGGAGATACACTGATAATGTGGTAGTTCTCTAGGCCTTCCTCTTCACCATCAGGCTTTTCCCCTCTCTCGATTCCTTTTCACGGACTCCCCAACCCCGCAATTTTCCCCCACGGTAGATCCCAAGCTTGACCCTATATATCCCATATAACCAGTGACCATCGTTCGATTCAGGTTACATACCATAGCAAAACGGTTTCACCAATTATTTGACGCCAGCAGAAGCCCAATAAGCCATCCTTCCGAAATATCTCACATCCTCTCAGGACTCTCTCCTGTTTGATATCCTATTCACACCTGCAACATACACACCAAAAAAAGAAAAAGAAAAAAAAAACGCTATCAGAATATTGAGCTTGATATTGGTTCAAGTGTGTTGCAAATAGGGAATCACCATTACTGCTCTAGGGGAACTGAGAATCAACAGAGGTTCAGTGTTTACTCTGTGAGCAAGTGTAAGACGGTTCTTTCTGAAGTTCACATTCACTTCTAAATCATGTCTCTATCGGTGCGCTCATGTTTGAAGTAAAATTCATTGTTCGCATTGAAATTTTTTCGGCTACTTCTTTTCTTTGATATTTCGTTTTCTTTGCTGCCATGTGTTGTGTTCTTTGAACCCTTTCTTCCTCAGAACTTTTTGCTCTGCACACGGTTATATCGCAGTATGAATCAGTCACGGCCAAGCTTGCGGATCTCGCAGTGGCTAAACAAATATATCAAATGCCTCGTAGCGCGTTTGGGGAGTGTACTTGGAGCAAGTTCTCATTGTCCTATGCATATGCTTGCTATAATTATCTTTCTTTTGCCCCCAGTTTCAGGCTTCGCAGATGCCCCCACTCTCATGAAGCTCTGCTATCATTGTTTACCTTGTCACTTTTGTCAACATGGACTTCTTCATTAACAACTACGCCCGACCTCTCGTCTTTCCCCAAAGGCTTTCAGACCTTGTGTTCTCCTTCGTTCATGCTCTCCTTTCGTCGCAATTCTGATTGCTAATCTGTGGGGTTTAGTCCTCGGGATCGAGCACCATCACCATGGTCCAGCCATCAACTTCTCAAGGAGGGTCAAGGAAGATATCGTTCAATGTTTCCGACCAGTACGATATACAGGATGTGATTGGGGAGGGCGCATATGGAGTTGTCTGGTCAGTCTAGCATACTCTGCCCGTTGGGAGGCTGTACCCCTAACAAAAATGCTAGCTCTGCGCTTCATAAACCCTCGAGCCAGAAGGTCGCCATAAAGAAGATCACACCATTCGATCATTCCATGTTTTGCCTGCGCACGCTGCGCGAGATGAAGCTCCTTCGATACTTCAATCATGAAAACATCATCTCGATTCTAGACATCCAGAAACCCCGTAGCTACGAAAGCTTCACTGAGGTGTACCTCATTCAGGTACGGCTCGCGTAGCTCCCAGTTCTTACTCTACGCGACTAATTATATTCGTCCAGGAACTCATGGAGACGGATATGCACCGCGTGATTCGCACCCAGGACCTTTCCGACGACCATTGCCAATACTTTATCTATCAGACCCTACGAGCCCTGAAAGCTATGCACTCTGCAAATGTTCTTCATCGTGACTTGAAACCCTCGAACTTACTCTTAAACGCAAATTGCGACCTGAAAGTTTGCGACTTCGGTCTAGCCCGTTCTGCCGCTTCCACGGACGACAACTCTGGGTTTATGACAGAATATGTGGCCACTCGTTGGTACCGTGCACCGGAAATCATGTTGACCTTCAAAGAGTACACCAAGGCTATTGACGTGTGGAGTGTTGGTTGCATATTGGCGGAAATGTTGAGCGGGAAGCCGTTGTTCCCCGGCAAGGATTGTAAGATTTGCCCTTCCATATACATTTGAGATGATGGTATTCATTCTTCTGTCAAACACCCAAATCAAAAAGAATAGAAAAGCAAAAGGAACTGACCCGCTGAGCCAATCAGATCACCATCAACTTACCCTCATCCTGGATGTCCTGGGGACACCAACCATGGAAGACTATTATGGCATCAAGTCTCGTCGTGCTCGGGAATATATCCGATCCCTCCCTTTTAAGAAGAAGATACCCCTGAAGGCCCTCTTCCCCAAGACCTCCGATCTAGCCTTGGACCTGCTCGAGAAACTCCTTGCATTCAACCCAGTAAAACGCATCAGTGTCGAAGAAGCTTTGCGCCATCCTTACCTGGAGCCGTATCACGATCCAGAGGATGAACCAACAGCTGATCCGATCCCCGAAGAATTCTTTGATTTCGACAAGAATAAAGACTCCCTTAGCAAGGAGCAGCTGAAAGGTAATAAACTTCTTAATTCCTGAATATATCCTTTCCGTTAAAATGAACCCCATCCATCCATTGTATGTTTATGCTGTTCATTCATACTCAGTCTGACCCATATCCTCTCATTATAGTTCTTATCTACGAAGAGATCATGCGGTAGGAGCCCACGGAAATAATGGCAATGTTTTGTCCATCTTGATGTGTATCCGAGAAACAAAACACTAAAAGGAAGAAAGAAGGAACAAAACTATCACCACCCCCGTTTCATATATTGGGTCTAGCAATATTGGCGTCTCGAGAGTGTGTGCGTGTGTTGGGGGCAAGAAATGGACAACATTTGAAAGAAGTAACTGAATCTATGGTCTGAAAGGCTGATTTGATGAATCAAATGATTGTTTTTATGTTCTCTTCTTTTCTTTTCTTTCTTTCTTTCTTTCTTTCTTTCTTTCTTTTTACTTTTTTTTTGCATGGTCATATTCTACCTACGCTTGGTGGTGTACAGGTAGCTAATTGAATTTCTAATTGAATATTATCATCGTCTTTCTCAGCTCATAGTTCTTTTCTTTTCTTTTCTTTTCTCCCCTTCTACACACACACACACACTCCCTCTCTCTCTCTCTTTTATTTTACCGTTCGTTTGTTTTTTGATCCCTTTTTCCATTTGATTTATACTTTTATTAGTGGTTTTGCAGTCCAGAATGTGGAAATTGAAGAATGGGTCTCCATTATAGCTAATGAATCCATTTTATCGCCAAACAGCCATCCTGGCACAGCAGTCACCCACGGAATACTCGTAGTCGCTTGTCTCTCAGTACTATACTACATAATTTTTTTAAAAAAAATTCTGAGGGGGTATTGTTACCGGGGTGTCGTTTATTTCCAATAACAAGAACCCTCCTCAGGTGATGAATACAGATCGCTGCATATCCTCCCCCTCTCCAAGACCCGCACAACTACCCCCCCCAGCCACTCTTATCACTTATCATCCCGCCATGCCGCCAGCAAACCTAACCTCCCTCCCTCCAGAGATCGCATGTGTGATCCTTACCTGGCTCCCAGATTTCACCAACCTCTTCTCTGCAATCCAATCTAGCCACTTCTGGCATGATGTCTTCATCACAGGCAATAACGGCCGGTCTATCCTACGCTCCATCCTCCAGCGAAAATGCTCTTCACTGGAGCCGCGCAAGTATGGCAGCGTGCTCCGTGACCTGTTTGACATCGTGCGCTATGCTGTTGTGCCCAGGACCTGGGCGCGGGGCATATTCGAAGAGTGTTGGGGATGGTTTATGGAGCGGGACATGGAGGAGATGCTGATTCCCATTGGCATGGCGCTTGCGTGGTCGATTGCTACTGCTCCTGTTCCCGCTCCTGCCCCTGCTGTTATTTACTCACCAGAAGAAGAGCAGCAACAAGAGCAAGGCCAGGAACACGCGAAATCAAAGCACCTGGATGAAGCCATCGTTCTCCTCGAAGATATTTGGAAGGGATCCATCCCGTTCGGATGGACCAATCTCCCCTTTTCTTTTGAAGATTTTCCCCTAAGGGATGAGGGTGTCACGGCGCCAGCATGGCCCTTGATGTACCCGCTTGCGGCGTTACTGGTGAAGCTGTATGCTCTGCTGCCAGGAGCAAGAGGTGATGGCAGCGGCGACGACAATGACAATCACAAACGCGATGGCGTTCACATCACTAATAGCAATAATAGCCTTGAGAATAGTGATGTTCGGTCGCCAGCCAGGGAGGAGATCCTCAAGATGCTGAGGCCACGCTACGACGATCTCTACGTCGCTGTCGTCGCGGGGATCGATATATATATTGACACCAGGACTTACCAAGACGGCCATGAGCACTTGGCTAGGAATGGGGTACAGTTTATGAATGACCCGAGACAACTCTCTCAGGGAGGGCTCGGAGGAGATGGCAGACTTCGATATAGTGCTAGGCCTGCGGGCAATTTGTTCATGTTTTGGATGAGAATTAGGTGCCGGCCCAGATTCCTGCCTGTTGATGGGTTGTCCGTTCGTTGATTGCGATGTAAAGAGGGCCGGCTACAGAAGCCTGAAAGGTAGTTTTTCCTCTCTTAGTAATTATGGTGGAAAGGCAATATCCCAGGAAAGAAAAAAGGCCTGGGAAAGTGGATGTAGCTGTGCATAAGAGTTAACCTCCATTTGTTTATTAGCCCACGGACATAGATTTCTCCTCTCGATATTGGGGAGAGACTTTCAATTGAGATTTCGAGCCCAACAGGAAAGAAGGATCACAGAGCACCGTTATACCCATTTGCCGTATTATACAGTATATACCTATTCTATAATATTGGAAGGGATCTTGAAATATATAAATCAAAACATCTTGGACCAATATGCTCCATCCAAGACCCCAAATATTATCTCACCGTTCTCTCTAGCAAAAACTCCTGAATCCCCTTCCCAACCCCTTCAGGGCTAGGGATTTCTGCGCAAACATCCGGCTCCACTCCGTATCGCCCACGTAGATGATCTCTAGTTGTCGGCCCAATCGTTGCAATATAGCAATCACGCAGTGCCCCTTTAATTCTCTTCTTTTCCTTCTCTTCCTCTTCTCCTCTATTCATAGATGTTGATATCCCATCCCCATCTATTCCCTCCCGTTCGCTGACTGGAATCATACCAAGCGTTCGAAGCATAGCGTCACAGCCAGTAGGCGAGAAAACAACAACCCACATAGCCCGCTCATCAGCGTTATTATTATCACCATCATCCATACCACCACCTCCTCCCCTGCCCTCGAGCTTTCTCCTCGCCCGCGCAGCTTTCAGTGCAGCCCCGAACATATCCTCAAACGATTCCATAACCCCCGTCTCATAGACGATCAACTCCTCAACCTGTATCCTCCTCTCCAGCGGAAGCTTGTCCCCCATGAGCGTCTTTGGGATGATATCTCGGTGCTGCTCTCCCGTGAGGAATAAAAGGGGTAATTTGTTATCGTTGCTCCCTCCCGTTTTTGTCTTTGCGCAGCCATCATCATCTACCCTTGTTTCGGGGTCGGTGGAAGGTCTTCTATTGCTGTAATTGGCATTATAGTGGTCGAGGATGATATGCGCGAGTTTCTCGCCCGTACCTGCATCGCGGCCTACAAGTTCAGAGTGGGGGAGGTGTGATTCGCGTAATGTATTCAGAGAGCGGTAGGTCGCTGGTCCGACGCTGTAGAGGAGTAGGGATTCAGAGGCTTTTGTAGATGCGTTTTCTGTCCGTGAAATTTTTATGGGTTATATTTTCTTCTTCTTCTTCTTTTTTTTTTCTTTGGTTAAAAATATAACAATAATTTTTGATTCCAAAGGTATTGTTCCCTCTTGATAAATAACGCGGGAAAATATTGGGAGAGGAGAAGGTAAAGAGCATACATACCCCCCACTTCATTCGTGATAACCCTCGCAAACCCCTCCATAGCTCTCTGACTCGTAAATATCAACCCCCCATATTGCTTCCCTATATTCCCGGAGACGAATAGGTCCCTCACCCTCCGCAGACTTGCCTCGCGAAACCTGTGTTCGAGGACCGGGACGAAGATGGGGTCATACTGGCCCGATGCGGAGAAATATTCTTCGTATCCGTCGTGGGGAGTCGATTTGGTTTTCAGGAGGAAGATGGGGGTTTTGGCGGGGGTGCTTGAAGGAGTGTTCGTCATGATGATGGCATCAGCACATTCGATAGAAAGGCGAGTCTGTTGGAGGGCTGTAGCTTTTTACATATAAATTTTATCAATTGGTGGGGAACCAGAGGATGTCACTGGGCAGTAAGCAGAGGCAAGCACTTCATTTTTATACCTTCCGTAGTGGCCTTGCACAACGTTCTAAATGGAGCGCAAAAGCAATATACAAGTAAATTCTGGGATTATAATAAATGTATTTATTAGCACATTACCTATGTATGAATATTTGACTATACTAACTTCTATTCAAACAATTCTGCGCTTGGTCTCTAGATTTCAAACCGCTAGGCCTTGGATCGTTTACCACATAGCATGCGATTAAAACAAAAGAAAACTGAAGTTGATTTGTGTCTAGTGAGATACGAGTATATACATGATTTAGGGAAATGTATCAATGGTCTACTGGTTGTCGAGGACGTGCACATATTTCTTGTCTTCCATTCTCTCTCGTTCTGTAGCTGGAGGGAGGTCAGAGTACTGGGAGCTTCGGTAACCTCGCTGTTGAAGAAAATCAAAGGTAAGCATTGATTTATACCAGGGCTAGAAGCGAACAGACGGAGTGGGACTTGTACATACCAAGTAATAGAAGGTCAGATTTGCGATTTCAGCAGGTTCAATATCTAGATCTTTGAAAGTTTTGGCAGATTGGTCGATCTTCTGGTCGATGAACTCCATCTCTACCTCATCTGCTGATATCGTAGGCCACCAGAGGAGTTTGTTGGCCCATTGCGCTGCTGGTTTCATGATGCGTTTGGGTACATTGAGATGTCTACGCCTTTTTATGATTTCACGGTCGACAAGTTCGGCAATTTCGGCAGTTGAGTAGTTTTTTGGTCCGTACAGCTCGTATGTCTGGCCTACGGATGAATCGGTGAACAGCATTTTCTCAAGAGCATGGCCAACGTCAATAGCCTGTTAAAGGAAGAAATATATTAGTTCTTGTCATTTTACATGAAGCGCATGAGGAGGGCTACCTACATGGACTGGCCAATATCTCTCCCGCATGTGATTGGAAGTAAACAGGTTGGTAATGCCGGCTAGCTTGTGAAGAAGGTTATCCTCGAACCCAAACATCGGCGCTGGTCTGACGATAGTTGTTTCCGGGAATAACATTCTAGCTAGCTTCTCGCCTTGAGCCTAATTGGGGGGGTTAGTAAATAAATCTTTGACTACTCTTCGCTGGAAAACATACTTTGGTTCGGAAAAATTCAGAAGGAGAATTCATATCCGCGTTGTATGAAGAAACGTGGATGAAGCGGTCAACATCATATTTAGCGGTAGCTTCCGCAATTCTCGCTAAGCCGTCGACATGCACATCTTCGTACGAAAAGTTCCTGTAAAAGGGTGCTCAGTATGGATGTGGATTGTTTATAAAGATACGCAGAAGAAACACATACTTTGTCGGATATTTTCTGCCAACGAGGTTATAGACGACGTCAGAATGGCGTACACTCTCCTCAATGGATTGTGTATTTCGAAGATCGTATTCCTATGCAACGGACATGAAATGAGCGAAGGAGGTCACATATTGTGCTGGCATTCCTCGACTCAATCTCACCATGAAGACAACTCTTCCCAAATCACCAGTAACCTTTAAATGGCGCTTGGCCATTTCCTCTCGGTAAGGGACGATCACGGTACACCCTTGACTAGCTGTATGTACCAATATTCTCCGTTAACTATTTCAATCCGTTTCCACAAGCTGTTACCAATGGATTGATATGTCCTACCAAGCCTGTTCACAATATAACGACCCAAGAAACCCGTAGCTCCGAAGACTGTAGCAGTATGTCCTAAAACGAAGAAAGAGGCCTCTCAGTAAATTGTAGTATGTGCGAGAGGAGCTGCGGGAGAAATAGAAATACCTCCAAGAGACGAGCTGCATGAATTGAAACCAATATGTTAGCGCACACACAGAACCTCCAATAAAAGTAGCAATTGGTCTCATACCGTCCGCCCTGAACCTTAAGAATTGGAGTTCCTGTTCGGGTGATGTAGACATCTTGTATATTTCGCCGCTGGATGTGAGGTTGAGCTCGAACTGGTGGCAGCGGGGTGGTTACAGCTGCCCGCGAGCCCAAGACGCTCTGGACGGCGCGGCACTTCTGCATTGCAAACTCCGGTCAATTGACCATGTATCTGTTATAATTTGAGAAAAGGAGTCTGCCGGAATCGCCGGTGGCGCAATTGCGATAGTTAAGTAGCGTTCCTGCGGCGCTGTGTGGAGTTCGAAGCTTGTTAACCTGTTGTGTCTGCAAGTATACTGGTTCTTCCGAGTGGAATTGATGGTTGAACTGTGAACTCAGGATCCGTCCCGAAAGGGAATAGTCGGGCCTGCTAAAACAACTCGATCCAATGAACCATGTTTCTTCTCAACATTGATGTTGTCTCCTGATGCCAACCTTTCAAAGCTTCTCTTGAGTTTTGCTGCATGTTATTGGAATGGTTGATGGCGCAGAATCCCCAAGGCAAAATATATAAAACGGACAGCGATGATAAATACAGCATATTTCTAACTTGCCTATTATGTGCATACAATCTGCAATGCTTTTCTATCTCAAAAGTCTGACTTAGATACCAGATTGAACTCAACTGAACTTGTCACAACAGTGGACAATGGAGAATCGAACTCAACACCACCTAATTGCAAATCCCTTTCATTAACAGAAATCCTCAGATGCTACGGGGGTATTATACCATTCATCCAAATGCCCCTGACTTGATGTTGCAACGAAAAGATTAAACGCAATTTACAAACCTTCACATACATGTGCCGGGATTTTCATATCTCATCTCAATTATTCATTTAATCAGATTTATTTTTGCTACACGTTATTAACAAAATTATGTTCAGATTCATCATTGACAAGCTGTTTTGGATAAATATTTTGGATAAACAAGATAAAACATGTCCCTGCAGCAGAATTGGATCTCAAACGGAGCTGTTGACGAGCCAGCCAACAAACTAATCAATTCCAATGGACAGGAACTCAACGATGTTCGCCAGGACTGCAATTCGAAACTATATAATAAATCTAAACTCAGCTTCATATACGGTATCTGGGTGCTCAAGACCATGCTATTTTGTTGTTGCATATTTGCGTGATCATCACATCGGATCTGAAATCCAACTATTCAATAGGTGTAGCCTATTCACTCTTGGAAGTCGGGCCTGACATCTGCTTGCAACAAGAAAGTATTCATCCTTAGGAGGAAGAAAGGGAGAATATTTGCCAAAAAATACATGTATATTCAGGCTTCGAACACTTAAGAGGAGGCTCAATCCAACTAGTCACAAATCGAGGTGGATTGTAATAATAATAAAATGTCCACATTTACAGCGATGGTTGTAGTCACGCATGTATAATTTTTCTCTCAAAATCAAGAATCGGTTGGGTTGTCGGACTGTTCATTGTTCGCAGATCGAAGATTGAAGCGGAGTCAAACTAAATATTCCGGGCTGCGCTAGTTAACTAACTACGGCAGGCAAAAGAGCCTCTTTGAAGCTTCATCCACACCAGAGAGAACCAACAATAGACCACTCGCAAACACCAACATCTCCTCCAACGCCTATCCCAAAACTAAAACAACATACGCCTGAGTAGGGGAGCTTCCTATTCGGTTTTGGGTTTCTCCATTACATTTGAATCTCTCTAGCTTCAAATAACACCAAGCCCCGCGCCCTTCTTCCTGCAATGCAGGCCGACAAGATTCCCGACTTTCTCGCAGAGCAGCGGGAAGAAGCTCTTAGCGAATCCCATGAATCCTTTCTCGCCTTCGAAGATTTCTGGGAGCGAAAACTATGGCATCAGCTCACGAACGCTCTGATAGAATTCTTCTGTCTCCCGGAAAGTGCGCCGCAGAGATTAGCCATCTTCAAGAACTTTATCCTCAGCTTTGCAGACAAGATCAATCAGCTGAAATTTGTTACACTGGGGTTGATGGCATCGACACAATGTGAAGGTTGGTCTAGGGTTTTTTATTTTCTGTTTTCCAGAAGATGACATGAAAAATCTCAAACACCTAACTCTGCGGATATAGATGACAGAGAGCGTCTCGCATTCCTTACGTCGCTTGCTGATAGGGTGAGCAAACCGGGATCACAAGATGCATATGTTTACGCCATGGCGGATGTGGCCAATGTGAAGCTGCGATTAAAGGACTTTGAAGGAGCACGGAAGGATTTGGATGCGTCTGAACGCGTTTTGGATTCTTTTGACTCCGTTGAGACAGTGGTACATGCTGCATTCTACAAAGTAAATGCGGAGTACTATCACGTAAGTCCTGCCTCATCACACATACACATACGTATATATATATATGCATCAACGGTTTTCTAATCTCTCTCTCGTATGTCCGTTATTTTAGGCCAAACTAGAATTTGCTTCCTACTATACAAACGCCTTGCTTTACCTTGCGTGCGTGGACGTCAAAGACCTGACACAAGAAGATTGCGCCGCCAGAGCATACGACTTGAGCATAGCCGCCCTCGTCTCAGACTCCATCTACAACTTTGGCGAACTCCTTCTTCACCCCGTCCTTGACTCTCTCAAAAACACTCAACACGCCTGGCTCCGCGACCTGCTCTTCGCATTTAACCGTGGTGACCTGGCCGCCTACGATGTCCTCGCAGGGAACGTTAGCAAGAACCAGCTCCTGGAACAACACAAGACTTTCTTATACCAGAAGATCTCGCTGGCCGCCTTGACGGAGACTGTATTCCGCCGACCGCCACATGACCGCATAATGACATTCAGTGCGATTTCAGAGGAGACTAAAGTGCAGCCTAACGAGATCGAGCATCTTATCATGAAGGCACTTAGCCTCGGCCTGCTCAAGGGAACCATCGACCAAGTTGCGCAGATGGCAAAGATCAGTTGGGTGCAGCCCAAGGTTCTGGACATGGGGCAGATAGAAGGAATGAGGAATCGGCTGCGTGAGTGGGATTCTGGGGTTAATCAACTGGGTCACTGGATTGAAGGGGTTGGGAAGGATGTTTGGGCAGCCTAGACAGACAACCCCCATTTTCTTTTAACCTTTGCCATAACCATTTTTCCTCTTGGCTTTTTCATTTATTCAATGTCATAGCTCTACACGTTTGCTGGGACCTTTTCTTGATTTAACCAGCTGTCCCGTGTAAGAGTAAGATTTTTTATCTGGGTTGCAAGGTTAGTTGTTGTGAGAGCTTTCACGTTATGATTCGTGGTAGATCTTATCAATCTGCACCAGAGCCTAGTTCAAATATTGTGCAAAAGACATGTCTATGGACGAAGTCAAGGCAAAGGATGCTGGATGAGGGTCCTCACAATGGCCCCGATATGGAATACATGTTTGGAAATTAGGTAACACGGGGAATATTTTAAATATTTTGACAGAACGGGCCTTACCGTTACTTCCGCTAGAACTGGCATAATAGCTTCTTGGAGTATAATAGCATAACATACAAAACAAATACTGAAAGAAAGGAAAAGAAAAGAGGAAACGAGTCTCCCCGTTCCCCTTTCCCCCCCTCCTTCAACCACCAGAATCTCATCGTGAAGTTAGGAAACAGCCATTCTATCTTTCTCAGAAAAAGGACGACGCTAGTAACACACATCCACATTGCCAAGCAGGCCACCACATACACCAGAAGGCTACCTGAGTCCACACCCCCCATACGTCCCATCCGAACACCGCCTCAGTCAACAAGGTCGTTATCGGAATCTGCCAGTAGTGACATGCAACCAACAGAATTACAGTGGGGGAAAGTAGATTCATGAAGATTAGACTGAACAGGGTGAGGAGGATAGTCGTCACTGACGTTGAGGTTGAATTTGTTGGCTTTTCTCTGGCCTTGTCCGTAGAAGCTGATGGTTTCGAATTCGCGGTTGCGTTTTGGCTAGGTTCGTTTGGGATCGGGACGATATAGGACAGGGGAGTGCATAACAGGCCGATCATGAGTGAGAGGGAGAAGTTTAAGGTTGCGAGTGCAGAAAGGAAGAGACCGAGGAGGAGGAGGGAGAAGGATTTTATGAGGAGGTATTGTTGGGTTGATGGGCGGGAGCAGCGGGTTATGATTGCAGCGAGAAGTATTGGGAGGACGATGTTTATAAAGACGAGTAGGTAGGTTGCTTGTTCAAAGTACTGTGAGGAAAATGGGTTAGTCAAGGGTGTTGTTCATGGGGCGGAGTTCGAATTTCTTTTTATTAGAAAAACACTACACTTACTTGATGGTGCATGTTGTTGAACGCATAGAGCGGGATAAATCCTACTAGATGCAATCCAAACACCAGCGCCAGTGGCAATGTCATATGTCGTTCCAGAATGCCATTTCCTTCCTGATCAGCGATGATGTTTTCCATTCCATTTGATTTTCCTTTCTTGGAAACATAATCCTCCAATCCTGCGTTTGTGCCTGCGGAAGGACGAACTCCACTTTTCATCCATAGAGCAACAGCCATTATGGTGAAGTTCCCTGCAATCAACATTGCGCTGGGAAGATATGTCCCAATGCTAACGAACCGGTTCGCCTGCATTAGAATATAGAAGAAGAAGCTCTGATGGAAATGTTCTAGGAGATTATTCAAGCTGCGGACAAGACTTTCCACGATCCTGCCAAGCGCCATTTCGTCCTGCCATCCGTTTCCGATAGTCTGGATCGTAATCGCATCAATGTGATAAGGAATAAAGCTGCTATGAGCGCCAGCAGCATTACCCAGCCCCTGATTTATCATGCCTCGAAGCATTGTTTTCAGGCGCATTTTGTAGCTATCACTGTGCTCATACATCTTCTGCAAGGTTGCTGAATTGCCCATTTGGCCATGGATTACTGAAACGGCAGTGTTGAATAAGTCGAGGTTTGGCAGCTGTCCATTGACACCATCGTATACGATATGGATAGATTCGAACCTGTGGTCGAAGGGATACTCGAAAACCAAAGCGCCTTGCAAAGCACCACTTTTGAGAGGAAGAGATTGGACGGATGCTGGGTGCATATCATGATAGGCATCGACCCATGCTTGTGTGCCGGATTTGCTGTCTGGTGTAATTAGGATTATGATATCTTTGGACCACAGGGACCACCCTATTCTCAACATAGATTAGTATTTGATTTTGCTATTCCCGTTCTTAACTTTCAGTTGGGAGAGGCGAACGTTTGAAATATCTAGCCAGGGTCAGAGCCAAAGTCACGCCATTGAGGTTTGGTTCGCCGTCAATGGTTTCCCAAGCGGCCACCAAAACAATAGCTTCTGTCCCATCTCCTCTTGGAGCATGAATGACACCATAAACATTTTGTCCACGATGTGTGGTTCCAGCTGACCGATACTCATAATCTTGAGTTGCAATTTTCAGACCGGATTCTCGAAATATCGACTGGATCTTTTTAGACTTCCTGTGTCAATAGAAGTACAATGAGGAGGATTAGTTATATGTCTCTCTATAGAAAAAGTGGTGAAATAAAGACCAACACAATAGGAAGATTACAGTTAGATATATAATACTATCAAGGTATTCCATGCCCCTTCAGGCACTGAGAGCACTTTAGGGTCCTGCAAAATAAAAAGAAACTTAAAAGCCACGTACACATCATACTCCGCATCCTTCACGAGGTCGATTTCCCGTCTATATCCCCGAAAGACATTCTGCTCACTCCCTGCGAAATACGTGTGCACCTGCCCCGGTAAAAGCGCGTTTTCAGAGATGTATGTTTGGCGCTCGTTAAGTGGGAGGAGAAAGAGCCAAACAACCCCGACCACGACGAGAATGGCAGATATATACGGGGGAAATTCATATAACAGGCGTGGATCGCGGCGTAGCCTGAGGATTAAATTGGCTGTTTTGTGATATACAATCATTAGAACCAACGTGACCAGAGAACGAGGAGTGCATTATGTCTATGATTGGAAGACGACCTGGGTGGATTTATTTCTTACATATTAAAGCCATTGAACGAGAGACCTCCGGGAATCATATCCTCACGAGGCCGTAAGCTAATTGTACAGGCCGGATGGGTGCGCATGTTGGAATTGAACTCCGAAGTTGCAAGTCGGATAGCTGGACTACGGCACGTCACAGAGACCACCTACGTTATCAATACTGAATAATTTCCATCTATCTCACATTCATTGTTATATGCCAGTCCCCCATAATTAATAAATTGGTAGACACTAAAAAAACAAATATATACAGTAAGAAATTAATTCATGCATGTGCATATCAATTCGCTAAATGTTCTTATGGTCCTAGACGTTGGGTAGAGCCCAGAGGAAGGTTTATTGCCCCCGATTCCTGATCAAACTCCCTGGAGGATAAGATTCCGTACCTTCCATAGGTTTTTTGATCGACCGAGACGTAGTGAGGTAATCTTGCGAGAAGGTTTAGTTTCCTTTCGATCCAGCGAAGGATTTTCTCGGGCGGAACGAGAAACTTCAGGTATCCTAGTCCAACTTCATTTACACAGTATTCGTGAGTCTCCAAGATCGCCAGATGTGGTAGATATTATGGGAAAGCGAGAAGGAACTTACAAATATAGCCAACAGCGAGACCAGATAAGTGGCCCAGGAGGCTGGTATTGGGGATTAGTGCAAACACCAAAATTATTAAAAATAATGGCGTCGTCCACGTGGGAATTCTATATATTCCAATACTATCGAAGGAATGTTAGTAGTCAGCAAACAACAAATGATGAAGGCAAAGAAACAAGGAATGGGAGAACTAACACAAAATGAGGATTCGTTTGGAATGTTTTTATTGCCTCAATTCCGAGAAGCAAAAATATCCATACACTGTCAGGATGAAAGTTAGCTGTGTGTGCTTATTTTGCATAACCGATGCGTGCGAGGAAACTTACCTAGAGCCTAAGGCAGTCGTGTTACCCCTTAAAATGACCTTTTCAAAGAGCAAGTATAGGCCCGCTGGCAATGTTGACAGTGCTAGATGAAATAGCATCGGTCAGTTTCATTCGAAGAAGAGAGTCCAATGAACTAAAGAATATCTAAATACGAACGTCCGATAAATAACGCGACGGATGTAAGGGTGCCATGTTCCGCCTCAAACCTCTCCAAGAGAGGTGTTAGAGCTAGGACATTCCAGATAGTGTGGAACAACCCATTGTGAATAAACGGATAGGTGTTGAGCCGGTACACTTCGGAAAAAAAAAAAAAAAAAAAAAGCAAGGTAGAGTTAGCAAAATATAGTCTGAAAATTTCCAGTGTTCTCCGAAAGCAGATTTTCGTTTATGTCACAACAAAATAGAGATTTTACGCACGCGATCCGAATCCGGTCTCGCTGGGTATCAGGGCACCCCATTGTACCACATCCCATAGCGACTGAATGCCCAAGACCCAAAATACTGCAATGACGAAGATGACAACGCGTGTAAATAGTGGTAAACGAAGTATATATGAACGTAATCGCCCCGGGTTAAACGGTAGGGGTGGAAGCGGGCTCGCCATTCTTTATCGCAAGGGTTAGAAAGCTTCTCTGAAAGAGATAGTTGTCAATCTGCGCGCGGGAAGGGAGGTATGGACATTCCAAACTAAGTTAAGTTCGATTGAATAAAGCCGAGGTCGGTATTCTGCACAAATGGTTTTGATCGGAAGAATAAAACGAGATATGGATGAACTTATACTTAATCTGTATTCTCTGCTACACGGGTGCTCGATTGTAACACGGAGGAGGCACCTAACGACCCTGATTTTCCAGGCAGGAAAGCCGATATAGATACCCCTTCAGTGACACTCAGGTAATATTCCGATGGAACTGCACAGCTGGTTCGAGATGAGCTGGAAAGTAGGAACTTTGCTCATCGGGAGCCAGCTGCGCGGGTTTATGATTATTGTCGAAGGGCGGTTCGAAAAGTGAAGAGTGACATCAGCGGGCGTTATGAACAGGCTGCACAGGCCGTCCTTCAGTCCTTGTTTCCTCCAGCTAAAAATGTGAGTAGGAGAGGGAACGGAATGCGCAGGAAAGTTGTTTGGCAGGAGATCTCGCCTCGAAAAGAGATGCTCGTATTTATGCAGTGGACGCTAAGCCTAAACTCAGAAACAGGACGTAGGACAACATAATAACATCACTTGTTTAGGATGAGGATTAGAGGTTAGATTAGGGAATTGGATTAGACCGCTAGTTAGAGAAACACTGAAAAAAGCATCCGCTACTATCATATGTGCTTTCTGATGCCCGATATCTGCGTATCCAGACTGGTATCAAAAATTTCATGAAGGCCGAAATATCATTACTAGTGTACGGATCTGTTGGAGGTCCTAGCCCTATCCCACGTGACCCACACATACATTAGCTGCCGCTAGCTACTGGATAGATGATAACAACAACTAAGGTTCAACCCTCTTGCAGGATCTCATACCATTTGAAGCCAAGATTGGAACCCCGCCGAAAGGTTTTTCCGGTCAATACGAGGTATCCTGGACACAAATTTCGTTCTGGAGGACTGAAAGACGGACTTGAACAGAACTTACCTCCTATCACGCCAGGCTAAACGCGTCCGTCTTTGTCTGGAACTCGATAGACTTTTGTCTCATGAACTATGGACGTCGAACATCTTATCGCCCTCCTTACTGAAGTTGCCCCCCAAAATGAACTTCCACGTCAAGCGGATATCCGCCTTGAAGATACCTTTCATGAACGGCTTCGTATTGTTCTAGACGCCATCGCCAGTGTGCTTGTCTCAAAGCCGAGAGGGGAAGTAATAGCAGTTGGGATGCGTAGCCAACAAAATGGCTTGGGAAAGAAAATAATTCTGACTCTTGCTTCCAATACAGGTACTATCAACAAGCTGTTTAACCTGCTGGTGAGAAAATAATTGACTCTTTCTTTTAAACAGGCATTCCCAAGAAAACTTATCAACACGCTCGCAACCTCATTGATGACCTGAAGAAACTCGGGGCTGACTTTGCCGATTATCGAAAAAGTGCAGAACAGGAGATACACACCAGTCAGCAGTCAGAACCTGGCAGAGTGGATTCCCCTGAGATTGATGAGAGGAATTTACCCCCTCATCTCAGACAGAAGATTTATTTCTTTCGTAGAAGAGTACTCTTATTTGCTCTTCCAAAAATCCACCAGAGACTCCATAAGGGATACAAACCCACCAAATCCTCCCGAGGGTTGACATTCGTCCGTATCGCCGAAGAGCTGGATATCAATATCAATAGCAGTGTCAATATCCTGAAGAAATGCTCCATGATTATAAACTGGATGTTACATCATTTGCCAAATAATTCCAGGTTATTTTCTATTGAGAAGGAAGATTATGTGGTTGAGGGCTTGAATTCCATTGCAGGTATGGTTGACGAATTATTTGAGACAAAGACATGGTTGGCGGACATTCCTAACACCTCATCCAAAACAGATGGTAAGTTTCCAACTATTCTACTACTTTTGTTTTACTAATGACTGGTCTTAGACTTTCCATTTGAACAATTCTTAAGGAAAATGTCTTCAATTTCAAGCAACACGGATACCCTTTTACAGTACGCCTATTCACCTCGTCTGTATCAAAAATATTTGATCAATACAGACATTGAAGTTGAGTGTCTGAACCGCAGTCAGAGACCAATTCAGCTCCCCTCCCCAGATAAGTGGCGTCAGATCGCTGAAGAGATTCTTAAAGCTCAGGGTGCTAGCTCACTTCTCAGGGATATTTCAGAAACAAATAAAAATATTCCAGGGCTTCATCTTCAAAAGAGCTTCAAGAGAAGGAAAACTGTTAAGGGTTGGGTTCATTGTGAATGCATGCTTGTACTCTATCTAATCGGCAACAGTCGTTTGGGGATCTCAGCATTGCCATATATTGGGGTGTCAAAACTATCTTGCGTCGCCTGTTGGGAATTTTTTAATGCCCTACACAAGGTAGATTGTATGTTCTATGTGAAAGGGTCTCATTCTAAAGCATATTTCCCATGGAAGTTCCCTGATGTTGAAATGAATTCGGCAAAATTACTCAAGTCGGAGAAGGAAAAAATCCTAAAATCCTTCTATTCAGATCTGGCTGCCACATATACCCAACGTTTTAATGCTAAGGAGAGGTTGCGAAGGATGTCGGAAAGCTCGACAGGCTCCACCAAGCCTATAGCTCGTGACAGATGGCCCGCTGAGAAATTCCGTATGTAATGTGTTGTTTTGATTGCGTGGTGTTTGAAATGTTTGATGCAACCGCATGATCTGCTGTTTTTTCCAAATTTATAATGGGAAGCACCGGCATCCTGCGCGTCGGTGGGGGAATTCCCGGATTGTTTCATTGGCGTCCTGTCGTTGGTTTGGAGAGGGTGGGGGGAGAGGGTAATGTTGTCGATGTGCTACGCTACTCCCGAGATGATCGGAGCAACATTTGCTGCTACAAAGGCATTTACAGATGGGGGACGGCACGAGCGAGATGGCTGACAAGCGCTGGCAGCGTGGGGATCATGAAGCGAGGCTACGAATGCTCAGGTCGCGATTTAGCATGCAGTTGAGATGCAGCTAACGGAGGGAAGAGGCTTTGACTAGGTTTTTGTCTAAATTTTTAAATCTGCGTTCTTGCCTGGGGATGGACTGAATTTCTTTCTGTTTTGAGTTTTTAAGCCGGCACCCCGGCACCCCGGCACCCCGGTCAAGGTTGCAAAACGCTGCCTTGAACATCGGGCTCTTGATAGAACTTCGCACATTGCCATTGTAATCTCTCTCTCTCTCTCTCTCTCTCTCTCCGCTACATGATATGTCCCTGTTGGAGAAGAGTAATGTCTATATACAGAACGAAACGAAACGGAAAAAAAAAAACAAGCATGCAACAGCGGACGCGCCCGCGATGGGACAAAACCCTATCAAGTAATCCGTTCCAACGTGGGAAGAGGGAGAGGGAGGGGGAGAAGGTGAGCGATGCGCATCCTACCTAAAGATTGTATATACACAATAACTTCACCTTGATAGTCGGAATAGATCAGAGCCGGTTTTTTATTCCAGCTTTACTTTTTCACCATTTCTCATTCCACTGCCATCGTCGTCGTCGTTGTCATATGGTGGGCTTTCCGTTTCGCCGTGGTGGGATGTACAGGCGCAGTTACACATACAACGTGCACGTATATACTATAGAAAATTAAGGGGTAACTCAGCTTATATAGATTTGTGCCAGCAGATCATTTTTCGCGATAAAGTGTAAGTTGGGGCTAAAACATGAAAGCCTTCATAGATATACACAGCGAGCAGCGAAAAGGGAGAAAAAATACCACACATAAAATTCAGAATAATTATCGGACTGGCGCCTGCGCAATGGACGCACCAAAACAATCAAGGAAAGACATACAATCCCTGGAAAGAAAAAACGATAGGGACAATATAAGCAGAGGGTATATAGCATGAAGTGGGCGATTATGATGATACAACCCACCGGAACGCAAGGGAGGTATCCCGGATAGATGTGGGAAAAGAAAAGGAGAAGAAAAGGAGAAAAAAAGAGGGTGATGGCAGTGGAGGGAGAAATCAGTTTGGTATCAAAGAAAGATAAAAGGGTCAAAAAATATCAGAAGGAACACATTACGCATATGAATTGACAGACTGCGACTGAACACTCTTTGCAAAGCTTCACTTTATTAATCACAAAATGGGGGATGGAGGAGGGATGAGGGGCCACTTTATCATTCACTGTCTTCATATATCCTGTTAAATATTTCTCACCATCCAGAATGGTCGCTCAGCAGTTTCAAAAAATAATAGCTGGAAGGGGAAACTGCCACAAATGCAAGGACAAAAAAGCATAAAACGGCATTATGTATGAAGGAGTGAAGGGGAGGAGGGGAGGAGGGGAGGAGAGCAGCATGGAATCAGCATCATGAAAACATCAAAACATATGGGGGTATTATAAGCAGGGAGAGCCTGCGACTTTTTTGAATGGGAGAAATGGTAAGTAAAATCGCTAAAATCGAAGATGATAAAAATGGAGACGCCACGTAAGTAGAAATTTGGAGAAGAGGAATGAAATTGAGAGAGAAAAACAATTTCTTCCTCTTTTCATTCTCCTGCTCCTCTCAAGCAGGGAACCGGTACGTGCTGGCTGGAGGTGGAATGGCGAGTGCTGACTTTTTGGTAGCCCATGCCTTGATAGAAATACACAGGATTTCCCATGCCATCACGAATGATGTAAATCCCATGGCGACAGTGAACACGAACATCGCATTGAGATCGTAATGATCCATTGCATCCACGATGTTCCTTGTCTGAAGGAATACAGGATTCGTTAGCAAAGATAATTTGAAAGCAGTGAGAGTGGATACAACACTTACACTTAGCATGAAAATGAGGCCTCCAGAAATGAGACAGAAGGAGGCAATTAGTTCCGAAGGTGGTCGATAGGGCAGCAGCGATGTCGGCGGCCTGAGGCAGAGGAGGATGTAGGTTACGGCTCTAGAAAGAGAAAATCCCACCAGCAGCATTCCCCACTGCTTGTGCACCATGGTGGATACCATACTCGACTGGTGGTGCGAGCTCATCATCAGACCAAGAAGCAGGATGATCAGACCAGGAATGGGGTTGAGAGGCACTCGTTGCGACTTTGGCACTTCAACAACTTCCGACGGCACACCTTCCGAATGGCCAGTCGGAGCAAAAATGGCAGTATTCATCCAGTCTCGAACACGTTTCGATTCAACCAGCATCCCGCACTGTATGTAGTCCATTAGTACCATCAGGGGGAGGGAAAGAAACATCACCTTTGAAACCACAGAAGAAGAAAAAAGTCACTTACCAAACCGCCACCGAAGAACATGACAGAAATGGACACATGTTCCAAATCTTGCGCAGTCCACGCTTCGCCCCATGCTGCGAGATGCTCGAGAAAAACGTTGCTGGCGCCGTATAAGAAGATGACGAAGGATTCTGTAAATTCCCCTGAGGGTACGCGGGCCCGCCATCTCCCCACCATATCACGTGATGGTTTAATATTCCAAGCCCAGCCAAGGTCCGCGAAGCATCCCATCCATCGACCAAGCGTGAGCAATCCATACCAGAAGAAGATGCCTCCCTTGATGAAATGTGCGAGGCCATTGAAAACATCATTGCCCCGCTAGAAGAATTATTAGCGCGCCATTCCTTGTGGGGTCAGGCATAGTTGACGAGAAAAGTCAGGGGGAGAGGGGCAAGAATACAAAAGGGGAGAGAAAAAAAGAAAGAGAAAAAGCTAACTTACGAAAATACCACCATAAACCACAGCTCCAGTAGCTATCGCAATGAAGCCGAGAATCAGAATGGTTCTCTCGATGGCAACATAGAAAACATTCATGATGTCGAGCGCGCGCCTGGAAAGCAGTCCGGGGACACGTCTCGAGAGGAACTTATCCACAAAACCACTCCAGAAGACTCGGCTGGTGGCCGCGGGCAATTCGCCATTATTGTTAATTTCGTCGTCTGGCTTTTCCTCAAACTCGTCACTGTCGCCTGGTCGGGACAGTCGTCGTCCACGTTCTGGGGAGCAGCTGTGGCTTCGCAGGGAGGAGGTATTCCTTTCACTGCCCTGGCCGCTGTCGCCCGACCAGCGGTACTGATGGTAAGGCGCCGCGGGATATGATTCGTGTTGCGGATGATCCGTGGTCGGAACGGGGAGAAAAGCAACTCGCTCGTAGGGAGGGCCAGCGAGCGTGTCGGCGTCCCGACGGCCACCCGAATACGCAAACAAAAGGCCCATGACGACCTCCGCAACCATAACCCAAGTCACGATCCAGCCGATCTTGTGATGGACGTTGTTCTCGTACAGGTTGGGGACTTGGTTGTTATACACCGCTGCTAGCAGAAGCCCGAAGGCGTTTACGATGAGGAAGGAGAATTGCGTAGGCAGGGCGAGTCGCGATCGAGCGACGCTTAACATGACACCTACACAGGAGGAGGAAAGAGTGCCAAGTGTGCGGCACACAAATGGTTAGCAATCCATCAACTTCATCTTCTTGGTTGCGAATTGACAATTTCGTTTAGCGTGTTTCGTTTGTCCATTGTAGTAATTTCTGCTTTGTCCACTCTGGTGTGCCAAAAAAGAAGGGAAAAAACAAGGGGGAAGGAACCGATATTGTTTTTTTTTTTTTTTTTTTGCTCGATATAACTTAAGTTTGATATGCGTACCAATTGGCAGAATGAAGAACCAGGCAATAACCATCAGGACAATATGGGCTACGATGGAGCCCGCATGTTCCTGATACGCGAAGTAGCTCATGGGGCTCGAGCCGTCGGACGGTGTTGGGCCATTATTGTTACTGCTATGTTCGCCGGCGCTGTCCGATCCACCACCATCACCATCCATATCCATCTCCATACCATGCCCGGCATCGTCGCCATGCGCGATTACAGCGACCGCCAGAAACAGGAGGTAGCAGAGAGCTCTATTGGGAGCTACGAAGGGTGTGGCGGTCCGCAGCATGGCCGCCACCGGGTGCCGAAAGAAAGAGGATAAATGATTTTTTATCACAACAACAGGTAGGTTAGACGGATATAGCAATATTTGGAGCGATGGTATAAAGGCAGAGGTAGCGTGGCGAGCCCGATGGAAGAACTCTCGGGTGAACTTGGAGCTTTGGGAAGCTTTATTTTTGGTAGGGAGGGGGAGGAGGGTTGAGGATAGTTCAAAAAATAGAATGTAGATGCGCAGCGATCAGGTTCCAGAGAGAAAGAGGCGGGTGTCAGGATAGAGTGCAGTGAATCCCTGGGACGAACAAGAAGCAGAAGCAGAAGGGAGCCAAACAAAAAGGAAGAAACAGAAACCAAAATCGGGAGCCGGAAGCTGGGAGCTGATAGGATTCTTTATTTTTATTTTCATGTACTTATTTTATTTTATTACTTTTCCCCCCCCTGCCCTTCCCGTTTTCCCTTTTGTCTCCGGCGTGCGCTCTTCCGTTCTCTCCGCTTCTCTCTCCAAGCTCTGCTGTGCTGGAGAACAGGGCGGATTAATAATGCGTCCCAGCGTCCTGATGATGCTATGCAGGATTAGCGTTTCTCGCCTGGCGGGTCCGGCAAACAGCTTGCTGGATAGCGCGGGCCCAGGCTTTGGGCGGTGACCACGGAGCGAACCTGCGGGAGGGGCAGATCTGTGATGCCGAAGTCAGTTTCTTTAATTCACTGGGAGGAGGATTTCTTTTCTTTTCTTTGAGGATGTGAAAATTCCAGAAAATGGCAAAGCTTGGAGGATTTAGTTCCCCATTTCCCGATGCTGCGCAGCGAGCTATACAAGCGAGCTATAAAGTGTAAGCGTGGTGAGGGAGAGATGTTAGGCAAAGGACGCAGTATAACAAACCACGGAGGTAAGTGACGTATCGGCTGCCGGAAACAGGCTGGTCACGATGACGACGGAAATACGAACAACCCTCGCTTCGATCTCCAAATTCTGCAGCACCGTTCCTCAGAAGTCGAGCTTGCCATGCCATGCTGTGCTGTGGTGTGCTTCGCTGTGCTGTCCGGTAACAAGTTCCAGCACATCTAGTAGAGTCGAGGATGCTAGCTAGTTACATGCTTTTAAAATCCCGAGAGCCATTGTGGAGCACAACACATGGGCTTGACAGGTCATCGATGGAAGCGGATGCGCCTGGGCAGCAATTCGCCCAGCGATGTTATTGATTTGCTCACAAGAGTCACAACCCAGCATCATGATAGGTGTTGTATAACTAACTACAATACGAATATGTAAGTAAACATGTCCCGAACGGATTTTGTGGATGCTTCTCATACTGGATCTGCATATTACGATGCTTCAACGTTCCAAAGCGCCCTTTCTCAAGTCAGTATAGACGATGATAATCATCATGCGACGAGAGAAGCGACTGGGAAACCCTGCCCTTTTTTTTCTTTTTCTTTTTTTTCTTCTTTGGAGGGGGTTTGCTCGTATTTTCCCCTTATTATCTCTGACCTTGTTCCCACTAATTTTTTTTAACCTCCCCCCCGACGCTGAAAGTATCATATAGCTATAAAGCTGCACAAGTTAACCACCAGGTCCCCACCACCACATTTTAGGGCTGGGCATGAGGTGACGGCATGGGCGGAACAACGGAGGAAAAACAAACCACATCCATTGCGGGACTACTATGTAATCCATAACTAGTCGCTAGTTGCAGAGAGGGATCGTCCTGTGCTGGCAAGGGTGAGGGTGATGTGATGGGATTATTCCATTCTACTTACTGCTTACGGAGAACACACGAGTTCCTCAACGAGGGTGAACAGGCGCAGAAAAGACGAGCAAGATCGAAGGGAGACGCGGACACGATGAGATATAACTCCTGTGTCATGGGATGGGCCATTTCTGCCTGGGCAGAGAAACGGCGCTGAGGTCAGTAATGGGCCCCATTCATCGATTGGCAAGGGTTAGGACAAGGACACAGATCCGCCGTGTTCCGTCTTCGCATTGGTCATCTCCTCCTGCGAGTATCCCATCTTATCTATCCGGTCCTTCCGCCCAGCAATGGCAGAGAGCACAACAACAAGGGATTGCAACAGACTCCCCAGCTTACTTACAGCTTTGAGCGTTTGCCTATTTTGAGACGAGGGGAAAAGGATATTCCTTCTGATGATGGATCGTGGAGGGAAAATTGTATCTACTACTCAGCGACAACGTCATCTCCCCTTCAAGTGAGCGGAAGCATTTGATATACACAGTATATACTATAGATAGAAACTTTATTACAATTGCACTCAGTCAGCCGTGGTCATGCATTTCTGACCATCAGCATGATCTTCCCACCATCCTGAAGCAGGATTTGACACGACTGTTCTCCTCAAGCGGAGCAAGGGTCAAACTAGTTCTGGTGCAGAAAATGCTTACTTCCACCTGGATTCAAATTGTTGTAGCTCCTGCTCTTCAGGCGATGAAGACCCCTGCTTCGCACCATTCGGAGACATAAAACGGTGCTGCCACTTCTGTCCTCCACCTGTCACGGCGAACGACGAACTAGATCTAAGGAGATTCCATACGCTGTGGGTACTCCTCATATTCCCAGCTGCTCGCTGAGTCACTGTCCTCAGCTCGATCGGCCGTCCGAAAATCCATGGCCGAGGTTATACTAGTAGCTATCCCCCTGGGTCACGGTCATGTTCAGTACTATGTAAAAATGCCCGAGCAAGCAAGGAATGGGCTGCCCGCCAGCACTGGACTCTCGCACCGTCGTCGCGTTCATAAAATGCTATGTACAGTCCACTCCTTTTTTTATTATGTTCCGAGATCCAGCCGCCTGGGCCCGGTGGAGGTCTGCCAGTATTATGAAAATTACTCGACAAGTCGATTGAAAAAGCCGGTGAAAAATATATCTATATCTATAAATAAAAATAACCGGAATCACCAGCGCCAAGCTAGCAGTGGGCCGACTCACGCGTCGAACAGAAGAAGTCCCTTCGACTTCTTCTCTTGCACGTAATATTTTTCCCAACTGTTCACAGTGTTCAGATTTGTTGAAAAAAAAAAAAAAAAATTCCCCCTGCATCATAATAGTAATATTAACGCTAATACTAAATAAATACCAGGAGTTCAAACCTCCTCGTCCGAGGTTTTCATCTTCTATGCCTAGATTTTGGAGGGAACACGGTGAAGGATTTACCGGTCCAGCCGGTTCCGTCTCAAAAACGGGGCATGAGTCACCAGGGCCCCGCTTAGTATTCTTGGTCTTGGTATTCTTGGGAGCGGGATCATGATCATGATCACGACTGTCGTTCTTTTGTGATAAAGTGTGGATTGGACTGCAGCTGTGCATGAGGTGCGATGGGAGCTGCTTTGGTGGCCTTGGCTCCGGGTGTGGGGTTGATGGTGTAGTGTGGACTGGACGTACGCTGAGGAGAGGCGGCAGCTGTGAAGAATCTGTGAGGTAGCTCAAAGAACAGAGAGAGAGGGGGAGGCAGAGGGAGGGAACGATCGAGCTATACAAGAGCTAGCAACCTACGCGAGCCTGACAATAACGCAGAACAAGAAACACGCAATTAATCAGAGCCACCCATCACCCCATCACACCTCACACCTCCTGCCAGCTCAATATTGTGGTTCTTCGCAACTCCCATAGATGAATGGTTACTCAGCATAACTCACCTCCCCCGCCTTTCTATCCCAACCGAGAAGCTTGGCGGGGAATCCGCCAGAATTCAAGAGCAAGAACAAGAACGAGAGCGCGCCGTGTTAAACAAACAAACAAACCATTCCTTGGCTGGAAAGAACTGGGTTTGCTCCGTTTGGTTTTGCGTGCGATGCAGACAATCATCCCAGCCCCGACTTCTATGAAAGAAACCCTGGAAACGTAATAGTGCGTAGTTGTCACGCATCAATCCATTCGATGCTAGTGTTTGCATGGGATATTCTTCTGAAACAGGCGTGTTAGTTAGGCTTCGATAGGAAGCGGCGGTGCGCTTCTTGCTGGGCTAAAGATGCACCCCTGTTGAGATCTTGAAGCTCGAAAAACCGTGCACTTTATGTATGTACTGTACATGTCCTTGTCGCAGGCCGGATTGATTTGCGGTTTGTAGATTTCATGGGTGGGAAATCAATGTTTGAAAAATGCGCCCGTAGTTCGGCCGTGCTATGCCATTCATTCATTCATTGCACATTTTCTTCCCCTCCGCGATGCCTCGGATGATAACTAGGGGGATAGTCGTGTATTCATCCTTGAGCAGATTTAAGCTCCCTGCAGGGTCCCTGGCTACGCAGTTTTCCCCTTTTTTTTTTTTTTTTTTTTTTTTTTTTAATACAACTAACGCTATTATCCTTTTAAGGGACTAGGATTTGTTTTATATCATCGATGCCCTCACCAGTTCCTCTCTCTGTTTGCGAACAATGAGCGATGAGAAATGAGCAATATTATCCCCTGTATTGATTGAATTGCTTATGAGGATGAAACATAGCCATCTATCTCTATTGGGCATGGCTTTTCGAGGAAGTTGAATATATATATATATATATAGAAAATTTATATAGAAAACTTGATCCATGAGGGAAAGATGCGATGCATCAATCGAACGAGAATCGGACGAGAGATATGCCCGTTTGGATTCGCGCTGGCGGTGCAGGGTAGATGCTAAGGAGTGTTAATACTCGATACCCATATCCGAGGCCCCTGGATATGGGAACGGAAGGCGGAAATTCCAAGCTGATACCATCCAGAGGCATATATTTGCTCCTGTTTGAGCTCTGCAGTTCCATTTTTAATATTGCTTGTTCTGGCGCTTTGGATTTGGAATGTACAGTACATATATCAGAATGATGGGGCGGCTGCGGCTCTCATACTCAGGGGCATATTATTTTCTGGGATCACGGGCTGAAGTTAATAGAGTTAGCTAATCACAAATCCAATTTTCCCCCCTTATTTCGCTATGCTATGGTCCTGCTCCAGAGAAAATTTCTCCCCTTACTTATGCCCGGTTTCTGCTGTTCGTTCAGCACGAAAAGAATATAAAAATAAAATAACATGGCAATAACATAAAATAAATAAGAAAAAATAAAAAATAAACAAACGGTCATCCGCCCAGCCACTTCTCGTGTCCCGGACGTTCCAGGTCTTGTATTATTCGTTTTGCGCGTGGAATCGAAAGCATATGTGGCATCCGAATTCTGCGGATGATAACCGTTGACTTAAAAGAGAATTCCTCGTGCTCCCCAAAAACTAATTTTGGACGCCAAATGGGGATCTATGTCTCGAACTTTCAAGGGCGCCTAGTTTTTGATGTTGTGGTTTTGGGCGGCAGAGCAGCTAAAGTGAACCAATTGTCAATCTTCCCAACCACTCCCTCTCCTCTGAGAGTCGCTTTAATCTCGCGGAGATCAGTGTTTTCCAATTTTCTGGGCCCTAGGACACGAGGAATCGTACAACCGCTAGTCGCATCTATTATAGCGAATGCCAGCAGCCTGAAAGGATCCACGTATACGGGAGTTCTGTCGGGTGTCGCGCTGATATTCAGGAGATATAAATCCCTCGACGTTACCGTAAACAATCCATCTGGCTGCAGTGGATACTTCTCAAAGACTATCAAAATCATGCTTGGCGTCAATGATGTCTCTCTTTTTCTTTTCTAACGCAAAGGCTGTCACGTTGGGTTGTTCCTTAAACTCCAGGGCCCAGCGTACATCCGAAATTTCTATTTCTTGGGATATATGGCCATCAGCGCCATTGACCAGAATGATGTGGGTTGATGGGGATGAAGGTGAAAGGTCCTACGATACGTAGGCTAGAAACTCGTAGTCCATGTCGGATATACAGTGGAACTGTGGATAACGACTCCTATTGTTAATTTTTTCGGGCAAGGTTGACCGACAGAGCTGTAGCTCCGTCCGGATATCATACGCGATCAGCTCGGGTTTGGAAAACATTGTGATATAATAGACCCGTTCTCTTCCAATGCATAGCGGTTGCAGCTCGGGTAGTCCATCTGCAGTACGACCATGGTGCTATAATAGCTGAGTACCCTCAAGAGAGAAGACCATATCGCTATTTCCTATTATTAACATGGGTGTACGACCTAATAGATGTGGGTTAAGTGACTTCACAGGCCAAGACTTACTGAGAAAACTCAATTCTCCTTGAACACCATACTTCAATACCGACTCGAACAAATAGGTATCCCCCAGCATTCACATCAATGAAAATGCGGAACGTAAGGGGCGTATATGCGAGAGGGATGGAGGGGCCGTGGACCGGACCGACCCACCGAGTAACAACCAGTGATAAAGGACTTCTGAGCAAATAACTAGAGCCAGAGAGAGGTGGAAGGATAGTTGATCAGCGACATGGGTTTGGTCTTTGAGGCCAACATGAAGAAGAGTGAAGGAGATCTAGACGGAGCACAACGGAAGGCGAGGAGTGCAAGACGCACGAAGTGACAACAACCCAGAACCCCACGGAAACCGGAGAGCGAATGTCAAGACCAGAAGGTTGTCTCCAATGTGCATATGCATCCCTGGGCGCGTGCTTCTAATGGCAAGGGTAGACCCAACATAACAGCTTGAGCAGGGAGACAGCAATGTGACGAATATTGATATGAAAAATAATATGAAAACAAATCTTCATGGCGAGTAATAACGCTAGCTAGCTCCAGACAGAGCATGAAGGGTGTAGAAAAGAAGGTAGGCGTCGGCAGCTAACACCTCCGCCTCGTTAACTACAGTCACTTGGTCATCGTTGAACAGGTACCACTGCTCGCCCTGTCGACAATAAACATAATAATGTCCAGCGTCGAGCTTGCCCTTGTGGACAACAGCACTGGAAAGATCGTACAAAAAATTTGAATGGCCCCCTTCGTTTTTGTAGTGTGCACGGGTGGTATATGGGAGCATGTTGATAGAGAGTGGGAAGTCAATTTTTCCTTCGACTTTTTCTGAGACGGAAAGAGTATGCTCGAATCGCTGTCGAAAATTTTGCGTCAGAATGGCGGCTACAGACATAGTATTGAAGCGAGCCGGTTCTACGCAGGAGAATAGGGGGAAACTAACCTTCAGCTGCATACACAATATCACAGGCAGTTTTCTTATTCGAAGTTGCTTGGTAGCTTTCTGCTGAGTGCTTCCGCAGCCGCTACAGTTGTACGCATCCGCCATGAGCTTCTCCGGCGAGGTGAAGCTCTGCAAGCAGCCGTCAAGCGTCGGGGCCGCGGTTGATTCACCACCGCCAAGCGCTCGCTTTTTTTTCTGGACTTGAACGTCCAAACTGAGGTCTATCATCTGATCCTCCGTCTGTGTGACATTCCCGCACTTGTCACAAGTTACGCTGCTTCGCAGCTTTCCGTAAAAAGCGTTATGGAAAAAGCAGTGACATGTTTTGTTGTGGTCCTCAACGTGGTCATGAGCCCCTGCGTGTAACTTGTCTACCAAAAACTGATAGAATTCATGCGCATCCTGCTGTTGATAACCAGATAGCATCTATTTGTGGTGGCGATGACGTGGTAAGTTTCAAAATATTCAAATCTGGCAATAAGCCATTCGGGAGCAAACTTACCGGACTGGATCTCCATGAGGCTAATAGTAAATTAAGCGCGCCAAAGCCTTCCGTCTTGTCGTCATTATTAAATTCGGCAAAGGCTTCAGAAACAGCACAGCTGATGCAGTTCTGGATTGTGCAATCGTACGTATGATGGTTATTTCCGAGAAAGTATGTGGTCAGAAGGGGGTCATGAAGCAATGTTTGCAGTATGACATTCATATAGCAGGTTTGGCCTAGGTTAAACAAACCCCTAACGCCTTCCTTCCCACATACTCTCTTGTTCGCATTAGCAATGACATAGGCTTGATCGTCATCGTTCCCAGATTCAAGTTTACGCTTTTTAAGTACTATTTTAAATATGTTAGAGAGGCATGCCCATTGATCTTGGAATGTTTTTATGGAAACGAACCTGAAGGGTCGAAGAGGAAGCTCTCTAGCTCCGCATCGTAAACGTAATCATCGCATCCTAAGCAGAATATGGTGCCGGTTCGGGAATCCGTGACTTAGTTGCTAAATATTAGCAATTGGTTGAGAAGTTGGCGAAAAGATAAAAATCAACATGAATCCTTACAAAATTTGTGGCCTGAGTTCTGGAAATGGGTATACCGGCTCACCGATGTGCAGACCGTAGAGCACTCTAGACAGGGATAGAAGGGCTTCAATGACTTTATTTCTGCAGGCTTGGGAGGCGCTCCCTGATGTGCCTGGAGGAGAGCATGATGGAACTGGCTAGCAGTTTTCTCGTCTTTTTCTAGAACGTCCCTGAGATGCTCTGAATGACGTTTTAGTATCCGATTTTTTGATTGACCTATCGCTGGGAATTGTCCATACCACATCCAAATTCGGCATCTGACATGATGATAGTTTCTTTCCTTCCAACAGGTATCGTTCGGGACCGATTGATAAATGCGATATGGATTTCTACAAGGTGGACAAAGTGGTCACTCACTGAAGCACTTGATGGAAACCTGCAGGTGGAATCTCAGGATAGTCGAAAGACCTTCGAGTGGAGTGTGACGCTATAATTTCGTTTAATTCCCCGAGGAGGAGTGATTTGCGGCGGCGATATTCTACTGGGTTAGTTACTGTTGGACCTATCCAGACGAAAGTTTTCTTTAGGACAGCCCGTCACGAAGGCCGGCTGCTGCTGGTGGCGAAGGGAGAGTTGAGCCAGAAGTGGAAGAGCGCGAGTAGCCAGGTGCTTCTCTCCTAGTAGCTTTTCAAGAGAGATGTGAAGCTACTAGCAGAGTCCGAGATAGCTTCTCTCGAGGCGGAGCAATAAATATTTTAGCTAGATCCTCAACCCGTTCAATAGACGATCTGGGAGAATAAAAGCTTTCGAGCTTCCCTCAAGCTTCCCGAGAGGTACTAAATAGTATTGATCCTGCGAGACGAAACGGGCGTCTGAATAATAGTCGAAAACTTGACGTAAATCGCAACACAAAAGCTCAAGCAAACGAGGGCGAATGCAAAGATCGATGAGTTGACAGCTCACCCCTTCCTCTGTGCTTATGGGTAACTTTGGGGTTAATTCCCGATTTTTTTGACTTCTGACCGCAATCTCAGCACATGTGGCCGTGAAGAGGTAACGGCATGGAGAGAGAACCGCTGGAAGAAGACAACAAGAAAATACCAGACGAATAAAATAACACGATGCAGGATGTAATATACAGCGATCGTCTGTTGCGTAAAATGGAGAAGTTGTTATTGTGGGTGAACTTATGGTGGTGGTGGTTCTGGCTTTACTGATACTAGTATTCTGCCGAGCGGAACCTTGGACAATCGTCGGACTTTGCCCAATCGATCATGATTAGATGGTTTCAGTCTCTTACCAGCTTGGAGAGTAATTTTGGCCTCAATTCATGTAGGACTTCTACTATCTTTATTATTTCTATTTGAGCAGCGGTATCATACTATTTATCAGCGCGTGCTAAATACTTCACATCCAATATAAACTTTGGTACCTGCAGAGCGCCCGATTCTAATTGCGTCAGCTGGCTACTTCTAAGCATAGCCAAACCTACGAATCCACCTCTTAGGGGACATGGAATGGAAAAATTAGAAAAAGGAAACCGGAAACAACGGTGGCGTCTATTGCACACTGAGAACTCGTGGGTGGAAGGGCCTATTCATAGACAAGATTCTATGAACCCATTCGCCCTAAATTGCCAAAGGCGCGTTTCCAACAGGGAGAGTAGCTAATCAAGCAGCTTTTGGCTGGGATTAATTATGTCGCTAACGTGAGTATATTGCAGTGGTGAACCTTTGGGCTTGGTAAATTTTCAACCTCTTCCGCTGCTAGGCAACGCACGCCAGGGACGTAGCCTTCCCTCCAATCAATCTGCAAGTACTAGATTGCGATAAAATAGACAGCCTAGGCCGCTTATTGGCTTTCGTAATCGGGAGTGTTAGAACTTGCTTGCTGGCGCGAAGAACGCAGGATTCGGTTGCAAGGGCGAAGTTCTTAGGTATATCAATGAATTGTCAGGTATCCTTGGTCAGCTACCGAATTCCACGAGCTCTGGGTCTTGCAAGCCCGCTGGTACGACCGCGCGTGGACCCTCGAGTCGAATAGCGGCCTCCGACAGAAGCACGGCCGGATTGTCTAGAACCACGAGTTGAGGAAGCGGGTACTGTGCTTTTTGAGCTCGATTTGGCTGATACAGGAGGATTATCGACAAAGGAGGTATCAGAAGTCCTAAGTTGAATTGGGTAAGCCAATTGTTGTTAATCATGCAGCAGGCTGAGTGCCTTACATGAAAGTCGTTTCACCGTCATGTTCTGATGTTGTCAATGGTTCGTTCGCGGTTATTGGATCTAGTCACAAGAATATCAGCGCCACTAAAATTGCTTTCGTGGTCCATTCCGACTATGTCCGGTGTCGGATTACCTTCTGCTTGCTTCGCTCTCTTGAAGGAATCTGGAATGGGCGCCTAAAGCAAAGCATAAGTCAATGTCTCTCTCTACAAGAGAAATTAACCTAGAAAGTGAAAATGATAACGAACAAGGAAAACAAGAATAATACCTCGGGGAAGTCAACACAAAAAGCGTTCATATTTAATCCATATAAGAAGCTAGCGAAGCTCTCATTAAACCGCGACAAGCTCTCATGCATTAGCTGGAGATGCATAAAATTGGCTTCGAGATCTGCCATTGAATCCGCTAACTCCGCAAACTGGGGTTCCAGCGCGTTGACGGCTGGTTGGAAGACACCATCCTGATTCAAACTTCCTCCGAAAGCGTAGGAATCTCGAATCGAGGTCCGTGAACCAGGCCGAAGCGGGGTTGTAGGTCGGGATGAAGGACGCGGACGGGAGATTGATCGGTGTACCCCGCCTGAGTCCATGACCAGGAAGTAAAATGGGCAAGCGGGTGAAGGAGGTTAGAGTGCAGATGCATACGCGCACACGGGCTAGGCGGGATGCGAGAGCTAGGATAGAGATTGCTGTAAGTTGATTGTTGAATGATTGTATAGACACAAAATTGTGTAAACGCGTGCTAATGTATGACATAAGCACAAGCCAATCGATCCAAGCTTGGTTGATACGAAAACTTATCAATCTACCGCCAACCTGCTGAAATTGTCTATTGCCTGCAGCACATTCTCTTCTGGGGGGGGGGCCCTGCCTCACATCCTGCTAAGCCTCTAGCGGGGATCTTGTATCCGGAGCTACCGAAGGACTGCACTCAGAGGACGAGCCTGTAGAAGGTTCCTCGCAAACACATTAAGACTCAGCCTCTCTTTTGCGTAGTACTTACTGTCTCTTGCTAAGCTATCCGCTATATACAACTAGAATATATATGTGGGCTGCGTTCCACCGCCGCGTCTCACCCTCGTCCCTTCACTTTGCCTCTGTACGGTTGACCGAACAACGCGCGCATTCTGGCGTTCGAGGGTGGCCGTCACGACGGGACTCGCCCCCTACCAAACATAACCGTTCTAGCTTCCCTGGGCGATATAGTCCTTCGTGTACAAGATACGCTTCGTCGTTCTGGACATTTGCTGTTGCTACTGCTATTGTATTTGGCGGCTTAGGGTTGCGACATATTTATTGGGCGCCGGATAAATCTAGCATCGTTTCTAGGATTCTTTTCGAGGACGAAGAAGCAGCAGGGACAGAAAAAGACGAAATGTCGACAGATCCGGCGCTTAGCGGGCGCGTTGGTCACCTTACATACCAGGAGGAAACGAAACTTAGGGAGTTTTGGGCGGTCCTTTTCAAGATATTCAAAATCAGCCAGGCTGAGAGCGTCGGAGTCGAGTGGGCGGATAGTTTATTACCTCTCCAAAAAACCCAAAGCACAACTGCGAACACGACGGACACCTCCTCCGTGACCTCGAAGAAGAAGACAGTCACAAAGAAACGGTTTGGCTTCTTCGGTAGATCTAACGAGACTGTGGAGGAGAAGGAAGAAATTTCGACCACCAGTGGTCAAACTGTGGCTAGCCAGTTCAAGATGGTGGACGATGACGATAAATATGGGCTGAACAAGGAGTTCTTGACTGCTTTAGCCAGTCAATCACCCGAGGAGCTACGGACGGCCTTCTGGAATGCGATTAAGCAAGATAACCCGGACGCTTTCTTGCTTCGATTCCTCCGGGCAAGGAAGTGGGATGTCCAGAAAGCCCTGGTGATGTTGATATCTACTCTTAGATGGAGATCTCAGGAGTGGAAGGTGGACGATGAGATCGTGTTTAAAGGCGAGGCTGCGTTCCATGAGAACAGCAAGAGTGACGACCCCACCAAGAAAAAGGAGGGCGAGGATATGCTTCATATGCTTCGAATTGGCGAGGCATATTGCCGTGGCAAGGATAAGCTCGGCAGACCGATTTGCTATACCAATGTCCGGCTTCATCGTATTGGTGCCTATTGCCAATCTGCTATTGAGAAAAACATCATTTTTCAAATCGAGACCTGTCGCCTGATGTTGGACTCGAGAATAGACACCGCTGTGAGTTATTGATGTCACTGTCATGCCTTTCGTCAATCGACATCGGATGCTAATTAAATTACAGGTTATTGTCTTCGATATGACCGACTTTGGACTGGCAAATATGGTGAGTCTCCCCCGCTTCATCGTGGATCGCCGGTTATACATAAGCTTACGCGATTTCGTAGGACTATATACCCGTTAAATTCATCATCAAATGCTTCGAAGCCAACTATCCTGAAAGCCTCGGTGCGATTCTCGTCCATAAAGCACCCTGGATATTTTCCAGTAAGTTCATATCGCTCAACTCGGCGTTGTTCGAGCACTGTCTCTAACACATTTCGCAGGCTTCTGGGCAATCATCAAGGGCTGGCTGGATCCCATAGTCGCTTCGAAAGTCCACTTCACATCGAACTACCAAGAACTAGAAAAATTTATTGCCAAGGAAGCCATTCCCCGAGGCCTTGGGGGTAGTGATGACTACGAGTACAAGTACATAGAGCCCAAGGCTGGCGAAAATGACCAAATGAAAGACACCGCTAAAGCTGCCGCACTCAAAGATGAACGAGTTAAGATCGTTGATGAGTTTCAAAAGACGACGCTAGACTGGATAAACATTTCTTCCAACGCCGCAGATAAGGCTGAAGATATTAAAAAGCAGAGGCAAGATATCGCCTCGCGACTGAGTGATTTCTACTGGAAGCTTGATCCATATATCCGAGCGCGCTCCGTCTACGATCGTATAAGGGATGCCGAAAATGCAGCCGCTGCTGTTACAGCAACGAAAACAGAGGCTTCCCCTGTGAAGGCGCAGGAGCAGACCACAGTGTCGGAAAAGTCTGTAACAGATACACTCGGGCCTCAAAGCCACGTTGTGGAGACACCGGTTGTGGCTGCGGCTGCGGCTAACTAGATTCCTTTTTGTTCAGCTCCAGTTCCTAAAGGCTCTTCATGTTATGTCTGAATGTTTCTTGTACCTCCTTCGTTTATTTTATTTTTTAATTTTTTAATTTAATTTAATTATTTTCCTTTTTCCCAATTGTTTCGGGATCTCGGGTGATTCTTTTACTTTCTCGTTTACATCTGCGTTCGCTTTGTTATGTTCAGTTGTCACTGGAGGAGTCGTATCTTTTGTTTCTCCCTTTGTGGTCAACCTTCTTCCCTTTCTATTCCCTTCCACCTGCATATATATCTTTTTTCTTCTCTTTCTCTTTTCCATGTTAGATATAAAATACATGCAAAGCGCGTGAGCTCCACAACCACAACGAGATAATGATCAAGAAAAATTAAATAGAGAACAATGAAGTTAATTAATTTATTATATATGTTTCATTCAGCCCATTCTTAAATTGTGGTAAGCGAGCATGCAGACGACAATTGAATTGCACGTGCTGAGGCAAGCGACGACAGAGATTATGAGCAACTGGCCGTACCTAGGGATAACAGTTCAAGGTGTGGATTTCCATCATGGATTTCCCTCCGGCGGAGTACAAAGGTGGACGGGAAACAGGCGTAGATCGACACGGGTGTGGTGGGAGGATTTCTGTCGTTGTGATCAAGCAGCGCATGTGAGCGCTTCTTTGCGATCTCGCCAGCTAACTTGGTGTGTGAATGTGATGGGTTGTATGGAAGGGCGTTGGTGGAATGAATGATGGATAAAAATATGATCTCACGTCGTTTTTACTAGCTAACCAACTACACATTGGGCAGGGAAAAAATTTAAAGAAGAAGAGAGAAAAATAGCTTCACTTGGTTTTTCATCATGATATCTGCCTTTCACCCACCGTTCCTTGAATAAGCCCCTTTTTTCCCCACGTACACACACATGCAGTGTAAACCAGGGGGAAAATACAATGGTTCCCATTGTTCACATTTCCCACTCACCGCTCATCTCCGTAATCGAATTCCGATTCAAATCCCCTTCCCTCTCTTCCCTACATCGGAGAGATTTGGTATAACATAATTTCAGTTACATCTTCGATTTCAGCTCTTCCCACAGCTTCTTGAGCTCCTCCTTGTCCGCCTCAGCGTTGGGCCAGCCAATCGTGAGCCCCTCTTTTTCGTTTGGCTTGGGAATCTAAATTGATGACGAACGGGGGGGAGAGAGTGTTTCCAATGTTAGTATTGTGTGCATTCCTTTTTAAGTGTTTTGTGCTGCTTGTGTTAGGCTATGGGGTTGGATGCGTAGATGGGGAGGGCCGGGTAATCCTTGTGAGGGTGCTCAACGTTTTCTTCTTCGTTTTTTTTTGGATTCCCTCGTTTTAAAGGATTTCAACATGAACAAGTCTCGGTCTTGGCTGAGAAATAAGAGTCCCTGACAAATCGCAAATGGACGCTAGGGAAAAAGAAAATGAAACATACCATGTGAACGTGAACCTGCGTGGGAATTGTTAGCACAGGGTAGAACGTAATATGGATATGCATGTTTTAAAACTTACATGATCCACAATCTGATGGGCTGGTCTCCCGTTATTCTGGAGGATATTGAAATCGACTGCGCCAGAGGCGATTGCTATCTTTTTGGCGACGGGCTGGGCAGGTAAAAAAGACGGAGTTATTTTGGTTAGCTGCCCAATTTACTCATCAGGGGGCATAAATGAGAAAATATGAGGCAATTTGGGCAATTTGCCAGAGACTATGACACAGGAGAGAAGAAACCGGAGCTTGAAATGGTAGCACAGTGATCTGTATGTAGCAAGATTGGTGGATCCCACTCCTCAGAGTCGGAGTTGTACTGTACAGGGTATTTCCTTGCCTTCTTCGCGCTGGTTCTTGTTGCACAACGGCTGTTCATTTTCAAGAATTGCCGGGAATCACGGCGGAAGGACGGGTAGAAATCACTTAGGTTTGATGTGCTCTACATACCAGAAGCTCAGTAAGATCTTCATCGGGAATATCGGTGAGTTTGACACCATGGAACTTGGGGATGACGAGCTGCGTGAGGCCGAATTTGGCCAGCTATTAGTATATCGATTTCAAGTCCGTGTGCAGGTTTATTGGTAGCCCAAGTGTATTGTGTTATCCGAGACTTAAAAAGGAGAACAAGTGACTCCTTTTCAAAGATACACAGTGAAAACTGATGATAATGGCGGTTTTCCAATTGGCCACTAACGTGCAGGCTGTGGCTGCTTTCCCGTAGTCCCAATCCAAACTTGAAGCAAAGAGCGCATAACTCACCGCATGGCCCCTGCTCAATGGCATGATGTCGAGGAAGGCCAGGACCCGTTCGCTTTCATAGAGCTTGAAGCACGGGAGCTCGCCTTGTGGAAAAGCGGAGTTAGTACCCATGTGTCCGGATGAGGGGTCCAATGATGTCAGCTATGAGGGGAACGATACGCACCCTTCACGATCTTACAGAAAATACAAGCAGCGGAAGCAGCAGACATGGCGAAGTTATTTTGCGACGAGTAGCTAACTTTTGGAACACAAGTAATTGATGGAATATGGGGGGGATTTGAGATTCCAGCGGTCGAGGGATGACTGATATGAGCTTTTTGTACTGTAACTACGGAGCAGATCTATGAGAAGATAGCTCCTTGCACGAGAAGTGACCGGGGGGAAGTTCAGCCGCGGATGGGAGCGGAAGATGATGCACCTGCACGGTCCCACAATGTAGGAGGAAACTAAAAGATGACGGGATTTAATTACAACAAATCAAATGAAAACAAAATATGGAAAGTAATATGAACCGCGGCTTACACCTCTATCACACATGTCGGGTTCGAACTCACGGGCATAGGATGCTTATATAATACCACCTAGGATATAAGACACTCCAACCCCGCAACTACATGGAGTGGAACAGGCTAGCTCAGAATCCATTTCTTGCCTTTTACCAGAGATGGCCGTGGCTCTGTCCAAAATACTCCAATACTCGAATCTTTGGACACTTTCCTATTCGACAATAGTTGGTCGATAATTTTATGCTCTTTTTGACTTCATTTCCTCTATGCGAAATAAACTGTGTTTTGAATGAAGGGAGATGCTACCGGCTCTGGGTCCTTCATCCCTTGGTGAAATGACAATAATGATCCTCTGGGCCGGTGCGTGGATTTTGGCCTGGGTCCGTGTGTATAATTATTGCAAGCTCGATCTTATCTAATCCCACCCCGCAGCTTCCCCACCATCAATAACTGCGAATCTTTTTATTGTCCCAGGTGAGAGATACTAGTAATAAGCAAACTGTAATTGAAGTTGAAGGGGATTGTACGCGGCATTTAAATTGGGTCAGCATCCCAAAAACAACCTTTCATGAGCGCCGTTGACTTGATGAATGCCGACTGGATCCCCCCCCCGGGCTGAGGGCTATCGGTTATGAGCAAACCTCATAACCGCAATCAAGTTGATATCTGGTTTGCAGCTACTCCGTACTTATATATGCCTTAGCAACCCCTTCGTGGATACCATGTGTCGTATCTCCATCTACAACTTGTCCCCGCACAGTATAATCCTTGCCTCAAGAATTTGCCAACCCGTGCACTGCACCCTTCAATATCATCGTTTCTTGTCTTCACAGCCATTTCGCAGAAAATCCATGTTGACCAGTGAGCTCTCGGAAGCCGATGTTTCGGGGCTTCGGGCCAACAAGGAGAGGTTGTGGAATTATATTCATCATAGTTGCCAATGGGGCACAGGCATCAGATGGGGAGAGTATGTGCTTTCTTCCTGCTTTGCGCATGCTATTTTTGGGCATTTACCCCGTTATGGTGCGACGATTATCAATCATAGCTTGCGCCTAGTTATATTATGAAATGATGACTAGTAGACATTGATTTATGAATAATCGGGCCGGTTTAAAAAAAACATAACAAATGGCGTTACAATGTAGCTGACAAAGTGGACGATCATGCTGCCCTTACAGTGGTCCAACAGACACAGGAATGGGCCGCCTAGCCCTCTCGCAAGAAGACAAACAAGTACGAGACTGGTTCATCGAAACCACAAAGGCCCTGGGATGCAATATCACCGTCGATGAGATGGGCAATATCTTTGCTGTCCGTCCCGGACGGAGAAAGATGGTCCCCGCTACTTTCGTTGGGAGCCATCTCGATACACAGCCGACCGGTGGCAGATATGATGGTATTTTAGGGGTCTGTGCCGGAATTGAGATGCTTAGGGTCTTAGAAGAGAAAGGAATCGAAACGGAGGGAGGGGTTGGTGTCGTCAATTGGACGAAGTAGGTTAACCATACTGCCAGCCTACCTCATCCCCCTCCTAAGAGCCATGGATAAACGTAGAAAATTATTTAGACATTGACCCAAAAACAAAACGTAGCGAAGAAGGTGCCCGTTTCCCCATAAGCATGGTCTCCTCCGGTGTCTGGGCGGGCAAAATTCCCCTCGAAAAAGCTCATACCGTCCGCGAAGTCCCCACCGTTGCCTCCCTCCCAACAGCCGCTTCCGCCCCAGAAACCATGAAGTCCGCGCTAGAAAAGATCGGCTACCTGGGCTCCACCCCATGCTCACACACCGCATATCCCATCGCCGCCCATTTCGAACTCCACATCGAACAGGGCCCTTACCTCAGCACCGCTGGTCAGCGTGTGGGCGTCGTCACCGCCGTCCAGGCATATCGCTGGCACCGCATCAACGTAACCGGCCGTGGCACACACACGGGGACCACGGCCTTCGAGCACCAGGCGGACGCGCTCTACGCCTCAGCGAGGATGATGGTTCGCGCGCGCGAGATTGCGCAGAAGCACGGCGGTCTTGCGAGCGTGGGAATAGTTGATATCAAGCCCAGCAGCGTCAATACGGTCCCGGGCTTTGTTAGTTTCAGCCTTGATTTCCGCGCGGCGGATACGGCGATTGTAGAGCGGTGCGATGCGGAGTTGCGGGAGGAGTTTGCGGCGATTGCGGCAGAGGAAGGAAAGGGGATTGGGAAGCCGTGTCGGGTTGAGTGGGTGTTGGACCTGGACAGTCCGGCAGTTAACTTCCATGAGGACTGCATTGGATGCGTGACGGAGTCTGTTAGGGCTGTTTTGAAGGATCAGGCGAACCCGGAGTCACTGTATCGTACGATTCGGAGTGGGGCAGGACATGATAGTGTTTTTACCTCGACAAAAGTACCGACGAGTATGGTATTTGTGCCGTGTAAGGATGGGGTGAGTCATCATCCAGAGGAGTTTTCGTCGGCAGAGGATTGTGTGACGGGGGCAACGGTTATTTTGCAGGCCGTTGTGAGGTATGATCAGATGAGGTTCAAGGAGTAGGCGGTAGCAGCGTGGTTTTTCTTATCGAATAGGTTAGGGTGAGGGCGATTGGTGTCTCTCAATTGCCATCTGTAAATGAAATGAAATATGTAAATATTAAAAGTTTCGAATTTTAGATGGGAAAAAGGTTGATTCGTATTTGTAGATATTGTTTATGGTATCTAAAGAAAAGCCCGTTTACGGCGGTAGGTCCCTGTAGAATCAGCTGGAATCAAAGTCATGTTGACACATTGCAAAATAAAACAAATTCGCAGAAAGAAATTATTTTCCAGGTAATAATTTATTTATTTCATTTGAGGTTAAATATTGCATGTTTTAATTTTCCCAACCATCCTCATTCACCCACACGATACCCGAGCATAACCCCCTTCGGTTGTAAACACCGGACAAAAACTTCGTCAATCTCCCAATCGTCATCATCTTCACTTAAGAAGCTGGAGGAGCGCCACGTCCACGACCGAAGCCGCCACGGAATGAAGGAGCAAAGTCGCCAGGGGCACCACCCTCCTTGGCGTCACCCTGTTCACGGCGTCGGTAGCCACCGTCGCCTCGCGGGCCACCACGACCACCGGGTCGTCTCTCACGCTCTTCTCCGCCCATCATGCCGCGGGGAGGAGCGTGCGAACGCTGCTGCTTGATGTGGGTAGCGGGGACGATTTCAGCGGGCAGATGGAGCCATTCACGGAGATAGTCGAGGCCCTCAGGGGTGAGGGTGTAGTAATAGTATTGCCACGAGAAGCGGGTCTTGAGGTAGCCGCGAGAGGTGAGGGATTGGCAGGCCTTGATCACCTGTTGTTTTTCATAATTTCGTTATTAAGTGACCTCTTTTTCCCCCCTCTTTTTCTGCAATTTTTCGGGGTTTCTTACGTAGAGATTCTTGGTGTCAATGTCGCCATGCTTGGGAAGGTTGAAGTCCTTCTTGGCCACGAGTACGCCCTCTATATAATTTTGACACAATGATTAGAATCGAAATATTCATATAATAAATAAAAATTTAGGTATGGGTGAGAAATTGCGTTGGTTCAACATACCGCGGAAGAGGTACTCGTGGATTTTCTTGCGGTCAGCTTTGGGGATCAGCCTGGAGTTTGAGAATTAGCAAGGTATTCAGCAGCATATAGTTGAAGGCCATCATACATTGTCGCGAGTTCCTGGCGCAATTCGGGGAATCGCTTTGACAATGGGGTATTCGGGCGGTGATGAGGGTTGTTGAGCTGGACTTGGACCTTTGCGCTTGTTCAATGCTTTTCTATTGCCGATAGTGTGACCGACAACGTGACTAGGGTTTGCCCTAAGTGACGAACTGAGAGGTGGCTATTTGCAGTGTGGTTCAGGGCGCTAGTCCGTACTAGGAAGCGGTACACATATTCGTGGCTGGTAGATCATGTGACTTGTTTCCGCGAAACGACGTCAATCTCAATTCTATCGCAGCATTCTTCATTATCAAGTTTCATTATCAAGTTCGCCACGAACAAACATCTTTTTAGATAGCATACCAAAGCACAGCAGGGTATCCATCTGAGGCTATCGAAATAGAAATCATATCGATATCGCCAATATGCCATCTCAAACGATAAATTTCCTCCTCACCTCTTTCCCTGGTTTGCCGCTGCCACCCACCCTCTCGTTCTCTCTCCCATCCACTGCAACCATCGCCGATGTTGCGGACAACATATCCTCGCGTCTCCCATCGTCTCTGAGGAATGTGTCTTCACGTCTTCTCCTAACCACTACTGACAATAAACAACTTTTGCCTTACTCTTCAAATTCCATCGCCTCCCTCCTCGACCACGCGCAAACCCTCTCGCAACACACATTTATCCCTCTTCGACTCAGCGCCAAATTATGCGGTGGGAAGGGCGGCTTTGGCTCCCAGCTTCGTGCTGCTGGAGGCCGTATGTCTAGTCGCCGCAAGGGAAACCAGGAAGAGAACAACGGCTCGAACCGTAATCTCGATGGTCGTCGGCTTAGGACCGTGAAGGAAGCCAAAGCACTGGCTGAGTACCTTGCGCTCAAGCCCGATATGGACAAGAAGGCAAAGGAAGCCAGAAGAAAGAGATGGGAGGCTGTGGTTGAGGCGGCTGAGAGACGTGAAGCGGAGATTCGAAACGGTGAAGGCAAGGGTAAAGTTGATGGGGCGTGGATGGAAGATAAGGAGGAAGTGGGTGAAAAAGCGAGAGAGGCTGTTTTGCGCGCAATGAAAGAAGGCAACTGGAAAGATAACCTGGCCGGAGCTGAGGTTCTAGGTGGGTCAAGTACCAGCGTCAGCAACAGTAGTGAAGATTCCGGGTCTTCATCGAGTCCGAGCGATGGAAGCGATATGGAGGATATTGAACAGACAAGCACGATTGCGATCACACGACCGAAATCAGTCAAGTCCGCCGCGCCTGTAAGGAGATATTTCGGCTTCGACGAAGAAGATGATGAATTGACGAGTGATGGAGACGGAGACGAGGACGTGGATATACCTGACGAAAAGGAAGTTGAAGGAAAGGGGAAGGGAAGAGCTTAATTTCCAATTATGCATGCAATTCGTTTTTAGTCTTTTTCACGATGCAAGGCGTTCAGAGTTTAAATATCGGTTTGTTAGCTTGGTTCATACTGCCTGGGTTGGCTCTGTATACATAGGGGCTAGATGAAAATTTAATCATTTCTTCAATGGAAATGGATGACACTGCACTTTTATCCACTATCCTTATTGCTTTTATTCCCATAATTCTCTAGCATAGTAAATACGTCAGCGTTTTGTTTCCATTGGGTGTGGCATTCGTCCTGTTATCTATATTTTATACGGTCACCCCGGAAGACCATATGCGCTGTCTTCTCGACCAAAATTTCAGTGCCTGAGATTTCTCGAGAATTTGTTGCGATGGTTTTTCTTTTGGTTGCTTTTAATTAATATAATGTCACTAAATCCACGGTCTGCATTGCGGAGACTTATCAATTTCGGATATCTTCCTTCACTGCGACTTTCATATTCTACTTCCTCCAGATGGAAACCGAGCGTATGCAGCATCCATCTCCCAGTCCTTCCGCGACGACTTCATCACTCCTCTCCAGATACCCCAATTCCAGATATACCCGAGCGTATTTGCCCGAAACTTGATCCTACTTCGCTCCCATTATCATGTCCCGGATGCGGCGCATTTACGCAATGGCTCACTCCTGAAGAAGCCGGGTACTACTCCGTCAATAGAAAATCTGTGAAGGAGTATATTCGCCGATTTTCTTCCGATTCGGAAAAGTCCCCCTCTGCAGCAGAAGGTGTTCAGAATCGGAACAGTAATGTCGACAGTGTTAATAGTGCTCCAGCCGAAATAAAACTAGGCGTAGAGTCTACACCACAGCCTAAAGGTACGTGGAGCCCGCGAGTATGAGCGAGCCCTAGACTAAATGATAATATCTATAGATACGCCATCGTTAGGCGATATAAAGGTACCATTCTGTGATAGATGTCATGGCCTTATAAATCATGGCATTGCGTCTCCCATTCCTTATCCGCCAATATCATACATCGAAGACATCCTCGTCGAATCACCTTACAGGCACAATCATGTGTATCACATTATAGACGCTGCGGACTTCCCTATGTCCCTAATCCCTAATATCAGCCGAATACTAGACCTGGCAAAACCGCGAACGCAAAACCGAAGAGCGAAAACTATACAGTATGGCGGTGGAGGCAGGAAACCCGTTCTCAGCTTTATCATCACTCGGTCTGATCTCCTCGGTTCGCGAAAGGAATTTGTGGACCACCTAATGACCTATGTCCTAAACGTAATGCGTGAGGCATTAGGTTCGAAAGGCGAGAAAGTACGTTTGGGTAACGTGCACATGGTTAGTGCGCATAGGGGTTGGTGGACGAAGGAGATCAAGGATAAAATTTGGGAGGAAGGTGGGGGTGTTTGGATGGTTGGTAAAACGAACGTGGGCAAAAGCAGTTTACTCCAAGCTGTTTTTCCAAAATCCCCTAGAGCGCTACCTCCTTATAAGTTACGTGGCAGCGGGAGATTCGAGGAGAGCTTGCAGGCCAATGACCGGATTTCAAATTCTACCGATGCCACCCTGGATTATAGAGACCTGCCACTCCCAGGAGAACTTAAAGATCCTGACCCAAATCAGAATGGTGAGACCAACGGAGAAGTCGATGCCCTCCTCCCTCCTGCCCAACAAGTGGCGCAATATCCCATTTTTCCCATTGTGTCCTCCCTCCCAGGAACAACCGCATCCCCTATCCGCATCCCCTTTGGCAGAAAAAGGGGGGAAGTAATAGACCTTCCCGGCCTCGCCCGCGCCGGCCTAGAAGAATTTGTGAAAGATGATCACAAATCAGACTTAATCATGAAGAAACGCTTAAAACCCGAGCGGCTGACACTAAAACCCAAACAATCCCTCGTCCTTGGTGGGGGGCTCATCCGTATCACACCAGTTGACGCAGACAACTTCGTCGTTCTCGCCGCCCCATTCGTCCCAATACAGCCACACGTAACGTCGACGGAGAAAGCTATACTCATGCAGGCAGAGCAGCGCAAGGTGCCCAATGTGCCTACCATTGCCAGGGAAGGTTTCGCTGAATCGATAAAATCCGCTGGCATATTTGAGATTGACGGAGATGTAACCAAGACGTACGGCAAACCGACTTCGTTGCCGTTGGATAGGAAACAGAAGAAGATGATGAGCACACTGCCGTATCAGGTTCTGTCCACGGATATTTTGATTGAGGGTTGCGGGTGGGTGGAACTCGTTGTGCAGGTGCGCGCGAAGGATTTGGAGGCGGGGCTTACGCCTAAGGTCGAGGTGTTTAGCCCTGCGGGGAAATTTGTTGCGAGGAGGAGGCCGATGTGCGCATATTCACTTTTGCTTGAGAAGCAACAGAGCGTTGCGAGAAAGCGAGTGAAGAGGCCGATGAGCAGTGTGAGGAGACGCAAAGGAGGAGGCTAGATTAGGGTTGATCGTATCGATTGTGTGTTCCTTCGATTTTGGTGGGTTTTTCAAAACGGTTGTATCATTAGATTTCTTTCGGGGTTCCTTGGTCCATATCCCAGTATTTTTTCTTACGGACATGTAACTAACATATATCTGATAGACAGACCAAACTGTATGATATGACGGGTAAAGGTGTTTTGCTACTTAAACATTTGGGTTGGCGTTTATCATACCAATTTGCTCCTCGGTCACATATCCAATTTTTTTTTACAAGTTGGATCAATAAATATAGAAAATTTGATCGGAGAATGCGAGCCAGGCTCGTGTCAAATATTTATGTATAATATATATTCTGCTTGTTCTTACGCTATGCCTCTTAACGTTAAATAGACCTTAACGAAGATACCCCCTCTAAATCTCTATCACCTTTCTTTACCCCCAGCCCCGCAATGAACAAAGCACGTCATGGCGACCTCATAAATCGAAAACAACGTTACTCGGTCACAAATTACACTTCACCCGCCTCGGGGATATTCTCGAAATGGAACGTAGGTTGTCCGGGCACTGCATTCTCCGCAACATTTGGTAGCCCCTCTCTCGGCTGACCATCCAAGGTCGTACCCGCTTTACCGCCCTCTTCAACGGCAACGACCTCCACAACTTTACATCCAGTCGTTCTGATCAAACCCGCAACCATATCGCCAAGAACCGATAGCTCATCGAAGCCCAGTTTTCGGTTAAAAACTGTTTCCGGCAGTTCCTTTGCCGTGACCAATCGCTTCTTCAATCCCTGCACGAACGGCATTGCTTTCTTCATCTCGCCTAACTTGCTCACTTTGCCATTCAGCTCTTTATCGTTAATGGAGAGGGAGACTTCATCGAACGCCTCTCGGACAAGGTCGATATATTTCTCTTGCCAGCTGGGGAATTTCTTGGCGGCGAAGATGGTCAACTTCTTTGGTTTGCGAGGGTCGAAGCTGACGGTTTTGCCCTTGGAGAGTTTGCGGGCAAAGGTAGCTTCGGATGAGGTGATGTTTGAGGAGGTAGTGCGAACGTAGATTAGAGCGGATGAAAGGGCTGGGGATGGCTCTGGAACATTAGGAAAAAGGGCATTCTGGATGGTATCCGGCTGTTCGATAAGGAAAATGATTAGCAGCCTGAGGATATGGATACCTTTAGAAAGGTGGAAATTTTCAGGGAAACATACCTTCTTGAGGACCTCCAGCCACACGTATTCAGACCAATGAGGAGTAATCGGTGTCAGAAGGAGAGCTTGCAGTTCGATGTATCGAAGAATTATATCGCGATGCATACCAATACCAGCAGCGGTGGTCGATTCGCGGTAGAAATCTCTTGCACTGGTAAAGTCGTAGAGCGCCCTCTTCAAAGCAAGTTTGAAATTTGTGCTATGGGATAATTCAAATTAGACATCGACATACATACATTTAAATATATATCCTGAAGCAGAACACGATTATTGACTTACTCAGCATAATGCTTCCTTGCCTCCCGAGCCAATACATTCAGTTCATTGTCAAACAGCTTATCGAAGAATGCATCCGCAGGTCCCGTGCGGAGAGAGCTGTCTTTGGCAACCTCCTCGATCCACTCCTTCAGTGTAAAAAGACGCAATATATTACTATTGGCGACTGATTCGTCAAAGTTCGCATCCTCAATCGCGTCACCCGCATCAGCAAAGGCAATCCGAGTGGCATCCGCACCGTATTTTTCCACTGCGTCCTTCAAGGTCAAGAAATTTCCAGTGCTCTTGCTCATCTTCTCACCGTTCAGCAGCAAATGACCATTGACTCTGATAGAGCGTGGCCAGTATTCCCGAGGGAAAAGCGCGGCGTGGATATATAGGCAAAATGTGAGATGGTTCTGAATAAGATCTTTGCCTGAAACGCGCACATCCAGGGGATACCAGTACTCAAACTCTCGTCTCATAGTCAGAAAAGCCTCCTTACGGATGCCGGTTGATTGAATTAAATCATCGCCAAGATCTCTTCTAGTGAAGATATAATCCCAAACCTCGTCTGTCATTTGCTCGGGCTTGATTCCGAGACTACCCGGTTCCTTTCCGTATCTGTCAGCGTGGAGAAGGTGTGCAATGGTATAATATGCCTGGTAAATTGTACTGTCACTCAAACTTTCGACTAGGAAATGAGGATCCCATGGCAGTCTGGAACCCAAGCCATAAGTTCTGGCACATGCCCATCGATTCAGCCACTCAAGATTCTTCTCAAACCCGTGGCGAGCTTCTTGAGAATAGGTGTTGAGTGGTCCTTTCACATAATCAAGGGTCTCTTTCTGCCACTGCGGATCGTTTTCCCCATAATTTAAGAACCATTGGCCAAGATATGCAACAACACATTCATCATTACTTCTGCTGACGACCTTGCCTGCAGGATCGGCAAATGGGAACGCATCGCCACTCTTGATGAGAGACTCACGGACCTTCTCTTTGACTTCTTGAACTGGCTGGCCTTTGAACTCACCATGAAGCATGGTACCTTTGTAGAATCCTTCCGAATATGCTAATTCCTTTGCCTTGGCGAGCGGAACTGCATCCTTTGGTGAGTTGATCTTGAGCTGCTTTACCAAGGTTGGTGCTGTAAGGTTCCCATACGAAGGGGTTTCGATAATGGGAAGGATTTCCAATTCAGCCCATTCTTTCTTAATACCGTAGTAATCAGCTTTCTTTGCGAGATCAACTACAGTTGCATAATCATCTGGGCTGTCTGACGGTACCGATGTTACGACACCAGTTCCCTTAGTTGCAGACACGGACTCCATAGGAAGTATTCTAACACCCCCAGTATGAACAGACAGAGGCGCATTGACCAGCGTACCAACAAATGTGGAGCCAGGGGCCTCCACTAGTGGTTGAAGCTCACTCTGGTCTCGTGGGAAATTGTCACTGCTAAAGAAAGTGCCTTGGAAGGCCATGTTCCAGGCCGCGCGCTTAGTAACAATGTAATATTCCTTCTCGCTGACCTTGTAGATGCCATACGGTATTTTAGGCCCAAGGAAGCAACATGTCTGCCCATACATCGTCTCGGGACGTAGGGTGGCAGGAACAAAGTACACATTGGCGTCGGGTTCAATCTTCCCCTTAACGAGCTCTTGGGCAGCCGGCGACCATTCCTTGACCTTAAGTTTCAAAGCGGTGTATTCTTGTGGACCAACTCCCTCACCTTCAGTCCGGTCATGATCCATACACGGTTGTCCGTCCTTGGGTGAATAGATAGTATATCGATTTCCGTACAAGATTTTCCCTTGCTCATGGAGGCGATTCATCTGCCAGCGGGTAAAGGCATCGTAATAAGGGTTGGCATCCGTGGTCACGAACTGACGCCGCCAATCGATCCTAGCTCCGATACTATCGAGATCTCTGACACACAATGGCGGAAAAAATTCAAGCCAGTGGGCAGGGTCGGCAAACTTATGTACTTCTTCAAGGGGTATACCCAAAGCCAACATAATTTGGAACTGGTATTTCATTTTCACAGACTTGGCCGCGGCCTTGCTCTTCTTCCCAGAAAACTTGGTCAGGTCCTCTTTGGTTCCCTGAGTCGGAGCGGGCGCTTCGTCGGGCTCATCCCCTTCGTCGGTATATCTCTCAAAATGTTTCCCGAACTTTTTAATGTCGTCCACCAGCTTATCGGCACAAGCTTTGATCGGCATACCGGTGCAATGGAAACCAAGAGGAAATAGAGCTCGTTTTCCCTCCATTCTAGCAGTCCCCGCCATAAACTCTACTTTACTGGCGGTAAAGCTGTGGCCGGCATGTAAAGTTCCATTCATATATGGATATGCCATGGTGCCAAAGAATTTTGGGAACTTTTCCCGCAGGCCGGCGGCGGTGATAGAGTCAGGGGGGATTTCGGATATAGATGGGGCATTGACTTCGAAAACCTTGTTCGCCTTCCATTGCGCTTGGTATTTCTTTTCAATTGCAATAAGGGTGTCTCTTTTGTCCGTCTTGAACACCGCTGTTAGCAGTGTCCCTACTCAATGTGCGGGGCAGAATGACTCTTACATTTTCAAGTTTCAATGTATTTTTGGCGCTATTGCTGGGGTCCAGCGCTGCAGCTGCAACAGCGGCAGCCGCCATAGTTTCTAGCTAAGTACGCCCAAGAGGCAATTTAAGCGGTTAGCAGAAAATGAGTTTTGGTATTGCGCAAAATTGCAAGATCTTCTAGTAGCGGGGTTTTTGTAGATGCGATGACCTCAAAACTCCACGGTTTGCTGACTCAGCCCATCAACTAGTTATCATGTCGGACTTTCTATTGACCGAGCATCAGCTCCCAAAATTTCGAGCTTCGGGGAGATGCATCGCGGAGTTGTCGATTTCCTCCCACTGTTAATTGGCGATTGTTTTCCCGGTACAATCTCCTGTCCCAATTAATTTAGGCACGGCCTCCCAGAAACCATTTTTGGCGGAGGCAGGAGAGCAATCGCCACCATGGTCTCCATAGTGAAACGGATGCGAGCTCTCAAGGCAGTATGTTGAAACACGGCCCATTCTTTGCATTAAAGCTGTATATCCATGAAAGATAATATGACTAACTTAATTTCGTTCTCATTCTACAGAAGGTTGACAACTCTACTATTTTTTGTTTACAATATTTCTACACCAAATTGTGGTGAACAAACCCGGCTCTTCAATCTGTCGATGCCCCATTCATCAAACCAATACTACAACCCAACGAATGTAGGAATAGTTTAATGCTAATCTATACTTCCCACTGGTTCTCTTAGTTGTTGAACATGCGAGTTGGGCTTGGTGCAGCCCTCCTTCCTCCGGCAACGTCCACACACGGACTCCCACCTGTCACACGCATCCACCTTACCTACGCGCAAAAAATCTACGAAGGTCACGGAGGAGCCAGGAAATTCTGGCGCGTCTGTCTCCCGCGGTTAAAATATCACAACCCCACGCTTGCCGTCACAGTGAAACAAACCACCAACCAAGCAGGACCGGCCATATTATCAATATATTTCAAGAACAAAGCTGCTGAGGCGTCCGAAGCTGTTTCCCCGAGTAGTGAAAATCCGGCGACCGCCAACCCTTCCCCAGCCCCTCCCGCGCCAGAAGGAGAAGAGCAGCTGTCAGACGAGTTTGCGCCTCCGCCAACGGAGTCTGAGATCGTAAGGCGCATCAATGTAAAAAAGAAGACGATAAGGCATATCTGGGACGATTTTAAGCAGATGACGGGTGCGGAGGATATCCCACTCTCGGAGGCGGATAAGGCGGAGATCGAAGAGACGCAGCGGCAGAAAGAGCTGAGTGATTTGGATCGGAAGAGGGTAGCGGAGAATAGACAGATGATTAAGGATCAGGAGAAGTTGCTTGAGGCCGCGAGAGAAGATGTGAAGCGGCTGAGGGCCGAGAAGTAGAATATATATGTATATTTTGCGAGTGGAGAGGGACGGCTTTTTTTGGCCCTCTTTTTTCTTTCTTTCCTTTTTCTCACTGACCCATGTATTAGAACCCATTTCATGTATAACTTTTGCTTTCTTTTTTTTTTTGTTGGGTGGTACGGAGTAGAATATGTCAATTTCCCCCGCCTTTTTTGCATACCCTATCCTTTCATTAAAGACCGATGAATTCCTAGATCGTGCCATCTATGTCAATATGTTTGTATATTATGATGGAAAAAGCGCTTATTAAACCCAGTTCCGGAATACTCAATCGCTAATTCGCAAATCTCTTTTCTTTTCATTTTTTTTTGTTGGGGGGGAAGGGGGGCTTGGAAAGAAAAGAAGCAGTAACATCGAGCAAAGGTATGAGGTGAGATTTAATTGAAAGTAACGAGGCGGTGGCTGTAGAGGTTTGAGAAACAACAGCTGATAAAGTATCCATCTTTTAATATAGAGAAATTCAATATGATGTATCCCCGTTGCCGTAGACATTGGCAGTACCACCATCTTTGCCTATTAGAATTGGAAGAGGTCAAGAACAGGTGAAAGAGATTTCCCATACCCATGGCGAGGCGGCTATGAAGCGGAAATATTTTAATTAGACGGAGCGAAGCGAAGTCTCTAAGAATCATACAAAGCTTGAGAGGGGGGGTCAAAAGTTTCTTCATTTTGTGGATGAAATGATTGGATGTCGATGTGTGCAAAAATGTGACTTGAATCTCAATGATTTTTAAGTAGAGTATCATCATTCTACAATGATGCTGAGTATAGATAACTTGTAGATAGTAGGTTTTGTGTCACATGGCCAGGAATGAGCTTGAAACAGCATTGAAAATGGGATTCTCCGAGTGTCCGCATCCCCATCTTACAGACGATAGGGGTATTTTCAAGGGAACAGGAGCTAAATATGAAGAAAGAAAGAAAAAACAAAACCATTAGAAGAGATCAGAATGCAAAGAATAGAAATAATTACACCTTTCATCAATGAAAGGGGTGTTAAAAAGTATATAATAGTTAAATAAGTGGGTAGGGAAAAGTAGGGTAATAGAAACAAATGTTGGTGTTTTATTCACAGGCTTTGCAACGCTATCGCAAGGTGGAAGGCGAATGAGATAATATGAAGGGCGTTGAGTGTCCAGGAGGATAGCGTCATCAGGCGGGGGATATATATAGAATGAAAACACACAAGTGCATATACAATAAAATTCATAATCAAACAAAAGGAACTGATTCCAAAATGTGATATACCCCGCCCCAGCTGTGAACCAGAATGTTACAGAGAATTGATCAAGGATCAAAGCTAATCGTCCTAGACCACGAAAGAGGAGATAGAAGGGAAAACATGTGCCGTGGGAAAGACGGGTGGAAAATCATACCGTATCCTATCACAAAACCCGCATGTCACTGACATTAATGATAACAGTGTGGATGGTAGGTCCGTCACTCCATTCACATTGTGGGAAAATGAATCCGTTTAACACACATATAAATTGGACGTGCCAATCCGCCCGTTAGTCCTATTATAGTGCTGAAAACCTTCACAATCTGAAACAAGCTTCTTTTGTTGCTTGGTTCATTTTCTCATCATGAATGATCAGGTGTATAGTTCGTTTCACCCAGCATACTTTGGCCGGGAGGAACAGACGGGGCTGCTGTCAGCGGCGAAGGTTGTCGTGGGGGCATTTTTTGTGACGGGGAAGAGTTTGCGGCAGCTGGCTGAACTGGCCTACTTGGGGCGGCTGCCTGAAGCCTTTGATCCAGAGCCTTAAGAGCGAGGGCTCTCCGCCGTTCTGCCTCCTCTCGCTTACCCGAGCCTCTTCCGCTGCCTATCCTGCCGTTATTCAACAGATTTGGAAGCCCCGCTTGTCCACGTGCTCTTGCTTGTTCGTTGCCTGATGCGATATCCTCCTCCGAGAAAGGGGTGCAGACACGTAGGGCAATGAGGATTGAGTATATCTTATCTGCGACAAATGAGATGGGTGGTTGTATGGCGTCTGGGAAGAAATTGGCAAAGGCAAAGGTTTCGCTGGCATCTCCTTTCATGCCGAGTTCGTTGGTTGAGGTGCCGGAGAGGTCTGGTTGGCGTTTGTAGAAGCGAAGGTATGTCCAGCTCGATAGTAGACCGAGCCAGCTCAAATTGAGCGCGACATCGGTTCCGAGCACGATGCCACCGATGGCGTTCAGGAGGAGGAAGAGAGCAGGGAAATGCTTGACTCGCATTTTGATAATGCCCTTAAGAATTGTTACGGTGTGTTCAGGGACTAATTGTTTGAAGGCCACCAGAAACGCCGCCTGGATCGCTATCCCGCCAGATATCCCTTTTTGACTGAAATGACAATTTTAGTAACGGTTTCGTAGACACGCCGATGAAATAAGAGATCAAGATTCCATGGGCAGGAAACAAAAAAAGACTCACGCAATACTAGCATCAGACACAATACTCGACCAGAGGATGTAGAGAAAAGTCATGACGATATTCGGTACCAGTGAAACAACAAGGATAACTTTTGCAAACTCTCGCGATCCCCATGCCCGCTCGAGATATTTCCCTCCATATAGCACTGTCGCTCCGGTAATGATAACAGTGAAAATATTTAGTTCGACACATGTAGCCGTCAACAGTGTCCAAGGATAAAAGAGAACGTTGGACGGAACCAGAGATAGATAAGGGATCGGGACGCCCGGCGAGCCTTCATACTGTCTCCATCTGGCCACACCGTTTAGAAAGGATAAAGCGCAGATGGCACTGAGAATCGCTCGCGTGATAGGAGGTATGTTTATTCGCGGCGCCATGAGAGATGTTGTGGAAGCAGATAGTTGTCCTATTCCGGATGGTGTACGGTAATAGAATGAATAGCAGATTCCACTAGATTGGCAGCGCTGAATCCAGTGCCCATGGACCGCGCAGTTAGCAGAATTTCGTTTACTTTCCGAAGGGTCAGCTTGCAGCTGTTTTGCTGGCGGCTTCAGCGAGTGTTTTGAAGGTCGCAGGACCTTTTGGAAATGAGATCACATGACCCCACACCAGACGAGGAGAGATCATGATAGCAATATAGCCATCTGCCATCGATATGGGTACTAGTAACTACTAGGTACGGAAGAATAGAAAATACGCAGTATAATAATAAAACGGGATGCCCATAGGCGATGTGTTGGATTTCACAGTTTCATGGACAGCAAAGAGGCTCTTGCTCGACATTAGATTGTTAGTAGTGGACTCTTTTCTCTTTCCAGCAACTCAGGATCTCACGGTTAATTATAGGAGGTGCACAAATTTCTTTTGGGAACGTGCAAACTATAGTTGAACCCCAAGGAGCCTTGCCATGATGTGATGGGTGCATAAACGAATGGTTTTGTTGCCCAGGAAATGTTCGACAGAGGCACAACAAACGCCGGGCCGTTTGTACTCGCATATCATGCTTAACTTTGAACAATCTTGATTTAAGTTTATATCGAGCTTCTTGCGGTGTCTAGCAGATATTTGATTCGACAGACGATAGAGCAATTTATTCATTCGTCTCCTATGGCATCCCCAGCGGTTCAAGTTTATATTGATGTCCGTGGATAAACTACACATGATCGATCACACGATATTGAATTATGGAGAAATAGCATAGCACTGAGCGTTGAGCTTGTTGAATGCTGAATGCTCGCAATACTGCTACTGTGCGGGGTATAACAAGTAGAATTCAAGGTTTTGTTGATTCCCTTGCATCTGTTTGAGATATATCGACATAGCTTCGATCTCGACCCATGGTCTCAACGATGGTAACAAAACCACACGATACCACCGGTCCCATGCTGGCCAGCACCGCCAATCCCGGTATCGTACTGTCACGGCAGCCAGCCTCTAGCCCGATCGGGCCAACCCGGCGCCTTCAGCCGCCAACATCGTCCGAGATCGAGACACAACTTCTGGCCCGCTGGGATATTTGACGAGAGCAACTTGGCGAAAGGGACCAACCAAGGCAAGGAGCGCCGACCAACCAACTATTCCCTGCCATTTAAAAGGTCGAGCAATCTTCGTTTCCCAGATTTGGCAAATCGCCCCCAAGATCGTTTATCCGGTGGACAACCCCCGGATCCAACAACCGCGCAAAGGCAGTTTCAAATCCTGCATCATAGCTCCGTGGGACAGAAAAACAGGCGCTTTGTCCCATCTGCGACCAACTGGTGTTTCTGACGCGTTTCGACAATCCATCTTCATTCTTCAATGAACGGTAGCCCAAAATTTCAGCGATTCAGCCCAGAGGCTGGAAGCCTTTGCTAAATTGCTAGCCTGCCGAATCCTCGACGGAAACCTGTGCGCGCGAGATCGCCCTCTCAAGCATCAGAACTAACTAATCCTTGGTGGGTTTGAACTCTAACGCCTAAAAAAAGGTCCATCTTCGTAGTGCCAATCTTCAATCCTTTTCCCCCTCAAGGAAAACCTCGAAATTGTGGGCGCTTTGATTCCTCTTCCTTGTCCTCGATTCCTCGATTTCAAACTCCTTATCACTATCTCGGCTTTCGTCTGTAGTTTTTGAATTTATTCTCCTTGGATCGACTGCCGGTTGGCGCCGCTGCATCAGACCGTCAATCACCACGATTTCAAGCTGCGGTCCTCTGCGCGTCAAGCTCTAATTTAATCTTTGGATTCCCGTCGCAGGTTCCTGTTGTCCCCCTGGGTTACTCGGTCGTCCATTTCTCGAATTCCACTGGCTCGTCACATTTTGCGTTCTCAAATCCTTCTTTGCTCCTGTGCTGCGCTTGGGGGGACATTAATACCTGTCGTGGAGGCTGGTATTTTTTGGCTAATATTACCTTGGTATCTGTATTTCATTGCTGTTAGCCACAGCAGTTACACATGTCACCATGGCGTATGATGGCCTCACGTCGCATCATGTCAACTACTTGATCTGGAGGTGAGTTTTGCATATATGCGCGCCTCTGTTTGGTGTTCCTACCCGCAATCCCACTCCAAAAACGAGGGAGAAAAACGTTGATCTTATCTTACCCCATCACCGTTGCAATAATAATTAAATAATGAAAAGTTAACTGACAAACCCTTTTCTCAACAAAGATATTTACAGGAATCAGGTTCGTTTTATAGTGATCAAAGAATTTGATTTTCTTTTGCTAGAATTGGTCGCTAACCGCTTGAGCAATTTTCATGAATGTTCATAGGCCACGGAGATGCTGCGCTGATGCTACAACGCGCCTGGAACCACAATCCCCAAGATTTCCCATTCGCATCGTATATTAAACCACATGCCCTGATCGTTCTAATTCAGAAAGGGCTTCAGTATTTTGAACTTGAACAATCATTAGACCAGGTATGCAACCTTGCTGGCCGAGTTGGTGCTGTTCAGTTCACACGCCATGCCAATCTAACAATTCCCTCTTACTATTTTAGGCCGGGAATTCACTGCCCTTGACCACCGTATCGTTCTTCGGCCCTGTTGCTAGTGACTCGCGCACTCCGGCGCGGAAGCCAGGCCATGGCGATATCAAAGATGGAACCGGCGCTGAAACCGGCACCCGCACAGCACTCCCCAAGCCTGCTGTGGGCAAACCAACAACGGACGGGATCGTCAATGGGCATGCAAATGAAGTTGTTACGACGCCAATATCTGGGAAGCCTGGGAAGTCTGCGAGTGCCAAGGATGGCGATGTGTCGTTCTATGCCGGTGAAACACCCATGGAAATTGACCAGCAAGACATGACCCAAGAACGAGCCCCCCAAGCCAAGGCGTCGCCCCTGGCCGAACCTGTTGTAGATGCGGATGGGGACATCGGTATGCGAGGACAAAACGAGCGGGAACCATCTCCACCGATCTTCACCTTAACAGTCGGTCAGAGTACTGGCGTTCAAATATCTCCCTCTAAAGCAGCCGATTTGGGTCCAGACACTACCCTCTTTGACATCGGTAGTAACAGCGAGATAACACAGACACTATGGCGGCCAGATGATCCAACAACAGTGACTGCAGCCGGTGACACATTCTGTGGCCTCTGGAAACTGTCAGGGCCACGTTCTGCAGTTGCACCGACTCATGAGCCTTTGGTCGAAACTAAAGGGGATGGGACATGTGTAACCACCTCGAGTTGGGATTCTGCTGGCAAGATGCTCGCAGTAGCTACCTACCAAGATCCAATGAATGGAAATATTACCATGTATGGGCACGATGGGACTGCTGTAGACCTACTCCCGGACTTACCAAGGATGGTATCTGGACTCTACTGGGCTCCTCGAGGGCTGCGGATGATTGTGGTCTTATCCGATGGGCAGCACTCCGAATTAACACTGTGGGATCAAGCAATTCGACCCGATGAGTTCCCAGCACCGCAGGTGATAGATGGGCTAGTCCATGAGGTATCGTGGTGCAGTGATGAGATGATCTATGCGTGTGGAAATGGATCGGTATATGAGTACCGCGGGATTACCGATCTCCTCCTCAACAAAACTTACAATTCCAATGACGGACAGGAGCCGTGGACATTCATTGCCAGCGCCATGATAGCCGGTTCACCAGTGGCCGTTACCGCTTCCAGCTCGACTACAAATATTTGGGTTCCCACCCATGACATCAGTGTCAGCGCGACCCACCATGGGGATATAACGGCGCTCGAGCTCCGACCACAGCCGCAGTCAAGTCTTTTTCAAAAGAGTACATCGTTGCTATTCGCCACATCTTCTATGGACGATACGGTTAAACTCTGGAACGTAAATGTGGAATCGAAGCAGATCCAGTGTTTGCACCGCTTGTACCTGGGCGCGTCGTCTCCGGCTTTATGCTCGAGATTTTCGCCAGATGGCTACGCCATCGCCGCGGCGACGCATGATAGACTTTTTATTTGGAGTGTGGAGCGTGGCGGGGTGGCGCTGGCGAAATGGACGGCGCCAAGAACTGTTGTAGATCACCCGGATGGAGCAGGTAATAATAATAAAAATATGGAGGATTTGGAGGATGCTGCGTTCTATCGTTCCCTATCGTGGGATTGTGACGGCAAGAAACTTGCTCTGGGATTTGGGAAACAGGTAAGGCGAAGTTTATCGTCGCTATTTCCGTTCCCTTGCAAATTATACTTTTTCTAGCTTCTCGCCTAACTTTATTCACTAACTGCTTTGCTATAGATGGCTATCATCAATCTTCAACGATGACACCTGTTTTCTAAAAACCTAGTTCAAAGGCATCGTGTATCACTTGCAATGGTCCTATCATCTATCAATTGAATACGCCAGACATATCATACTTGCGTCCGTGTACAGATGCGGAGATCCTTTACAGATGAAAAATACGTCTCAAAAAGCATATTAGGATATATATATTGGCATAACCGTCCCCCCATATGTCCCGACACTGCAGGTATCCTTATTATCTCCATAACATGACGCAAGCCGGAGTTTTCGGAGTCTGCAATAAAATATTTATCAGCTTGACTGATAAACTGCAGATACTACATCACAAAGGATGGGTAGTTGGATAGTTGGAGCTTATTCTCTCTGCCATACCTTGCGTACCCCAAACCAAATCCCCACTTATCTTCAAAAATTCAAGATAATCGGTCCGCACTAGCAGGCAACCGAATAATCGCGGTATGGCACAGTCAAATCTAGCCTAGAACAAACGGGGCCATCTGCCATAGAACACTGCAGGAATCAGCCCACCCCTCGGCCCCGATTCAATCTCATAGCCATCCTCTGCTCCCTCAAGCGAGCTCTGATCCTGAATCCTTCTTCAACCTCATCCCAATCACGAAACCACATCCTGATCCCATCCATCAACGTATCAATATCATCATTTCTACCATCAACCACTCCCATCAACCTACTCACTTCATTGCTGTGAGCCCACCCCTCCTTTCCTCCTGCACGACCAAAAAGAGAAGAATCTACCGAAGACCATGTATATTCGGAATCGCTATCCAGATCCAGGTTCATTCCTGCCTCATCGCGTCGATGCATTTTCATCTTCCAACTCCGTATCCAACCTTCCAATCCTCGCATGGTGCGCTTTAAACCTTCTAATTCGACTGCGTTTTCGATTTTCTCTGCACGTCTGTTGGTTCTCTCTCGTTATTTTTTTGTTATTTTTATTATTATTGTTTCAAAATAAAGGGGAGAAAAATAAGGTTCCACTAAGATTTTTCATTATAACCCTGCCAATAAAGAAGGATTCACATCGATACCCACAATTGTTTTCTTTGGATATCGCTCAAAATTATAGAATATTTCTTTTGGAAAAAGTGATGTTTTGGGGAAGAAGGATTCATCAGGAAACTGACAGGGTAGGAGCAGGAGTAATCGGGAGGTTACTGGGCTTGGTTTGGTCCAGTCCCTCTTAAGAAGCTGGGGGGAAACAACAAAAAAGAAAAGGAAATCGGGGAAATACAAACTTACAGCTCATCAATCTCGTCCTCCATCTCCAGAATCCGCTGCGCGAGCTTTTCGCATTTCACCGTGAACACAGCGTTCAGATGAAGACATTCAGTGCGTCGCTGCTCAAGACACCTCGTAACGCGTTGCAAGTCCCGCATTAAAACTTCCAGCTCGCGATGGTCGACTTGCCTCTGACTCTTGTCCTTGCCATTTGCTTGGAATTCAATTTCCGGCGGTTCCCGTTTGGGAACCAACTGTGGCGGAGCGAGTTGATTCGACGATAGCAATGACAGTGGTGATGCTGGTAGTGATACATGTATAGTTGATGCTGTGGGGCTGGTATTTGCAAGTTCGTTCCCTATACTGGCGGAGGCACCGGACGCGGACAACTTGGTTATTGATTTCCCAGCGCCGCCTTCCTTGTCATCCTCGATTTCCTCATTTTCCTCATCCCCATTTTCTTCTTTCCCTTCGTCTGCTCCGTCGATCCCAATCTCGTCGTCACCCTGGAGATCCAGCAGGAGCCCCTCGATACCATCTAGGCGTCGATTGATAGCGATTAATTTCTGCTGCGACAATGATCGCAACGATGGCATGTGGGGATGTGTTTGGTTATTTTTCTTCTTGCCACTACTTTTATTATCGGTGTCATTGTCATTTTTGCCGTTGCCAGAACTGGAATTTAAATCAGCTATCAAACAGGCAAGGCGCATCAGGCGTTCTGTGACAATTGGTATTGTTATTGTTATTGTTGATTTTTGAGGTGAAGGTGTTATTGCTTTCATTTGTGTTGGCATTGGCATTGTCGTTGTTGTTGCCGTCGTGTCTGGCGTTTGAGAACAGTCCATGTCGATTGCGGAGTCGGCAAAAGTATTGTTAATGTTAATGTTAATGTTGGGGGAGCTGGGGGTTGATGTCGATGACGATGATGCTGTTGTCGTCGTTATCATTCTGGTAGTCGTCGGCACCGCACCCGGGTCATATGGGTTGTGCGGAGGAACCGACCTCTCGAATCCCCCTTCCCCTCCCATATCTTCCTTTTCTTTTTTCTTGTTGGTTTATATTACTATATTCTTATATACCACCTCTCTCTCCTTTTTTAAAAAATATTGTATTCGTATGTGCCTCTTGCAGGGGCGACGGCCCAGCCTTGGGAATTTTCTATGTTTGTGTCTCTCTTCTCTTGTGTACTGTATTGATTTTGGTAGATGCCTACGTTAGAAAATGGGGGTTATCGAATTAGTCTATATGTAAATGGAGAAGCAGAAAAGAAGGTGCGGGGGCTGGCTATTTTCTCTCGGAATTGGGTTTCAAGAACAACAAAGGAAATAATTCATGGGGTTTGCTAAAAGACGGGGAAGGTTTGCATGGGTGTTTTTTTTTTTCATATGATATAGTTAAAACTACCACAGCAGAAAGAACACAAAGTGAATTCCTAGAACACAAGTATTTTTCTAACTCACCGTGGGCAGAGATTTAATTTATTTATCATCCCTGTTCCACCTCCTTTCTTACCCCTGTTTGACTGTTTGACGCGAGGGCGGGTCTACGTCTAAGCTTGGTGCCAAACGCTGCCGCTAATCGCTGCTAAATCGCCAGCCAGCCCTCATCAGGCTAAAATGTGGCTGGTGCAATTTGGGGGCTGACTAAGTCCCTTACGCAGACAGGAGACAAAGTTACGGGATCGGATTTTCCGTGGCCCCGGCTGTGTGCATGACATAATCTGCCAGCTCCCGATTGAGCGTCGCCAAGCCTGCAACGCGGCATTTGGTTGGCTGCAGGTTTGAACCTTTGGGCAAGAGCTCGGTTGTCTATGGAGAGTCATTGACAGGAAAATGCTTTTTTCCGTACCATGGATGCCATTGTGACACCTCCATCCTCCCTCCGTCTCCCCATTTTTACAGCTGAGAGTTGCTTCTATGAAATTGATTTGTTTTGGTTGTTTGAAATCCTGTTCAAGGACCGGTTTATCCAGCATCGTTCATAGTACTACAACGAGACCCGCAACACCCCGCCGTGAATCTTGGACACACCCCGCGCACACCTCCATCGAGCAACCATGTCACCACGAGTATGTTATTTGTATACCCTTTCTTTCTTGGGGGCCTGTCGATTGAATTGCGCTTCTATCATTTCTATCTTTTTCGTGAAAACTCTAGGTTGTCTTGGATTGTAGCTGATTTTTTGTTCGAATCTGTGGTAGGTTGTGATTCAACCCACATTAGAAGTGGTTAAAGATGTCCTGGCACAATCAAAGGGGTCGCCGTATCCGCCCAACCTCGTTCCTCTGGTAGCCTCTGTGCCTGCAGATCTACTCACCCCTACTGTGGCATATTTGAAAATCTCGGAGAAGTGAGTTTAGCATGTAGCTATTGATTTTCATTCTTGCAGAGGCCTACAACCTAACGTATTGCGATTCACTTGTTCTGGGCAGCTCCAAACTCTCCTTCCTCTATGAAAGCGCTACTACGATGGAGACAATAGGGAGATATAGCTTTGTGGGAGCTGGTATGTTTTCCCTTTTCTCACTTGCAACGATATGCCAACAAAACATATCTCACTTCCGTTTCTGACCGCATTAGACCCCAGAAAAGTCCTCAAAACTGGTCCCGGCCATGGCCCCGAATGCGATCCACTCCCCGCCCTCGAGGAAGAGCTTTCCCAGTTCCGCGTCGCCACATTACCAGGCTTGGGGTTGCCGCCCATGACCGGCGGCGCAATTGGCTACGTCAGCTATGATTGCGTGAGATATTTCGAGCCCAAGACAGCACGGACTATGAAAGATGTTCTCAAAGTCCCGGAGTCGTTATTCATGATGTTCGATACCATCGTTGCCTTCGACCACTTCTTCCAGGTTGTCAAAGTTATCACCTATGTGCGACTCCCAGAAAACGGCTGTGAAGATCTTGAAGTGGAATATAAACGGGGTCAAAAGGTCATCCAGCATACCATCGATGTGTTGCTAAACCCTAACATCCCTCTCCCTCCGCAGCCACCAATTAAACGGGACCAGCAGTATACTTCTAATATTGGGCAGGCAGGATACGAAGGCCATGTGAAGGTATTGAAAGAGCATATCATGAAAGGCGACATCTTCCAAACCGTCCCTTCACAACGACTAGCACGCCCCACGTCTCTTCACCCCTTTAACCTGTTCCGACACCTGCGCACCGTGAATCCATCACCGTATCTCTTCTACATCGACTGCGACGAATTCCAGCTCATAGGTGCGAGTCCCGAATTACTAGTCAAACAAGAAGGACGGCGGATAATTACGCATCCTATCGCCGGCACCGTGAAGCGCGGGAAAACCCCGCAGGAGGATGACAAACTCGCCTCGGAGCTCAGCAACAGCGAAAAAGACCGTGCCGAACATGTTATGTTAGTCGACCTCGCGCGCAATGACGTCAACCGCGTCTGCGACCCGGTAACCACAAAAGTTGACTGGCTCATGGCCGTGCAGAAATTCTCGCACGTGCAGCATCTGGTGTCGCAGGTGTCGGGCATCCTGCGGCCGGAAAAGACGCGTTTCGATGCTTTCCGCTCCATCTTCCCCGCCGGCACGGTCAGCGGGGCCCCCAAGGTACGGGCTATGGAGTTGATTGCTGAGCTTGAGGGTGAGAAGCGCGGGGTGTATGCGGGGGCGGTAGGGTATTTTGGATACAATAGTGCTAGTACAGATGGGAAGGGGACTTTTGATGGGGCGATGGATACGTGCATTGCGCTGCGAACCATGCTGATGAAGGATGGGGTTGCATATTTGCAGGCGGGAGGGGGAATTGTGTTTGATTCAGATCCGTATGATGAGTATGTTGAGACGTTGAATAAGTTGGGGGCTAATATTCAGTGTATCAAGAAGGCGGAGGAGACGTATATCGCCAAGGAAGGGCTGGCTGTAGATTAAATTTTTTTTCTCTATTGGCTTATATTTTATTTATTTATTTATCTATCATGCATGACTCTCCCCCTTTCATGTAGACTTAACAATTGCCACTTCTTTTCTTTGATGATGATAAAGGAAATCGTCCTTTTCACCTCCGTGCTCTACCGGCTCGGTAAAGGGAAGAAATTATCACGTGATTATATCCGCGCCACACAGCATGTTTGAGGCGACTCAGCCGCATTGGGGTCGGGGGAACAAGCCAATTCGACCTTTACAACATCATCAATCGATCACCATCCTCCTCCACCACACGACCATCTCCCGCCATCTCCTCTTCGATCCCTCCTCCAATAACTTTGCCCTTCTTAGCCTAGTATTGTCTCCTTTTTCTTTTCTTAGCCCAAATTCAGGGTCGATTCTCCCACGCTAGAATCCAGGAGAGACGATCTCCTCGGGTTTCTGCGCAGCAAGAAAGGTTGTCGTTCCACGCCGCCGCGCCGCCCGCCCGCCACCACACCCCCTCATCATCCGCAAATATCACCTACAATACACAGCGTGCTCAAAACAACAAGGGCAAAAGGAAAGGCTTATTCACAGTTCTATAAGACGATATAGAGTTGTTAATTTGAAGAAACAAGCTGTGCTATTTCTCTGAGACCATAACCTTTTTTTTCCCCCTTGGTACACCCAATCGTCATCGGTTCATACGCCGACGACAACAACAGAAAGGAACGACGAGGAATCCATCGCATCATTGGGGAGTCACATAAACTGAGAGATCTTTTGGTATCTTCTTAATTTGTCCATCTTTGTTCTGTTTATTTTAAGGAAACAACAATAGCTCGGGGTGAGAGGCTTTTCATATCGCGACCATGTCGAAGGTTGTGAGGAGTGTAAAGAATGTTACCAAGGGATACTCGTCTGTGCAGGTCAAAGTCCGCAATGGTATGTTTCCATCCTTTTTTATGAACGTGCTTTTTTCATTTCCGTCGTTTTCCCTCTTCATATGTTTCTATTCCATAATGCTGATTTACTATTATTTTGTTCGTATAGCGACGAGTAATGACCCTTGGGGCCCGACGGGAACAGAGATGGGGGAAATCGCGGCGATGACTTTTCATAGGTTAGCAATTACACCTCTCTATAAAGATCCACTTCAGTCTTACTCCCGGCTACTAGTTTCTAATTTTAGCTATTTTCTTACTAACCAGCTGGCTTTACATACAGTCCCAGCGATTTCTACGAGATTATGGACATGCTAGATAAGCGACTGAATGATAAGGGCAAGAACTGGCGACATGTGCTCAAGTCATTGAAAGTGTTGGACTACTGCCTTCATGAAGGTTCCGAGATGGTAGTTACATGGGCTAGGAAGAATATTTATATTATCAAAACATTGCGCGAGTTCCAGTATATTGATGAGGATGGTCGCGATGTTGGACAAAATGGTTAGCCGCCGAATACATATCAACAGGCTGAGATCTCAGGAATCTCTTTGTCACTAATTGTTTCTAAATAGTCCGAGTTTCCGCGAAGGAATTAACCGCGCTGATCCTTGATGAAGATCGGCTACGAAACGAACGCTCTGATCGGAAACTCTGGAAATCGCGTGTCAGCGGAATCGACGATGGAATACATGGCATTGCTGGCGGCAGTGAGCCGGGCCGTCGTCCAAGACGGGATCGTCCTCAAAGACCAAATGATGAAGAGGATGCGGAATACCGCCTTGCAATCGAGGCCAGCAAGCATGAAGCCGAAGAGGAGAAGAAACGACGCGAAAGGGTAGCACGCGCCGAAGATGACGATGACGATCTTGCCAAGGCTATAAAACTGAGTAAGGAAGAAGAGGAGCTTCGAAGACGTGAACTGGAAGAGAGCAATCCCTCTGCGCTGTTCGACGACAACACCCCCTCTGCGGTGCAACCTGCTCAGCCTCAATTGACAGGGTATAACCAGGGATATCAGCAGCAGCCGGCAGTAGATTGGTTTGGGAACCCAATGGATCAACAACAACCTATGTCCACCGGTTACTTGAACAATCAATACGCTCAGCCAACCGGATTCCAGCCACAACAAACTGGTTATACAAATGGATATGCGGGCGGTTTCCCCGCGCAGCAGCCCGGCTACGATCAGTTCGGGCAGCAAAATAACTTCTTGCAGCCCCAACCTACCCTCCAGCCACAGCAAACTGCATTCAACAGTAACCCTTATGGCAATGACATTTTTGGCCAGCCACAGCCCCAGCCACAACCTCAACAGCAACAGCAACAAGATAATGGCTTTCTTCAGCCAGGGACCCATAACCCATGGGCATCAAACCAACAACAACAATCACTAGATGCCCTCAAACCTATGCCAACTGGCTCCAACAATCCATTTGCCTCGTCATTCACACGAACCCAAGCGCAGCAGGTCCATAAGACCGGCCCACCATCCCTCAATTCCCTCACTGAACAACGCACCGTCCAACAGTTCACTAGTAGCCAATCATCAACAAACCCCATCATCAACTACCAGTCACCCCTCAATACACAACAGCAGCAGCTGCAACAACAGCAACAGCTGCAACAACAGCAACAACAGCAACAACAGCAACAACAGCAACAACAGCAGCAGCAGCAGCAACAAACCCAAAACCCGCAACATGCCCGCCTCAACGCCCTCCTTGCTACCGGCGAGGGCCAAGACACTTTCGGTAATGTCGGCGACCTCCGTATCCCTGCCCAGCACACCGCGCCTGGCGTATTCGTAAACTCCGCCGGCCAAGGCCTCGACCGTCTCCAACCGAACCAAACCGCGAACAACCCCTTTTTCAACCAGCAGTTTACGGGAGCTCCGCAACAGCAGCAGCGCAATAACAATCCCTTTGGAATGCAGCCGGGGTATGTGGCACAGCCACAGCAGAGTGGGAATCTGATTGATCTATGAGGTTAGGAAGGGAAAGGAAGATGAGGGAGAGGCATTGATGGGCTGAGGTGTCTTTTATCCGATGTTGCTCTGACCGCGCGCTCCCACCGCGTTATGTGATGTTTTGAGAAAAATTTTTCATTAGATCCTGCGGAAGATTGCGATTTGGGAAGGGGAGTGGAGGAGAAGAAAGAAACGATGGATTTTTTTTTCTTCTGTTATCTCTGTGGAAAACTGAGCTGATAGTTTGGGGCTGGTACTTTTTTTTTTTGCCCTCCCTTTTAAACATTTTTTTAAATTTTTTTACGAACATTGCAACTTATCTACTACTCTTTTCCCTCATGTCGTCGCTTCGCCTTGCGTCACCCCAAACAGGGTTTTTTTTCTATTTTTTCGTTTTGCGATGATTTTTTATTCATGTTTTGTATCTATTTTATTTCCATATTGTTCTTTGTGAAGAACCCGCCCTCGTTTGCAGTCACTTTCCTATCACGCATCTACCTCCCTGAATCATATCCTCTTTTTTTTTATATGTCAGATAGCATTGTCTATTACCATATACATCAGTTAATCTACCTCTCCAATACTTACCTGCCTTTGTCCATCCCATCCCCGCCCACTGATTCTCCCATCTGTTATTTGGCAACTGCTTTTGTTAAATGTTTATCAACTGGTGTTTTTTTCAAGAGTGATAGTATTTTTTTTTGGCAACCTCTGTTCAACATATATCTTTATCCTCCACCCTCCCCTTCCTTTTTTTCCCCTTCCTCTTCTTCTACTCTCTTTTTTTCCTTTCGTGCTTCTCCAAGCCTTCCATTGGCTTTTTGTTTTAGCCCTCCATGTTCATATTATTCTTGGTGCATAAAAATTGGAATGCAGACGGGTAAAAATCCTCCCACACTTAATAGATATAATTTGTGTGCTTTTCTTTCTCCCTTTTTCCCCCATTATTTCCAGTTCTTATGTGCTGTAACGTTTTCAGCCCCGTAGGGCATCTGAAACACATAACCGTTTTGTGCAAGGGAGGGTATACATCTCCACAAGGCAGGGATGATGATATCATAACAAGGCAAGAAGAGAACAAGTATTTTGTTTCCATAATAAATAGATCGACTCATATGATTTCCTTTTTCAATCTTTTTCAATCTTTTTTTTTTTTTTTTACTGCCATTGCAACTTGTAAGGAGCCGCACTTTGTTGCTACTTTCCGGAGATGATACACACTGGGACACTATCTATCAACAGAGCAGGGTAGATGAATGGAATGGCTGGCCTAGTTATTCAAACTCCTTCTGGGGCATCATTCCCACCGTGATTGCTGCTGCTGAGCGATCCTAAAAAGTGGCCCCTTTTCTGGGGTCCTTACGCAGCCCATCAGGTATGCAGCAGATTCAACACACGCGATGTTATTTTGTTATAGTGAATTGCCACTCTTATGTTCTACTTGTCGTCCTCCAGGCTCCAGCCATAGTTAATGTTCGATTAGTGTGATGAACGGTTTTCTACTGCGCATATTGGAAGCATCGTCGTCTTCTGCCAGGGAATTTGGGAGGTTCTAAAATACATTGTGTAAATCGATAATGGTCTGCTTGCTTGCGCCCATCTCTATGTATTGTACAGGTAGAGGCTCATGTAACTACTGCACATCATGTAATGGATGATAAAGCACTGTGCAGAGACACTTCCTCCCCTTTCTGATTGCAAGATTGTCGATGTGAGAGAGAAAATCAAGAGATGCGGATCCACGGACCTTTTTCCATGAACCTTTTTTTTTTTTGCGCCCTCCGTGATCCAGTTGGTGTCTGTTTTATGAGCTAGAATACTTGAAGCGAAGGGCATTTTCCTCACTAGGCTTGGTCGTGTTTCTAGGAAATTTAAACCGTTGGGCCGCCGATAGAGCTGGCGGAACCATCCAGAGAACCAGAGTTTATCCCAAAATATTGTTTCTGAAACATACCCTGGACGTTGTGGATTTTGTGGATTTTCTCCTGTCTAATATTTTTTTTTATTTCTATTTTCTATTGACTTTTTTATCATCACAAACGAGCTCCGCTTAAACGTCTAGGCCACGAGGCAGACTTGCTGTGGCCACTAGCCTCGTTAGCCTGGACCACTTTTTGAAGTGACTGGATGATGGATAGCTATGCAAACCGTTGCTTGTTCACATCTCACAATCCGTCATTGCGACAAGAGTTTCCAATAATTCGCAGAAGACTTTTGGAATTGTGGCCCTTCCCGTGGCCGAGCAAGAAAGCTTGGAAAAGGAAACAAAAACACTCAACGGGAAAAAAGAAAATCAACGGATAGGGAATTAGGACAAGCCGTTTTTCCCGGAAGCGAATTCCTGGTGTGACAATCGAAAGCTTCCTTGCTGACCCAGAATGCGCTTCTCCTAGCGTTTCTTTTTCCTAGTCAGTGCACTGCGCCAGTCACATCCTCACGGAGTCCACCATCACGAGCCGCATGTCAACACTAACCGAATCGACTCTAAGAGCTTGTTGCGGGCGCGAACAGGATGCTGCGACTGGCCAGGGAATCGGAAAGCCATACGAGATCTCGAGTCTCCTAAAAATATTGTGTTCGGTTCGCGCTGACAACAATATCAGACGAATCCCACAAGATGCTGCAAGAGCCTCATGAGTTCCTTCTGGGTCCTCGTAAGAGCAGCATAACGTTAACTCGCGGACGACATTTTGGATCCAATCAAGCCGGATTTAAAGGTCTGTTGTGGAGTCGAAGGAATTCAATACGAGCCCGCATATTGACCTTCGTTCTGCTGAGAACTATGAATATGAGAAAAAGGGGTCATCGTCGATTTGTGGTGGCTTGCAACACGGCTTGAGGAGTGTGCTTGTGAACGCCCAACTATGCAGTATTTATATAGAGCACAGTCTCTCCCTCCAGTCAGAGAACAATTCCATCGTTAGATTTGATCAACTGACTGACCTTTGTCCTTCATTCGTTAAACAAAATCAAATTTCGTCGTTCTTTTTTTTTATATCTTCATCTCAATAAAGATACCCTTTTACTTCGCACTTCGCCCTTGATTTCATATATTCAACAAAATGTCCGGCCCTGAAACATCCAACAACTCTAACTGGGGAGACTCCCTTTGGGGCTGCTTCAACCCCATAGATACCTGTATGTGGTGACCAATGATCGCGGAAATCAAGTAATAACAATCTGGAAAGCATGAAAACACTAACAAGAACGTACGAAATCTCTAGGCTTAATGGGATGGTGCTGCCCGTGCATTCTCTTCGGCAAGACCCAGGCCCGTCTGGAAGATCCCACTCTTGCGAATTACAGCCCAATCAATGACAATGTAAGCTGAGCAAAAAATGGCACCCTCTCAATCACACTTGATATTCGATAGGACTCTTCATTATTGAGCACGCGAAGCCCAAAGCTTTACTAACTCGATTTAATCAACATAGTGTCTTATCTTCTGTGGCATGAACTGCTTCGCAGTCGCATGGCTCCTTCTTGTTAAGAGGCGCACCGAGCTGCGAGAGAAGTACGGCATCACCCAAACCCATCTGGAGAAGTTCCTGAAATGGGAACCTGGCACCATCAAGGCCAAGCACAACTATGAAGAGTCCCTGGTCCAGGATTGCCTCGCGTCCTTCTTCTGTCCTTGCTGTGTTATCGTTCAGCAAGAGAAGGAAGTCCTCTCTCGACAGGCTGCTGGGCAGGCTGGTTATCAGAAGACTCAGTCTATGGCTTATCCACCGGCCTAGATGATAAAGGATGTCGGTGGGAAAGCTGATACCACAGGTGGAAACGGGTGTTATGAGAAATAAGACTATATTATGGTCAAACAATTAAATTCTATGCGGTTATTGGGGCTGGTTCGATTTCAGCGAACGTCATGAATGCTTTGTCTATCTCTTGCTCTTTTTCCTAGCAGATTTCCTATGTTGCCCAATTTTCACTCTTGAATAATACCCTACTAAAAATGATCATTTTATTATCCCTCCAACCAACGAGGTTAATTTCCATATTCCAGATTTCGCGGTTCAAGAATCCCTAAAGAGGCCAGAGAGACATGCCTCAAAAGCAAAAATCTCAAGGAACAATTTTCCCTTTCTGATTTTAGCTTCTTGCACCCCTGAGCATTTTCGCCCGATAAGACGCGCTAAGAAACTCGCCTCACAAGCTAACTTAGACTGGCTGAAATACTTTTCCTGTTCTGGAGCGCCAACACGAACTCCATCGCCCGACACAAGCATGTGCTTAACTGAACTTTTGTTGCTCCTGCTCCTAATCGTCGCGAGACAGGTTCCGGTGCTCACATTCCTTCATTCGCTTTTGACTCGATGTAGAAAATATTCTTTTTGTAAGATGGGAAAAGTAACTATGACGTATGATGAACTTCACTTTATTTCAAAATAGCTTCTCCCTTCTCGATTGAACCATGGCTATCGATAGTTTGCTTTTCCTAGGCATTCATGACACAAACACCCTCACATTTGAATTCACAACCCCTAGTTGCAATAACATGGAAGACTTCCGTCTTCCCACCATCACCAGAATCCTTCTTTTTGCTTCTCAGTAAAATTTCATTTACACCAGATGAGGCAACAGAATCATTGTCATTTCAGTCATCAATTACACCCACTCGATGACCATGTTCTTTGAATATACGGTGCTCACTTTATATGACTCATAAAGCAGCCGTGCGAATCAGCTATACCACACAATAGATGCCTGATGTGGCTATGCCATCTGCAACTCGCTCTGGATGTCTGTCCAGCATCTTGACATAGCAGTCTGTTGTTATACCCCAGATGCAGATGACCTTGTCATGCAATATGAGACAAGCGTATTGCCTGATAAGGGGGTGCAAGTAGCACCCGATGGCATAAATTATATAGCAGATGTGAAGTGGTCAGGTCCAGGGAGAACAAAGATATTCTAATATTTGTTAGAAGAGTTCCACGGTTTTCTTTTTTTCTTTTTTTGTAAGATCTGAAGAATATGAGGCTACCATGATGCTTCACAAAGTCCTCTATAACCCACATCTAAACCAGCTTTATACTTCCTTCAATGACACGCTCAAGCTACCCACTCCCAATCCCATGTCATGATAGTTTTGCCGCCAGAGCTGGATTGGAAGGAATGTGAAAGTAGGATGAGAAGCGTCAGGGTCACAGGGGAGCCTAGTCTATATTGAAGAACAGCATTTCTAGGTTCTCAATTCCTGGTCCGTAGATTTACAACATCTGCTTCCAGCAGTGCTTTTCAAGCAATTGGCAAACCTGCAAATAGTCAGAGAGGCCATCTATACATGATGATCTGATACACGCTGGTTCAAGCTGACCTCTTCTGTAATCCCACAACAAATTGTCCTTCATATTGGTTTGGCAGTGGGATTGGACAGTTGGATACTATCTGCAAGCTTTTTTCCTATCACACCACGACATTTTCGGGTATTTTGATGGAGAGACAGAGGTGATGATAGATTTGTGACTTCCAGCAAAACAGAAGAAAGTAATCTATAGGCAAGGGATGATGGTTCAATTATAAACATGGAACTATTCTGCTAGCTGCAGAGTCAGTAATTGGCCCATGACTGGCTTTAGGATTCAGGACTTGTTTTGCCTCAAGGTGGTTTCTCAGACGCTGCTCCACAACCACCCTTGACTATCGAGTCAGCATATGGATATTATTTGATGTGCTGAAGGAGAACATATGTCAGATACTACTAGCATTCAGGGAACAAATTGGTGATTGATTCGTAGAATCTTGTTATCAGCGGGCAGATATAAGTAACTGGGATTGAAATACGCAACTCCAAGGTGTGGTAGCGGTGATAATGGTGGTGATGGTGACGCTGCTGATGATGAATGGAGATATCTTTGGATAAATGAGAACTGGCTACTACTTCGTAGTTGTCAAAACCGAGATACGTGGTTCAATGCTAGTGCACAGTAGAACTGCCCCCGTGGCAGCACAAAGTTGTGTTGAAGAATCGAGGTATATATAGGCGTGAACCTTCTTTGATCCAGCGGCTGTTCCTGGCCTCACTCACTGGAAGAGGAATGGCCTGGTTGCTGCTTTGTCGGGCTGCACCCTATTTTTTGGGCACTCATCGAAAACAATCGACGATGGAACAACAGAGGACAATAAATACTAGTAAACAATATAAACAATGGCTATGTTGGATAATTTGTTACCAGTATGCTCTCGTGTTGTCTTTGTTCTCTGGCAAACAAATACCACTTGTGCTGTAGTGTATGTATGGTCAACCCGGAACAGAAAAATGTACCTGGAACGACCGGTCTACGCCGTATATTGCAGTATCTCTTTGTTGGCGTTTTGATTGAAATGTGTAGCTAGCCCCGAGACTTGAGATAACATCGGACTCCGTAAATACTACAGATTAGAAGTATTGAAATCAACGGGCTCGACTTCGTCCTCCTGCAAAAGCGGCGCGGGTCTAGGTCACGTGAAAACCTTATCACCACAGCGATGGCCAATGTTGACGTTTGACGTTGGACCCGAATCGAAGATGTTTTTGCCATTTTTTGCACTCAACCTCGTCTCCAAATTCCATCGTTAACCCCTCCGCCACATGAAAACAAGGTCGACATCGTTTCTTGTCCTCCGATTAATAACCTATATCCGAATACTTACATCTGAGTTTTTTCAGTTGTGGTGCCGCTTCTCCCGAGTTGAATGCAGGAAGTCTCTCACCAAGACCTCTCTCTCTCCCACGGCCACACTCCCTCTAGTCGCTGCAGGCAAATATTTAAATGACCAGCAACTCCCTTGTCATTTGATCGGGGTTTCAATTTCAGCGATATTTCCTTGGACCTTATAAGGTACATTTTTACGTATCACCATGACACTCTTTTCTTTTTCCTCCAGAATGTTCCATGGTGGCCCCCATGCCGTCGTGGTGGGTCGTTGGGCATCAATGAAATTCACGAAGAATAAGGGGAGTTTATGTAGGTGCTAAATAAATGAAGTAGTTAGGCATATCAGTTTGGCGAAGAGCATCGCGCTTGCAGCCTCGCAAAATGGCTGAGCAAGAAGAGGACTTCAGTTCCTTGCCTCTACCAGATAGATTTGTCCATAAGGTGAGCCCTGCGATTTTCCTCCATTTTTTATTTTTAATATTGCCCCAACCACCCGGCAATTGGCTTGTTATTGGTATTGACATATGAATAAACATCGAAACATAGAATTGGAAAGTTAGAAAAGGAGGATATGAGGACGCTACAAAACAATTCGAGGTATCACCCGACGAGTCGGATCCCGTGTTTCGACCGTTCCTACAAGACCCAGGACTATGGAAGGGTGCCGTCGCCGATTCGAATGTAGCGGCGCAGCAGGAGGGTTTAAATGCGTACTGCGCCTTTTTGAAATATTCTGGAGTGCAAGGCTGCACGAGGTATGCATAGAATTCCGACGTATGCTGGAGTTGGGCCGGGAGACACGTTTGGAGACGGGCGAAGTACACTGACGCTGGAACTAGGACTCGTGGATCGACAATTGCTGCCATCACTGAAAAAGGTTTACCATCAACTCGACCTGCAGCGAAGGCCAGCGCATTGGAAGCCATTCTACTTTGTATAGAACTAGATAAGCCCGAGCCCGTTATCGAGGATCTAATGGCGGCGCTGTCACATAAACTCCCCAAAGTCATCGCACCGTCCCTCGCCGCACTGACAGCCGTATTTCACAATTATGGTTGCAAAGTTATCGAACCAAAGCCGGTATTAAAGGCTCTGCCTAAGGTTTTCGGTCACGCTGATAAGAATGTTCGAGCGGAGGCGACAAATCTAACTGCAGAGCTCTACAGATGGCTCAAAGACGCTATGAAACCGCTGTTCTGGGGAGAATTAAAGCCAGTACAACAACAGGATTTAGAAAAACTATTCGAAGCTATCAAGCAGGAGCCAGCGCCAAAGCAGCAGCGATTTACGCGAGCACAGCAAGAAGCTATGGCAGCAGCCAGCAGCCAGGCTGGTGGAGAGGGCGATGACGGCGCAGATGGGGGCGAAGAAGACGTCGATGATGCAGAGGTTGATGTTTTTGATCTTGCAGAAGCCGTCGATGTCTTGTCTCAGGCACCAAAGGACCTACATGAGAAGTTAGCGTCGTCGAAATGGAAGGACCGCAAAGAAGCGCTCGATGCACTTTTCGTCACAGCGAATGTTCCTAGGATAAAAGATGGGCCGTTTGACGAAGTAGTACGTGCGCTGGCGAAATGCATGAAGGATGCAAACGTTGCTGTTGTGACTGTGGCTGCCAATACGATAGAAGCTCTTGCTAAAGGCTTACGAAAAAGTTTCTCCAAATACAGGCCTACTGTTCTAGCTCCTATTATGGAACGCCTAAAGGAGAAAAAGCAGTCTGTTGCTGATGCGCTGGGTCATGCCTTGGATGCCGTTTTTGCTGCCACCAACCTTTCGGATTGTCTTGAAGATGTGTTAGAATTCCTTAAGCACAAAAATCCGCAAGTCAAACAGGAAACTCTGAGGTTTCTGATTCGATGTCTGAGAACAACGCGGGATGTTCCATCCAAACCAGAAGCAAAGTCGATAGCGGACGCTGCTACAAAATTACTAACAGAATCCAGCGAAGCTACTCGATCCGGCGGTGCTGAAATTTTGGGAACCTTGATGAAGATTATCGGCGAAAGGGCGATGAATCCCTATTTGGATGGGTTAGATGATATTCGGAAAACAAAGATAAAGGAATTTTTTGACACGGCAGAAGTCAAGGCTAAAGAACGTCCTAAACCTATCGTCGGGCCTCCCAAAGGTCTAGCCCTTCCCGGAGGGGCTAAGAAACCCGTTGCCAAACGGCCACCAGCTGCAGTTAAGAAGCCAGCACCCGCTGCGGCGCCCGCTGCGGCACCAGAAGAACCTACGCCGGCACCACCCACAGCCAAGAAGGCAATTCCGTCCAAGCTTGGCCTTCCCAAGGCTGCGGGAGCGGCGACACCTGGGGGTGGGCTTAAACTTCAAAGGAAGCTAGCTGGACCAGGAGGTGTGCCTGCATCGCCACGAAGGGTTGTCTCACCACCATTCGAGGAAAACCCCCCTCCTGTTGCCGCTGCTTCTGCTCCTACAGTGTCCAAATTCGGTATGGGTAATCGTGGACTTACTGGGCGTTCTCTGGGGAGGCCTGCACCTTCAAACTCAGAGCCTGCACCGCCGCCTCCTACTTCAATAAGCTCCGGAATGGCAGCAATTGAGCGAGCTGAATTAGAAGAGCTTCGACTTGAGAAAGAGAGATACTCTCGGATGGTAGAAAATTTGCAATCTGAGCGAACAAAACTGCTGTCCGAAATAAATGAACTTCAAAATCAAAACGCGCAGCTGATCGAAGACCACACAAGGGATGTGTTGAGCGTCAAAGCCAAAGAAACTCAACTGGTTCGAGCCAGGAGTGATGCAGAAGCGGCAGAACAAAATGTCCAGAAGCAGCAAAGGGAAATTGAGCGGTTGAAGCGGGAGCTGGCTCGGGCCGTGCGCGCCAGTGCAGCTAGCCCTCCAGCAACTATTCCCGATATGAGCCTGAATATGGGCCTGACTGATGGCGGAATATATCAGGACAACACAACCAATCATAACCACAACATGAACGGTCCACCATCTCGCTCTGCTCTGCATTTCGGCTCACGATTCGAAAGCGCACGACCTAGAAGCTTCATGTCTGCCAGCCCCAGTGAGGAAAAAGAGAACACCAACGGCCTCGAATCACCAGGTCTGAGTAGTACCGGTGGCGGTGGCGGGTATCCGGGGAGGAGAAAAATCAGTCCACCCGTTGGCTCTTCGTATTCTTCGGGTAGAGGAAGCCCGGGGAGGATGTCTGTTGGCGGTAGGACAGGGTCTAGCGGTGATGGACTGCCTGCATCCACTTCTGCTTCACAAGGCGGTGGTGAACCGGCGGAGAATTGGAAGCGTGCCGCCGAAGTTACTAGCCAGCTGAAGGCGAGGATTGAGCAGATGAAGGTGAGTAACATCGCTCGAAGCACCGCGCAGTTTTCAGCGCCCACCCAGATCGCCAAATCTGCGGTTGGGGAAACAACATCATTACCGGCCGGCTAACATGAATACTGTATTTTAATTTAGGCACGACAAGGTCTTTCTCGACCTGCACCTTCATAGCTCACTCCCCGCAACCCTCCGAGAAATTGATGACGCATATCCTCAGTGGACTGTTTTGCGTTATATAATACCTTTGTCTTGCCCTCACTGCGCCACTTTTCCTCCTCTAACGATTGTCCTTTCATCTACCTTCTTCGCGTTTTGCTTATTTACAGGGTGCTTGTCGGTCCCTTTGATGGACATTTTTTCAATACTCAATACCCCAAATACAATCAATTTCGAATGCTTTTTTTGTGGTGGTTTGTTTCCTTTTTTTCCTTTCTTCACTTCGTCTATTATATCATCTTCTTGCCTTTCCCTTTCATCTGGGCAAACTGCAAGTCCTTTGTTCCTTTTTTCACTATTCTGTCTTCGGTTCGGTAACTATTGAGGAATATTGAGGTAGGCGTACGAAAAGGGGGGGATGGTAACACAAGCGGAATCAAAATGATTTTGTTATATATATACATCTAACCTCCTTTCTCACTCACACCCTCACTTTTGCTTACAGATTAGGTCATTTTTTTATTATCTTTCCGGAAAGCGATTGGTCGGCTATTTTTGTGTGTTTTGACATTTTCTCTCTATCCCTTCTCCCAACCCCCCCCCCCCCCCCCCAGCCCCTCCTACTCTATTTTTTAAAAGTAGAGCAGTTCCTCTCTCCCTCATTTATCCTTTCCCCCTTCAAATTTACCGTCTTCCCCTCGTCTTCAAGTATCAATAGCGCTTGGTCGATTGTTTATATACTCCGCCACCGCGGGGGATTTTCTTTGGCTTTTCGTTAATTTTATCATTATCAATGTTATCTAATTTGAATGATCCGATGCACAGCTGTTCTTCCCTCATCTTTTACCCTCCTCCCTCTTCGGTGTCATTGACCGCCACGCGCTATTCTGTTGCTTGTGTAACATGATATTATTAATCGTTAATCTGACTATTCTTACTATAGAATTATGGTTCCTTTTTGCTCCTGTGTGAATAGGAGAGAACAGACAGAAGTGATGTATATGAATTGGGTAATAATAATATATATATAAAAGTTAGCATCGAACCGGAATTTGAGGCGAATTTTTGAGTTGTGAAATCAGATCAAAAAGTTGTGTGTTCCTCTCTACATATGTTAGTTTGAGTGGAAGCACTGTGGCCTTGGACTACATTTGACCATACCAATGCTTGTGTATAAAACATGGGACGTTCATCTTCCATTTCGGAATTATTTCGGTGCTAATAAATATATCAAGTGCGCCTGTCCGGGTATAACACCAATTATACATGCAAAAACAACAATGGAGATTGAAAGGGTAGATGCGGACAAAAAAGGTGACGTGTGTGGATGTTTCGTTCGATTTAGGAGCTAGTTACACGAAACTTTTTTGTGTCCTTTGCCTCTTTTCCAGGTCTAGCTATGGGTGTAAACTTGCGCCGCAACAAGTCACCTCAAGACTGAAAACACGCAGAGAGAGAAAATAAAACGCCTGTCTGCGGATTCCAGAATTCAACTCCGAACCGAATTAGTATTTGTGGTACTTAAATTTCTTTGTTTATCGTAAATATACTTTTTTGCTCTTTGGTCATGGGTTAAAAAAGTAGGGATGGGCAAGATAAAATGTTTAGATCTTGATGGCGTTTTCGATAGTCCTGCGCTTCTTGACTTGTCTGGCAACGGCCTTGGCACCCATGATACCTCCACCCCAGCGGCGCTTGCTCTCCTCGTATTTGTCGCTATAACCCTCTTTGATGGCGGAGATGAGTTTGGAGAGCTCTGTCTTGTCTTCTGAGCGGACCTCGGTCAGAGCAAGGACCGCAGCGGTCTGTTATGATGGAACACATTAGAACCAGCGAAATTACATTTAGTTCGAAGCTGATGTATTCGAGGAGCTGGCTTACCTTCTTGTGGACTACAGTTCCAAGTCTGGCCTTGCCTTTGATGATGGCATAGGGGACGCCCATCTTGCGGCAGAGAGCGGGAAGGAAAACAACAAGTTCAATAGGATCAACGTCGTTAGGGATGAGGACGAGGGAAGCCTTCTTGTTCTCGATCAGGCCGACAACGTGGTTGAGACCATACTTGACGGTATATGGCTTCTTGCTGACGTCCTCTTTCTTCTGGCCAGCCTGGACAGCAGTGGCCTCCTTGAGCAGACGCTCCTTCTTCTCAGCCTTGGATTCTGGACGGTACTTGTTGAGGAGTTTTAAGGTTTGAGCGGCGGTGTTGCGGTCCAAGGTGTTCTGGAATTGGGCGATCGCGGGGGGAACCTTGAGGCGAAGGTTCAAAATTTTCTTCTGTCGCTGGAGACGCACATACTCGGGCCACTTCACCATGCGCGAGAGGTTGCGCTTGGGCTGAATGTCTTGGCCAATGCCGAAGTTGCGGGGGCGCTTCTCGAGAAGAGGGTTCTACAAGCATTGGCTCAATTAGATTAGAATATATTATTTTATTGTTACCAAGATTGTGCCGACGTTTTTAACCACGTTCTTTGTGGGTAGGAATGAATTTTACATACCTTGGGAGCCTTCTTCGAGCCAGCCTTTCCCTGGGGGAAGGGGGCGGTAGCAACTTTCTTTCCGGTCTTGGGAGGCTGTCATTGAGAAAAGAAGACCATCAGCGAATATTGTTCACCAGATACTGTATCTTCTTTGAACTCTAGAGAGACGATGAGTTTGCATTTCTGCTTTGCCCATCGACTCAAGCCATATCATCGCCATTCCGCACATCCTTCTAGAGAGGACGCCGGATTGACGGAAAATTTACTTCATTGGGCTTGCAATGCTTGTCCGGACAATTAAGTCTATTTCAAGACACCGAAGAGGCCCAAGAAGGGGTCAAATATCATGTAGGAAGTGCAAAATCTTACCATTTTGTCGGTGTTGTCGTAACTTCGTTGGTTGACGGGGACGAGGAGAGGAATGACGAAGAGAAAACCAACTTTGGTGTTGAGGCTGGAAGTTGAATGTGCATAGCCCGGTTGAGTTTAGTGCAGGAAAATTAAGCGAGAATGAGGGTTGTCAAAATCACGGGGTTTGAACGCCGAATTGGCAGTTATGCGGGCGCTAGTTCGTAATAGGAAGCCCAGGTCTCTACCAGATTCCTACCAGGCTGGAGGAGATATGAACTGAAATAGTTGATATCTCCAGAGTAAGATACGTAGAAGAGACTAACAAATTGAGCTCGAAATATAGGAGAAAGAGAGAAAGTAATATACCCGCGAACCACCATTCGTCTATCTGGTATAATGATAAACCACCCAAACGCCAGCATGCTCTGCCCAAAAATATCAACCACAAAAAATGCAATAGCGTGAAACTTCGTAACTTAGATATAAAAAATACATTGTCTCTTTCCCTCACCTCCAAGGCACCCCTAGCCCTGGAATCCCCGCCCTACCAATTGCTCCACTCCCAGCCTCAGCGGTCCTCCGCTTCGCCTTTGACCCTTCCTGGCTCTTCACACCCTGCACGATCCGCTCAAGATTCGTCTCCAGTACAACCCCGCCAACGATCATTTCGCCAAGCACCGCATGCATGGTCTCAAATCCGAATATCAGATCCAACTCACACACGTTTTCGAAGAGGCGGTCGAGCGCCTCGACGAAGACTTGGATCAGGTCGATGAGGGCTAGTGGTGATTCTGTCGAAGTGGATATTAGGATGAATGATAAGGTGGCGTATGTTCGGTACGTTATTTGACTGGGGGCATCAGAGAAGCTGGTGGCGGGGGTGCTGGAGCTGGCGCCCTCGGCGAGGAGTGGGGGGAGCGGGAGGAAGTTGCAAGCGGAGGAGGGCCGTTGGGAGACGAGATTGTATATCTGAGCAATGAGGGATTGCTGTGTTTGGGTATCCTGGTAATAAGAGGGCATTAGCTAGATAACTGACAGATATTGAAGCGTCGATGAAGCCACAAGATGTGAATCTACAGCGGGTTGGCTAGCATACCAGTTGGGTATAGAATTTGGTTAATCGTGGCTGACCACTATTGTTAAAGACTAACACGGCATTGATCATGTTGTCTGATATAGTGATCCAGTGTCCTCAAATGGAGGTGGCATTTCACAGACAGCATGGATTGCGTTGGTGAAATGGATACGATGACGGAGCGTTTGACCTCGCGCTGTTTGCAGTGTTTGTCTGGTTTGCACTCTGTCAAAACGATAATCCGATATATTCCAACGCTTCAAATAAATAAATACTCCGTAAGGATTTCCGATTTCACAGCTCCACGCGAGCGATAGAAACGCCCAGTTGAAGAATCCTAATCCTAACACACACACACACACATATTCCCCAAAATATGTCACGTCTTCTAACTTCATAGAAACCTCCCTTTACCCCAACAATCACTCAAACCCCCAATCGACAAGAACGCGGAAACAAACCAACAAGCATGGCCGCCGCAAAATCCGCAGCCTCCATCGCAACCACCACAGCGAAAAACCTACTCAGGGCCACCGAACGCAAGCCAAAAATAACCCGCACTGGCCCCGCAACTGCCTCACCGCCCATCCAACTCCAACTGCACGACTACTGCTTCTACTATGACACAGCGCCCCCAACCCAACAACAACTCCAATATGGCGCGGACCTGTTCAGAGCCTCCAACCACTCGCCCATACAGATGTGGACGGCCAGCGAATTCCGCACGATCCCCATGTCCGATGTGCCCGAGGTGGTGTTCCTGGGTAGATCGAACGTGGGCAAATCATCCCTGCTGAATGCGATTATGGAGAAGGGCCTCTGTTTCACGTCGTCGAAGGTCGGGCGGACAAGGACACTGAATGCGTACGGGATCGGGGGCCGGAAAGACGGGGAGGCGAAGGTTGTTCTTGTTGATACGCCTGGCTACGGTAAGGGGAGCCACGAGGAGTGGGGGGAGGTGATTATGAAGTATTTGACGAAGCGGAGGCAGTGCGTCATCCCTCTCCGTATGCCAATTAAATATACATACAAATATATATGTATACAACACAAAGCGCTCCCGTTACTAACAAAAATATAAACCGCACCCAGACTTCGCCGCACCTTCGTCCTCCTCGACTCCCACCACGGCATAAAACCCGCCGACGCGGCCATCCTCTCCCTCCTCCGCTCCGCGGCCGTCCCACACCAAGTAATCCTCTCAAAGGCAGACTCGGTCCTCATCAAAGGCGGGCTGAAAAAGGGTGCCCGTGGCCTCCGTCCTGAACGCATAGAGGAGCTTGGCCGCTTCGCTGGCGGGATCCGCGCAAAGGTGCAGCCCGTCAGGAATGTGGCTGTTAGTAATAGCCAAAAGAAGAAGATAGAGAGGCGGCCGAATGGGAATATTTATGATGATAATAATGGTGATAATGATGCTGTGGGTGGCGGTGATGGTAACAAGCTGCCCGCGGAGCCTGCTGGGATGGAGCTGGGGATTCCGGCGCTCGGGGAAATCTTATCCTGTTCGACTAAGATGAAGAGTGGAGAGGGGTTTTTGGGGGTTGATGCGATTCGGTGGTCGATTCTTAGGGCGGCTGGATTGGGGATTGACATTGGGGAAAAGGGGGACCGGGTTGGTATGGGCATTGCGGATAGGCGCGGTGGAGGACTGGATGGTTAGCGAGGGTCATATTTCAATCTTGGTATTTAGAGCATAGAGCATGTTGGTTGGGGGTGTTATGGTTCTTGTAAAATATGAATGAGATGATAAGTCTTTGGTATGTATTTTTATTAGCAGGTCCAGATAGCATGGCGTTTGGTTTATGGAATTATATAAATTCCCCTTATGCCATCGTAGAGATATTAGATAATATCGTTCGGGTCTTCCATTTTGAGATATGTCGTACTTGATACATGGAAATTAACTTAAATCCGTCCCCTCCAACAAGAAAACAGCTTCGTACTGATATTACCCTAAGCAGATATTTTGAACATCTTATATGTAAGGAAGAGATCCCCTAATCATAGAGTATAAACGGAATAACAGTTGCAAATAAAGTATTGGCATTTGAAAGCTGGACAAAGCTGAGTAGGACGAAGCAAACGCTTGTATTTCATGCGTACGTGTGTGTATCGATATAAAAAACAACATTTTTGTTTCCCACAACTGTGCTGATTTCAGGCAAACGTCTCATATGAAGAAAGGAATAACATGAAATTAAAATAAAAACATGCCGAAGAGATGCTCGTTAAAGGGATGAATAAATATATTTTATGAGAAGTGGAATTCATAGGTATGTTATGTCTGGAGAAAAAAGAAGCAGAAGACATGCTAAACATTGTGACTAGATATACATGGCAGTTATCGTGAATCAGGCGAGGGGAAAAAATGGGAAGATGAAAATACAATGGAAAAAAATTGAAGAGTTTGGAATGAAGAAGGGTTTTTGCAAGAGAAAAGGAGGAAAGGGTCATTAGTCAAATATCGTGATAAAAAAAAGTGATAAGATGATAGAGTTGGTGCTTTACCCTGCCACCCAGGCGGGAGGTTCACTCCTGGTAGACTGCATATTGTGTTTAAGGGGAGAGAATACGACGCGGTAACATGGCAAGGCAAATTCTAAGTTTTGTAACGATGTCCCCGAAAAGATTTTTGTTTGTTACTCTCATTGTCTCTGAAGTGGTCGGGTAGTTAGGATCGGTATTTCGGGATTCAAGTAAATGGATGGCATTGAAGCCCTGGAAAATAAAATTCGAAGAACGACCGCAACAAGACCGAACAGTCATCATGCGGAAGTACATTGTCGACAAGAATGGATCGAGGGGGTAGCGGCCAATCGTATTATTTTCTTGTTCAAACTAGGTGCCAAATGAACGATAGGGCTATTGCTTAGATGTCTGAACTTCCGCGGTCCGCAAGACCTTCATCTTCTCCGGTCTCTTCCCCATTTCTATCAACGACGATACGCGTCCCGAGACGGTCAACAGGGATACGGTCGCGAGATGCGCCAAAGTCAAGTACCTGCGACATACGGGTCAGCCGATAGTTAAATAATTGGAAGAAGCGTTCGAAAAATAAGTAGCAAAAGGGCGGTCTGAAAAAATTACCTCAATATAGGTCAACCTGTTTCGCTGGACAGCGGCAACGCATCTCCTATCATTAAATTTAACTTGCCAAACTCCACTCAGATCGGTGAGTAGGTCTTTGATAAATTCTCCAGTCCGAGCGTCCCACATCTTCAAAGAACGATCAGAGCCAGAGATGACTTTCTGGTAGTCGTGTTGAAAGCAGGTGATGGCGCCGGTATGGCCGCTAAGTACACTCTGACAATGTCCATTTTCCGCATCCCAAATCCGCAGTGTGGAGTCAGCTGCGGCTGATACCAGCTTGTCTGAATGAAGGTCCAAAAGTCCCACAAGAGATGTGTGCCCTTCAAGGTTGTACAAAACTGCACCTGTTTCAAGGGACCAGATTTTAACCATGTTATCCATGGATCCACTGATGCAGCGGTTTCTTTTGTGATCCAACACCACGCTGTAAACTTTCAAGGTATGGCCTTGGAGGCGATGAAGCGCCTCGCCAGTTGATATTTTCCAGACTCTCACTGTACAGTCGTAGCTTCCACTAACCAGGGTATCGCCGTGGGCTGCAATAGCCCGCACAGAATGTTGATGACCAGTTAATGAACGAACAAAGTAGGGATTGTCAGCGTCAGAGCCGTTGTCGAAATAGCGCGGATCTCCCTTTTGAGGAAGTCGCCAAATCCGCAAGTTCGAATCCCGAGAGCCTGTTATGATCAACGGCTGTTTTGGCATCATGTTTGGCGTTCCATCCGGCAATTTTCCAATTGCAACAGGTAACAAGATCTGCAAACATCTGACAGTGGAGGTGTGTCCTTGGAAGACCTGGGTGCACTCAGCGGCTGCAATGTCCCACACACGGACCGATCTATCCGTAGATCCTGAAACAAGTGTATTGCCATGATACTCCAACGCCCATACACCTCCTTCATGGCCTTCAAGTGTAGCTCGTAACGCTCCGGTTTTGGTGTCATACACATTAATATTGGTATCATCGCTTCCAGTGAGAATCTTGTCTGTATCGAATTGTAGGCAAGTAACGACGTGACGGTCGTGAGCACGGAAAGCAATATGCATGGGTTTGACGTCGTCTCGCATCCATGTTTTATGAATTAGATGGTGTCTCTGATATAGAGATTTGTAGAGGTGCAAGCTTCGTAGGGATGGTAGCCCAACTTCAGGATACGGAACTGCCAATGCCGCGGCATTGGCTGCAGCGTACGGGCTCTCTGCAGCGATCAAGTTGTCCATCAAGCCGATAGGCTCTAGATGTTCAGGTTGAGCGGATACTCCAGACTTCCTCTTAGCCAGCTTTCGACTTGTAACCCTTGTTGTCGCTTTCCGTTTGGGTCGTCGGGAGCCGACCGACAAAGGACCCAGGCTCTGTCTCGTTTTCCGCGACGATAACCATGCCAAGGACGAGGTAGATTCAGAAGAGTTCTCGCTATCAGATTTAAGAGCAGTCTGAGAGCGAAGATCCTTTTCCTCATCCCCTGGATATGGACACTGCCATCCCCAGCCTTCCTCGATAGCACGATGTAGCTCTCCTCGCGGTAAAACATATCCAGCTGCCTCGAAGAGTTCTTTCCAGGACTTTTCATCCGAGTTAATGATGTGCCTCCATTTCTTCGAAACCTGCGAAGCTCGACACATAGTTTTAACGTCGAAGTACTTGACAATATTGAGACTGAGCTCCAGAGGGAGAAGAGCTAGGAAATCACATTTGAGAGCTGGATCGACGACGCCAACCACAAAGCGTAACGTCGGCTTTGGACATCTTCGCAACAGCTGGTACATCATGTAAGTTTTTAGCTTGTCCGGGATAGACTCAAAATAATCCAGCATCAAAGGCATATCCATCAATGACAAAGCCTGTGATGATGAAACAGCAGCATTAGCTACCCCTTTCCCAAAGTGGCCTTTGGCGAGCGCACATCCCGTAGTTCCCTTTTGCGCTTTTGAGCAGTGATCAAAACTAGAATCTGTGTCACTCGTTTGTTCTTCGAAAGAGGTATCAAGACTTTGAGCATTCAAAGCCATTATGGGGGAGAGACTCGGACTTGGAAGGCACATATCTTGGGCAGCAAGACTATCAACGGCCTTTAGGCGTCCAGCTGGAGCCTGAGTCGTCCTCGTGGTCGAATTTGCCGCTGAACAGCTTCTACGCGTCTGCCTCAATATAGGCTGCCCCACATTACTACCCAGCTGCTTCGAATTACAATTAATATTATCGTTTGTTATAGATCGACAAGAAAGCTCCTCAGTATTAAATCCAGCTCGGCGCTCAAACAGTGGAGATTTCTGGGCTTGGTGGCCCTTGTCTTTGTGCAAGTGTGGTAACGGACTCTGGAGTTTTTGGTTTTCTTCCGCCAAAGATTTGGGAGAATATTCGAAGGATGATTTTCCAAAAGAACCCAAACTGCAGATTCGTCGACGATAGCTCTGATCGCTACTCAAATTGAAGCTGTTGTGTTCTGTTTCTGGAGTAGTCAAACCAACTTCCTTGTTGAGTCGAGCAGCGTCCAGGTGTGACTGTGCATTGCGACGACGGTTGTTGGAGTCGGCCGCAAGAGCGGTGGAAGAACGCGTCCGTTTCATTTCATGAGAAGATTCGGGTAGAGAAATCGGAGATACTGGGCGTCGTCTCAGTCTTTGGCGTGGATCCTCTGCGGGACGTGAGCGTTTGGGTATGGAGGTTTTTCGCGAATCATAGGTTGATATAGACCGAATAAGACCATCAGATACTTTCAGGGCTTCGCTCTGCGCTTTCGACTATTCTGCACGTTAGAAAAGAGGGATGGTTTTTTGTTTCTTTCTTTCTTTGCTTTTTCGCGCATATAAAACGCAAAAATTCGGATAAGATTTGCTCATTCAAAATAAACAGAGGGACAGAGCCAAAAGGAAATCCTCACCTTTTCGAAAGTGTCTGCCGAATCCTCGGACTCATTGAAGACGATTGAGGTGTCACCAAGCTCAAAATGGATGTCTCTTATCGAATCAGGGGTGGGAGTAGCGGCTAGAGGGTAAATCTTGGGGTCAAGAAGTTTGGACGAACCGGGGCTTTTCATGACCAGTGGAGGGAAGTTCGTAGTGGTTGTTGTGGTTGTTGTAATGACGGTAGTTTGAGTGGTAGGAGCAAAGGAAAACTGGCCAACTGAGCTGTTTGGGGGAAGACGCTCGACACGATCTAGACGATCCATCTTCGTATCGTCGTTATCGGGGTGCTCGAAGCTAGATGAAAAGGATGTATATGGTACAGAGCGTTCAGGAGGAGACAGGACTGGCGAGAGAGACGCGTTCCGAGACCGAGTTATGCAACTGGCGTCTGTGGTATCGTTGGTGCTGGTAGGGGAGCGGGACATGGCCGTGATATCAGGAATCGAGATGGGTCGAGGTTTCCGGAGACTGTAAGGCTGTATCGATACTCAACGCATGAAGCTCCGACCCTCAACGGACTTGGGTTTCCAAGTAAGTCATGAAATCATGATAGAGTTTTCCGGGTGCAAGGATGACGGGGCTCGGTGCAACTGTTCAGTCAAGACTGCCCGAGCAAGCCTCAGCGCGTAGTCGTGAAGGGGGAGGGGTGTTCAAGTTGTAAAGGAGCGGGTGGAACAAAGGTGTTTGTTTTGGTGGTTGAAGAGGGTTGTGGGAGGATGTGAAATTGGAGGTATAGAAGCAGCCCGCCAGACTTGCACACGGCAAGGAAACGAGAAACGAGACACAGGAGTTGGGAGGGTGCCGAAGCCCAATAGACCAAAAACAAAACCCCACAAACACTCAAGAGAAGGGAAAGTTAGCAGCTTGGGTGTGCGGATAGGAGGAGATGAGGCCAGAGGATATATAAGAAGCGAGGGGAGTGGATCACAGCAGAAGAAGATCAGAAGAAAACAACACCCGGGACATGCCAGGAACAGCAAGAACACAGCAGAGGGAAGGAAAGCAAGTGCAGACGTGAGACACAGTTGCTGCTGGCGGTTGGTGACCACCGACTGACCACGGACTGGAGGAGGAGGAGAGGTGAGGAGGAGAGCAGAGCAACGCAGAAGGTGAGGGCAGGTGAGGGCAGGCCCAGGGCAGGGGAAGAGAGACGGCAGACACGACGTGCGGTTAAGCCCCACTGTGACCTTGGGCGAGCAGCAGGCTTGGTAACAACACGGTATGGTACTGTGTAATCGCTATGCTCCTGTACGGTAACTCTGGTAAGGTGTCGTTCGCCTTTCCGCGGCTCTGCCTGTCTGTGCCTTGTTGCATTTTCCCTGGTTACGCGTGGCTGGTTTCTGACAGCAAGAGATGTACAGGTACATACTACCACCGCTTTTGATTGGCGACTTTCAAGGTATCTGGTACTTCTGGCTCCCATCGCCCGGCGCCTACTGGTTTGTTGACAGGGCGGTATTGATTGTCCTTTCGCTTTTTGACCTCTGGCGGCCAACCCACTCAATGGAATGAGACGCTCTCTCTATCTATGCACGTCCTATGTATTGGGCAGTATTCTCGATTCTGGGGCCCCAGTCCCATGCATCTGTTGCCCTCCCCACTGGCTCTGCCTGCTCCTTGTCAAGGTTTAAGGTTTGGTATCCCAGCGGCTGGGGCGTCTCATGGCTCCAACCGAGGCTGTCCCGCGATCTCTCGCCGCAACCTTTTCCATGGTTATTTGATATTTTCACCATCCAAATACGTTTTGACGCGTATAAGCCCCCTTTCTTCGAGCTACCGACTGAAAATCAAACTACGCCGGTGTTCATAACTATTGCATATCTGACCCTGGATTAAACAATAATATACTTGGTTCCTACGGGGATTCCTAACTCTTGGCTGATATGTTCTGTTTTTTCCCTCTTGCCTGCTGAAAATAGACAAAACATTGACTACATCGGGATGGAAAGGAAGGCTTTCTTCGAATTTTGCATAGATTGCACATCCTTTCCAAGGGGCATTTTTCTTCTACATATACCCTCCAGATGCAAGGCTCGACAGCTGCATATCAAGCAGTTTCAGCATCGTAAATATATCCAATGCATCCTTTGGTTTCTTAGTTATAGTCCTGTTTCATGCTTCTCTCCAGAAGATATCTAGAAGATATCTCGTGCGTTCTGAACTCGTTATGCCGCCAGGATGCGCCCTTTCAAGGGTCATTCTCTGATCTGAATGGTGGGGGCATGATTGCCTTATGATTCTGATGTGCTCTACTTAATACCTAGCATCTCTAAGCAGTTATCTGTGGTTATTGTATATTTTTCTCTTAGCGGGTCCTCGTAATCGTTTCGAGATTGCTGCTCGTTCCATCCAAGGAATATTAATTTCTTTATGTCTTTTTCGATTTTTATATCAACATCAAAATGGAATGGAAATGGTAAAAATATGCCTTTGATGGATCATCAAAACTCCGTTCAGCTATGCACTCTTACCTCATTTTCTCGTTTCTTTTATTCCCCGGACCTTGATGTCTCAGAGGCGATTCTGCTCAAACGGGCGATAGTAACAACTAATTTTATGTTAAAACATCGTTCTTTGGAACAAAAGGAAAAACATCCATTCAAGACCTTCATTATATCTACAGAGAAGATTACATATTTTAAAAGGGCCTTGACTTCACATTTTCCTGTTGTGGGTGCTTGTTCTCCTAGTTGATTGTCTTGATGATTAAAGAAAGGACTGGTATAAATAGCCCCTATCTCTTGTCTCTTCTTTATTGACACTCACACCCACGCCATCCGTTTCCCTACCTGTCTTCCACTTCGCTTTGTTTTCCTTCAACTCCACTTCAGCATCTCCATCTCTCATCCACATTCTTTTATCAAATTGTGAATATCCTACAAAAAGTCTGGAAATCCCAGATCCCCATCACCACTCCCCTTCTATTGCTGCACCTTGCGGAACTTCTCCAAGACAAGCTTGTCCTTGCTTCAACTCTCCTTTAACCCCTCAACTCACAGCATCCCCATTTGCCCATAGCTCTCTCAATCTGCACTATTGATCATATCTTATCATTTTTTTAACTTCATCAAGACCTCATCAAACAAATGGCACGCGTCATCTTCACTGGTGCAGTCCAGCAGACAGCTGGAACAAAGATGGCATCCAAGACGCCTGGCGTGAGCACTACAACTGTCATGCAAGCCTCAGCACAGAAAGAAAAGCAAAAGCAGCAAGCCCAGGCCATAACACAAAACCAGAGCCTGGCCTTAGTCCAGATCATGCTTCATGCCTCTGTTAGTTATAAACTCCCTTACCACACTGGTTCTGATGATGCTTGGATGGGGCTTATTAGCTAACATATGCCCACCACTCCCTTGTCACCTATAACAACCCAGTTTGGCACCTTGTTCTACCTGAGGTAAGACTCCCCAACTCTCTTTCCAGTTGTCGACCATTTGGAAGACGGAAAACGAGTCGACGTCGCTGAATGAAGGGGAAGAAAGTATACGTATCTTTCCTTACTTTACCTTCTTCCCATTACTGACTCTACTCTTTTGTGATCTTTTTGGCTTTTTCTTTTGTCCAGGGAGTTTTTACCTCTAGATTGCTTCGATGAACGTGATCTCATGAAGCTCTCGAAACCGGATTCATTCATGTCATACGCCAACTTTATCGAAGGAGGAAGCGCAGGAGATAAGCTGGGCACCAATGGGGCAGGTTACACTTCTAATCATAACAACAGGGGAAATATCCAGGAGAGGCGCGCACAACCGTTGAAGATTATCGTGCGCGGCAAGAATCCGAAGGCGGATAAGTTGCTTGATCTTCTTGTACGTGCTGAAAGTTCTTTGCTACCTTTATGTCTTTCTCTCTTTCTATCTTTCTATCTTTCTATCTTTGCGTTTTTCTTTGGCTCTTATGCTTTCTATCTGCTGCTTAACTATTTTGTGTGTCTAGGAACACGGGATATTCGACGCCATTGAGAAGAGCTTCCTGGAAGCGGTGCAGATGACCGTTTTCGTGGACAAAACGGAATCTTCGCACGTGCTGGAAAGCTATACATTCACTTTCAAGTATACCGGTGGATGTAAACAAAAGGGGGCTGGCGATAATATCGGCAAGAGGTTATCTAGTGTCGTCCTCGAATCGACCGGTTGTACAGCGGATATGAAAACGGTCAGGACGGCACGGCGTGGCTTGGAGATGATCGTTCGCCGTCTGATTACGCTGAGTGCGTTTTTGCCTATGCTCCCGAGTATGTGTTCTAAAACAATCTTTTCTTTTCTTCTTGCTTTTTCTAACGAACAGTTAATGTCCAATTGCTAAAGAGTTTTTAATCTGTTAGGCGAACGGTACATGGAGATACATCTCTTTTACACTGAGGGTTCCCCTCCGGAATACGAACCCCCTGGATTCAAGACTGCTGAGCATAACGACCTGTTATTCGCGCAGAATGAGCTGTGGTCGAGGGAAACGCAGTCGTGTGGTGCAATGGAGACGGGGATCCACAGGTATTTATGATATATTACAAGCAGCATATTTTCATCCTCTCATCTGTCTTTGTATCAATATATGCACCGACGAGCTAATATTACATTTCTTCCCGCGTTTACAGTGTTGGGCTAAAGATTAGTTCTTTGAAATGGTCTGGGACGGACTACCCGAGCTCGGAATATGTGCCTGAAATCCCAGCAGACATTGGGTATAGCGATAGGGTTCGCCGTGATGAAGATGTCGGTATCAGTGACGTGGATACCGCCGTTCGGGATCTTGGATTGTCGACTCAAGGTTCGTTTGTGTGGATTTCTAAGAAATATGTGAATATTTCCTTAGATACGTGGGCTGATAAAATTACGGGTTTAAAATAGAAAGTAGCCAGGTTTCTACTCAGACCCGCCAAGATGAAGCTCTTAAAAGAGATTTGCAGAAGATGATTCCGGTATTTTCAAATTATATGTTTCTCGGATGAATACGGCGACAATTTGTTGAAATCCAGGCGGCTAACTTCAAAAAATTCTGTCCATTTATAGCTGGCAACTTCGACCCCTGACAGTGATTTCATTCCAACTCAGAGGAACCCTGACCCCCTCCAAGCTGCAACAACAAAACCGCAGCTCTCTCAAGTCAAAATTTTACAATTGGGAGCGCGGAGCCAGGTGTTAGATCCACTCCGATATGATCAGAACAAGGAACGTTCTGGTCCTTACCACCCTGGAATCGTCCGTTGTGAGTGTGGATCGAACTCAGACAGTCCCAGCATGGTACGTCCATATCTCCAAGGTAACATAAGTGTAAACTAACTTCATTCATTACCACTTTTACATCAGCTCCAATGCGCCTTTTGCAAAACTCGGCAGCATCCGTCCTGTTACGGGTTCGCCCATGCGCAGGATCCAGCCATTGCAGAAACTCAGGCATGTTACAAATGTCTGCTGGAACCGCAAGAAAGAGACCTGGTGCAGGATATGCGGACGCTGGTTTTGCTGCGTCGGGCTCTTTTGGTCATTATCGAAGAGGGCTATCCGAATCGAGTTCGCGATTTTGCTCAGAAGTTGAGTACGTAAATTGATCATTGCTAACCCCATGGTTGGACGAATGCTTAATGCTAATGAAAAGGAAACTCGTTCTTTTCTTTCTTTTCTTTGTGCAGATTGCAACGGCCAGACAATTGTCCAGATTACGGACATGTTGAGGAAGCAGGGTTTTCTGCTCGCAACCCCCGGCTCCAAGTCAAAGGGGTTCTTGGAAAAGGGGCTTCCGAAGTTCACCCTGTCCACTGAACCGGCGATCAAGGAGAGGCTTCGGAATGAGATCTTCAATCCTCTCGCGAAAATATCACATCATGTACGTTGTTTTATTTTTCATTTTTCGTTCGTGTTCGGGCCAGGCACAGATGGAAATGGGTTAGTAATGCTGATTACTTTACCCTCGTTTTATTTTACAGTACAACCTATCGGATAATAACGCAGTCCAGCGCTATGGCAGTGTCGAGCACTCATCGTCGGATGTTTCAACAGATGTTCTGTCAGTCGAAGAGGTGCCCCGTGACAGGTAAGTCAATGCTGCATTCAAGCCGCCAAAACAAATCAAAAAGAGCGTATCATTTTGCGTATTGGCGATCAGACACAGCGCTCTGATTTCAAGCTATAGCCCTGGTTACGAACAGCGTTGCCGCGAACGCAGGAATGGTGGAATAGCCGGTGCAGTCGGCGCAATGCCTACCCCCGAAGTGAATGAGATCCGAAGTGCATGGAAGACACTCGGGTCGAGCCTGGATTTTGCAAATCCGGTACAGCCTAAGGGCAATTCTCAGTCCCCGACCCAGGCGCAGATGCAAGCGCAGATGCAGGCTCAGAAGCAGAAGCAAAAGCGCAGTATCATGGGCACTGAATTGGGCTCTGGGATTGCCTGTGGTGCCGATGGGGAGGATCAGGCGCGCCAAGGTTTCAACGGTATACAGACGCAGACCCGTCCAGCTGAGTGGGTGCGGGATGGGAATGACTTTGGCAGTGATTACGGCAACGGCGAGGGAATGGTCGTGAGCGGCTCGGAGGAGGAGAACGGTAATAACCGTCGCAAGAGAGTGAGGTTGAGTAAGCTGGGGAGTCCGATTAGTATCTTTGAGCCTAGTAGCGAGAGTGGAGTGGGAAGTGGGAGCGAAGGTGAAGATGGTAGTATGTGTGAAAGTGCAAGTGTGTGAAGGATTAGAAGGAGGTGCGTTATCTTTTACCCTTTCAGTATTTCTTGCTTAAGTGGGGGTTTAAGGAGCGGGCAAAGGAGTGAGTATGTTCATGGAGGATGCGTGTGGGACTGCTCCTGATATCACCCCTATTTTCATTCTTATTTATTGTTCTTAATGTTGCGCAACGCACCCCTTTTCAAATTCTTCTCCATCGCTTTCAACACATATGCAATGTTGCTCCGTGTTTTCAATAATCTGTCACCAACTCCCCATTGTTCTCCGATCTCCCAAATCTACATGTACTGTACGAACAGACCCTTTTCTATCCCCGCAACGCGCAACGTTTGAGTAAATCTCAATCGTATATTTTGAGCATTTTCTTCGCTGTCCTCTTTCTTTCTTTCGTTTTCTTTCTATTTTTTTTTTCCCCTTTTAATCCTTGCGGAACGTGATGTGCATATCGATGTCTCATCTGGTGGTGGTAATGTGTATCGTTTTCATATTTGTTATTGTGTCAAGAAAGATGCTATTTTCAAAATGCGGGGGAAAACAAAAATAAAGTAAAATACGATGAGAAAAGAGCAACAAGAAATGAAATCTTATTCTTATTCTTATTCTTCCGCTTCCGCTTCTTCCCCACATTGTCCGCCCCTTGTCCTACTTCGTGAACAGCCGGTTCCGGCTCCAGCGCTTTGTGTCCTCTTTATAGCTACTCTGTGGGAGAAGCATTTGAATTTATTCTGAACCTTGAACCAGCATGCAAGGGGGGGACAAGGTAACACAATCCCCTCCCCCTTTCTTATACCCCGCATCTTCCCCTCCCCATCTTAACCCCCCCATCTTAACCCCTGTCAATCCCGGACCTCTCACTCGAATATAAGCGAGGTTCACGAGGGAAGGGGACAGGAACGGGGACAAGAAGGGAGCCTAAGGAGAGAATCGGGTGATTGATTCATTACGCAGTAGATATCTCGTACCCTGTACGAGTCTGGACTGGCGAGGAAATGATGAGATTTTGAAAGCGGGGAGATATGGTGAGTTAACTTGAGAGTAACTGTACATTGCTCTGTGCAGGGTCTGGGATGCTGGAGAGTTGTGTTTTGTTAAACAACCCGGGGCAAGCAGCAGTAGTACTAGCTAGCACCTACGGATGTTTAAATTTTAAATTCTTATTTTTAATTTCCGTTGCATCTGTTATGTTTGGGGAGGGGTTTGTATCTTTTAAGCAGTAAGTAACCTACCTCTACCTCGATATAAAGAAAGATATTATACAGTAGATGCCCCTCCTGCCGCCGCTGGGTAGTTAGGTCCGAGGTAATTCCCCGGCAAATCACCCTTTTTTTCTCTACATGCAGTCAACCTGTCATCATCGATCATGCAGAGTACAGACAGAGAAATCCATTATCTATCTATTTTATTTAGCTATCAACTCCACACTCGCATGACATTCTTTCTCATGCCTCGCAGTCAGCACACGGCCAATGGTTAAGGTCAACACAGATTACTCCATGAGTGTTCATTCATGAGCAGCATTCGGCGCGCGTGGCTCAAGGGGCTATGCAATGATCATTGTGCTGAATTTTGCGAAGATAGTCAAGACTCCAGTCTGATAAAGTTACTAACTAGGAGTTAAGGTGGCAAATTGGTGATGAGATGGAGGAATCTTTCGAGGATTTTACAACGGACGGATTGATTGTTCACGATGAAGGATGTGTTTCCTCCTTTGCCTTTTGCCCAACCCCCGTGCCAATGCTATCATATCAATTTTTGTTTTATTCCGGGAGCCCTTCTCTCTCTCTCTCTCTCTCTGTGCCTCCTTTTTGTTTTTTGTGTGTGCCCAGCTGATTTTGAAGTGTCGAGCTTAAACAGCATAGTGATCAACCTTCAGTAGAGGATGAACAGAAAAGAAAAGAAAAGAAAAGAAAAAATACGTGGTCGGACTTTGAGAGCGTCATGATTTGCCGACGATCACTGATCAGTGCTTACTTCGCAGTGTGATGTTCATAGAAAGCCTCCATTGGGGTAACTATTGAAAGGTGGATGTGCAGCAGCGACAGGCAGTGGCAAATCGTGTTTTGTTTCTACTCTGTACCGTATACGACTAGCTATCAACTCCCGGACTCTCAGGTTCTGCGCTGGTCTGCTCGTCTGTCCAAGTACTTTGTACTGTACAACTATCATAGTAACTATCACGGTTTGGCATGGAATTGCGATTCCCTGCGAGCAGAAAGAAATTAGCAGCCATGGCCTTCGCTCGCCTCTAGACTCTGCAGAGGAGAGAAACCCCAGTCCATGCCAGGGTCTGCCAGCCTAACTCCTAACTCGCAAGCCTCTCCCGTGCTGTATCAATAATATCTTTCGAATGACATTCATGCATGGAGGACATCAACATGGAAAGAATAATGGTTAGGCTGTCGAGTCGGGGTAATCTGGACTGGGGAAGCGGGGATGTGCAGCACATCGTAATATCGAGCAATGAACTAGTTGGCGAAGATGATAAATATTGGCTGTTCCCTTGCACGATTTCTCTGCAGTATATCCAAGGATGTTGTTCGTCAGGGGCACACTCTCTTAGCTCTACCCTTTCGTGTCTATGCGTGAACTGGCATACTACGGTAACCTACCCGCACGTTAGTGAGTGAAGGAGAAACGAGAAACGAGAAACGACATGGGAGACGGTCTGTCGGTTTCATCCCCCAGCGCATACAAACCCACCCCAGAGCTCTATAGTAACTACTGCACAGGCATGGAAATTTCATGCAGCAAACTCCAGCGCCGGATACCTAGACGAAACGGACAGGGATGAGGCTAATTACACCCGGCCAAGAGTCACTAAATTTTTTATAGGTATAGTGCATACATCCACCTTTCATTACATACAGACTAACCATGTCATCAAATTCAAGAGAGATACAGATCTGGATCCTGCTGGTAGCTAACTATCATATTAGTATCAACTTTTCTCTACTGATATAACCACTTTCAGAGGTTCATATCTTTCTATTATATAGTGTACTAGTATACAAAGCTATTATAGCTTCTAGCTGTTATTATAATCAGCACTGCTAGATAGTTCCAATGAATCAATCTTCCACATTCATCATGAATCTATACAAGAGCTACTAACTATGATAGAAAGAAGGGGGAGATATATATATATATATATATTATCTCAAGTTAGCTTATGCATTTGCAACTATTTTATAACTGTGGTTCTCATACTATACTGTGACTGCCAACCACAGTGTATATAGATGATGGAATGGATGACCATGGCCACCACATCACCACATCCACAGGTATATATATACCACCATGAGCACAATCATTTAACAAATGATTATGTTGGCTTTTTGCTATGAATAACCTAGTAACCGTAGTGCTATCTTATCACATAGCTATCTTACTTTCATGTAGTTCATATATTATAATAATAGAGCTGATGGAGGTGGAAGGTTGGTTTATTGCAACGATCTAGCGAGCGATAGGGACTGATCATGTTTAGTACTAGTATTGATGATATGATATCTATCAATATCTATCAATATATGGATATATCGGTGGTATCTAAGACAATATCTAGGCTGATATGGCATGATATCTATTGATGAGATGATAGGTAGCTACCAGCGCCATATATCTCTTCAATGACATGGTTATTTTGAATGTAATGGAGGTGTCTGCACGATATCTATAAAAATTTAGCGGCTCTTGGCCGGGTGTAATTATCCATCCCCAATTCCACGAAACCAACCCATCCAAAGGATTTCCCCCTGATCTCCCCTGTAAGTCATGGATGATGACGAGATTTGAACTAACGACAAACAACCCTCGTTAGTGCAGCCCGCATCCAAGCTGGCCGGGGTGATTGTTAGCAGCAAGTGGCGTCGCAGCGCTATTGAAGCGTCCGCCATTATTCGGCGTTGGATATGGTGGAGCTCCACATTTCTGGCCCACGGTGATTATTCGTTACTTGGCAGAGGATTCTCTTCTTTCTTTCTTCGATTCTGCATGAAATGGCTTCTTTTTTAATTTTTTATTTTTGTTGGCTGTGAAGTTTAACTGCCGTTTTTATGTCTTGGACGGACTGGAGGCTAGGTATCTCATTGAACCCAACAGAGCTGTTGGAGCTCTGGCATTTAACAATCTTTCTTCCTCTTCGAGTGCTCGCTCCTTTTCCTTTACAATTCTGAAATTCCGTGATGGCCCCGCAGGATACAGGGCCCATATTACAGTACATGCAACCCCTCTATTTGGGGCCTAGCTAGTGGTCGGTTATCACCAAGAATCGTGACTTGATCTGCTTCCTCGCGTCCTTCTCGCGTGTTCCTCATCTTTCTTCGCGGTCTCTCTTTGTCGCTCTTGTCCTCCCTCCAGCTGTTGTATCTCTGAAGCAGCGTCGACAGGGCCAGTTACTCGCTGTGCCACCCACATCATCTGGACTCCCACGTTGCCAGCCTTCCTCCGGTCTCGCTGTCCTCCCGTGGTTCTCAGCTGGTTTTTTTCTTTTGGGCGATCTCGCCCAGTTAGGTTCGTCGAATCGTCTCCTGTGGAACCATTCCTTTGTGGTGCGCCTGTGGTGCGCCTGTTCCTGGGGCCTTCTTCCGGTACACACTCCGTTGAAATCATAACAATTCGCAGTAATAACTACACTCCTTCGCCTTTCGGGGATTTTCTATTCTTTATTTCTACGACGGCTATCAGCACCTTCTTTTGTTTTGCGTTTTAGCTTTTTATCACTCCCTATTATCCATCTTGCCTCTGCTCCATAAATGGTATGGTCAGACAGATATGACGGTCTTTGCCATCTTTAAATAGCGGTCAGGAAGAGAGCCAAAAAAAAGGGGGGGAAAGAAAAAGGAAAAGAAAACGACCTTCTAGCTCCTTACATCTGGAAGCGCATCGATTTCCCAACTCTCAACTCCCTCCATATTTTCTTTTTCGTTGTCTGATGCAGGAAGAAAGCCAGCAAACGGGTTTGGCTCGGCAAGTAATCAATTGTCTGGAAAAAGCAAAGAAACCCTGGTCGCAACCAGGGCGAGGGTGACGAGGATGGCCCAATACCAACCGGCAGTGCCTCAACGCTTATCTAGTATCTCACCTTCTCCAACCGCAAAAATATCCCGCCAATCCAACATTCCTCCTCCGTCCGGCCTTGATGGGCTCATTTCGCAACATCCACCGGAGCGCCGCAGATACACAGCAAATAACAATATCATCGTCGATCATGACTTTCTGACTAAATTCGGCAGGACAGTGCGGACAGCAAGACAGATTGAAATACCGCCTCCTCCCTCAGCGACCAACAGAGGTGGAAGAACGGGAGGAGCAATCAATGGAAATCTAAACATTGGGATTGCAGAGACTGGCTCCACCTCGCAGAGACAATTGCGTCCAAGGGCCTCATCACCTATATTGGGCCAGCAATATCAATCTCACCCTCACGAGCCGCTCCCGTCCTTTCACGCAAACACTCGCCCTACCCTGCGCCAGCCCGACCCTTCAACCATCCGCTCATCTCGTGATCCTTTGAAACCTCTTACAGTTGTTCCACAGCACGCGCAGGTGCAGGCGCAGACCCAAACGCCGACACATACCCTCAAGAACACACAGAAACAAACAGCGGAACCATTTTCGTCCAGGGATTTGGCGCTTCGAAGCAAGACCTATTCTTCCAATTCGCCGACTGAGTCTACTTTGGCAAACTCCTCTGATCACTTGCAGGGATACTTGCAAGACCAGCAGGAGGAGGAGGAGGAGTCGGCTTCATTGCCACTGTCAAAACCCAAGCCTCGCCCTCCTATGATTGATCTGTCGAAGCTTTTTCCTAAACCTAGCGATCCTTCCGTCCACCGTGACGTGCCGCTATTATCCCCCAATCGGATGACAATGTCACCATCACCCGTTTCTCTATTTTCAGATGCCTCATCGTTCGGTGCCCAGCAGCGGAAACTTGGCAGCATACATCAAACAGTGAATAAGTTGACTAAGTCACCCAGTAGCAAAAAATTGTCGACTCTTCGCAAGCAGTATGAACATCAGCTACGTCAACAGGGACGCCAAAATTCTGCGCCGTCACCAGATTTCCCAGCAGAGCATCAGTCCCACAGTTTATATGAAGGGCAACAACAGCTACAGCCATCAGAACCTCCGACCCCGCGCATCTCTCATATTCCGTCCCAGCAACCCGCCGTGAAAAAGGAGAAAGAACACTTTTTCCAACTTGGGAGACGAGAGAGGAAACGGCGCGAGGAGGAGCAACAGAGGCAGATTCAACAGGAAGAAGAGCAACTTCGCCAACGCCAGAAACAGGAGCGAAAGGAACGAGAACGCAAGCAACGGGAACAGCTTGAACTAGAACAGCAGCAGAAGAAGCAGGAACAGGTGCAACAAGAAAAGGAGCAGTATTTTCAACGCCAGAACCGTGAAAAACAACGCCGGGAGGAACAAAAGAAGAGAAAGGAGGAGCCAGACCAATATCAACAGCGCAAGACGGAAGCGCAAAACCAACGGGAGGAGGCGCAACGGCAGGTACAGCAGCAACTGCAATTAAAACAACAGCGGCAAGAGGAGTTACAGTCGCAACATTACCAATTCCCATTCCACGAGAAGCGCACAAACCAACAAAGGAAACCCGCTGTCGAGTGGTTCGATGGGCCAGAGGGTCAGGTTAGTAGTAGTGATGACGACAATGCTGAAGGCGACGAGCGCATCGACTATAGCGTCCAGGATTTTCATTCTGTACCGCAGTCCACGTATCGGGAGTCTGCCTATTCCCGTGGCAGCAGTAATCGGGTTAGCATGCATTCAAATGGCATGAGTGGGACTTCAAGAGCCTCAAGCCGAACGCTGATACTGTCTCCGGCGCCCGAACAAGCGAAGAAAGCCACACCCGAACTCCGTAACACTAGCCCCTTGTTCACTCCTGGAGCCAGCCGATTCAACTCCTTTTTTAATGACTGGGACCTTAGCAGCACCAGCGCCACTCCACCTAGTGTAGGATCACCGACTACCGCCCTCGGTAGATTGTCCAGGAAGAGCAGCAAGCTCACTTTAAACAAATCAGACCTTAACGAGTCTAGTGTGCTTTGTCTTTCGTCCTCAGAAGATGAAGCTGACGAGGAAGAAGTAGAGGCACATAAGCCGTTCCAGCGGCACGTTATTCGTGATAGCATTGGCACGATCGACGAAGGCGCGTCCGAAATTTTCATCGCAAAAGCCGTCTCCGCCCCTCGCAGTTCCTCCGTGCCCAGAGTCCGAAACACAAGCCTTCCCCCTCCGCGAATTTCGCGTGACCGCTCATCTTCCTCGAACGTCAGATACCCTAGTTACCGCCCTTCGAATGGAATCCACACCATCTCGGAGCCAGACAGCGCGCCTGCGCCCCGCCCCTTCACATCCGCCTCGACCACAGCCAACCTCAACTCTTCGCCATTCGATTTTCAATTACCAGTCTCTCGCCCCCCGAATAGTATAAAATCCATCAACCGTCGCAGTCGTGTCATTGCTGTGACTAGACAAGAAGAACAACTCCTTGAAGTCATAAGACAGCGCGGCGGGAACATGCCTCCTAATTTCCCACTCGTTGACCTGCCCAACACCGCAGCTTCTATCGCACACACAATGCCAAAACACACAACCTCGACTACATCCTCAAGCTCGAACACCACCACCATCACCACCACCACTCACGCATTCCGAAAATCCCCATCTCCATCTACCAACCGCCCTCCCTCCAGCCAATATGAGGGCGAGAGCATTGGTGACACATCATTCCTAGCATTAAGCCCGGACTTCGCGCCTCCCCACGCCAAACACCCAGACGGCACGTCCTCCGCCGGCAGCGACAGCTCCCGCTCCCACCATGCCCTGTCGGTCTCGGACAGCGGTGGTGACCATCACTCCGACCCCTCACCGCGCGTTAGCTTCGTCCACTCAGACACGTTTCCCTCCCCCTCAACTAGCTGGGTTGCACCAAGCTCACCAACACAGAGACAGTATAGCCACCAGCAGCAACAACAACGACAAGATCAACATCCCCAAGAAATTGCTAATCCCAATGGTGGCAACCGCAGCAGCAGCAGGGGAAATCCACTTCACCCGCATCATCCCATGCTGGTGCATCCACAACCTCTATCCTCATACCCGCCAACATCATCGCCATTAGCATTGTCATTGTCGTCACCACCATCACCGTTTTCTTCACTCCATTCACCCTCACCGCCATCACCACTGTTATCCGCTCCTCCACCATTCCCATCCATCACCGCCGATACCGCCGAGGCCAAGGCCACTCTGGCGATCGACGTGGTGCTCCCGGTCGAGGAGACTAAGCGGCATTCGCGAACAAGGACGGACAGTAGTAGCGCGATGGTGTTTGGGGATGGGGAAGAGGGTGACAAGAGCGCCAGTCCCGTGGTGAATGACACCGAATTGCCTATCTGGGCGCTGGGGTGGAATGCGGAGACGCCTGGGTTGGCGGTTGTGCATTGATTGATATATGCGCGTTATTATATCTGTCTTCCTACCCTCACTCTTTCTCTCACAGGGCTGGGTTGTACCGGACAACGCCGGCCTTCTTATAGGTTTATTTTTGTTGGGGTTTTCAATGACTTTTTTCAATTTCGGGGAGAGAAACCCTGCTACTTGTATTACGGGGACATCTTCGTTGTTGGCTTCATTCACATTTTTCAAATACATATCTGTCCGGGGGTTTGCTCTTTCCTTTCAATGTTTTTTTCGTTCTTGCTTTCGTTTGGTTGGAGAAGGGTTGGTTGGTTTTATTTGGTATATTCGAGTTCGATTGTGTTACAGAAAATAGCTGTAAGCAAAAACATCGAGTTCGTCCGTTCGTCCAGTCTCGACTTTTTTTTTTTTTTTATTCTCCTTTCATTTCATTATATATTTTTTCCTTCAAGGCCACTCCTGCATACATATTGTTTCATTTTGCAACGGTCACGCTGTCTCTCACTCTTTCCTTTTTCTTTACAATCTTCTGAATCCCCCCCCCTCCCCCCCTTTTTGTTTTCTTTTCATTTCTGCTCACAAAACATACATATATATATATATATATAATTACACCCCTTACGACTCCTTCACATTAACCACCTTCTTTTTTCACTATTTACCTTCCAATGTTGTAATAATGAAAGGGGGCGAGGTGCGTCCCTTCTAAGCTCATTCTTCTCTACTTCTTTAGCCTTTGCACTTTTATCTCCCATGTCCATCTGAAGGTCAGGAATTTCTGAGAGAGATATATAGATAGATAGATGTAATACAATTGTTTTCACCTTTCTGCAATCCGATTCCTGTGCGTCACTTCTTGTTCTTCCTCGAAAGATACTTTGTATCTGCTGCTCTCTCTCCTCCCTCTCCATCTCTCTCTATCTTGGGGAAAAAAAAAAAAAACTCTGGGAATTGTCCGCTCAGTTGAGATTCTTTTTCGTCGTTGTATAATGTTTTGTCGCCCCGCCCCCCCCCTCCCCCCCCTGCCTTCGAAAGATACTAGTATTTTCTAGATTTTCATCCCCCGCCCAAGGAATTTAGTTAAACCAATTACTCACATATTTGTTTTGTTTGGTAGATCGGCGAGAGGAAAGGATCACTAGGCTTTGTTTGGTTGATCAATCCATGGCGGTGAACCAAGTTCCTAGCTATCCCTATCGTACGCATAAGTTTATCATAACTAGCTCCCAGCAAATTACGTGTGTAGTGCAATATCGTTGTAATAGTTAAGGGAATAATAGAAGAAGATGTAAAAAAAAGAAAAGAAAAGCAAAGGAAAAAAAAGGGCTGGCTGGGAACGTTCTGTGTGTGTGTGTGTGTGTGTGTGTGTGTGTGTGTGTGTCATATACTAGCTAACTGTTACGCGGGCTGTTCCGTCTATCGTTCTTTCATCCGTTCACACCCAATCTTCAGTAGAAGCGGCGGTCAGGAGGCCTAAAAGCAGAGTTTGGCCGAGGAATTATAAGCCTTTGCGTGAATGGTAGTGAACGACAAGGAGCTGACGGGGTTTCAAGATTGTGCTTAGCGGGAGGCCCACCGCACTTACAAACAGCCCCACGGTCCGGACACGGGATGGCTTGTTTGCTGTTCGCTGCTGGCTGTTGGCTGTTGGCTGTTGGCTGTTGGCGCTGCTGCGTTGTGCTTGTTGGGCACCATGGCTGGGGACTTGGGAAGAGACGGCCATGAAGTTGCTGGAATATCATGTCAGTGATCTGGGATGGCGGTTTGGCTGGCGGTTGGCTTATCGGCCCAAGAGTCGAGGAAGAACCACCAGCCACTTGATTAATCGCCTGTTGATGGTTACTACTAGGAGTAATGTGAGTCGAGAGAGGTGCGCATAAAAGTGCGTGGAGGAATAGGTGGACGCAGTGGGTGTCTATCTCATCGTCGTCGCTATTTCTCTGCCTCATCGTTGTAGTTCATTTCTGCCCATGTCCGCTTTCTGCACCGGCGGATCGTGTGACACTTTCTCTCCGCACCCTTGTGATTGCGCTGAGCCCGCTGTCGGTTTTATATGTACTGTACATACTGTCCGCCCTTTTACCACTTCCTGCTATCTTATTTTCTGCTTCAGCTATTATTATTCATGAAACTTGCCTCCGGATTTTCTCGAACAAAGAAAGTGGCCGCCTGTTGAAAGCCCAGCCCTGTGCCTGGCGATGCCCCAAACGGGTTACAGATCGCACTAGGTAATATCCTGGGTTCGCGACCTGGTTTCTTTGCTTTTTCCGCTAGTCGGCGGCTGAACAGCTCAGTTCCTGGATTTTTCTCCTTCGAGCGAGATTTTATATTGCCATCGACAACAACCTCCAGCCTCTTGACTTTCACCCTCAATTCTGCCCGATTCAAATCCTTCCTCAGTCTCACTCCGTGACCATACTCCCGCCCTCGTATCGCGAATCTGGAACTTGAGAAATAAATATACTTCTTTACGAGGGGGTTTCCTTACACCGTCTCTCGGCCGTTCCATTTTCCTACGTATACGCGTCACAATGAGAAGGGATTCAAGGGCGCCCGCTGCCTGGATGGGCATTCCAGGGAGGCAGATTTCCTTGCTCTTGGTACGGGACCAAAGCTTTCCCTCCACCTTCATTGCGCCTGCATAGTGGTGTTATTAGTATTATTAGTATCGTTATTTCGTTCATTGCTAACTCATGCACTCTCTTCTGACCTGCAGTTAACGATTCAGTATACGATTTTCACATTAGTATGGAATTCTTTTGTGGCCTTTGCTCCTAGCCCCTCCAGCTCCCCACCAATATCTTACAGGACGTACAGAACACACAACAAGATGGAATTGACTGAGCTAACCGTCCTGCGCATATCCAGCTCCTTCATTACTCCAGAGTCATGCCCGTCGTTGGCGGTCGACGCTACCTCACCTCAACCGCCGTCTTCCTCAATGAAGTTATAAAATTAGCAATCTGTCTCACCCTTGCGCTCTATGAAATGTCCAAAGCTGTGCCTCCTTCCATGCCTGCAACCTCACTCTTCACCAATCTCTCCGCTGCGGTTTTTACTGGCGATAGCTGGAAACTAGTTGTTCCGGCAGGACTGTATACTTTATCAAACTCCCTGGTGTATATCGGGCTCTCCAACCTCGAAGCCGCCACCTTCCAGGTTACATACCAATTGAAAATAGCCACAGCAGCAGTCTTCGGCGCCTTGTTTCTCAGACGGAGTTTATCTGTTGGAAAGTGGACAACACTATTCCTACTGATCGCAGGCGTATTTATCATCCAGCTACCACACACGGATCCCAATGACATCGACGACCACCGCGCGCACGTGCATTTCCCACGCTCGCTGGAAGACTGGCAGAATCTGGGTGCCTCCACTGGCCGGAACTTGCGTCAGAACCTTCACAAACGCTCCGCCACTTACGAAGGAATCGAGGAGGATCTGATGCTGGGACACCCGCGCATGAATGGAAACATCGGGCTGTTGGCTGCCATTGGCGCTTGCATCGCGTCTGGTTTAGCAGGAGTGTCCTTCGAAAAAGTACTGAAGGATAGTGCCACGTCTACCACGTCTGTATCGATACGCAACGTCCAACTAGCGGTTTATTCGATATTCCCCTCTTTGTTTATCGGCGTGGTGTTCCTAGATGGCGAGAAGGTGGCGCGCGCCGGGTTCTTTGACGGCTACAATTGGGTTGTGTGGCTGGTTATAGCACTGCAGGCCGTGGGCGGAATTGCGACATCGTATTGCATTTCACGCGGAGAACATGGCTTGCGGAATTCGGCGTCAGGGATTAGTATTGTGCTCAGTGCTGTCGGGGCGATATGGGCTTTTGATTTTAGGATGAGCGGGAATGTGGGTAGCTCCGTATCCCTTGCTATCTGTTTGCCCCACCCTTCTCGTGAAAATACATACTAACAGCAAAACCGAAAAATGGAAAACAGTTCATCGTCGGCACCGTCCTCGTCCTGGCGGGCACATATGTCTACACTCAACTCTCTCATCCAAATATGCAGCACCAAAAACACAGCAACCGGCCCCCACCAATCCGCATCAACAACTTTGAAAAGCTCAGCGGCCTGGGCATGGAAAATGATAATAACAATAACATGGCCAGCACCTCATCATCAACAGACGTAGATGATAAGAACCTCTACAATAACGCCGACAACTCCCACCTCACCCCACCGAACGACTTCTCTATAAAACTGCCCACCACGCCAAGTTTGTCTGAGTCAGCAGCGCTAACAACATCCAGACCTGGCTCGCCGGGCCAGACCAGGTTGAAGGGATCATATTTTGCACAGAGGGGAAGCGGTTGAAATATTTTCCACTCCTTCCCCAGCCCTGGCCCGCAAACGAGGTGGTAAGTAAGGGAGGGGGGAGGCGGAGGAATCTCTTTCCCCGAAGCAGTTTGGAAGTGGTCGCGTGGGCAGATTGGATAGAAGGGAGCGAAAATAAGGAAAGGAACAGATGTATGCTGCGAGAGATAATCGGGAGTTCTCTTTTTCCTTTTTCCTTTCTTTCTTGGCTTCCCCATCCCGCCGTTGAAATTATTTTAAAAATTTCACATTTCTATGCAAGACGACCTGTGATTCAGGTTATTTCTATTTTTATTTTTACTTTTTTGCTCATAAGATTGGGATGAAGGGGCGTTTATACCACTTACTACTATCTACTGCACATCTTGTGTTTTCCGATTGTTTTGGAATCTCTTCTATTTATTCCTCACCTTTTTAATCTTTCTATGTTACTGGGTAACAATTCGCATGGCAGACACCTTCTGATGACACGCTGGTCCATTCTTCTTTCCATAGGTTTTTATTTATTCTGGTATGGGGATGGCGGAGGAGCATTTCTTGATTTGAACTTTTGTGACCGGTAAAGAAACAACATTTGAGCTACTTTGCTCTTCCTGGGCGAGGCTGTCTTCTCCTTTCTATTTATTTTAATCCCTTTCTATTTCTGTTCCTTTCATCTTTATTGCTTCCACTCGTTACCTGAGTGGTTGGTTTTCACAGCGGGAATGAAGTTGACACGGGAAATGCGACTACTTATGCATTGGAGGCCACATTGAATGCTCAATTGGGGATCATTAAGGCGTATTAGAAATTTAGGTAAGTTGGCTGATTTTCTTGCCTTCCCTTTGTATTTCCTATCATTGTGTTTCTTTTTGCTATCTCCAGAGCCTTGTACTAATACTAACAGGCTAGTTGATATGCACATACATGTACGGAGTACCTTCCATAGGTATACTTGTACTGATAGGGTGGACCAGTGTGACCGGTCACGTGACCATGAGTCCCCTTTCCACCTTAACTTTATTCTAACCTCAATTTATTTTTTAGATCTTAATTCAACGGCATGTCATGGTGGAATTTGTCTCAATTTACCATTTCCTCCTATTTCCAGTACATCGTGGTTAGAATGAATGCTGTGGTGGAATGAGGTTTTCGCTTCAGATTTCATGCTAATTGTATCCAGACGGAGGTGACTCCTGTGATTGACGCTGAGATGCCCCCGTTCTTTGCAATGGTTCCTAAATGAATTAATGGTGCAGACGACCATCTCGCTTTTCTCCCTTGCTATACTGTTCATATTCATATGTGGCGTCGTTTTCTACGCTCTCTAGATTGGCTCAATCTTCGTTTCCCAAGTGACCTGAAAAATAGGGGTTTGATCTAAACCATGGATGACTCGAAGAGAGACACTACAAGTTTCCGTCGTCTTATAAGTGCTTTCAAAAGCCCCGCTGCTTCAGCCTCTTCTTCATCATCTATATCTTCCCCTTCCCCTTCCTCTGGCCCCTCTTTCAAACCCTTTACTGTTCCCCTGCCAAATCCGAGATGGAAGAGGCAACAGGCTCAGTCGACCAGGCCCAGGTATAATGTCAATACCAGAGATATTGCTTCTACTACGGTTAGCTCTCAATTATTTTCAAGGCGCCCTCGGCAGGAAACACGGCCTCTGGGCATTTCGATTGTGCCAGAGCTGGGTTTGGATGACCAGAATCAAGATTTGAAGCTGGATGCCTTTGGTTTGCAATCCCTACTTCCCCTTCCTCATCTTCTTTCAATGCTGCTTTTTAATACTTATGCACTGCGGCGGTGATGACTAAATCATGGTACCTATTGAAGATCGGGAGCTATTAGCTCAATTGGAAAATGACAATGAACAGCATCAGAATGGCGCCGAAACCTATGAGCAGGGTGAAGAATCGGTTGATTTATATGGCCCCACCTTAGGTCTATCGCGGGCGCAAAATCGATCGAAATTTTTTCAGCGCAGTAGGGATCTCTTTCTTTCATCGCCGTCTTGAGATATTTCTGCGATGATAGGAGTGAGCTCATCTGCAATCTTTACTAACTGTCTAGATGCAACTGCGATGGATACTCCTATTCGCGACCGCATCTCTAGTTCGATTGATGTTGGACCTTTTTCTAGCCCATCTCTTGCGGTAAATGCGCGAAAAAGACCACCTCTATTCATCCAGGATGATGTCCAAAATGATTGCCAAGCACCTAATCAGCCCCTTTTCTCATCCAATACAACTTCCTCTCAAGGGTCATTGACACAACGTGGCCTTTCGCCCTCGCCTCTTAAAGCTAGGGGAATCCAATTGGATCATGCACCGCCCATGATACAAGGAATCCAACTTGTATCTACGCATGAGTTGCCGGATCGCTTCCGTTCGGTTTTCCCTTTCCCAGTTTTTAATGCTATACAGTCTAAATGCTTTCGTCCCATCTACCAAGGAGACAGCAATTTTGTCCTCTCGGCCCCAACTGGAAGTGGCAAAACCGCAGTTATGGAACTGGCTATCTGCCGACTTGTGACAAATTTCAAGGACTGCCGGTTCAAGGTAGTTTACCAGGCGCCCACCAAGTCTCTATGCTCAGAGAGGTACCGTGACTGGCAACACAAGTTCTCTTCCTTGGACCTCCAATGTGCGGAACTTACTGGTGATACTGACCATGCACGGTTACGTAATGTACAAAATGCCAATATCATCATTACAACTCCTGAAAAATGGGATAGCATGACACGGAAATGGAAGGACCATATCAAACTAATACAACTCGTAAAGCTGTTTCTTATTGATGAAGTGCATATTCTGAAGGAAACTAGGGGAGCCACACTGGAAGCTGTGGTATCACGAATGAAATCTGTCGACTCCAATGTCCGATTCGTTGCACTCAGTGCCACTGTCCCAAACTCTGAGGATATCGGGGCTTGGCTGGGCAAGGATCCTACTAACCAGCATCTACCTGCTTATCGTGAAAGGTTTGGCGAAGAATTTCGGCCCGTGAAACTGCAGAAGTTTGTGTATGGCTATCATAGCAACGGCAATGATTTTGCCTTTGATAAAGCCTGTGAGGCGAGGTAAGGAGATAGCCTTTGGTTTTTGTTGCTGTTTTTTTTTTTTTTTTTTTTTTTTTTTTTTTTTTTTTGCTTCAATGACTGATCTGAGGCTCTAGACTTCCCGAAGTCTTGGAGAAACATTCAAAAAAGAAACCGACCATGATATTTTGTTGTACTCGAAACTCTGCGATCGCGACTTCAAAATACTTGGCCAAGCTATGGACATCAACGAATCCACCTAATCGCCTATGGAACGGGCCAGCCAGACCTGTTGCAGTTCAAAATCCTGAATTGAGAGGTATGTAAAGTACATTTTCCTTCCCTTGTTAATTGATATCTCTGAGGTGATTTAACTGATATTCTGAGATATCCAAGCAACCATTTCCGCTGGTGTGGCATTTCACCACGCTGGCCTCGATGCCTGTGACCGCCATGCTGTCGAAAACGGGTTCCTCTCTGGACAAATCAATGTGATTTGCTGTACGTCGACATTGGCAGTGGGCGTAAACCTTCCCTGTTATCTTGTGATTATAAAAAACACAGTTTCATGGCAAGATAATTGCTGCAAAGAGTATCCGGATCTCGAAATGATGCAGATGCTTGGACGGGCAGGAAGACCTCAGTTCGACGACAGTGCAGTTGCTGTTATTTTAACAAGGAAGGAAAGGTTAGATTACTATGAGAAGCTTGTTGCTGGAACGGAGCCTCTAGAAAGCTGCTTACATCTAAAGCTGATCGATCATCTGAATTCGGAAATTGGCCTTGGAACAGTTACGGATGTTGAGTCTGCTACGAGATGGCTTGCAGGGACGTTTTTCTTCATTCGTCTCCGGAAGAACCCTGCTCACTATAAGTTGAAAGAGGGCGCAAATAGGTCAGACGAAGAGGAGATGCTGAAGGAAATCTGCGAGGAGAATATCAGGCGGCTGCAAGAATGTTCACTTATCACTTCGGAGGAGCCTTTGAGATCGACAGAATTTGGAGACGCGATGGCTAGGTATTACATCAAGTTCGAAACCATGAGGTTATTCCTCTCCTTGCCACCCAAGGCGAAGATGTCTGAAATTGTAAGTCGAGTAATTCTATACTCTATTCTAATCTCACATTCTAATCAAATTTAATTGGGTAGCTCTCTGTCATCGCACGGGCCGATGAGTTTAGCGAGATTCGATTAAAAGCTGGAGAAAAGTCGTTATACAAAGAGCTAAATAAGGGAAACGGCATCAAGTTCCCTATTAAAATTGACATTGCCCTCCCCGCGCATAAAGTATCTCTACTTATTCAGTCCGAGCTGGGCGGCGTCGAAATCCCCACTGGCGACCAGTATCAAAAGCACAAGTTATCGTTTCAGCAAGACAAGGGATTGGTATTCTCCCACGCAAACCGGCTTATTCGATGCATAACTGATTGCCAACTATCCCTTCAAGACTCGGTGAGCACGAGACATGCCCTTGAGCTTGCTCGGGGTATTGGCGCCAGGGTCTGGGACAACTCCGCATTGCAGATGAAACAGATCGAGCAAATCGGCATCGTGGCTGTCAGGAAACTTGCTAATGCTGGTATCAGCAGTATTGAGGCTCTCGAGGCAACGGAGGCATCTCGGATAGATATGTTGTTGAGCAAGAATCCGCCTTTTGGCTCGAGAATTTTGGCTCGTGTTGCAGAATTTCCGAAGCCTAGGGTTTCTGTCAAATTAGTGGAGAAGGTAAGGGTTTTTGTTTCTGCTTTGGACAAGGGAAGAAGTATATATTCGAAGTATATATTCGTACATACTAATAGTTACGAGTAAGGATGTCAAACCTAGGAAATCTGTACGGCTATGCTTCAAAGCAGAGATCGGATTTATTAACGAAAAGCTCCCCACAATTTTCCGCCGGAAGCCCATTTATGTCTGTTTCCTTGCAGAGACGTCGGATGGACGATTGATAGATTTCAGGCGTATTAGGTGCAGCCTCACAAAATCCGTGTTCACAAAGGCACGCATTCTCAGTACCGTAGCTAACTGATCTATGAAAAGTGCAACCAAATTACAGAACGGCCATGATGTCTTGCTGAGCGCTGAATTGACTGACGTTTATCAGTATATATCATGCTTCATTATGTGTGATGACATTGGTACGATAGCCGCCAGGTTATTTTCGTTCCTTCCATCTTTTAACACTTACTAACTATATTCAGCGGGAACACTTCGTCAAGCGGAGCTTAGGCATGATATTCCAGCCTCACAATTCCCAACGAAGCGAACAGAAACTCCCCATGGTAAAAACGATTTGAATGCCACGATGAACACATCAAGGAGGGGCAGTAGTGATATCACCAAAAAGGGGCCAAAAAGCCGGAGAGATATTGATGAGTTCGAGGATGACGGTCTCGATGATACGGATCTGATCGCAGCAGGTATGGGCCTGATAAGTGGGGCACAATGATTTCTTTGACTCTGACCGTGCGACATATAGCTGAGGATATGGATTACCACTCAATTGATGAGTCGGACGGAAACAGCGATCCCGTTCATGCATTAATTTCAACCCGGGAAACAGCATCTAGCCGCGACATCAAGGAATCACACACCAACAAGTCAGTGGAGCCGGTTCGACTTGGAAATGGGAATTGGGCTTGTAACCATCGCTGTAAGGATAAAACTAAGTATGTCTCACTACTTATACATGCTATACATGCACGATCTGCAACCAGCCTATCCTGACGAAATCTAGGTGTAAGCACTTATGTTGTCGGGATGGAATCGACCGACCGCCAAAACCGAGCAAGAAACAAGAGTTTACATCCAATACTCTAACGAAGGCAACTACTACTTCGAAAGCATCTCGGGATATATCTGAGTGGACAAGGACTCAAGGGCTTTCAAAACAGCAGAACAGAAATAACAAGCAAAAGTGGGATGTTGAAATTGTTGACCTGTGCGATGATAGCGATATAAATACCAGACCTAACACAGCCGCCCCGACCATCTGTTCTAAAAAAGGCACAAGCGCCCAAAGGCAGAGTTGTATCGAAGATAGTGTAGGAAAAGCGGCGTTAAAATTCAAAAAGTTTTCTCCCACGTCATATCCGCTCTCTAAGCAGAGCCCACTAAGCCTACCGTTCCTCGATGAGGACGAATTTCGCGAACCGAACACTCCGTTCGGAAAAAGAGGATATTCTAGTGATTATAGAAATTCCTTGGAAGATGATCTTCCGTCTCCTAATACCTTGTTGCTGTCATGCCTGAAGAAGGGGAAGGAAGAAGACAACGCGGATTTTTACGTCCTTGAAGATAATGAGGAGGCGCCATTCCATGCGCTAGATGATGGAGACTGTGGTGGTAAAACCATTTCTCCTCTGGCTCTGATGAAAACTGATAGCACGACACATCTTCCGGATGATATCAGTGATAAACGTGCGTCGAGCCCAGAGAAGTCCTCGACCACAAATGATTCCCTTCTATCGCCATCGGCGACGAAGCCAGCAACGGTCAGAACAAACGACTCTCCTGCGACTGATGGCACACTTAATACCATTTTGTTCCCATTACCTGACCCCAATTCTGTCGTACTCCATGTCGAAGGCTCTGATCCAGACGATTTAATATTCGTCAATGATCATACTTTCTACAACAAGGAATATGACTTCCAGTCATTGTCACATGCAAAACGCCCGTACAATACAGCAGTTGGCAGTGGCTACATGGCTAATGATGATGATTATGGCAATGATATCGAAAATCCTAAATCGAATAAAATATGCAGGTATGAGTCTGCAGACACCGGCACTGCGGTTATTTCGCCTCCTCTCAGCACAGCCGTCAATTTCGACCATCTTCCCACTAGGTGTGAGAAATCTACCATAGGTAATAAGGAAGAGAGTCAGAGGACGACACAAGGTGATGGTACCACCGGTTGGGAAGGGGTCGATATATCGCTCCTCGAAGAGTTTAAAGACGTTGTGGAGTTCTTTTAAGCGCTGAGGGAGGGCAGTAGGGTGTTTTATTTCATTATTGTGGAGGCAAAGCAAATGGAGAGAAAAATGCGGAGGGGTTGTTGGTGCTTAGCATGGAATAGGAACTTTTTTTCTTTCCTTTTTTTGCTATTTGATCAGATGTTATGAGGGAAGATACGATACGAGATTGTGTGGAAGGGCATCCTTATACAGTCATTTCCTTTTGTGTTGTTCTTTATTCGTCATCACTTATTATATAGAACAGGATTTTTTCTTCAATGGGTACTACGATGCTAAATAATCTCGATCAATTCGTTTTAGCATCACAATATATTCTAGGATGGAATGGGGGTGCGTGGATCTTTAAATGACAATATTTTATTTAAACCCTGCATATTTTGATATTTAACATGGGACAGATTGATTCTAGTAATTTCATGTAGATTTTATTAACCCCCAGTTTTATGAACTATAAATTCTTTAACTGATTGTCACTTGTTGGGAGATGGGGTTGATGAATTGAAAAGCACAAGGACCAAACTCATGGTTAAAATGAACAATGCATCCAGTCAGAATGCCCTGTGTTGATGATATTGCGTGTGATGGGCAGCGGCGAATAATAAACAAAGACATGACAACCTGTAGTGACATAAATGTTGCAAGAGAGTTTGCACATAATTATTTCGCCTTTATTCCATACAGCTCCATGCCTTTCTCATGGCACTTTCTTTCCTTTGGTGATCTCAATCCCAGGTCTATTTATTCAACTGCTGCATGGCTCGCACACTTGCATGACTTTCTCGTACCATTATCCAGGATTTGACAGGAAGAGCGCGCCTAGAAAGATTGACGAAAGAGGATCGAGGTAAACAAAATTTCATCGGTAGGTAAAGTGGTCATGACAGTCCTTGTTACGTTTGTACGAGAAAGACCATAACTTGTCTGTCCCTGAGAAGGAAACAAGGAGGCTGCGTACATAAGACTCCAAGAGTATCGATTTCACAAGCCAGAGATGCTGATCCTCATTTCCGTACAGACAACAGTAGGGAAGAAATCGTTCGTGGAGCACAGCTAAATACGATGGTGAAGCTGAACTATACAGGAGTGAGCAAAGCAATCTATATCGGATTTTGCATTTTACAAGGATGGGTACTGATAGCTGAAACACGAAACAGCGGAAAGTCCAGGGCTTGAAGGCTGGACAGGCAGTGTCGAAAGATCTTGTATAATACTCCTATTTCTGCCAAAAGCTGGTTTAGAAAAATGCAACTGGACAGATGCCTAATATATGAATAATAGAGAAAAAGGATCCCTCCTGGACTCGGGTCAAGGGCTGCGGCCAGAGATCCTCACGTTGAAATCGATCTGACAGGAAAAGAACTCACTGATGAGGGATTTGCTGCCTTCATTGACGATCTTATAACCTGTATTCAGTATCGCGACAAGCAGCACCCCGATGGAATTGTCCGGTTGACTGAGCTTGTGCTCAAGGGAAATGCGTTGACTGTGGCTTCCATGAGGAAGCTGGGCCAAGTTGTTGCACTCAGCAGTGACTGCTTAGCACAGCTGGACATATCAGATAATCAAATTTCTGTTTCTTTTCGGGAAGAGAGGGAGTCCTGGCAGGCTTTCTTGGAGTCATTTCAAGGATGTTATGTGCTGAGGAAGGTTGATTTCAGCAACAATCCTCTCGGGGGAGCGGGATTTGATGTGCTTGCTAGAGTATATGCGCACAGTGATTTGGATTTTATCGAACCTCTGGCCAATAGGACTTCGCAGAATCAGGCCGATCCTGATGCAGTTGACGCCCTCAGGAAAGCGGTGGATGTCGTCGTACTTGGAGAAGAGAAGGAGAACAGGAAGCCGCCAAGCCAAGCTGCGAATATAGAAAAAGGACATGAGGTCCACCAAGGTACGACACCAGCGCATTCTGTTAACTTCAACGAGCTAATAATGAGTTCAAGATTCATCGAAAGCCTGGGGTTCTCAGGTTGATTGGCACGGAGCCCAGCCAACAGACAATCTGAATTATAGGAGCACGAGAGGCCTTCGATCGGTGCCATATCTAATTTTCTCGAATTGCTGCACGACAAATGCGTGTGCGTTTCACTTATGGGTTATCATCCTTTCGCACCGCCGGCCTGATATGCTCCTGGAGTTCCTCCCGCCCGGTAAATCGGTGATACCAGCAGAGCAGACTAACCCAGTGAATGGCATTGTATACACACCTAATGAAAAATTAAGTGAACTCGGAAGAAGACTACTTGAACTGGGAAACGAGTATCGTGTGCAAGAATCCGACACTGACGCAGAAGAAACAGAAGCCCAAGGCTTCGACAGCGAATTTAGAGAGTCCGATATCGCAAAGTATAGGGAGCTACGCAAAAAACACGAGATCGAAATGGAACGAGTGAAGAATCGCTTGCTTCTGGACATTTTTAGGACCGACGGTCCAGCAATTGCTGATATTTGGAGCATAGCATTCAAAATGATGAGGGTTGCCCGTGCAATCTTGCTCAACGATGGCACTAAGCTGAAACCGTCTGTTACCCTCGAGGATAAGAAACTAATGGAACCGTGCCTGACAAATGAAAATCTGACAAGCGACGATCCAATAAACCAACACCCGAAAATTGAAAACCCGAAAAATGGCTGTTGGAATCGGAACCCATCCGCGCAACGAAGCGAAAGTTTCCTAGAAGATTTCCCGACTATTCAAGAATCACTGGAAGGATATAGCCGAGAGGGATTGGCTCCAACCCGGGAAGAAACTCTTCGACAAGATGTAGGAAACTCGACGAGTCGCAAGATTCCTAGGAGTCGCAAAGATTCAATGGCTGGGGCCAAGAAGCAACCCGCAAAGGCTGAAGACAAGTTTGATATTGGTAGATTTGGCTTGCCAATGGACATATGGAGGAGGGTCATTGCGGACGCTATGGGCGGTTCTGAGTTATTGACAGTGGAACAGCAGATGAGAGTGCTTCGGTACGCATCTGACTGGGATGCAATCAAGCAGGAACTGCGAATTAGCGGGGGCACAGAGTTTGAACAGATATGGAAGATCTTGAGTTCGATGAGATGTTTGAGCTACACCCATCATTGACACATAAACACCAGTCATAAACGAACTCAATTCAACTCCAGGTGGGAAGGCAAGGTTTTCGGATTTGGGTGAATGAATACAAGTACTACTAGTGCTTAATGACACATAAGCGGGGGAATAACTCCCAAAGAGATAGTAATTATGGATATCCAAGCGGAAATAATAGCAATACATGTAGTAGTAAATGGCAAACATTTGGTTGATGACGGCGCGGTAAGGTCAGAGGTCAAAATTGCCGTTTCGGGCGGCGTCTCCGAATCCACGTGATTTTGCCGACTGATAGACGCCCTGATCCCTTTCAATAATCGATAATAATCAATAATTCTACATTTCCCAACATTGCATTTCCCAATTTTGGGCTGGAGATTGGGGATATTTCATGTACACTTGCTAAACCGAAAGGCAGGTTGATGATTTGTGTATACGTTTAAGCCGCGCATACTAGTATGGCCAGAACAAAAAGCGGCTCAGGAGCGAAAGCCCAGCCCGCCCTCGAAGATCCCACAGTTGCGCCTTCGACCTTCAACGACGGACTTCCTTTGCCGAAACTTTTCGTTTTCGACCTAGATTATACATTATGGCCATTTTGGGTCGACACCCATGTTAGTCCTCCTCTTAAAGCAAAGGACAATAACTCGCGATGCGTTGACAGGTATGGCCTTCTCTATGTCGCTTTCCCGGCCCCAGTATCCCGCTCGTGTCACAGATTGAACGTGACTTACCTGTAGTAGGTAATGACTGATCGCATCTTACCGGCGACTGACTTCTGATTTGTTTGATTCTGGGTTTGTTACAGGTGGGGTGAATCTTTCGCATTTTACCCCGCCGTATCCTCTATCTTGCATGCGTGTCGTTCGCGATCCATACCCATAGGGATTGCGTCGAGAACGTACGCTCCAGACATTGCTCGAGATATGCTTAAAACATTACATATCATACCATCGTTCTCGGATAACCCCACGGCAGCCAATAATCGCTCTGTCCGTGCTCTGGATTATTTTGACTATGTTCAGATTTTCCCCGGCGATAAGTCGCAACATTTCTCGCGAATACACCAAGCAAGTGGAATACGATATGAAGATATGTTGTTTTTTGACGATGAAGCAAGGAATAGAAATGTGCAGACGGAATTGGGAGTTTCGTTTTGCCTGGTGAGAGATGGGATGACACGTGAAGAGGTGGATCGTGGAGTCTGGGACTGGAGAAAAAAGTTGAACATTCAGGCTGGGGATAAAGACCAAGAAGTAGAAGTCGAATAGGGGAAGCTATTTGGCGATTGTATATAGTTTCATGATGATATATTTTTGATATCCGATTTGGTATCTGGTAAATGTAAATGCTCGTCTGGTATTTGTTTTCTTCATATTTTTCATATAAATCCCCACCTTATAAAGTATTTACATTTAATAAATATAATAGCACTACAAGTACTTGGTAATATCTCGAACTTTTATGAAAACGTGGCAGTTGCGAAGTTTCTATTCTGACTTCGCCGTCCATAAGATGCGGTTCCATGCTTATCGATAAGACATCCTTAACTACCCCAAACCTACTGACTACGGTTGTCCTCCCCGCATCTTTCGCACCTTAAATCAACATCTTGTTGTCAACCTACGAACAATTATACAACAACAAGAATGTCCGCGAACCAAGCCCACAGACACTCTTCCTCCCGCCATTCATCCTCACAAAAACCTACTAGCCCAAGCTATAAACCGCCCTTAACAACACATCCTTCCGCAACTATCTCGGAATCAGTGAGCTTCCAGGGCACCCATCCCATTTCTATCGGTGCAGGCACCGTCATACACCCGCGAACCAAATTCATCTCCTTCGAAGGGCCCATTAAAATCGGAAGTGGTTGCATTATAGGTGAAAAATCCATAATTGGTGGCCCTCAAACTTCTCCAACCCCCTTGACACCAACAACACGATCAATAGACACGACAACTTCTATAACACCTACAGCAACAACCATAGTCACTGTTGTGGAAAATTCTGTTCTTATCGGTCCCCTTGTTACCATTAGTGCTGGCACCCACATTTCCTCTGCTGCAACAGTCGACACTGCTGCCATCCTGGGCCAGCGCGTGCGTGTCGGTCAACACGCGAAGGTTTGTCCCGGTTGCTGCATTCCGGACGATGGCGTGGTTGACGCTTGGGTTGTGATATGGGGTGGTACTGGTAGTGGGAATAGGTTGCAGAGACGGAAAAGAGCGAATGGGCAACAACAGCAGCATGGCGATGAAGCGGTGCCTTGGTTCGGGTTAGGGGGAACGGTTGTGGAAAAGGGCCGGCTGGCAGTCCTGGAGAAAGAGAGGGAAGGGTTGACTAATCTGATTGGAGCAGTGAACATTGGTGGCGGAGCGAGGAGGAAGTGAGCTTGTAATTTTTATTGGTGTAGGCATTTTTTACTTTTGATTCTTTGGAGAGCGTACGATGATTCTCGCTTCGACTTTGCTCTGCGATTTAGCGACCTGATACCCTCGAGAATACCACTGTTTCTTCTGCACTTTGAACAATACTACAGCTAGAGGATGGGGATAAAGGAATCCAAGAAGGCTCATGAACATGCTTTTTGATCCGAATAGTGTACATACACAACAAAGTAGATATGGACAGAAATTTCGTCTGATTTATTCCTCACTCCGCAAGCGCAGATCAAGAAGAACCAAAAAGAGTATTAAACACAAGACAAAACGCTGGTGTAGAACTTATAGTGATAGGGAAAAAAACAGGAGAGGAAAAAAAAAAACAAAGAACGATCCCAGGTTTTAAAAAAGACATAACCCCTGAAGAAAAAAAAAGGAATGATATGCATACAAAGGAAAATCAATGATTTTTAGGATGAAACAAGGTATAACGTATCCACAGGCTTAGGATCCGGCACCGCCTCCGCGAATTCTCTTCCCGCTTCCGCTATCACTACCTTCCCCGCCATCATCTCTGGCTCGCTTGTTGCCCTGAGGAATGAACTGACGAGCGTGGGCATTGAGTGCACCACGGCCTCCTCTGGGACTGGGTTGGCTTTGTCCCTGGGGTAGATTGCTGGTCTGAACATTTTGAGCGCCACCACGACCCTGACCACCGCGGCCCCGAGCGCCGCCACGGGGTAAACCAGAGCCTCGACCTATGGCTTGTTGCTGTTGAGGTGGTTGACCTTGACCTTGCTGCTCGGTAGCTTGAGGGCCGAACGGATTATGTGGTTGGCTGGATGGCCCTCCCCGTCCTCTACCACCTCGAGCAATCGGTAACCCAGATTGGAGAGCACGAAGTACGCCCGGACCAGTGCCAATTGCTGGATGATGATTGCTCTGCGGAGGCCTGTTAGGGAGAGACGACGTAGCCTGGGACTGGTTGAGTTGTTGAGCGGGAGATGGTTGATTAGATGTACCTGGCTGCGAATGTTGTTGTTGCTGCTGTTCCGGCTGCTGTTGCTGTGCTGGCTGCTGTTGCTGTGCTGGCTGCTGCTGCTGTTGAGAGGCTTGTGCAGGAGCCACCTGCGTGGGTTTCGGGCTTCCAACAGTAGGTGCACGTTGAGCAGGGGCAGGAGATGGAGACGGTTGTGGTTGAGCTAGTTGAGGTTGCATCCGCGTTTGCGAATGAGCAGTTGGTGTCTGTGGGGTCGGGCTTGGAGGGTGAGCCGGAGATTCGGTTCGTGTTGGTTTTAGAGCTGGTGATTGGATTTGTTGCGGTTGGATTTGAGCAACTGGTGGTGGTTGGGCTGCCACAGCTACCGGCGCTGGTCGCGTAACCTTAGCAATCTCCCAAACTTCAACAACAGGTCTTTGTGGCGTTTCAACGGCGGCCTTCTGCAGGACTTCAAGTTTTGCCTGCGCATTTCTCGCGCGTCCCTCCGTCATGCTAAGTTTCGCCAACAACTTTTTCTCTGCCAGCTCAACAGCAGAGCCAATCTTCTGGTCTCGTTCTTTAATAATTGCGTCCCTTTCTTCACTGAACTTTTTCTCTAGCTCCTTAATGGCGTCTGCATCTGGTGTCGCTGCAATCTGTACCTCTTTGTTCGCCATGGCCGCTCTTTCTTTTGTGACCGCATTCTTGATGTTGTTTCGAACGATAGCCCTGATCGTCTCGTTTTTAGCAACAAGCTCCCTTGCCTGAGCATCAGTAAGATCAGGAACGCCGTCTGGTTTAGCAGCCGATGAAACAGCAGATTCGAGTTCTTGTTGGTGGCTCGCTTTCAGCTTTTCAACTTCTTCTTTGTGAAGTGTTTTGTACTCAGCAAGTTTGTTATTCAGCGTCTCCTTCATTTTATCAACCCGCTCCTTGACCTTTTGATCAATTGTCGCTTCCTTTTCAGCAAGCGCAGCCTCTAGTCTTTGGATTTTTTCTTCAAGGGCTTTAATTTTCTCAACGTTGGCAGAATCATTCGTTGGGGGCATTATTGGCTGCGCAGCAGGCGGCTGTTGCGCATCCGTTACGTTTTGGCTTACGGCGATGGGAGCGGGGACAGGAGCGGGTACCCCATCATCTGCTGGTAACTTCGCCTTTAGCGCATTGAGTTCTTCCTTTGTGCGGTCCAATTCGAGTTGGATAACTTCCTTTTCCTGAATTGCTGTATTTAACTCCACTTGCTTGGCTTGAATTCGAGAAGATAGCTCCTTCGATCTCGCTTTAAATTGGTCTGTGAGGGTTGAGCGCATGGTTTGAATTCGTTCCTCTCCCTGCTTGACCTGGGTTGACAATGTTGTTACCTGCGCCTGATGTTCATCTCTAGCGGAAACAGCTTCGTTGCGCTCCTTTTCTAATGCAGCAAGCTTCTCTTTGAGCGCCTCCATTTCCACAGGATCGACACGATCATATTTTTGCAGAATATTTTGAGTCCGTTGCTGCCATCTGTCCCTATCTTCCTGTAGCAGTTTAAACTCTCCGTCCTTCGTTTCCACAATGTTTTCTAATTCGCGGATACGAGTTTCTAGTGGACCAATGCGTTGAGTTAGTTCTTCTACACGAGCAGACTTCTCTGCTAGAGCAGCTTCCGCTTGTTTTGCTTGATTCCTGAGGGTGACACTACTCTCCCGGAAGAGATTTAGTTCATTGAGGGTATCCATTAGCTTTTTGTGGTTCAGCATATTATGTTCAGAATCAGCTTCCGCACGACGCTGTTGTTCAAGCTTAAGACGGGTATCATCAAGTTGAGATTGTGCGTAGTCGAGCTGCTGGCGGAGGCGTTTGGCCTCCTGCGTTGACAAATGATATTGGACATCAACAATTTCTTTTTCCCTTCTCAGGAATTTGATAACCTCCTGTAGTCCTTCTAGGCTAGATGAGGACGACCCAGTCTCATCGGCTTCTTCTGGCATACTCTCCTTATCGCGCTGTAGAGTTGAAATTTGCCGGGTAATGTTTTCAAGCTGCTGATGAAGCAGAGTATTTTGATTTGCGACCTCCTCGCGACGTCTATTAAGCTCCGTTATTTCTCTTTCGTATCTACCCTTCATTTCATTCCAGTTTTCCTCCTCTCTTAGAAGGTTGTTTTTGGCGGATTCGGCTTGGGTTCTTAAGTCGACTACCTCAAGTTTAAGCTCGCTAGCTTCGGCTCTAACCATCTGGAGATTTTTGGCTGCTTCGGCATGTTTCACAAGCTCATTTTCGTAATTTTGTTGAGCATGCTGGGCAATTTCTGCTTGTGCTTTAAGGTCTTGTTGATGGTACTGAGCGGCTGCAGCGTATCGCTCGTCTTGCTCCTTGAGCCTAGAAATTTCGGCCTCCAGCATTGACTTTTGGTCGTCAAACCGGCGTTGGGAGTCAGCTTCCTGGTCACGAAGTTTCGATAATTCATCATTAGTCATAGCAAGTTCTGATGTAATTTCTTCGACACGCTTTTGCAATTCGGATATTTCCCCATCTTTCTCTTCAAGCAAGCGATTAGTATCTTCTTGGTATTGTTCATTTGTATCAGTAACGGACTGGAGACGCTCCTCAGTGGATTGGCTGATGGCCTTATAATCCTCCACCTGTTCCTTCGCGTGTTCGAGTTCAGATTTTGCCAACTCAAGATCCCGCTTTAATTCGGAAACTTCAAAGGCCAACTCTTGCTCTCGGCTTAGCCCACCCTCATCCGCTGCTGCGTTGGGTTCGGTATCGGGAGGAGCGGGAGGAGCAGCGGCAGTCGCGACGATAGGTTTCCGTTGCAAAACTTCCAATCTTTCTTCCGCACTCTTAAGCTCCACCGATAGCTCGTCAACTCTTGACTGCAAATGGTCACGAGTGGATTTTGTGTTGATGAGCTCCTCACGAACTGCGCTAAGGCTGGTAACCAAATCGTCAATTCTCTTTTGATTTTGGCTATTTTCGTACTCCCTCCGTAGCGTTGATTTCTTAGCTTCCTCCATTTCCTCGTTGAGTTTTCGCTTGGTGGTTTGTAATTCGGATTCTAAATTCTCAACGGTTGACTGAAGGCGTCGGCGACTTTCCGATTCTAAGTGCTCCCGTTCATTCAACATGGATTGGAGGTTGGCATTAAGAGAGTCGAGACGAGCACGTTCGTTGAGCAGGGACTCATTGTCCTCCATCAATCGCTTCTCAATTTTTTTCCAGAGCTCCTTCTCCGCTTTTAGGTTTTCCGTTTCTCGTCGCTGACTATCAACAAGCCCCCTTGCCTCCACCAGGTCCTCTGCAACTTGTTGAGTCCTTAAGTCTTGTTTGTTCGCATTTTCCATGAGAATAGCGTGCCGTTTCTGAAGCTCAACATTTTCTCCCTTAAGTAAATTGAAGTTGGACTGAAGAAGCTCGGCGCGTTGCACAGCAGCGGCCAATTGGCTATTCGAACGACTGATTTCACTTTGTAACTCACTATTTTTCCTCGTAAGATCGTTGACTTGCTGTTTCAGAGAGGAATGGTCCGTTGCTGTTTCTTGCCGGAATGAATCAAAGTTAGCTTGCAATTTTCGTAAAAGTTCGGTATAGTCTGGACTTTCTTGGGATTGCGCGACGGCATCGCCAGTAGCAATCGGGGCGACTGCGCCCAAAGGCAGAGACTGTGAGAAGGGATTCGTAGATTCCCCTGTTTCTCGGCGACGTGTAAGCATGCTGCGGAACGTGTCTCTTTCTTTGATGTAACTCTTTGTTTGGGCGATAAGGTTTGCCATTTCATCCCGATATGTTTGTACCCTAACACGTAACTCCTTCAGTTCCTCTTGATCCTTCTGGTAAGATTCACTCTTCCGACGAGCCTCCTCTCCCTCCATCTTATCACCAAGATCCCGGAGCATCCTCCGTAGCGTGACATTTTGCTGTTGGAGTTCGTTCACATTTTTGAATGTCGTTAAGTGGAGAGTGATAAAACGGCCAGTTTCGTTCAAGTCCTGTGATGAATCGTCCATTTCACCCTGGGCAATCTTCTCTAGCTCTGCCCTGTCATAACCCTTTTCGCCTGATCCAAGTAAATGTACTTCCATAACCAAGACCTTAACCTGACAACTCAAATCCCTCAACTGCTGTCTCAATATCTGTCCTTCGCGTTCCAATCCTTCCACCTGTCCCTGCCATTTGCGAGCTTCCCTCGTTGCATCATCTCTTTCTTTCCCAGCCGTGTCCAATATGTTCGACATTTCTACGACAGCGGCCTCCAACCGTGAATGATCCGCGCGAAGCTCATCAATTTCAGGTTTGCTTGACTCGAGGTCCTGCACCATTTCATCCATAGTCGCTTTCAACTCCTGATTGTTTCGCTGCTCGGCAGCGAGAAGCGTCCGCATTTTATCATACTCGCTATACATTTGCGTCAGGGTTAAACTGCCTTTGGTACGCGATGTCCTGGGTGAGAATGAACCAACTGGGGTGCCTGGCCTGAGGGGCGTGGAAAGTCCGGCTCCATTAACCCCCAGTCCCGGGCTCATTGGCTGGTGTCGCGCAGCAGAAATTTCGGACTGTAGCTCCCTGACATTAAGTTCAAGCTCGGCAACACGACGTTCTGCGGCCTCCTTGTCAGAATGCTCAGTTTCAATCTCAGCTCGTAACCTAGAGATCTCTTCTGCGGCATCATCTCTCATCTTTTCTAACGCCAATTGGCATTCTTTTACGCGTCGCTTGGCAGTCTCGGCGGATGTCTGTTGCAATTGTGCTAGCCTACTTGAGCTATCAAGTTCGATTCGGAAAGATTCTGTGGCCTGAATGGCTTCTTCCTTGAGCTGTTGAATGGTGGAGAGTGAGTCTTCGTACTTCTGCTCAACCTCATCCAGACGGGATTTGAGATTGTTTTCGCTGCGTCTTAAGGCATCAATATTAGAGTTGGCATCCTCGTTTAGCCGTTGCAGCTCAGAAATGCGAGCGCTCTTTTCCTTCCGGAACTTCAGATACTCCCCGGATTTTGTTTTCAGCTCATTCTCGAACCATTCGTTATTTTTTTTCAGAAGTTCCAGCTCTTGTTGTAGGCTTTGTTCGCGGAAACGTGTACTTGAGGAGGCGGAGTTCGCAGCCTGCAACTTTTGCTCTAGGGTCGCGACCTCGCGCCGTAATTCGATTGTTTTCTTATGTTGAGTTGAAAGATCATCCGCTAACTTATCATACGCATTGGATTTGGACTCTAGTAGTGCAAGAGTATCGCGATTTGAAGTTTCTAGCGAATCGATTCGAGATTTTAGACTACTAAATTCAGTTTCACTGGCACTTGTAGACGACCTCAGAGATGCGAGTTCAGATTCTAAGCTCGACCGCGAATTATCTATTTCAAATTTGTCAGTAGATTAATAACAGAATAATGCATATCATTAAATATTACCTGATTCTTGAAGCTTGCCGCGAAGACTGGCGATTTCCGCTAAGCCTTTTTCGACAGAGTTTTTGAGAACTTTCACTTTTGATTCACCACTGCGAACAGCATTTTCGAGCTCAACGTCCAGCCGTAGTTTATCAGACTTCAGTTCCTCTGCCTCACGAGCCTTGGTGGAGATGCTTTCCAGGAGCTGGTTGACTAGTTCGACTGTCGGATTTTGCGACAGCGTGTTGAGAGAGGCTTCGGGGATGGAGTAATGGGAAGAGAGGAAGGGAATATCGACCGCAACCGTAGCCATGGCTGCGACCAAAGATCCAAGCTCGTACGGTTAAAAACTAGTTGCAGCAGGCCACAGATGATATTTTGTTGCTCTCTCAACGAGCCCGACGGGGAGCTAGCAGGATCAAAACAAATCGGGGTATGGGCGGTTGCTGGTGCTGCCTCAGCAAATTCAGTATAAGACACAGCGCCCATAAAACAGGATCGCCTTTATCTCATGGTAATTTAATTAGAGATGAGACCCGCAACTTGAATTAAAAAAGAAAAAGGAGATAAAAAAGACCTAGGCTGTACAGCTCTCTTCATCTGTTAGATGTTGCAGATATGAAGGATTGGGCTAAGAAAATAGTCACGGGGGCTGGTGACTGATTTTATAATCACGTGATATTTAAATTGGTCAGCACTTTTCGCCCTAGATAGAGCCTGGCCTGCTTCAAACCAGGAAAACATTCATCTTGGATGGATGGCACCAATTTGATCAGACAATACATTCAGGCCTACCATTTACTTCCTATCCATTCGCTCGCGTCGCACTTACGATTGTCAACTTTCAAACAATGTAGATGCGCCAGTCAGGACCTCAGCGTGTACTGAGCAGTAACTCACTCCGCCTCTCCAATTTTGTTTGCACTCCGGCACCGCATCATGTCCTACTTTCAGAATCAGATCAACCAGTTCAGCAGCAACGTTGTATCTGCTGCGAGTCGTCTCCCGCAAGACCGACGAACGGCCGGAGGTAATCTCGCTGCCGCCGGATCCTCCTCCGTTGCTACTTCTACCACTGCACAGGCAGTTAGATCGTCGTCTACGAACGCTGTCGCAAATGGTCGCCGACACGATGCGGATACCGTCTATTCTCAACCGGCCAACACTGGCACGGGCAAGGATATCATGACCCAGGTCGTGTTCGCTATTGACCATATGAAAAGCAAGGACTACGCGCTCAAGTTCGCAGATATCCTATCTTATCTCTCGCTACAGCAACAGGGACATGACCCTGGTTACATTCAGGCACTGAAGCGTATTCTCCAGTCCCATGATAAGGTGGAATATGATCCCTCTGGCGCTAATGGTGAGGGTACCTTCCGGTTTAAGCCTCCGCATAACATCCGCTCAGCGGAGCAATTGCTTCGGAAGCTTCAGTCCCAGCCGACGGCGCAGGGCATGAGTGTGCGTGAGCTACGGGAAGGGTGGCCGAATATCGTTCAGGCCATCGATAAGCTAGAGGAGGAAGGAAAACTACTTGTTACCCGAAATAAAAAGGACAACCAGCCTAAGATGGTGTGGGCGAATGACCCTTCCCTCATTCAGCATTTTGACCCTGAGTTCCGCCAGATTTGGGAGAAAATCAAGATCCCCGACCAACAGACGGTAACTGATGAGTTGGAGAAGGCCGGAATTACATCTACAAGCAAGAATAAGGTAACCAAACCAAAACCGAAGGTCGAGCATAAAAAGGTGAAGAAGGCACGGAGAAGTGGGAAGACCACGAATACACATATGGTCGGAGTTTTGAGGGATTACTCTCACCTCAAGAGATGATGAATGAATTTATAGATTTCATGATGAGTTTGTATTTTTGCTTTGAAACGACAGTTTCCCCCAAAATATCTGCACCAGAAGACGTTGCGAAACCAAGAACAGATGGGAATTAAAAATTAATTTCGTTTATTATCTTCTTACTGTTTGCATTACTTTGGAAAGGAGTTTGGTGTCAGTATGATGGGCTCACTTCTTTCCTTTGCCTTAGGATTGAGCTATCTTAGGTATATGTTATGCTCTCCTGGGTATTGATTTCGGTTGACGTCAGTTTTATTACTATGTACACCATCCCTCAATACCAATATTAGGATTTACCAAATCACAATCAAGAAATTATCACCCCAACTAGATGGGAGCTCCGTTTTATTGTTATTTCTTAAAATTAACGCTTGAAACGGTTAACCACTTGATACATAATAGTCTGCGTCATTGGAATTGTATTTACGTGATCAATACTAAATGAGTTCTTCTAATCCAGGTCTGGGAAGTTAGGATACCACCTGGGCAAGATCCAACTGCCCACCGCTCAATAGCCGATTCCTTTTGATGGAGATGGGTCACAAAATCCTATCAGGCACAAAACTCGATCGAATAGAGTTGCCAACAGAGTATCACGTCAGCCGTAATATGGATAAATGGAATGAAATAACAAAATACAAGTAAGAGCCCTCATCGAACAAGCAACGACGCTTGGTTGAAAGGAAAAACTAATGCTTCCCATTCACTACCACCTTCCCTTCCAATCCCTGTACCCTTATCAAATACTTCCTCAAATCCTCAATTGTGCACACCTTCACACCCCACCTCTTCCCAAACTCCAAACATCTTTCGGCCCTCATCATGCCATTGCCCTCCATCGCTGCCACCCCTTCTACCTCCTCTCCATCCTCAACTAGTTCACAAATAACAGCCGCCTCTGGCTTTCCTACCAGTCTACAGAACTCTACCGCCGCCTCTGTATGACCAGGTCTTTCAAGAACACCGCCGGATTTAGCTTGTAACGGTAGAATGTGTCCTGGTCGACGGAAGTGGGTAGCTTGGACATCTGGTCGGGCAAGGGTGCGGCAGGTAAGCGCCCGGTCATGCGCAGAGATCCCCGTGGTGACAGACGGGTCCGTGGCATCAATGGATATTGTGTAGGCTGTGCCGTTTGGATCGGCATTTTCAAGGACCATTTGGGGCAGATTAAGATGCGTGCAGAGGGAGGCCGGGATGGGGCAGCAGATGTAGCCACTATTATTTTGGGGGGTGCTTTGGTTAGACATTTACTGTTCTCAACTGGATCTGAGAAAGAAAATGGAATTTAGGGCAAGTCAAGGCAGGAGAGAAATATAATGTGAAACATACCTGGTCCACCGTATCATGAACGCCATTTTAGACGCAGTCATCGAGTCCGCAGCTATAATCAGGTCCCCCTCATTCTCCCTGTTTTGGGAATCCAGGACTATGATAAACTCTCCATTTCCTATATATAACGAAAATGCAGGTATTAGATTCCTTTCTTTGCTTCTTTATTTCTCCTCTTTGTACTGGTTTTCACGAGTTTGACCCTGCGGAATTGAGATTGGTGACTCATGGACAAATACTATTCACAAGAAGAGAACTGGAGCTTTTCTTTCTTACCGAACGCTTCTATCGACTCTTCAATCGTATTGAACCGCAGACCCTCATCTACTTTCGAAGGCATAAGTGCAATTGTGCTTCCCGTTAGCAGCCAGAGTTCCAGGCAGATATTGCGACCAGTGGTGTTCAGAAAGCCCAGTAACAGAAGATGTTACAGAACCTTTAGTTTATGTTGATAGGTAATTCCTCCGTTTCAAATGCGAAGTGGAAATGAGAATATGAACGACCGTGGGAATTGTATTCGAGGTGATATATATAAGGATAGACACCGGCGCACCTCAAAAATGTTGATTAGTGAACAACGGAAGAAAAATTAATAATTCGTGGCGCTGATTCCCGTTACATGCCGTCGCAAGGACGGAGGGGGACTGCTTCCTGTTGCGGGCTAGCGCACGGCATAAAATATGCCTCGGCTGCCGACATGCTAGGAGAACGTCCAGCACCACAAGCGTTATCTGTAATCAGCTCCGGTGGACCTGCATCCTCCTTGCGCCTTAAAATCTTTGGCACATGGGTAAAAGCACGAAAATATGGTATATTGTTTATGAGTAGGTGTAAGATACGACTATCTATAGGTAGTAAAATTAACGCTCGTGGTCATTCCAATCTTCCGTGATTCAAGCAGAGAACCATTACAAGCTAAAGTGGCTCCTTTTTAATCACGAAAGTGCTTAAGAATTTGGAGAACTTGCCCATGTTCTTCGAACTTCCCCACAGGTATCCAATCTTCACTATTGGAACTACCAGAAGCTTCAAACCGAATCACAATGGCATTGACGTTGAGATGAAAGTGAATTATTATATAAAAACTTGCACCTTGCCTATGAGTAACAACAGCATCTGGACATAATAATAGTAAATAAATAAAAACAAAACAAACGAAATAACAAATGATAGCGAAAGAAAAGTGTTCTGCCGTTTCCCTTTGAAATTGCCTCTTCACTGAAATCACCAGATTGTTGTGAGATCCTTCTGCCAGCCAAACCAATGATACATGCGAAATTTTGAGGGGAACCAGACGTATGGAAGGCGTCCCCAGTTCTGGCGCCTGGAACGCTGAAGAAGAATATTGCGGCATGGCGTGTGAACTTTGTGTCGCTCAAACCCCGCCCGCGCCAGACAAAGATGCGGATTTCCGTCTCTGCCATTGTTGACAAATTGGATAATAGCGAGGAAAGGATGGGCAGGGCTGGAAATATGATCGAAGCAACGAAGGATCAGGCTAAAAAGGGCTTGAGTTGAATAGTGCGAACGCAAATAATCCCTGGCCGAACAGTGAAGAATAGATAAGATGTGAGCAAGTTTATATAGACTTGCGATACCAAGGTCAAATCTGCTCACTAGGAAATGGTGCTCCAGTTTATACCACAGAAACGGGGCAACGGTGGCAGATACAATAGAGTGCCAATACGCCCGAAACAGGTTACATGTCTGTTCGCGAATTCAACGGCGCTTCGACGATTGTTCTTGGTAGAGCGCAATTCGCTGAACAGCTTGGGAAATGCAACTGATGAAAAGAAAGAGGCTGCATAACTATGCAGGGGTTCCGGCGCTTACGTCCCAAAACAAATAATTGAGGAGGTACCAGCCAACAAAGGGTCTTACTGAATTTCATCGAAGCTCAAATGCAAGATTGACCCACCATGTGTCCCCATTAGCGAGGCATGCCGTGATCCCTGTTTCTATCTTCATCCTAGGGTCGTCATATCTGCAATAGCATAACCTCGCTTGTGGCAAGGCGTTTCAGTCACACTGTCCCGCTATTGATAAAATTGAAAATCTGAAGATATTCGGCTCGCGACCGCGAGAGCCGTTCGTTATTAGCGAGTGCTCTCACGCGATTTCGGGCGGCTGGTGGAATGACAGTGCGAAGCACCACATCTTCACAAGTGGTTGGCAGAATAGTAGGGAGCCATGTAAATTCAAGGATGCTCTAACGATTATAGTAGCCTACAAGGTCGCACCTCAAATATTACTCAATAGCATCAGAAATAAAGAGGGAAGCAAAACACTTAATTAGCTGGGGCCGCTGGATGGATGGTCTTCCATCGGGGGTCTGGCGGTTCAAGTTTCAGAACATGCACCATCGCATGGAACTCGCGCTCGTATTGATGTGAGAGGGCAGAACGGAGATGTTTCGCATATTCAGGCATCTGCTTCTTTGAAGGAAGGTCCGTGAACATCCGCACAACATCCCAGTATTCTGGGAACCATCCAGCCCACTCCCAGTCAAGAACTGCTGCAATATCGCCGTCCTCGTTGACCAAGATATTCCTGGGGCTGAGATCGCCATGAGCAAAATGGATCGAATGGGTATGACCGGGATATTGCTGGGCGTTCGGGGCCATAAAGTGGTTGAAATCCTTCTCGGTTTTGAACGGCCCACCCCAACGTGAATAATAACAGCCAACTCTGACTGGGGTGCCATTAACTCCCTCGATTTGCTTGCCTGTCAACTGTCGAAGTTCCTCAAGATAGTTGGCGATCTGGCAGCAAGTGGATTTTTGTTGATCCTGGGTTAAATTCATCCAGACTTTGTCCAACGGTTTTCCGTGCATATAATCCATGATAATGTAGAACGTATTCTGCTCCTCATCGAATTTGGTCTCGTAAGTTTTTGGCACAGGAATGGTCGTATTGGCAGCGACAAATTTCATAATATCAGGTTCGAGCAGGTTACGGGCTTTCTTCAGTACACGATGGTCATCTAGACGGATGGCAAGAGGGATGCCGAGAATAGAGTTTGAGATATCCTGACCGTAGCCAGCTAGAGCAATTCCGATTAGTTTCCTAGGCAACTACACCACGAAGCAGACACGAGAAGAAAATACCTACCTTTTGGAGTGAATGGATCCATCCTACTGACATCAGCATCTCGAGGTAACGGAGAAAATAAACCCTTGAAAGCAGTGAATGGGTTGAATGCCGAACGATTTGCTGGGGAAACAAGAGAAGTAAAGCTCTGGTGAGATGCTTACTCACGTTCTTGAGTTTGCCAAAGATTGGTACAGCGAGATTGGACGTGTAACCTGCCCTACCAGCGTAAACATGGAGAAGGTTACAGTTGAACGGGCAGTTAACGAGACCATAAGACGGCTGGCTCCTCTGGCCTTGTTAGCTTGCGAATTTCAAATTCGATCACATGCGATCTGGTTTCATTCTCTTTGATATGATTTTAGCTGACATTTAGCAGTTGAAAAAACATAAAAAGAGCTAAATTTTTAGAAATAAGTAAAGCGTAAAATAACTACTAGTGTGTAAGACGAATTTAATAACTAATATAATTTAATAAGTCGCTCAAAAGAACGCGCATACAAATGGCGGGGCCGCGACCTCTATCATGAGCCCAATATCAGGCACCCATAGGTAGACTAACTTGAATGGCAGGAGACAAAACCGGACATACATTTCCAATTTATAATAAGGCTTGGATTATGCATTATTATATCTATAAGACATAAGGTATATATTATGAATAGCAAGGGACTCTAAAAACCCTTATCCCCCTATCACGAAATATATCCTTTATCTTAACCAAACAGAAATAGGGATCAAAAAGTATATGACGCACGTTTTCATACTCCCATTGCGAAATCCCCCATCCAAGTAAGTTCTTGCTAGTTCGTTCTTAGCGATCGAGAAGCAGCCTCCGTATCTATAGCCATCTTCCGCTCCTCCTCGCGCCTTGCAGATTCCATTTGCTCTTCGTAGATCTCAGCTTCATACTCCCAATCCTGGCCGGCCTTATTTGAGAAGTGTAGACGGCCAATCCTGTCTCCGGTCCATATAAGGAGCTCGTCGTCCAGCACATAATTATATCCGGTGGGTAGAATTTTGCGAACTATATCAGAGACACCGGCCGCAGATTCATCAACCCACCTGTAGGATTCCGGATCATGCAAGCTGGACGGAATTGAGTGCGTTAGGCCTAGCCGACGTCTGCGATATTTAGTATTTTTAGTCAAATTCCACCGTCGCACTTCAGTTCGGCCGTCCCGTTCGACCCATTTGATGTACCCATTTGCGTCAGTGAAGACGAGACGGGTGCCATGGGTTGCCACGGACAAAAGTTTTGAATACGGTTCGCTCTGCCGATTCAGGCATATTCCATCCCTTACAAACAATGAGCGGTCCTGCGTTCTGTAGTCTCCAGGATTCGCAGGCGTGGAGATCGAGAACATATCAAGAGATCCGTGTCCTTTGTACTCTCCAGCCGCAACGATAGTGTGGTTATTTTGTAACTCGGGGTGGGTAAAGGAGTATGGTCGAGGACACGTTGGGATGGCTGCCAAGCTACATATCCGTGCACCTGAGTGTGCAGTGCTCAGTAAACTAGACAGGTTGCGACGGTCATATAGCAGAATCGCAGAAAAGCGTCCGGCAAGTACAATTGAGTTTATATTCGGCAGCGGGGTGTGCAGTATCGAGAGTGGAACGGGCTGAAACAAAGATACGTATCTACCGTTATCTGGAGACATGGGACAACATAGCCTGGTATCTGGTCCCGGGCCGCGGAATCTTGGGTCATAAAGGTTGAGATTCCGTGTAGTTCCCACAGTCAATGGGGCTGAATATTCGGTTTCCTGGGAAAGAGCGAATATCGACCACGGGTATTTTTGTTGCGATATTACCTGCAACGTCGATAGATCAACTTCATTCAAAATGTTCCCGACCGCGATATAAGCAGTTTGGAGGAATGAATCGACGCTCATACATTCCCCGATGCTAATGAAGTCGAGGTTCGTCGGTTTGGACGAGAAGGGCGCATCTGCTCGTCGTGATGAATCCGTGGTAAGGCTGCCCCGTACACTAGTCCCTACAATTTTCCCTCTTGCACCTCGTTTACTTAGACTCGACCGGTTAAGGTCCCACAGACAGAGGGTTCCGTCATCTAGGGGGCCAATTACCTTATCTGAACCCCCATAACGGTTGTCTTTCATAAGGCCCATCCCTTTGATTTCGTGTTGAATAATCGCATCATCCTCATCTTGGACCGCAGTTGCATACGGCTCTTGCAACCAATGAACTGATATTGGCGCATTCCGAGCGATGTATTCCGAATACCAGTCGATTTGCTCTCCCTGGTAAGACGGATCCCATTGACTGGCGGAGGTCGCGAGGGGGATGGTCCGTTTGTTGTGGGAGCTGTCTGAATCCGTATGCAAGGCCTTTGATGATTTAGCAATATTGCCAGCTTGAATCTGGTCCGTCAGTAATACATCCAGAACACCGCTTGTGGTGTTGGTGTTGGGCCTCAGGTTATGAAACAAAGTATTGCAACCTTGTAATTTATGGTTAGCGGCCTCATAGGAGTGCTGGCGCCATATTGAATTATCGCGACATATGTCAGAAAGTCGCCTGGAGACACACTGGAGGGCAGATAGTTCGTGTGGGCCGATATCTACGACGATGGGTCAGCTCCAATGTTGACAGGTTGCCGAAGCTGTTAAGGTGAGCCTACACTCAAGTATCCGGGAGACAAGCTCCACTGGTAACTTCTCCATGGATCAACATATGTAGCAATGTAAGAAATAAGGACAACAGCAGGAGATACATTGCTGGTAAATCCAGGCCCAAATTCAAGATTCCCCTCAATGCAGCTTTAGATTCAGAGCAAGGAAGATCCATATAGCTGGTCAGTTTGGTAGACCATGTGACCATGAAAGCGCAATCTGTGGGACGTCTAAGTGGTTGTATTAGCATGTCGGCAGCTGAGGCATATGTTTGCGGTGCGCTAGTCAGTTGATCCATTTCATCCTCCCCTTGTTTGATATCCTCTTGATCTCTTCTTGACCGAGAATCAAGGTTTCCACCTGGTTTTTGTAAAGATTTTTCCATAATTCTGTCCATTCTATCCGAATATTCATTCATTCATTCAAGTATTCATCCTGTTTTCTCAAATATTCTATCATTTGTATCAAGGTATTATCAGTCGTTGGGCCTGTGGTAGGTTCATATTCCATATCATCATTGCTCAAGTTCTAGGAGGCATTCTCCCCCTTAAATCAATCAATTTTTAATATCTTTCCACCGCAATCAAAGCTCTGTTGGCCTTCGTCAGGATCCTTCTGCTGATCAGCGTAGCAGCTCGCGAGACGTTAGTACCTCAGGCAGTGGAAGGTTTAATATATATATATTTTTAATAAAAAACAGAGCAATCAGGGCAATAACCTAGGCAGCTGTGGCATATATGTGCGGTGCGCTAGTCCGTAAGAGGTAGCTTAGGGCCAACAATGGATGGATAATGGCTGAAAGGCATGTATCTGATATGTAAATATAGATGGCATTATTATCATCAAAATCATGAGAAATCCAACATGTAGGTCCTTGCTCTCGCGATTCCAACGTACATGGTCATTACGACGATATGTATATCCAGAACATCGCCCTACGTATCAGGTTTGAACACAACATCTTTGCAAAGGATAGCTACTTTCTTGAAGAACCGTCTCCATTCCAAAGGATCGCCCTTTACTTTAACGAACTCAACCTCCACATGCCCCTCTGTGATGCTTTCAATAATAATATTGCCATGGAGGGGGCACTTCCTGTCATCCTGGGTCCGTATCCGGATGAGTGTTGAATCAGCAGAATCAGACGATGTTGGGGATGCTGGCACATGCAGAAGCTGAAGCGCTTCACAAACGCGTGGGACTAGTAATCCAAGAGGCCATGCCGAAGCGAATCGGGTGAGGCGAGACGCGGGAACTATATCATGGAAGTTCACTGCGTTCTGCGTTCGGCTGAGAGGGACGGATGGGGTGGCAGAGAATTGAGACATCGACGGGTCTTGAGATAAACGTTCATTGAGGAGCATAACATGATCTGTATCCATTGACTTGGGTTGGGAGAACGCAGATTGTGATGTTAGCCTGGGGGGTCCATCCCAATCCAGCATATCATCGACTGGATGTTCGGGTTGAGTGGATGCAAATTTAAACTTCATCGATGACCCTGGTTCATCTATCTCCATGGCACCGGTATCTGTAGTGGTGGGCTGAGGCTGAGAAGAAAGGGATAGAGGGTCTCTATTGAAATCAATATGTAATGATTCGAGCATGGTCGTAGCTAGATTTATAGGGTTGGATAACCTGTTATCTGCAGACATATAAGGATTCGTTCTCGTAAACCAAGGGTGTCTACGGATGTCATCCATGGAGAACCTGTTCGATGCATCGACCTTCATCATTCCCCGAAGAAGCGACAGTGCAGCCGTCGGCAGTCGTTCCCAAAGCTCATCTGTTGGCTTGGCGTTTGTTTTCACATACTCGACAAATTCGTAGCTATCATCTGTTGGGCTATCCCAGGGAGTATTGCCAACAAGGAGGACAAAAAGGACCACTCCACAAGACCAGATATCCACAACATCAGCTCTGTAACCTTGTCCCTTGGACTTACCTCTGTTACTGTACTTAATGACCTCGGGTGCGATGTAGGGCGGGCTACCACATAGGGTTGTGCTCAGCTTCGTCTCTCCACGGTACTCATAGAGTGTGGCAAGTCCAAAATCAGCTATTTTCAAATTCCCGTTTGCGGAGAGAAGAATGTTTTCAGGTTTAATATCCCGATGGGCAACTCCCTTGGAATGCATATATCCAACTGCATTTACCAGCTGGCAGAAGTAGACGTGCGCCACATCCTCCCCCACTCCCTCGTCAGCCTCGATCTTGTCAAACAAATCGCCCCCTTCCGCTAACTCCATGGCTATCCACCGCCAACAATCATCTTCACCCGTCTCATGGAAGTAGATGATGTTGTTGTGGCGTCCAATGTGTTTATGCAGAGCAACCTCCATCTGGAGTTGTTTGCTAGTAATACGTCCATGTCGAGCTGCGTAATCTTTGTGTATGAATTTAACCGCAAATACCGGCGAGTCGCTCTGAAGTGGACAAGCTCTTTTGATGCTGCGAGCGAGGAGAGATATCGATATCAGCTTCTTTGGCTTCTCCCCAGATAAAACATCAAAGCAGGGAATATGATATATCAATTTACCATGCGTAGGCTCCCTGTCCAATAGTTTTTGACACTATGCGAAACGGCAGGTCGTTCGGAAGAGGGGCTAATTGAGAATGCTTCATCGGGACGCTTTGGCCACAATAAAGCTTTCAAATCATCACGGAGAAGAAAGCAGCAGCGATCAGACCGCCTATCAAGACAGGCCAAGGCCAGACAAGATTCAGGGTGTTGGTGCGACACGGCACAGGATCGCGTTCTCTTCCAAATTATCGATTGGCGGCGCAGCAGTTGTCGAACATTCGAACGCTGGGCTTATCAGCTGAACTGAATAATAATACGTGGGGACCTGGAGTGGCTGGTTGGAAAAAACCACGAATCTGACGCGAGAAAGAGTGTTTTAGCCCCAGCATGTTGGGCGACGCGCCGGTGGCTAGAATCAAATGATTTGCATTCTGGGGCTTTTCCTGCGGTGGAGCGATAAGGGTAATCGCCAGCCAATCGATGGGAGTTGGTTGCCCTGGTAAACAAACACTCGGAGCCCCAGCCAAGTTAGTGTTATTTGCGACACAACCGACACAACAACTTCTTCCACACCCCCAGTTTCTTGTCTTTCCTGCCAGCATTCCTTGCTTCTTCTTCACTGTCGTAAGGTGATTGTGAATCTTGTGATAGCGAAATATAACCCCCTCCCCCTGTTCTTGGCCCCATTTCAGATCATCAAGCACCGCCCCCACTGCTCAACCGGCATCGACAATCAACAAGAGCTCGTAAACTGTACTATAAAAATCCTCCCTTTCGCCCACTGCTTGTTGCCATTGTCACTTTCGTTTGAATAAATAAGATAACCACTCGACAAGTGCGAAACCATGGACTACAATATGGAAGACACCCAAAACTCTGGCCCGGACTCTGCAGTGACGCTGGAGACTTCGAAACTGGGCATTGGTGCTACAAGAACTGATAATACTCAAAAGGTTACCAAACGGTGCGTTTTTATATTCAACGGAAAAAACCAAAAATTTTTTTTACCTATAAGCACACGGGAAAGGTGGTGGGTCAGGTTAACGGCCAAGCAAATCCTTATTGCTTTTTGTTGCTGTCCCTCTGTCTGGCCTTGACCCGAACTGCTGGGAATTCCCCATTCTTCCCAAAGGAGCCATGCTAACATCGTTTGATTCGTGGATTACAGGCTACAGAGTGAACTGATGCAGCTGATGATGTCTCCGTCACCTGGTATATCTGCCTTCCCAGATGCTGACGGCAATCTACTGTCGTGGACTGCCACAATCAGTGGACCAACAGAGACGCCCTATGAGGGCCTCACCTTCAAGCTCTCCTTTGCCTTCCCTTCAAACTACCCTTATGCGCCTCCTACAGTCCTCTTCAAGACCCCTGTTTACCATCCAAATGTCGATTTTTCCGGTCGAATCTGTCTCGATATTTTGAAGGATAAGTGGAGTGCGGTTTACAACGTTCAGAGCGTGTTGTTGAGCTTGCAAAGCTTGCTCGGGGAGCCAAACAAGTCAGTTTTATTTTACCCTTTCATTTCAATTTGCTACCTACGCCGCCGTATAGCCTGTATGGTTTTGGGGAATCTTGCTGACCGAGTGGTCTGTCATTTAGTGCAAGCCCTTTGAACGGCCAAGCCGCAGAGCTTTGGGATAATAACCCAGAGGAATATAAGCGGCATGTTCTCGCACGACATCGGGATATTGAAGCTGGTGAATAGAAGACTCAGGCCATTGGCATTCAGCAATTGTTTATGAAGGGCAAATCAGGATGCATCGCGTTTCTTTGGTTGGTGTTGCATGAAAATAAGCCACCAGCGCTTGTTTTGGAAGGTTAAAATCATAGCCCCTGTGGTTACTTTCTACCTTCACCATGGAGTTCAGAAGGGTTTTGTTGCTTTCGTTTCCTTTGCTTTCCTTTCTTTTTTTTCTCTTCTCATTTACTTCCCCCCTGCCTTCCGATATCCCCTCCGAAACACCTCCCTTCACCCACCCTTTTTTTTTTTTTTAGCACTAGTGGGCCACTGCAACTTGGGTGGAGACGAAGTTGTGGTTGCTGGAGGACTGCGAAAAGCAGTTTTGTTCTTTCTGTTTTACTTTTCTCATTCGTCTTGTTCTCTCTCCAGCATTTTTCCCTCTCTCATGTGAAACAGTCTCTATCTTCCAAACTTGCCAACTCCTTTAGGAAATTTGGACCCATTTCCCGCTCTTCTTTGACTAGGCACCGGATTTTTACTTGGGAACGTGAATGAAGTATTGTTGGCGAAATTGAACAACAGTGTTCATGTATGACTTTATCCTTAAGCCGAAGAACAGTGTTATCATTATTCTGTACTCTGCCTCTCGAGACATGTGTGTCCTTGCTGGCCCCCTCAGATAGCTGCTCTTACCTTCACCTTATCAATATGAGACGATGGTTCCGGCAACACACATCATTTAATGTAGAAAGAAGCCTATGCCTTTGCTGCACGAGGAAGGGATGTTGGATAGCGTCTCTCAAACTACTCTTCTCGAGAGAATCTAAGATGACTGCATACTGAATTCCAACGATATTCTCCGTCCTTACCGCATGTATCTATCTTATGCTGGCAGGGAGATGCTACCCCATTAACATTATTAGCAACTCTTGGCAACTACATCTAGAAAAATCAAAGTGGGCAAAACGAAAAATTCTCGCAAATATAAGTTAATCAAACGTGATTAAGTAATGACGAAATTCTAAAAATTTCTGTAACTTTTGCCCAACTTCTAGACCTGAGTTTGGTTAATGCGGAGTTGAACCTTAAAGAGGAGCCCCGCAGCCGCAGCCGCCCCCGCCATTTCGGGTATTTTTTTGGTACCAACCAGCGGATTGGAGATTGTTGAAAGACAACAGAACAACAGAAATTGTGCCCATATGTTACTAAAACAAAATAATAAATATATCAACAAATGAAGTAAGAGGAAAGGAAAAAAATTAATCAAAGAAAGGGAATAAAAAAACATAAATGAGGAGGAAAGAAATGGTTCATTGAGACACCATGTTAAGCCGCTGTCAGTTGGTGGGCTGCCAGCAAATTTGGAGTGCTTACTTGTAGAGTGCTCATTGCTCCAGTTAGCAGTCAATAAGGGCCACTAAAGACAACATAGGTCTGGGCGTGCTGAGACTCTGCCGGTTTGATTGCCCAAGGAGTCGATGCTGGTGAAATCACAGAGAGTGTTGATGATGATAATTGTGATGAGATGGAAGACAGGATATATTGTTCTGCATTCTGGTGGACTATGATCTTGTTCTACAAGTAATGGGACTTTTGATTAACTGTGCATTAAACTTTAGACACTGTTTGTTCCAAGACACATGTGAATAGCAAGAATTGGATAGAACATCATGAATGATCCTGTTCAGCAGTTGAGACAGCTTCATTAAATGTCTAACATAAAAGCTTTTATATTCCAGAAATGTAGTTAGTTATCTGATAAGCTTTTTTTTTCAAACATTCTTCGGCATCATTCGCAATCTCTTAATTTGGAGGAGAGGGGAGGGAAAAACAATGTATAAAATGCCCATCATGAATTTCCAACGATTCCACTGCAGCTAAATTGCAATTACTTAGAATCGCCCTCCTGTAAATCAATCATTGCCGTTGCTCTACATCTATCTTATTGGGTAGGAAATATGTGTGGACTCGAAGGCTTAGTAAGATATTTTACTAGTTAACCAGTGGATGTATCGTTTGACTACTGAAGTTTATGTGCTTGGTTAATGCTTCTTTACATCCAGGAGATGAAAAACGAATCGTGGTCTAAAGCATTTTCAGCTATTATAATCTGCAAGTAAAAAGTTTGAATACCATGGAGTTACATGCAGCGAAAGAACTTCCACAATGTCCTGAATACTTCAACTTTGCTTACGATGTCGTCGATAAATGGGCTGCGCAGTTGCCATCGCTTCAGGCAATGCTCTGGGTTGACCAGCAGGGCAAAGATCCACAATCTCTCGATTTTGCGCATTTCTCCCGCCAGTCAAATCGCGCCGCGGAATTGTTAGTTAGACTTGGAGCTCGTAGAGGGGATCGATTGATCATTGTCCTCCCTCGGGTTCCAGCATGGTGAGTAGAATGCTCCCACTCCGATCCCGAGCCCGGCTGTTTTCTATTTTAGGGGCATATCGCGTACGTCAAAAGGGCATTTGATTATATGAAGATTATATATTGATAAAATTTATAGGTGGGAAATTGCGACCGCTGCGATTCGCATTGGCATTGTGGTCTGTCCATGCACCGTACTGGCTGTAGCACATGATATTAAGTATCGTGCGGAGGCATCCAAGGCTTCCATATTTGTTGGGGACACTGTTAGTATCTCCAAGTTCAAGGCCATCCAACACGAATGTCCCGATATTCGAACAATTCTTCAGGCAGCAGGTTCCCCGCTTGTGGACGAACTCCAGTATTCTGCTGAGCTGGAGAAGATACCGAAGCACTTTGTCTTTAAAGATACGTTACCGAAAACTAAATGGTCGGACCCATCCGTCATTTATTTTACGTCGGGTAGGATGATATTACTAGAATATTTTCAAACAATAGTACGCCCGTTCGGACTGACCTTCCCCAAATAGGTACAACCGGTATGCCGAAAATGGTTCTGCATAATCAGGTTTCTTACCCTTTAGGTTTGACCTCTTTCTGTAAATTTCAGGTTATATGGCACTTGAACTAAATGTTTTCTTCGAAGCACACGTTTTGACTGGTAGCCTGTGGCTTGGGTTAGAACCTGGAAAGTTATATTGGAATCTTTCTGAGCAAGGTGTGAATATCCATGAACATAACAAATGCAAAAACCACCATCTAATATAATTCAAATTGCCAGGTTGGGCGAAGGCAGCATGGGCATGGTTCGCTGCTTGGAGTTGTGGAGCAGCTCTCTTTGTCCAAGAGACCGTCGGCCCTTTCAATGCCGAGAGTGCTCTTGATAATCTGCACAACTATCCCATTACCACCCTTTGCTCCCCTCCCACCGCTTATCGGCAGTTTGTGCTTCCCTCAAGGCGCAAGTACTTTTCCCAAAGGCCTCCATTGGCGCTGGAGCAATGTGTTGGGGCAGGAGAGCCGCTGAACGACGAGGTAATTCGCATCTGGGAAGATATGAGTGGCATAAAAATTCGTGATGGGTACGGCCAAACTGAAACTACTCTTGTTTGCGGAAATTTGAAAGGGGCCAAGGTCAAGTATGGGTCAATGGGCCTCCCGGTCCCTGGTGTGCCCTTGACTGTTGTGGACGAGAAAGGCGATGAATCCCCATCATTCCAGGAGGGTGAAATTGCCATTGCAACAACGACAAGCTCTGGCGTTAGAACCATTAATATCTTTTCCGGTTATCTGAGTCCAGATGGAAAAGTTACATTGCCCCAACGGAAATGGAAAAGCTGTTATTGGTATCTCACAGGAGATAGAGCTTATAAGGATGAAGATGGTTACCTTTGGTTTGTCGGTCGGTCAGATGATGTTATAAACTCATCCGGGTACAGGATTGGTGAGTCGCGAGTCCCTGCGGCCAGATTGGTATGGAACAACAACGGCGATATTGATATTCTTTCAGGTCCATTTGAAGTCGAGTCCGTCCTCAAGAAGCACCCTGCAGTTGTTGAATCCGCTGTAGTGGCGTCCCCAGATCCCGATCGTGTCGAGGTTGTCAAAGCCTTCATTGTTTTGCAAGACAGTTTCAAGTCACGCAATCCTGATTCCCTGGTAACTGAGCTTCAGGAGTTTTGTAAAAAGCAAACTGCCCCTTACAAGTACCCTCGACGGATCCAGTTTGTAGAGCCGAGTTTCCTGCCCAAGACAATTAGTGGAAAGATTAAAAGAGCGGAACTAAGGGCTTTAGAGAGGAGGGTCATAACGAGAGGGGCAAGGATATGATGATACCCATAGAATTTCTAGTTAAATCAAAACAAAGTAGGGCTAGTATATCAATCACATGACCGTTATTATCCTGCCTGATGACATTGAAGTAATTGACTCATTTGTGTTGTCGTGACAGATATTGTTGGAGCTACTACACAAGCCCTATCCCACGTGACCCACACATACATATATTAGCTCGCCACTAGATAGATAAACAACCAACCAAGGTTCAACCCTCTCACAGGTTATGAAGCCCTTGCACTTCTACAAAGCAATAACTTGCAAAAATAACTGCTTCTTTTGTTAAAGAACCTCTTCTTCTATTCATTTTGATACCTGATAACCTCAATAACTTGATAACCAAATGCCTGTTAGTACGCGAGCAACAAACCGCGAAGAAACACCAGAGAACCAAACCAGTGCACCTGGATCCTTTCCAACACCAATAACCACACAAAGACCACAATATCAAGCCCCAGAACACAAAGAGATGGCAGATCAAGATGAAGCTGCAGTGCTGAGGCATCATATTGCCCAGTTAGATGATGAACTACACCAGATGAGAGCTGCTAGCACCCCTGCTGCTGCCCATGATGGCAATGAACTAAGCCCTGACCTTGCTGCTCACCTGTGTGATCAAGATGATACCCCTACCTTGAGCAGAGTCCTTCAAAAATTCCAAAAACACATCAAATTCATTCAAAAACCAGGTTTTCTCAAATCAGCATCTGATTACCCAATTTGGAAGGAAGAGATCCTGCTTGCCATCAAGCAATCCCATACAGAGGATATCCTCACCACCAAACCTCTGGAAAATGCCAGCAAGGATATGAAACAATACTGGGAGGAACACAACTCCTGACTATACAACTTTGTATGATCTTCAGTTTCTGTTGAAGCCAAATCTTTTTTTACTATACCTCAAATTCCCTAGATTCTTCTGCTCTATGGAAGGCCATAGAGGCATCTTTTTCTGAAAGAGTGGAGATTCACAGAGCTCATCTATCAAAGGAATTCAATGATATCACAGCTGCCATCTATAGGGGATCTAGTCACTCCTTCATAGAACACCTTCTAGCAATCCATGTTGAATATATCTGCCTTGGATATGATGTCCCCAACTTCATACTATTCAATAAACTCCTCAACAGCCTCACCAAGGGGTGGTCATCATTTGTCAAGGATCATATGAACCATGCAGCAAAGGATGATAATAATATCAGACCATTTGAAGACAACTTTCTTAGCCTTTGCAATGATATACTACTCCATCTGCCATTAGATGACAAGAATGTCAATGCTGCTACAGATTATATGAAGGACAAGAACATCAAGAATAAAAGCATCAAGGAGTGCAACTACTGTGATTGAAAGGGTCATGATGAGACTCACTGTTGGAACAAGTATCCAGAAAAGAAACCAAAGAATCTACAACAAAAAGCCTCCACTGTGGAGTCAGCAAATGTTATAGAAGAACAGGTCTTCTAATGCCTCTAGTTGAGATAGTCACTGTTGATATTCTCTAGTTGAGAATCACTCCTAGTTGGAGCAGTATGTCATCTACAACCTCTAGTTGAGGTAGTCACTGTTGATATTCTCTAGTTGAGAATCACTTCTAGTTGAAGCAGTATGTTGTCTACAACCTCTAGTTGAGGTAGTCAGCTGTTGATATTCTCTAGTTGAGGATGGAGCTCCTAGTTGGGGCAAAGCATGTTTTTGATGATAGTTGATGGTAATGGTAATACAGCAGATTGATGGATTTTGCTTGTGTTTTTTCTGTTTTTATGGTTATTGCCGTACGGGCACCTATTCCTAATAGGGAAATCAGGGTCCGGATCTTGTAATTAATTATTATTGCAGATTTGAATGATTTGGGCATTTTTCATGGCTGCGTGGGCTAGTTGGCCTGCGTAGCATGGGGGGGTGTTGGAGCTACTACACAAGCCCTATCCCACGTGACCCACACATACATATATTAGCTCGCCACTAGATAGATAAACAACCAACCAAGGTTCAACCCTCTCACAGATATGCTCTAGATCACCTAAATCGCCATCACATAATTAAGCATGGCGACTGACGTCAACTGGGAGCTGATGGAGGGCATTCCCCAAGTCGAGGATCCTTTCATCCAGAAGTACCTCCAGGGACGAGATGCGATGATTGCAGAGGAGCATAAACAGAGACATGGCTAGTACTTATGCTATGCCATCTACCAAAGTAAATATTGGAAACTAAGAGGTGTCTAGATTTCTATTTTCGCAAGTCAATGTCACCTGCCGCTGCAGTGGCATGTAAAATAATTTCTGCCATTCGTCGGCGAGAACTGAGAGAAGTCTGGACGAAGGACACTGAGCAAGATCTAGCCTGTCAATCTGACGAACCGCTGTATCCTGGCATGATGTTCCATTTAGCAAGAGAACGGATGGAGAAAACAGATCTTTGGAAGATTATTGAGAAAATGCCAAAAGGTTTGTTCCTATGTGTAAACATTCTTGATTATCCGTGGCTAAGATCACAATTATTCCCCTTCTGTAACATTAGGGGCTTTGCTACATATACATTTAGAAGCCATGATCGACCTGGATTTGCTATGTGATTTAGTGCTATCGCTCCCCAACCTATACATGTCCACTTCAACGCCATTGGTCACAGCAAAGGATTGGGAGACGAGTCCAATCCATTTCCAGTACTTTTCAAACCCTCCAGGCCAGCCCGGAAAGAGAAGCATTCTTTGGGAAGCGGGATATACTCCTATGTCCTTTGCGCCTGTTCAGCAACTTGCTAGCCTATATCCCACCGGCGGAATCGACGGATTCCGCGCCTGGTTAAAAAGCAGATGTACTCTTTCTCCTGAGCCGTCTTCACATCATCGCGGGGTTGATGATATCTGGATTCAGTTTCAACGTACCTTCCAAGTTGTTGATTCTATTTTATATTATGAGCCTGTTTTCCGGGCTTGTATGCAACAAATGCTCAAGGAGCTCCACGAGGATGGTATCCGTTATGTTGAATTCCGATTGGTGTTCGACTTCCCATATCGACGTGACCGCCGTGATCAACCCGAATCGGATTATGAAGCTTTTTTCCAAGCTTTCGGTGAAGAGATTGAGAAATTCAAGCTTTCGCCCGAAGGGAAGGGTTTCCATGGAGCGCGGATGATTTGGACGACAGTGCGCACCCTTTCAAATCGATTGATTGCCGAAAATATGAAGGATTGTATTTCCATCAAACAGAAATTTCCGGGGTTGGTTGCGGGCTATGATATTGTTGGTCAGGAGGAGAAAGGGCGAACGCTTGCAGATTTAGTCCCGGTCCTATTTTGGTTCAAGAAGAAATGTGTTGAGGCAGGGGTGGATATACCATTCTTCTTCCATGCGGGGGAATGGGTTGGAGACGGCGACGAAACGGATCATAACCTCTTTGACGCCATCTTATTGGGCGCACGGAGGATTGGTCACGCCTTGACTCTCCACAAACATCCGCTTCTTATCGATCTAGTCAAGGAGAAGAAGATCTTGATCGAGTGCTGTCCCATATCGAACGAAGTACTTCGCCTTACTAGTTCAATTATGACACATCCCCTCCCTGCATTGCTCGCAAGAGCAGTCCCGGTGGCATTGTGCAATGACGACCCTACGCTACTGGGATACGGGAAAAGTAGACTTACACATGACTTCTGTCAGGTTCTCAATGGCTTAGAGAACGTTGGGCTTGCGGGTCTTGCGATGATGGCGGAGAACTCAATAAGCTGGAGTTGTTTTGAGGACCAAAATTCATCCGAATGGCTACGGGACATTCGCGCCGGACTGGCAGGAACTGGCGTGAAGGCAGCTAGTTTGAGGGATTGGAGGATTGAGTTTGAAAGGTTCTGCCAGTGGGTGACGTTGGAGTTCGGCTCTGAGGTTGACAAGGATGATGAGGATGAGTAACTTAATGGCAATGTATTCGACGGGCTTTTCCCACTCATAGGGGAACTGGAGTTTGTTACACAAGTACAGGCAGAATATCCGCAGAAAGACTTCCCCGCTGTCTCTTGGACCATTCCGTAACATGCTGATTCTAGCGTCCTCATTGTCATGATGAGGAACAGGCGATCTATTGCTCTCTACAGAGTGCGCAACGCCGTTCCTTGCTAGCCTTTGATGTTTTAGCATGACATACACAACTTTGTCTCAACCGGGTTTGAATAGACAATTTCTCCCAGAACAAGAAGCAGATTTTGCGTAATGCCAGCACACGCACTGTATGGCTCATATGGGCCCAAAACTAGCTCCATACTAGTAATTACTGGGTGCCTAAGATAAGGCGATGTTTGTGAGGTGGCTTGCTAGATATCCTTGGAGATCTAGGGTTCTGCGACTGGTTCGCAGGTTGTCTGGAAGAAACCTTGGAAAAGCAAATCAAAAACCTCCAATATCAACTTGTAGAAAGACGTCCTTTATTGTATTTAGCTTTTCTGGCTGTTGCCTCCAACCATGCCAGCTCCGGGTCATGTGATTCACTGGAATTTGCCCCAAATCGGTGCTTTCGGAATCTCAAATGCATCGTTGTGACCATCATTCTTCCTTTTTCTGTGTCGGATGTAATTTGACTACCCGCTGGATCTAGTCCAAGTGCACTGGAGAAGACTGACTCAGTCAGGTGAAACTCGTTATTGCGTGTGAAGGAGTTTGCATCGTTTAAGGGCCGCAGCGAATCAAACCCGTCCAGCAATGCAACGGCGATGAATGACGCACCAAGACACCGGACTCAACCCTTCCCGGCGGGTACTGTTCATGCTGGCCTGTTTACTCTTAACTGGGCTTGCAGCGACGCAAAAAGAATACAGTTCGTTCAAATAAACGGGGCTTTCTAGTCTTTCTGCCTTAGCCCGCGTTCGATCTTCCCATGGCCACATACTTCCTGCCTTCTCCAGGTTGCCCATCACCACCATCGTTTGGCCGATTCCGACCTACTCCCAACTCCCAAATAGCAGTCCCCATGTTGCGAGCACTTCTCGATGATATACTTTAACTCCCTGTGAGCCCGGAGGCTCTCGAATTTCCTAAATCCACCATGTCCTACTTTCTCCCCTCGTTTTTCCAGAAGCGACTGCTGAGATATGCGTTATCGCGACTGGAGCTGGTCGACACAGACGCCCTTGACTTGGAGAGTTTGGGCATTACATGGGGACAGCGGAGCACTTTTGAACTAAGGGATATTGGTCTACGGCTTGAGGTATGTTATTGGTGTGACTATAATTTTTCTCAACCTCGTTTACTACACGCTTTCTTGGAGTTGTTGATGGGTCTGATTTCGACATATAGAAACTTTCCTCGGTCCTGCAGTTACCCCCATCGTGCAAGCTCACGCAGGCTACGGTTTCTCTTATTCACGTGACGATACCCGCAGATATATATAGCAGTAGTATCGTCGTCGAAGTTGAGAACGTGCGAGTGAAATTGAAGTTGCTCTCGGATGATGCTGCGTCAAGCGGAGATGATCATGAACTCTGCAGGCCCGTTGACGAGCTATCCAACAACCCCAAGGCAAATGATCCTCATCCACCCGGATCTCATAACCACGACCGATCTAGTGAGAAGAGTAGCATTCTCCCATCTACCACTGACCTTGCCCAATCTTTTCTTGAATCAGAGCCCAAGGAGGAAAAAGCTGAACTGGAAGCCGCTATTTCGTCCCAATCTCAACATTCTCAAAGCTCCGATGGTCTCAGCGACGATGGAGAGGAAGAACTCGGAATCGGAGTTGAGGATGGCATGTCATTACCTGGTTTCGTTGCTGGGTTTTTTCAAGGGGTGGCTGATCGCCTACAATTAAAGGTCAAGGATGTGGTTTTCAAAATCGACATGGAAGTAGGCCACGATAGAACGTCGAACAGTCCGCAAGATCTAACGGTAGATCCTGTTACGGCTATGTTTACGATCCAAAATATATCCATAGACAGCGTCGTATCGCCTATGGAGGAAAACCCAGAGCTGAAACCTAGTAAACGCTTTATCTCATTCTCACAAATTAACTTGATATTCCTTGCGGATGCGGGCGTCTTCTCGAATTATTCTCATTTCGTCCCTCCGTCTCTTAAATCCCCTTCCGTCACTCATTCCACTCGCTCTATTCATTCTAAGCTTAGCAACTCCCCACTAAATGTCTCCTCCCCGGCGCCCACATCTTCTTCCTCCGGTTCGTCTCTTGTAATGTCACGCGGAACTATCCTCGATCAGCCTTCGCTATTGGAAGATAGGGCTTCCAACCATCATCTGGCGGATTCGGTGTATACAGACGATGGCAGGTTCTCAGATGCTGGGACGGAATATGAATACGGAGCTGGAAGCTATTTGGACCATACTCGCCCGATGACTGAGAACCACTATGATGAAAACATACTGGATAACCCTATCTATCTCGATGAAGCTATACGATCCAACCTTGCTGATGAGTTTCAAAGTTCTCCTCCTTCGATTTCTGATCCGACCGATCCGACAGATGAACCGTCAGGGGATACCCCTCGGCCACGGAGTCCAACATCCTTACCGGACGATCACATGTACCATTCAATGCAAAGTTCCACTCATTCTACAAACCATCCATCACAGCATCTAGAAACGCCGCCTGTTGAATACCAACCCGAATTTTCAGAGCCTAGTCGGGACGAGATTGAGGCTTCCGTTTCAGATAACGTGCCCTGCACGCAAGAACCAAGTAGATCCGGGTCTAGTACCCCGCAAAGAAGCCATTCAGAATCCGCTTCCGTCGTTGAAGACCTGTCGAAGTCTAAAATATTTACTCATGAAGAAGCAACAAGCATATATATGAGCGTCCTGAGCTCCACATCGGCAGGATCTCTTCCGGACATGCCTGGGGGTTGGGAATCACCAAAATATGAGGCAAGCACGAGAAATGTCTCTTCTCCTTCCTTGGCTCCGTCAACGGATGTTGAACCTACTTCAACGACTTCAGAGGGAACTCCAAAAGCAAAACCACTTGTTCAATTGGAGAATGGTGAAACTCGAGATACTTCACACGTGTTAGGAAGTCCCTTACTGTCTAACCTAGATCAATCAGGCCTTACAGAAGCTGAAATCAAGTCTCCATCACGTTCACCAGATTATATACCTAGGATTGCCAAACGGGTCCTTGAAATTGATAAACTGGCGGTATGGTTGCCGTCCTTGGACCCAAAAAACACGAAATCTCAGGATGTGCCGATACAAAACTCTCCAAGAAACGAATTTGACCATATGGAGACGTCAACTATGAGCTTTACGGATTCTGCTACCGATGAGGAGCCGGTTAGTCTTTCTCAACATCTTGCCTTTCAGCAGCCGCGGAGAGAATTGATCTTCTCCCAATCCCTTCATCAATTGGCATCCCCACAGCAAGATGATACCAGTGTCCCGGGATTCCATGCTGGTACAATTTTAGTTGATGTCCCTACCATTACTATTGAGGTTGATATCGCCTGTGGATGGCTTTTGACAATGATGGGGCAAAGGCTCGTTTCGACTTGGAATCCTACCACTCAGAATGAGAAATGCCGAAGTGAGAGTAAACACGCAACGACCTTGCCCTTGAACCTCACACTCGCAAACTGCTCGATTAGATTCTTGGAGCATCTTCCTATCTATCATTCTGCCTTCAATGCTACAAGTTTACATTATAATCCCGAAGTTAGCGAGATCATCTTACGCGTAACATTGTCGGGAATAAACTTCAAATCGTCTTTCCGAGGTGACGCCTCAGAATTTATTCTCAATGTCACCAAGTTCACATTTGGCGATGCATCAGAAGATATCATATCGTTTGATGACGGGCTTAAAATGCGCGATTCCATACGAGATGATTTCCATTTGAAACGAGGAGACATTTCACTATCTGTGCTCTCAACCAAAGGAAACACCACAGTGGACTTAGCAACCCTTCCAGTCCATTTTTCATTTAATCTTCAGCGGCTTGACGAAACCTTGAACTGGTTTGGCGGATTAAGCACTATTTTGGAGTTGGGCAATTCAATTTCGTCAACTTCCACCATAAAAGGTGGCAAAGTTGCTGCCAACCAACGGCCTCGTGGAGTTCATTTTGAAGTAGCTTCTTCTAAAGCCCAGCCGTTGCCGGTTGGTAGCTCCGGAGTTAATCCTATCCCCTGGAAAATTAATGCTCGAATGAAAGGCTTTGTCATGACGTTGCAAGGAGACAGGTGCAGCTTGAAACTTAAGACAACCGCCGTCAAGATCGTGAGTCGGCCAGCGGGAATAACAGTTCAAATTGATAAAGGCAAATTGACGGGTCCTCTCTTAAATGATGTTTATAACGCCGAGGCTAGTGCGGTTGTTAATTTGCTGAATATTCGCACCCAGTTTATGTTTGCCCCAATGGAGGAAGACTTGGATAGACTTCTTTTACTTTTGACTCCATCCAAAGACAGGTACGGCGAAGACGACGACATAATGCTTGACACCTTGTTTAGACAGAGGAAACAAGGAGCTGTCCTTCGATTAACCGTTGGAAACCTCAAGGCGGATTTTCCTGAACCGGAGATGCTCAGACCTTTATCAAGCTTGGGGAATGAACTGGCTAAACTCTCTACAGTCACAAAATATCTCCCACAAGATGATCGACCAGGCATACTTACGTTAGTCCTTGTTCAAGAATGTTCTTGTGGAGTTGCCCTTGGAGGAAGAATAGGCGATATCGAAATCTCTCTAACAGGAATGGAAGCTGCGCATGTTGGCATTCCATCTCTTATGGCGGCCCGTGTTTCCACAATCGTGGTTTCACAAAATGATGATGAGGAACTCGTTGGGGAAGCCGCGAACTCCCAGGATGAAACTAACGTTGTAGCGCTGCCTATGATCATGGCCCGATTCATTGCGGATGAAATGGACCCAACCGTCAAAATAAAACTCTCCAACCTCCGTTTTGAATATACAGTGCCTTCAATTGTCGCTTTTCTCGGTCTTGACAACGACATGAGTGCTGAAGATTTTGCTGCTAATATTGCCAATTCTGTTGTCAACCTTGCTGAGTTGAAGTCCCAAGAAACGACAATTCATCGGCTGACGGAATCCTCGATGAGCTCGGTGAGCTCCAGGCCCTCTCCAGTTCCATCAAAGCTTTCAATCACCTTAAGAGACTGCTTAGTTGGACTCAACCCTCGAAAATCTCCTGCCAGGGGCATAGCAGTTTTCACATCTGCGAAATTTTCAGGATCACTGGATAAAGATGATACCCTTGATGCTTGTTTGGAAATCCAAAAGGCCACTGTGATGATCATAAACGACTCTCGAAATGTGGGGACACGTGGTAGCTCTCATACACGAACGTCCAGCGATAGTCAAAGCAACCAGGTTCAACTTCTGCACGGCATGGGATATGTGCCTGTTTGTTATCTCTCGTCGGCTGCTGTTGTCGTAAAAGTAATGCAACTTGACGACAACGGCGAGAAGTCCGTCGACGTTGAGGTAAGAGATGACTTACTCATTCTGGAAACGTGCGCTGATTCTACTCAAACATTGATTACCATTCTAAATGAGCTGGCACCTCCTTCACCTCCGAACAAATCGCTCAAATATCGAACTGAAGTCATGCCCATCGATGACATGCTGAGCTCTTTTACGGGGAACGCATTCGAAACGAGCCCCATTCGGGAAGTTGGTAATCTATCAAATAGCTATCCTGTTGACGAGAAAGAGGGCGATTTGGCTGAGGAACTTGAATACGTCAGTGACTTTTATCCTGTGACCCTAGAATCAGGGAAACATGATCCGGGTCGTAACATGCATATATCTGGTACTAGCGACGCAGATGATGCCCTTCCAGGACTGGCGCACGGATCGAAGAGGCTTCTCGAAAGCTTCTATTCTGAAGCTCACGTCTCATCTAGCGTTTCGAGTTTGGATTTCCAAGAAGACCATTTCGCGCGAAAGTCTGCAGTTGGAGGCACAGCGCATAGATGGGACTCCACATATAATACCTACGCCCTCACAAATGATGCCAAACTTCACGGTAGTCCGCTTAGAGTGAGGGTTCGTGACGTCCATTTCATATGGAACCTCTTTGATGGCTTTGACTGGCAACACACGAGGGATGCGATTTCTAAAGCCGTTAAGGATGTTGAGGCAAAAGCTAGTGAAAAGTTTTCACGAATTGGCGGTCGCTCTTCTCCCCAGATGGGCAGCGAAGAAGACGTGATTGGGGACTTCCTGTTTAATTCCATTTATATCGGAATTCCTTCGAATCGAAACCCTCAACAGCTGCGAGAGGATATTAACGCTCATATCGATGATTTAGCCAGTGAGACAGGCAGTTTTGCCACAACCACGACGATGACCGACGGGTCAGCTGCTACAATCAAAGCCCCTTCCAAAAGGAGCAAGAAGCTCAGATTGAATCGTAGCAAACGCCAGAAGATGACATTTGAACTGAAGGGCATATCTGCAGATTTGGTAGTATTTCCTCCCGGATCTGGAGAGACCCAAAGCTCCTTGGATATTAGAGTGAATGATCTGGAAATTTTTGACCATGTGCCATCGTCCAACTGGAGAAAATTTGCCACATACATGTATGATGCGGGCGAAAAGGAGAACGGCACGGGTATGGTTCACCTGGAAATACTGAACGTCAAGCCGGTAGCGGAGCTTGCCGCGTCGGAAATCATTCTTAAGGTATCTATACCTCACAAAACTTATTTTTTGCCGTAATTTTATGCTTGGGATCAAAGCATTGTGCTAACTCCCTTCTCAGGCCACTATTCTTCCCCTCCGTCTTCATGTTGATCAAGATGCTCTTGATTTCATGACTCGGTTTTTCGAATTCAAGGACGATTCGGCGCCAGCTGATACTTCGCCAACCGAACAACCTTTCTTGCAAAGGGTCGAAGTGAATGCCGTTCGTGTCAGATTGGATTTCAAACCAAAGAGGGTAGATTATGGCAGCCTACGGTCAGGACGGACTACAGAATTTATGAACTTCTTCGTTCTTGAAGAAGCTGACATGGTCCTCCGCCACGTAATTATCTACGGCGTTTCAGGATTCGAGAAATTAGGTGTAACACTCAACGATATATGGATGCCGGACATCAAGGCCAATCAACTTCCAGGAGTTCTTGCCGGTCTAGCGCCGATCAAGTCTCTTGTCGGCGTTGGCAGTGGATTCAAAGACCTAGTTGTCATTCCAATGCGAGAGTATAAGAAAGACGGTCGTATCGTACGCAGCATCCAGAAAGGCGCTCTAGCGTTTGCCAAAACCACGACCAACGAACTTGTGAAGCTGGGTGCTAAACTTGCCATTGGCACCCAGACCGTCCTTCAAGGCACTGAAGATTTCCTTAATGCACCAGGTGATGTTGGGTCACAACGCTATGTCGCAACAACAGATGACGATTCGGCCGATGAGGAGCAGCAAAAACAATTCTCTCCTTATGCAGATCAGCCGGTTGGTGTCGTGCAAGGTTTGCGTGGTGCGTATGCCAGCCTTGAACGAGATCTCCTCATGGCACGTGATGCGATTGTTGCTGTGCCGGGAGAAGTGATGGAGAGTGGAAGTGCACAAGGCGCTGCGAGGGCACTGTTGAAACGAGCCCCTACCGTCATTTTGAGGCCTGCTATTGGCGCATCGAAGGCTCTTGGGAAAACGTTATTGGGTGCAGGAAATTCACTGGATCCTACTAACAGAAGACGAGTTGAGGATGTAAGCTCCCATCCTCCTACCCACTTTTTGCTTCACCTACTAAATTTGCTATCATTTACTAATTTGTTTATTCTAGAAATACAAACGACACTGAACCCGGATAATGCTGGTACCGGAAATATTTCTAGCTATGCCCAACTAACTTTCCAGTGAACCAAACCTTTATTTCTCTCCGTACCCGCTTTCGTTCACATACTCTATTCTCGCCTCCTAACTTCACTATATCTTCTATTCGTTGCACTCCCTCTGCCCTGAAGCCCATTACCCGAATTATTACAGGCTCACTCACGAATGTCATTACCTAGCGTCTCTCACAGCTGTTTCCTCTACCACGGCTGTTTCTCGAGCACTATGAAGTCTGAAGCTTTCCATTCATGACCTAGCAGATCAGGCTTTATGAGAACAGAGTTTTTCTTTATTTCCCTCTTGTTTTGGAAACCCTTGGGCAATTTTGGAGTTGCTCATCGTTTTTCATTTTCGTTTTAATGTTACCCCGTTTTTCTTTGGAACGATACCATTGTTATGACATAAAGATTGTTTTGCTTTATTATCCGGCTAGGTATTTCTTACCATTATACCATTACGATAGCAATTCTCCACGCATATATCATGCTGTTCTATTTGATTCTGCCTTAAATCTCTGCCCCACATATCGCGCGCTGCATGGCAATTTTCCATTGTTTTATTTTGTTTTTCTTTCGTTGTTGTTAAGAGATCGATTAGTGTTAGCATATAACCCCGGATAAATCTATGCATAAATTTACGTACAAAAGATTTTTTGGTTTAAATTTCAGTTCTTGAGGTCTATTGGTCTTGCTCTAGCAAACAGCACGGGCAGCCTCAAGGCAGATGGCCCTTTTTTACCCCTAGGAATCTGCCTGGAGCCGATACCTTCACATGCTCAAAAGCGGTGAAATAGTAACTTTCCTGATATGTATATCGTATGTATTTTATTTTATTTATTTAAGTACATGCATCACTCCACTAACTTTTAGCAGCCAAATAGGAATCGACTTGGTAGGGCTGACCGGAATGAAACTCAGCTCGGAAGTGGAGACTTTTGGGGGTCCTTGCTTCCTAAACAAATTTTGAGAATAAATTTGGTCGAGTTGCAGCAGTTCCTGCCTCAGTCTCTCACATGTCAGGCAATTTGATACTTGAATTGCATACACCAGACACTACGGGATGATGTGATTGGTCTATGGAGGCTGTCATGGGATGTCTTCAAGAGGATAGGATGTGCACCGCCTCATGCAGAATGTATGCACCAAGCCACATATGCACCACACCCGCACTCAATATTTACTAACTTTTCAAACCGGAAAGCAGCGAGGAATGGAGATCATAGCTTCGATAAGCTCTTTGCTTTGTTTTGTTTCAAAGCTTTGTGTAGCATGTGTTAGTGCATTTCAAAGCAAAGCGTTCTTCACATGCTAATATCAAATACCCGCCGTGCAGATTTCCGGGACATAGCTGTAAGGATAGCCAGGTTTTATGAACCAATATTGGCCATTCCTGGAGTTGTATTCCCTACCATTCGACATATTTTTTAGGTACTGTCATATGCAAATCCTGTAGCAATTATGCCACAGGTTGGTGAAGAGGTTTTTCTAAAAAATAAATTTCGTACGTACTCTCTTTTGGCTGCGCGGACTTTGCAACAGGGGCCTACCTGCTAGTTTTCATTCATTGAAGCGGGGATATGCATGTGGCGCAGCTGCCAAACACACGCAGAAATGATATTGTTTACCTCCAACCATTTGATCCAACCTTCACCAGTCTATCCACATCATTGACTTCTCCCTATCCTAATGAAGTTGGCAGGAAGGACATGACATGTGAAAGTCGTAATAAAATGAATAAACTTAATACTCCGCCTTTTCCAATGCATGCGTTGTATGTAAAGCTCCGAGCGAATTGACCCCTGCAGATATAGATAGGAGAATCTGACGTTGACAACTTCCTCAATCTGAAAGCAAACAACCAACCATATTTCAAAGGGTAATGGGGGAGGGAGTAGGCATGGCTATGTGTCAGCCAAGAGGATGTGATTATTGAGGGGTGATTGAAAAGAAATAAGGAGCTGCCATCTCAAAAAGCGGAGCCGACCGCCCATTCCCAATAGCATTATTCAACAGAAAACGCTGGGGAAGGAGATTGCAAGTGTTTCCTTTCAGACATGGGATCGAATGATATACCATATGATATGTAGGGTGGCCATTATTACCCTGTTTTCCGATCCGATAGTGCCGCTGAGTGGGGACGAGGACCTCCGGTATATACCCACCTTTCCATCCCGGCAGGTTGGGTAAACTGTTGATGTCTGCCAGGTACAAAAAGTAAGAGAATACAATAGATCGTGAACAAAAAAAGTTGAAAACTGTCTCATAATTGGCTGGGAGAGAAAGCCACTCGAATGTGACGGTTCCAGAGCGTGGTTCGTAACTCTCAAAGGGCCCGGGAACATGCCCATTGGATCCCACGGATGTCCGTTGCTCCTTTGCCCTCAATGAAGTAGCTCAGCAACGGGTTTTTGTTTTCTGTTTGTCTCTTTCTCCCCCTTTTTATTTTGCCACGCAATGGGATTGTCATGTGACCATTTTCGGTCAAATTAATTTGTGAGTTGCCAAAATGTTTGGAGAGAGCGGTTGTCGCGGTATAACTGTGCGATTTTTCACGAAGGAGAGGGGATTCACCGAAAATAATTCTCAGGAATTCAGACCGTCTGTGGGGCACCTTCAAAATAGCTTTTTACCAGGAAAAGCGTTCATCCCACCCATTTCCTGGGTTGATTAGGTCCATCACACTTCAACGGGCGACTAGAAAGAGCCGCGTGAGGTAGTTATTGCAATTGCAGGCGACCATTTGGCTGATGATACAGCCTTCCGAATTACTCGCCGTGTTCCCCCACACCCGCAGCCCATCCCCAGGACATCCACGATCGGCCGCTTAGGCGGGTTCCTTGCAGAGTGGGCTTTATTGGATCTGAACATTCCACGATGATATCAGAAAGGAGCGCCACGTCTGGCTTTGCTGGACACCCACTAGCAAACTGTTGACCATCAGCCGGCACTTTTTGGATGTCCCTTTCATGATCAACATCCTAATTCTGAACGATAACTGGCAGAAGCGAGGTGCTGGGGCCTGGACAAGCCTGTGTCAGAAATGTCGCATTCGCCCTCCTCATTGGCTACGGGCATCCCACCCCTTTGGTCACGTCCATCCCAACTGGACTGTCTGTGGTTTGAGGCGAAACATCCACACTACCATTATTCAAGTCCATTTACATGGCGGACGTGTACCCGGCAAGTCCATGGCTTGCAAGTTGGGCTGGGTTGCACAACCCCACCATAAAGAAATAAATGTGATCTTGGAAAGGCGGTGTTGGTGTGTATCGCGTACTCCAGGCAATACGGACCGTGCTGATGGGGTGACGGTATTCCCTATATCCAGCCTTTCAATCCCTGATATCGTATTGGATATCTTCTTTCCATTTTTCTTGCTTGAATATTTCTTTTTTCAATAGAATGAATTTATACCATCTCTTTTGATATGATATTTATTGCCGTATTTGTCGTGTTAGAATTGAGGGGAATTTGAGTATGGCAACGGCTGGCTTTTGCTATGCCTTACTGTCCCTTGCAACCTCAATCAACACCACAAACTTTTTCACTTCCCTTCAGGAGGTTAATTCTCTCCGCTTCATTTGGCTGATATTTCCATGTATATCGGACATCGTGCATTGCACTGTCATATCTAAACTATTCTAATCAGAGGCCGACTTTGGCAGGTAAAAAGATTCGAGACTGGTTTCTCAGGGATCAGTGACAGCACAACACTGGTAAGACATCAATTCATCCCCCAACCCAAACCCGTGGCTCACTCAGAGAACTCACTGGCCATAATGTTGACATGATGCAAAGGTCTGTTGATGACAATATTTAGCTTGGAAATCAACAGCCCGTATTCATGATTCTTTCGTCGATTTCAATTGGTGACTTCATGGTCCAGCTTCGGTCTAGATATGCTTTGAAAGGCCTCAACAGGCATTGCTTTTCATCATCTATTATCACATCGCAGCACTCCTATATAACTACGTTAGCAGAAAGGATCCAACTTGTGCTTTAGAACCACATACCTCCATTTTACGTATGCTTGGCTGTGGTTAAGTTTACGGGAATATGGATTTCATAGCGGCCGATGACATCTGGAGTGGTGTGAGTGTTGATGAATATCGACAATTTCATTCATCCTCAGAGGTCCCTATTCCGCTACCTCTTTTCTCCACTGATTCGATTCGCCGAACTTGCTCCGCTCCCACCTCACGACCTCTATCCCCTCCACTAAGTCCTGATCCAACTGTCCTAGTTTCTCTGCATCCCGTTGGGAGCAGGCAGGCTTCAGTCGGGCTTTCCCTGCATGAATATCGTAAAACCCTCTCCCGTCCGCATCTGGATGAGGCCTCTGTTTCCGGCCCGCGAAAGACATTGAGAAGGAAGCCTAAAGCTTTGAACCTCAATCTTGTTCGATCCCCTAAAGCTCCACCTTCTCCCCCTCCCAGCCCTGCATCATCAATATCTCCAATATATCCCCTAGACTCAGTAAGGTCATCGCGATCCTGCTTGCCATTTGCAGGAAAATCGGTTACCGGCCAAGATGAAGGAAGTTTTCATGAATATATTCCCCACCACATTCTAGGGGAGGCTACGTCATTATCACACATCATTCATCCATTCACTGCTGCTCTTAACACTTCATCTCAGCAACCCCCCCCTCTGGCGAATTCTTCTCCTTCACCTCCACCCCGCACTCCTGCTGCTAGTATAGCGAGCGCAAGCACCGGAATCAGGAAATTGGTGAGCCTTTTTTTTTTCCCCTTTTAGGATTTTAATACGTTGTTAGGCTTTCTAGTGCTCCTTTCCTCACACGCCAGTTATGATGTGATTTATACATTGCGCTTTTGCACAGAGGTCAGACGTGTTGACTAATGAAACGCGTCAGAACGCGTTCAGGCACCGCTTAAAACAGATTCCCGTCAAGATCATGTCTCATCACAAAAGTTCTTCGGATTCTGCTCTATTCCAACGGCCAGATTGCTCAAACACTAAGCTTCGCCACAAGGGCGTTTCATTTGAGATACTCAACCCGCCTAAGTCACCTAGATTTCCCGTATCTTCCAAGCCTCTTGCATTACAGAAGGGGCTCCCAGCCCCCGCCCCTTTTTTCGACCCAATGTCTTCTCAATTTTTCAACCAAGGCACCCCAGCCAGAGAAATTCGTCGGGAACAGCAAACCACCCTGGAATACGGGAGTCAATCTGGGACAGAGAGAGAGGAGTGTCGACCCATATCTCCACGTGCTTTGTTCGAGGACCTTCCGACAGCCCATTCATCCATTACTTCGCGCATAACGAACCAAAGAAACAACCTCTTTCTCATGTCTCCACACACAGATCACTCCATAAATGATCTGAATATGGAGGTTCCATTGGACATGACCGCTGACAGATCCCCTGTCACTCGTCCCCCCAATTGTTCTGGCCTGCTTACATCCTATTTCGGTGAGGGCTTCACCTCAGACCTTGTTGTTTCTAACGAATGTAATCCTGTTTTGACATCAGTAGAAAATAAAGCCATTGATCGTCCTTTCCAGGAGATCGAATCGACATCCATCCCTCTGCAAGATGGCATTGAGGATCCAAGAACTACACTCGCGGATCTGGTCGTTCGCGGCGCTTCAATTGGCCAACTGTCAAGTTACTTCTCGGGCAAACCTTCGCGTTCTAGCTGTCAACCACAAGGAGAAGTCACCAAAAGGTACACTTCCAAACTCATAAAACCTCGGCCTTCAGGTGTAAAACATTTCTTCCAATGGAAGAAACTTCGCGCGAGCGGCGCGCCCAGCCTACTCTCCAACCTTACAACCCGTCAATTGAATCCGCAAACGGCCCATTCTCGGGCCAAAAAAGGAAGTTCTTCCGAAGAGGTAGGGAAACGCGAAGGTGGCAAAGCAGGCTTTAAA